CAACCGAGTAAAATAAGGCCAATGACTGCGACATTGCGTGTATGAGTTTAATATACTTGCTGAATTCCATCCATACACTCTGAATAGAAAACAGGCAATCTTCATCAAGTTCATGCATCTTTAGCTGTACAGGGAAGTGCAAAAAGAAGGAAACCCAGGAATTTTACCTTTTACATAACTTTTTTTATTTTTTATAATGTAGTAAAGTATAGCTCTTCAACCATACATAGTGAAAAAAAATCTTTTAAAAATGGCAACAATAGTGGTATGTTAATTTGCATACAAGTCACCAAAATTACTGATGTCCACGTAGGCCTACGTGTAAGTCTAGTGTAGTGGGTTTTTTTGTCTTCAAATCAAGCTCCGGAGCTCAGTCAATTAAGCGGATGGACTAAAGCTGTCCGTGGGTTTGGCACATGAAATGTTAAACTACCATATCTCAGAGATGACAGAATATGCATTTGCAATCATTTTTTCATCACATATGTTAAAAGATCAATATTTTAATACATGTACCATTAAATTGAATTTCTGAAATATGCTCAACAAGTAGGTGACAATTGCTGTCAAAAGTGGGTTTCCTTCTTGCACCACCCAGTAGTCAGCTGGGTGCAAGTTTGCAAGTTTTCTAGTCAAATCTAACTTTGTGTTTTTACAGTGTACTGTGGCGGATCTGAGGGGATATGGGGGGAGGAATGGGTAAATTTACTGAAGACTTGGAATTTGGCTAAGTGTTGAGAAATCGAGAGCTTGAGCTTGGCCCATGAATTTCATATGAACAACTATTGTAGAAATATAAGGGTTAAAAGCTGTAGGTTACACCAACTACAGGACGAGTCAAAACAAAGTAGCCATACAATTGAGACAAAAAATATTGATAACAATATGTGGCTCGCTTCAATTGAAAAAATAACATAGGCCTAGTACATTATTGACCAGTAACTGTGAACATTTCACGTAACTTGCTTTCTGTGTTCACAAGTTATGTCTATGTTAATACAAACATCACAAAAATCAGCTGTCCATTATAATGATTATTTACTGTTCAAATACAATGATCAAGGGCGTTTTCCAAACTTGTACAGGAAAACAGACAAAAATCATCATTATTTCAGAAAAAAATCCTCATTAATTTTAAAATTAAAAATCGGACAGTAAAAATAATGTTTCAGTCTTGACAAAACATTATAAACATCTCATTTGTATCAGCGTCTGAATGCCTGCATGTGGGTAATCTCTGGTTTTTACTCAGCTGAATAGCTACAATGGCATAGTTCTATATATACAGCTGTACAAATTGATTCTTTTCGTAACACATGTATAACTTCTCGCAGCATGGATCAATTTCAGTAATTCCTTTTTTTTTCCAAACGAGTGGAAGAACATTCTCGTTTAATTTAGTCTATGTTTCGTTGGTGTGTCAAATTTGTAAAGGGAGAAAAATCGTTAATCCAATTTTCTCTCTTTTTGACTCAATTGTGTACGCCAACAATGATTGTTTGAATTATTGCCAGATGTGAAATCCGCGTGTTTTTTTGTGCGTTCGGATGATTTTCGCAGATATTATACTTGTAAATTCACTAGCATGGCCCGCCATTAGGAATTGTTAGGCGCAGATTTGTTTCTTTTTTTTAAGGGGCAATTAAAAACAACAACCAAATACACATAAAAACAAAACAATCTTACATACATTCTTACATAATAATAATGAAATTGAACGGATAATATAACAAGTTGAAGTTTTACAAACAGTGACAACCGAATAGTGTTAACAAAGGTATTTACAGATCTCAAAATCCGAATCTGTGGGAAATCGACATCTGGAAAAAATACCACTTTGTCAAACCGGACAAAATTGCCTTGTTCGTCTCGTCCCCTTTTTCTTTTATTTGGTTCGTGCCCATCACTATGTTCCATAAACTAAACTGTGTACAACAAGCAAGATTGTATTATCAAGAATACGTACGTGCGGCCTTCAGGAAACAATACGTGTGCTTCCAATTTACAATAATATTTGTGGAACGGAAATTTGTCACGATTTTTTTTTATAGAGCCTGTACTGCAGTGACTCAGTATTCGAACTCGACCAGCAGTATTGCATATTAATGTGGGTAGAAGTTTCTCGATTAGATGGTATTGTTAATGTCAGTGCAAATTGGTGGGTCTATGAGAGTGTGCCCAGCCTGGGGCCTCAGTCGGGCTTGAGATATAGGCAGAAGAAACGGGTCTTTTCAAAAAGTCATGAACTGATAAGTAAGATTTGAGGCTTTGCATGGTGGAGATACTAAATAATGAAAGGTTTGCGTAAACACCATGTACGAATAATTTTCCAACTAAGAGAATGGTTCTGAAAAGAACCAGAGGTATAAACCCGACGTTCCAGTCAGTATGCTCTGACCGTCTTCAGGACTGAAGACGGTCCTATTAATGAACATCATGAACTGATGTCGGAAATCTCGCACTCCAAAACTTCACAAATCACAATTTGCAGAAGGAAACATGAATACAAGTGAAGTCCTTTGGTTTTTTGATACGGTACGGCAAAGTATCTTTAAATTTGGACGATGACAACTCACAAAAAGTATCCTTTTTTCAATTTTTGGTGCAAAATATTCATCTTGGCTGATATAGAAAAAACCCATAAATTGCGCCATATTGAAGTTAAAGGCCTGTCAGTGTGATACAGGTGGTATACCGTGTATGCTGCCAAAAGATGATTTAAAAATATCACTTTTCTTTCAGTTGTCGACTTTCTCCTAGTAAGGGTAGTATAAGCCACGCCAAGGGGTCCTTTCTCGAACGCTAATAACCCGTCAGCCGCCTGATGATTTTAAATACTGTGACTAAATTATGGTTGGGCGTCCTCTTTTTTATTATCTTTTCTTGGAATTTGAAAAATACACGAGTAAGAGTATAGGCTAAAGCGAATACGAGGCGGTGTTAATATGGGAAAAATGGAGAATTAGCCTAATTGTTAAGGGTTAGTGACTGTGCTTCGCGAGGACACAGGTATCCAAGTCGGTAAAGGGCATGGGGTCCCACTAAAATCCGGTAGAAATTCTTATGCCTAATTGGACTTTAATAATTGAATTCCCGTTGATTTTCATACATGCACCTGGCGTTGTATTTGTGTTCGTATTTCGGAAACGATTTACAGTGACATCGCCAACCATATCTAGTATTCTTCCCGAAGCGATTTCAATATTCTTCACTCACTCGTATTGGAACGTATAGAAAGATATTGAACATTTGGAATGTAATCAGTCATAATTATTGCCGGTAAACTAAATGGAAGACTTATTATTTTTTTTACCAAAAAGTGAGCTATTTTTTTATGCTGGACTTTTCGCATGCTTGGAAGGAAAGTTGGAAATTGTAATTTTCAAATTAACTATTCAAACACAAGTTTTTAAATTTTCGTTAGAATACACTATTTCTAATCATGTTCCTTTTTCATTCTGACGTTTATTAAGATTTAAAATGGACATCAGCTAAAAACGGATCCACGTTGATTTGGGGTGGGTCATTCGACTCTCCTCACCGCCCTGCAATATGGGCCTGAATATCTCAGTATTTTATGGGCAATTCCACGGTAACTCACGTTACATTTGAAGCGGGTCTTCCGTCAACCCTGTGCTGTGTAAAGTCAAAGTATTTTTCTCACAGAAGATCCCTAAAAGTTAAAGCAACAGTCCATCATTTGTATACTATCCAAAAAGTAACTGACGTAATTATTGTTGAAAAGCATACTTGGTTTAAAGATAATAATGGGACTAAACTCCCTGTGAAATTATTCTTTCTGGCAAGCTGTCATTTTGAAGAAAACAATGAAAGAAGGCCTTTCCAACGTTGGAAATTTCCGTTAGTAGTTCGGGTTTTTTAATTCGGCGAAGCACGCGTAACCGTTGACACGACGCACACGCACGCGCGGTTGCTGTAATTCGTCGGTTCAGTGCGCGACATCGCGTAGCTGCAATCGGCTCAGTGAGAACGTGTCTCGGACGCTGAATTCAGGCCCAATTCAAAACATGACTCATCAACTTTTGATTTGAAGATCCTATAGAATGTTGTTTTCTCGGAATATACAGCATTCACTGAGTTAAAATTTCATCAGGTTAGTTGTTAAGCACCCTTCTTTCGATTTTCAGCACAAGTTGTTGCTTCAAACGAAGATAATGCACACATTACAAATGATGGATTGTACCTTTAAGTGACTGAACTACAGCGTAAACGGGCCCACAACATGAAAAAAATGTAAATATTTTGCATTTTTCTCATACTGTGCACTGATGGATAATTGTTTTAGTGTCCTTATATCATTAGGGTGTAAGTCATATTCTACTATTATAATTATTAAAAAAAATAATCAATCATTAAATCTTTACAGGGATATATTTAGGTAACTCTCGTTACGGTTACTCACGTTACAGTCTGTCCATCATAGAACAAGTTAGAACATTTAAGAAAATAATAATCAAACCAAAAACTCTTTGGTTGAAAACAAAAACAAAACAATAACACTCGCATTTTGCATGTAAAAACAAGGTGTGAAAATGACTACCTAAAATCCATAATTTGTGGCAAAATACCAGTTAATTTGACCTAAAAAACACTTTTATCTCACTGGTACATCATTCAAAATGAAAGGTCTTGTTGTCCCCTTTAATTTGTTACTACATGTTAGGTTATGGTGCTTGTAATTTTGAAGATTTCATAAATTTTCCATTTTTTAAAGGTTTTATTTAGGTTTAAAAATCAGCTAGTCACGGTCATCACTCAATTGAGGTAGATGCATACACAATTCATTTTTTTTTTACCCAGAGCATCAGTGGCGGATCTACCAGGGGTAGGTGGTTCAGACCCCAGGCCATAAAAACAAGGAAAATCGCGCAGAAAAATGTAGCACAGGCGCGGCCTGCTATACCCCTCCCCTTTGACAGCTTACACCCACTTGACCGTACATTTACTTGTGGTGTTTTTTCTCTTTTCTTGTAGAAAAAGGACGCACCGGAGAGCCCCACGATGCAGCGGCCAAACTTCTCCGATCCGGCATCGGTGGAGAGACTGTTCATTCAGGCCGTAGAGAGGGGCGATCGGAAGGCTATCATCTTTGCTTTGGAAAACGCACCTGATCTGAATATCAACTGTACGGATCAGGATGATCGACCAGCGCTACTGATTGCTATCGAGAATGGAAACTCGGGTAAGATTATTATTATTATGATGATACAGAGTATTGAGTTATTTCAAATTAATATGAAATTGACTTCCAAAAGGGAAAAAAATGCAATAACTCTAAAGACATTATAGCCTTGATGGAAGGTTAACCTTTTTCAGGAGGAAGCCATTTTCGATCGTGTTCCGAGAATCTGTTCTATAAATTGTAAACTGTTGAATGAGATTGTGCCAGACTATTTTACGATTGGAGCGCGTTCCAAGCCTCGCTTTCAAGTTTTATTTTTTTAATTGTTGATGTGGCTTAAAACAGTAGGGTACGTTTGCTCACAAATTTTAAATTACTCATCAGAGTAGACTGGTATTAATTTGCAGTGAGCTTTTGTTTCATTGCTTTCATTTATATTCGCAAGTTCCCAAAAGAAGAGTTGACCTCGCTTTCAATTTAATAATGGCCGACTCATGGATAAAGTCTAAAGCAACAGCTATGTGATTCGATAGAAAATGTCTAGGTTTGAAAGTCGCCTATCTCTAATAAGGATAAAGGCAAGTTAGTTCAGACATTGCAGAAAAGAAAGAAGAAAACAACAAACTTTTGGCAATTAATTTGATGAGTAAGAATTGTCAGAATAAACGGGAAACTCTCTTTTTAGAAAAGTCTTGTCTGGTTGATTAAAAAAAAAAAGGGGAGCATGTGATCAAACAGTTATTATCTAGCTGGCAGACAAGCATAATTCCACACAGTAGGCTAATTTATCCCTGGATAGTTCTATTATTGACCCTGTATTGCTTTCTTTGGCAATGACCTTGAGCGAGCTACTCCGGTTGTGATAAATGTATCGAATACCACACTTCGTCTTTTGGCAGATATTGTTCAGCTGCTTTTGGATCACAACGTGCAGTTGGGGGACTCTTTGTTACGTGCAGTTGATGAGCAGTTTGTGCAAGGTGTTCGGCTGATTTGTGAACACATAAAGAAGAAGAACATACCGGTAAATAGACAAAAAATGTTATTTCGTCATAAAATATGACATCGAATAGCTATGTTTATTAACGTGTAAAGTGTCATTTGCATGCACATGTACATGTTGAAACTTGTATTAATGTAAGTGGGGGCCCCTACTTGACAAGCTTTTCTTTTGGGGGAGCCCCATCCACATTTATCTTAAATAATGTTTATATAATACTGATGCAAAACGTTATGTGGAAAACAAAGTAATTAATTGAAAGTTGAATTAACTCACCAAAAAACATGAATTGCCCCTAAAGTTAAAATAAGGTTGATAGTTGTTTCATTCATTACAAATTTAAAATATATCAATCAAAAAATGTTTAGGCCCTGTATTTTTTTTTTATTTGTACATTTCAGGTCAATCCAGTCAGTAAGCAGTAGCAGGTTGCAGCATTTTAATTAATTTTCATTACAAATTTAATAGCTGTGCCCCTAAAAAATTCCCTTTAGATGAACAAGATCTAATAGTTTGTGAAAAAGTCATACAAATGTCTCGAAATATCCGCAGCTGTCTAAAAACAATCTAGAAACTTCTCAAACTTTCTAAAAAATTGTCCTAAAAGCTTGGTTTCTTTCTAAAACCACACATGCTAATTCGAATTAAGGGAAAAGAGACACACATGGTGGTGCAAAAAGAAGGAAACCCACTTTTCACAGCAATTTTCACCTACTTGTTGTGAATATTTAAAAACTTTAATTTAATGGTATTAAAATATTGATCTTTAAACCTAAGTGACGACAAAAATATTGCAAGTGCATATTTTGTCTCTGAGATATGGTAGTTTTAAATTTTCACGTGCCAAACCTGTTTGTCCACGGATGGCTTTATTCCATCCGCTTGACTGAGCTCCGGAGCTTGATTTGAAGACAAAAAAGGACAAAAAAACACTACATTATAGACTTACACGTGGACAACAGTGATTTTGGTGACTTGTATTCAAATTAGCATAATAACACTATTCTTGCAATTTTCTTGAAATATTTTTTTCACCACGTATGGTTGAAGAGCTATACTTCACTACATTATGAAAAAAAAACCAGTTCAAATAGGTTAAGTAAGTAGGTTCAAATTCCTGTCAAAAGTGGGCTTCCTTTTTTTGCACCCCCTTATTAACAAACAATTATACAAATATTTTTCTGCTGTTGCCATAGGAATGCCTAAATTGCAAGGCGTTGAATGGTGATTTTCACCCTGACGTCACACCTCTGGTCTTAGCAGCTCAGCACAACCACTATGACATCATCCGCATCCTGCTGGAGTACGGAGCAAGGATTAAGGATCCTAGGGAGTATAGCGATGAGGCCGAGATGCACACACTGGAGAACTCCGTAGGAATGTTGAATCTTTACAAGGTAGGTTGCGAGTTGTGAAACTGCCCATGTCATTATGGGAACTGTGCATGGTTATAGAGTTGTTTTATTTTCTTTCTCGTAATGAAACCAAGGATTCCTGTAAAGCACTCTAGGCACTGTAGCTCGAAAGCCTGAAGAAACCTGTAGAGAGGAGACAATGAGAAGAAATTACAGTTTTAGAGGTGGGAGGAAAACCCAAGAAAAAAATATATTCTGGGGAAAAATCAAGGGAATCAGGCATACAGGACTGAAAGCCCAATCCACATGTGATCCGGGCAGGAATCGAACCCGGGCCATAGCGGTGGAAGGCGAGGAAAGTAACCACTGCGCCAACCCGACTCCTGAGTTGTAAAAAAAAAAGTTATCGCAAGTCAATTAAAAGTTAATTGACTGTTTTACGTCGTTGTACTTTACAAATCGCTCAAGTCGGCTTATTACCGACAGTGCGTCCCAAAATACCGGCAACTTTTGTTTGCTTTTTGCGAGGCTCTAGCGTCGGCGCGGAAACGCGTACCGCCATTATTTTTATACAGTTTTAAAGCTTGGAATCTGAACGTCAAAATAAACTGGCTACAATAAGTTGTCTCACAAATGTAATTCATTCACTTATAATTTTAACAACTTCAATAATTTTATTAAGTTTGTTTTCTTTTTTTATACATTGGTTCTTCAGAAAGGAAAAGCACCCAAAGAAAGAAATAAGTGCAGTTGGAAGTGCTGGAGTCCAAAGCATTGACTTAAGGAAACAATTGGAACAACAGAAATAAGAAATTGCCTTCAAAATATTATAGTCATCATTTATTTTTTTGATCACCAGAATGTTTTATTTGATATCTCAGTGGACTGTTTCCCATTCTAGACTTGATGATAACCCAAGTCCTACTTCTTTCCTGTACATATTAAAACAAGGCGTTAGCCAGCCAAGCCTACATATCCCAAACCTCCAGTGACCCCTTCAGCACGACCTTTGAACTCTGTGCCAAGCTTCGCAAGCTCGCCCGGACCAAGTACGAATTCTGCGACCAGTTCCAGGAGTTAGTCTGCCAGTGTGAGGAGTTTGCCGCGGGTCTCCTCGATCAGGTCCGTGACTCGACGGAGCAAGCGCTGATTCTAAACCACGACCCGTACGGGTGGAGTAATCCGTCTGAAGACCTACAGACTTGCCAACCCAACCGAGTCAAAGCTGCGATCTTCTTTGAACAACGAAAGGTAGGCTTAATCTGTCGACATTTTGGTTTTCCTGAAGAAAAAATTGGCACTATTTTTTGGAAATATTATTAAAACTAGCGGGATGCCGCACCTTGCGCGGCACCTGCTAGCTGGGTGGAGTCATTATCTATGTTTACTTTGATCTCAATTTGCATATTGACCCCAAGTGGGCGTGGCAAAGCTTGGTGAAGCAATTGAGCCACTTTTTCATCATCAACGTTATATTTTGCGTAATAGCGATACCTTTTTGGAGTGTTTTCATCGAAATAATGTTGTAATATTCAAATATCTAAAGTCTAATATAAACAAATTCGCCACACAAAAAAACAAGTAAATCTTTTTTTTTTCAAGTGCAACCGTGACTTCAGACGACAGTGACCTGCATATAATAACCAAGCCTCTCCATTGACCATGACATTTTGTGCTTGCGCTCACTCTTTAGGCCTTTTACAAAAAAACGGGATACACAGACATCAGACAGGCATCAGACAGACGGACATCAGACAAACAGCGTAGGATCTTTTAATTCTCTCCAGGATAAATCAACAATCAATTTAATTTAAAAAATGAACAAAACAAAACTCAAAATAGCCAACCATAAATCGTAACATACAAACAAGAACAGTTTTAGTTTTCTCTCTGCTCAGTTGCCTCTGTTCGTTTCCCGTTAATACTCTTGTGATACTCAATCAGTTTACCTTTGTAATTTGAGTATATTCTTGATACAATTTTTTTTGGTTACAGTTTGTAGCTCATCCTCATTGTCAGCAGCGTCTGATCGAGCAGTGGTACCACGGCCTGCCCGGCTGGAGGGACCAGAGTTCCTTCAAGTCCGGACTGACCGTCCTCCTGATGGGTATAGGCTTTCCTCTCCTGTCCTTAGCCTACATCTTCTTTCCTTATGGACGTCTTGGAAAGTTTTTCCGCATCCCTTACGTCAAGTTCGTCTGTCACACAGCATCTCAGCTCTGCTTCCTACTTCTTTTGTTTTACCAAACTTTAGGTGGGTCAACTCACGGATAATTTCAACAACTTTTGAAAGTGAACATATTGGCATGGCTGTTCCATTAAATATCATCACAAAGGATATGTTTTTTTTCTTCATTTTTTACAAATTTGTTTGCACCAATCATAAGTAGGGTAAGGCAAATTGTGAAAATCCATAAATAAACAACATTTTAGAAATGGCCTCTTTTTAAAAATTTCTAGGTGTATTAATTTTGATTCCGATTTTGTGTGTGTACTGTTTCAATCATTTTTTGTAACATTTTTCTTTAAATGCAAATTGAGAAATTGTATGAATTGGTAATCATTATTTTCCGTTTTGTTTTCACCGTGTAGTTGAAAGCACTTCCCATCCTCTGTCAGCTTTGGCTGTTAGCAGTGAGGAAGCAGTCACGGGTGATTCGGTATCAACTACAAGTACTAAAACACAACCTCCAAGTATAGTCATGCTGCTGATTGTGGCATGGGTGGCAGGTAAAAATATGGAAAGAAAAAGAAACATTTCTTTTTTATATTCAATCTTTTAAACACTTTTGTTTTGGAATTTTTTTTTTTAAAGAACCTGTTTATATAAAGAAAATTCGATCAAAACAGGGTGAATGGTCTGGCAAATGGGCTCATCAAGAAGCGTTTTGTTGTTCTTATGATTTCTTTATTGTTGTCTTCTACATTTACAAGATGAGGAAATAAATCCACATCGACTCCGTCAAATGTAGACCACTGATCTCTATATAAAGACTGGATATCAGATGCCTATACGCCAGTCACACAGTTGAATTTGTATTTTGACCAGTTCGCCCCCAATCTTCCTAAAATGGCCGTGACGGACACGTATTATGATGCTCTAAAAAGGACACATTGCCGTCGTGGTTATATTTCCAAACGTCGCAAAAAGTGACCTGCGGTATTCAAAAAGTAAACCACGACGTTAGGAAAATTGTAAACAAGGTGAACCGCGATGTTACAAAAGTGAATCATCTGCCTATAAAGACGGCACTTTGTCCTGTTTAGATCACCAGCCGGTCTCTCCAATATGGCTTCAAATGGCTTGTTTTTCCTGCGGCTTTCTGTACGATATAAAGAGATCAGTGGTGTAGACACAGATAATGACAATGTGTTTCCATGAAGGAAAATGCCTTCAATCTTTCCAAACAATATTCATCTTCATTTTGATAAATTCATGTATTGATAAACCCATCTTCCAAATCATTCACCATTTTTTAGTCAATTTTTCTTTATAGGCCTATATGTTCTTTGAAAAATACCAATTAAAAGTGCTAAAATATTCAATATAAAAAATCATAACGTTTTCACCAGGAATATCCTTGTATTTTGTTCTCCAATTATTTGATATCTGCTCTGTCCATATTTGCCTGTTTGATAACTTATGTAAATTGTTTACATTTACCCCTAAATCCTGTCATTTCCTTGTTATCTTAAGCCCTGTTCAAGTTTTACTCATTTCCTTGAATATAAATATTTACAGACAATATAAACTGCTTAGATTATAAGTGTTGTGTCATCATTTGCATTCCCCCCTAAAAGACTTACTCCTTACAGACGCTAATCATCTTAATAGGGAAATGTTGATGGATGCATCAGAATTGTCTCCAGACAGTGAGCTAGAAATGACACTTGTCGTTTCATCACATAACTGCTCATCAAAGATTGTTTACAAAGAATGTATACACAAAGTAAAAATGACAAATATTTCCAGGAAAAGTAAGTTAGGCCAATAATTTCATGGATAAAATTGTGACACAGTTTCACACAAAAATGCCCCCCACAAAACTGCATTTCATACATTTAAACATCTCTTTTTTTATACTTTTATAATTTGTTTTGACGAATCACATCTGAGGTATTTTTTGTTTGGTTCTGTTCTTCAGGAATGACGTGGTCTAAATGCAAGGAACTTTGGTACAACGGTTCTCGGTTCTTCAACAACCTCTGGAACTATTTTGATTTCGTGACGTTGGTTTTATACTGGACCGTCATTGCGCTGCTCTTTATGGTCTACGTCAAGGTATTGATCCATTTTGAGCAAGTTACACATCTCAGTTAGGCCGCTCTAATTTTTTGATCTTAGAAAAATTATACAAATTACTCAAATATTACCAAATTTTAGTAACTCTGGATTGTCGTTCTTCAGCTGACTACCATATGTCATTATTTAGTGTACAATAGAGGGTGAGTCAAAAAGAAAATGACCGAATTAGAGACAATTTTTAAAAAAATATGTGACTCGCTCTATTTCATTAAAATAACATAGTCATAAAGTACATGTTATTGACTAGTAACTGTGCAAATTTTACGTAATTTGCATACTCTGTTTCCAAGTTGCGTCTATTTTAATAGGAAGATCACACAATTCAGCTGTCCACCACTGATCATTTACCGTTCTTCAAACTGATTAATACCCATTAGATACAATAAACTATGGATGTTTTCCCACCTCGATGAATGGAGAACTTGCAAAGGAAAACATACCAAAATCGTCATTTACATTACAGAAAAAAATAGATGACTTGTTCCTCGTATTCAAAACACAAAATTTGACAGTAAAAATAATGTTTCAGTCTTGATTTAAATGATTACAATCTCACTTGTATGCTTGCGTGTAATCTGTAATTCTTACTCAGCTCAATAGCGTCTAATGACATTCCATGGACAGCTATAAAAATGGGTTCTTTTTTAAAACGTGTACAACTTCGGATAGCATGGATCAATTTCAGTCATTCGTGTTTGAGATGAGTGAAATAGGATGCTCTTTTTAGATATACATCGCTTGTGTTTTAAATTTAATTGTTTTTTGACAAAACAAATCATCAACTCGGGTCACTTTCGTTTTGACTCACCCTGTAATCAGGAGGTTACAGGTTCGAATCAACGCTCTTAATATTTTTTTTCTCGAATTCAAAATGTTACTGTTGGGTTTACCTGTCGATTTTTTCAATATGAAATGTGTTTTGATTTCAATCCATATTGGGTTTCTTTTTGTTTCTAGTCTCAAATGGGTACAGCTGCTCATCAAGTTGTGGCTCGGTCCCAGGACATCAACGCCACCGATCCACCGGTCGCCAGTCCAGATCCATCCATCGCCATCGAATCCAACGACGCTAACATCCGGGAAGGTTTGAAGGATCTGGAGACGACATTAGATGGAATCGAAGTCAAGATTGATGGCTTGATCGCTGACCAGACTGCCATGAGCTCGGACATTCTGACCAAGCTGTCCGAGGCTCTCAGCGGCAAGAAGCGAAATGTTATACCGGTGAGTGGACGAATTGTGAGGAAGAAGGGGCCATGGTGGGTATATGAAAAACAGCCCAAAGTGGTAGTAAAGCCAAGTCTATCACGAGCCAATGTGGTCCATCAGGCCGGCGTTTATCTCCGCGGTTTCAGTAGCATGAAACGACTGAGAATATACTCTCACTGGATTGAATGCTGGTCCATCGCAGGTTACTCCCCGGCTAAAGCTGGTATACCAATCAATACTCCTGGGTGGAGAGGGCCAGCTGCTGGTTATAAAACAGCTGCTGACGAAACAGCCCAAATCAACTGTAGACTTAAAAGTTATTAATTTTTTTCTCTGATAACTCACGTAATAAGTTTTGTATCCCATTTAATTAATCAGGTATTGAGTCATATTTTCTCAGGAAAGAAATAGAAGCAAAGTCTGACTCACACTCTAAAAAAGCATTGGTCAAATTTGACTAGAAACCAGTTAAATTTGACTAGCCATTTCAGGGTCAGCTTGGTGCAAATGAAAATAGGTCAATCTGACTAGATTTTTCCAGTCAGTATTATTGACTTTGGAAAAAATGGTTATGCAAACAACTGAAAATTGGAGTCGAACCCAACTACTTTTTCTAGTCATAGTATGAAACTGTGCACGTTTAACTAAATTCCTAGTCAATTTTCAATAACTAAGAAAACCAGTCCATATTTTGACTAAGTTGTTTTTAAAAGTGCACATTATATTTCAGTGTCTTCATTCGCAAAGGGAAAATTGAAAATTAATTTGAGATTTGATTATTTTTCTATTGCTTCCACAGACCCCACCACCAGGCAATAACACCGATGAGTACGCCCGATTCTCATGGAAACCCTACGACCCGATCCTGGTAGCTGAGGCTCTCTTTGCCCTAGCCAAGGTGATGAGCTTCATGCGTATGATCTGCCTGACCGTCGTCAACCGACACGTGGGACCGATGCAGATCTCCTTGGGTGGCATGATGATGGATATTGCCAAGTTTCTCATCATCTTCTGCTTCGTCTGGTTCGCGTTCTCCATGGGTATGAACCAGCTGTATTGGTACTACTCCAAGCATCTCAACCAACCGTTCGGAACGTGAGTATCAGGAAAAGTTTCTTTGAAATTAGTTTATTTATGTTATACAATATCTTATGGTGCTGTTGTATGTGTATTTTTTTGTGTCTGTTTTGTGTCCGACACGTTTTTAGACCTATTTTTAACTGTACACCTAACTGCGCTATTATCTTAGAAGAAACTGAAAAACCTGGGTTCGAACCTCGGTCACCCCAAGTGGTCACCCCAAGTATTATACCAATAGACCAATGTTGTCAATGCTGTCAATTCTATCACGATGGCCCCCTTCAATGGCGAAAGCATTGCGCTAGCTATTGTTCTGATAACCCGTCATGGGGCAGTTGCTTTGCACATAATAGCTTGCGCAGTACTTTCGCCATTGGAGGGGGCCTCATGCGTGTGCAGTGATCACGTGTCTGGAATCGTCTATACAGCGTGTCTCAGAAAATTGTAGCAGTCAAACAACTTTTTTTTCTGAGGAAACGAAATCGTTATTTGGATTTTTTCAAAGAAAAATACCCCGAGATGATAGAGTGTTTCTTTGCCCTTGACAGGATTTTTGTTCTGTGTGACTTGGACCTTTCGTTGAAAAGTTACGGCAAAGCTTGTGAAGACTCGCAAAATTTAGTTGGGCCACTTTTCAGATTATCTGGTATCTAATGAAAGGCATTCACATGCACACCTTCTTATCGGTATGTGATAATCTGAAAAGTGGCCCAATTTGGAATTCGAGTCCTTTTATTTAATTAGCTGTATCTCTGGACTGGGGTGTCCAAATGAGATGGGATAAAGACCATTTGTGTAGAGTATTTACTATGCCTTCAGACCATAAGTTTTGCAAAAAGAGAGTGGTAGTATTTTTAATATTTATGGATTGACTGCTACATTTTTCAAATAAGGTTTTGGCCCTTCACCGACGTATAAACACTGTATACTCAGTGTGTTACCTCCCGAGTGAAAGTTGGAAAAAAATCACTTGGGTGGGACTCGAACCCTGCTTTCTAGTGCAGATGCCTTACCACTCGACCACCGCGCTAACGGGATCGGCTGGCTGGTTCGAATCTGTTGTACATAGCAGCGGGTACCGCATTAACTATTCATAAGATGGGATTTTGTTTGCTAGATTATCATTAACACACGCTTGTATGTCTGTCTGATGTTCACAGTTTTATTATCTCCCGTTTCACCCATCTCTCTCTTCAGGTTAATGGAGACGATGGGGACCCTGTTCTGGGCCTTGTTTGGCCTGCCTGACTACTCCATCGTTGGTCTTCCAGGAGTCAACCATCACTTCACCGAGACTGTAGGGCAGTTACTGTATGCTGTCTACCACATCATTGCTATCGTGGTACTGCTCAATGTACTTATTGCTATGATGAGTAATACGTACACAAGAGTTGAGGTAATCATAATATATTAAAATTAATCATAATTTAATCATATCTTGATTCACACATACTCCTTTTCATATTATTTTTTTCGTGTGAACTTGCCACATTTCAATCTTCTAGTTGCGAAAGGATGTATGAAATTAAAAAAAAATCCAATTCAAGGTGTTTTTTTTAATTTGCTTTGGCATGTTTTCTCCTTTTTTGTTCTGTTCGTCCATTTTGTTTGTTTGTCTTCACTTTTCTTTTGATGAAAACCTTCTTTGCATCTTTGTTATATTATTCGTCGAAATGACAATGGTTTCATGCTTAACAGTGTTTGATCTCACACTTTTGCACTTTCTTCAATAAGCCTTTGCAATCCGAATAACCAAAGTGTCAGTTCTTATTTTAAACAAAAAGTCAGATCTGTTCAAATTAAAAACAAGTATTTTGTGAAATGCATTTGAACTGAATTTAGTAGCAGTTGACTATTTGGATTATTTTGTAGATTTTTGTTTATTTGCTGTCATATTTATACAGGGTTGCCTTATCAGTTAAAAACTGCTTTCCATAAGGGCCCTGGTTCTTTTACATAAATATTGATTAAAACAGTAAGATAATTTGAATTAAAACAAAACAAAATATATATATCATTAACAATAAAAACATCAACAATCAAATTAGATTAGACATATAAAAGAATAAGTACTAAAACCCAACAAATCTTCAGTTAAAATTACAAATAAAATTTAAAATTTAAAGCAGTTGTTAAATTAATCTTACAATAATGGAGAAAATGCATGTATAGTACTCTAAATGACAGGATAAGAAAATATGAGTCAGTAAAAGTAGTAGATTCCTGTACTGTTTAAAGCTTTGATTCTGAAGTCATCTTGTCTGACCTTGCTTCTAGATGGATGCGGATATCGAATGGAAGTTTTCCCGCTCCAAGTTGTGGATGAGTTACTTTGATGAGCTCGGCACCGTCCCGCCTCCTCTTAACATCATCCCGACCCCTAAATCCGTCTACTACTTTGTGCGATGGCTCTTCTGCGATGTGTGCTGTCGAGAGAATCTAGCCAAGAAATACAAGGTATGATGTCAATTCTAATTGGACATTGTAGAGTCAAGCCAGCAGTCATGCAATCCGTTTCAGCAACATACAGAGGAGATAATTTCAGCCAACAGATTAAGCCAACATTTGAGTATATAGTGCTCTGAAATATGCCATTAGTATGACAAAACTTATACGATTAAAGATGTGAGTACTTGCTTTTTGTACTGTTACTGATTTTATTTATTTGTTTGTTTATTTGTTTATTTTTGTTTGTCTTTAGGAGCGACTGCGTAGTATCGTGGATGAGAGACAGATGAAATTCAGGGTAAGTCTAAAGGGATGATGCCATAGTTGTAATTTCAAAAGGAGAATTTCAGTTGGAAAAAAATTAAATAGTTGGAAGTTTGTGAAAAGATCTTATAAAACGTCTTGGAGTTTAAGTAAAAAGTAACAATTTCGTCTTTCAATATTTTACTGTATAATGCTCAGGTGTAAATGAAAATGGAAATTTTGGTAGTGTTGATTTTCTTTATGAAGCAGTGTTGAAAGCATTATTTTACTGACAATCTTCAGAACTGGAAGAAGTTTCTGATGAAGAACATCCAAGCATATTGACTGAAACGTTGTGTATAGGAATCACTGCTCCCATTGCTGTCTGTCACAGTACTTAATATTCTACCTCCCAAGACTTTCAAGGCTTATCCATTTTGATTGCTCAATCAATTTTGATTGTTTAATGACCTTATTGATGTGACCTTTGACACTGTAGGAGGTATCGGAACAGGTGGTTCGTCGCTACCACTTCGAGAAGCGCCACCAGGAGGAAGAAGACGACCAGGCCAACCTGTTGAACGAGCTCAAGCAAGATATCTCCGGCTTCAAGTACGACATGTTCGAAGCTCTGTCTGAGATGGACAAGAAGATCCGGGAGGTCGATGCCAAGGTGAACGACAAGGATTTGGATGAAGACGGTGGCTTGGGCACGGGAATGTTCAAAGCTCTCCAAGACGCGATGAAGGAACCGGAGCGAAGGGACAGTATGATCTCCATGTCGTCAGGATGCTCGGTTGCAATGGTGGACATGAAATCAACCAGGGATAATACAACCCCAGAATGGATGGATCAGGAGGAGGATATTGAACTGGAGCCATTGGTCAATAGTAAAACAGCCAATAAGACTGAGGAGGAACAACCACCCAATGGCCTGGCTGCCGATCGATTAATGTTTATTGATGACGATGATACCTTAGGTGCGCATAGGAACACTGAAGTCTAAGCATCTTACAACAAACCTGCCAATGGGATATCAGGTAACATGGGACTTTCTATATACACAAGGAACGAGAAGGTAGAAAGAAACCAACTTTCTTCTAGAACAGCTTCAAGAGGCCAACGAGTGTCAAGTTTTTGTTAATTTTAAATTTTGTTTTAGTACTAAACTAGAAGACGAGTATAGCATCGATTTAAAAAAAAACACCAGTGATCTTCATTATGGATTCGTGAAACATTAATAAAAAGAGAGCTAAAAAGGGGGGTTTGGTTGTGGATCCGCCCTCGATTATTACTTTGGCCCGATTTTAAGCATCTGCCAAGACGAAAAGATTGAAGCGCAAATTGACGGGTAATATGCAACATTTGCTTTTGCTGTAATTTTCAGAAATGGATGGATTTGGGGGTAAGTATTTTATAGCAAATGTTGTTACACTGACATGTGTAGACTTTTGTGTTATTAGATGCTGGAAAAACCAAGACAAAATCGCTGATTTTTTTTAGTCTTGTTCCCTGACCCTACTTCAGACTAAACAAGGAAATTTATAGACGTCATGGAATTGTCAGGTCAGGGAACCAGACTAGCTGGCTTGCACCCGTTTACGGATGTATAACCGATTGCAAACAAAATGTGGACTAACTAAATTCGGTAAATTGGGGGCAGTATTTGACACAGAAATTCCACCTTTTTTTTTTTTTTTTTTTTTAAATAACAGCACACCAGGTGCCATGATTTCACAGGATGCTTGAGACTATTATTCACTTACAGTCAAGTAAGGTATTTCATAATAATTTGGTACATTTGTTTTTTGATGTTTGCAAATGTTGTAGTTACCTTTAACTCACTGTAGTAATTTGTAGTTTATCTGCTCTAAATATGAGATGTATTTATTATATAACGTGTATAAAATGTATTTGATTGTTCCTATTTTGTTTTCGTAGTTAGTTTAATTAAGAAATCTCATTTATTTTGTAAATAATAGTAATAATACCGTTTAAGTTTATTTCTTTATGACTTTTGAATTGGTATAAATAGTATTTTGAAATAGAATATTTGTAATGAAGAAATTAGGATTGATTCCTGAATCGCGAACTCCCCACCTAAAGTTTTTGTACCTCATCTTATAAATAAAATAATTTTGGAACACGTGGAAATCAGTAAATTTTACATGACGTCGCACTTCCAATTTTACTTGACACCTCAACTTAGGTTAGTAAAGAGTAGCTGAAATGTGAGTTTAAATAATGGCAAATTTGTCACTGAAATCGTCTGACGAAATAGCTAGTCCCAATCTGGTTAGTTTAGTTATAATTATTTTTCAAAATTATGTATAGAAACTAGGTAGTAATTGTAGGAGAATTAGTAATTCCTGTCGTTTCCGTTATCTTAAATAAGGGTGTATGCCCATTTCCAAATTCACTTCCTTTTTATATGCCCTATCCTCACGCAGTGTTCCTTCACTGTTGCAGTACAGCTGTCCTTGTACTGTACATGGCCTGAACCCCAAACTATCACCTTCTAACGCAGGCGGCTCCCGGCCACCTTAATTCTTGCCTTTTCGCGTATATCCAAACAATGAACCCCAGCCCTGCCCAACACAAACATTATGCAATCCTCGTAATTTCATCAAGGATTTCTGCCACCCCTGATATGCCGCAAGCGCGTGCGATATTTTAATGTAATAGACCGATGCCCCGCCCATTGCTGCAACAACACGTGCGCGTGCGTCTCTCCAATGTTGCTAAATTAGGAACTGCATATTCCAGACGCGCGCGTCATACGCACAAGGGCAGGCTGTGATTGGCCAAAACATCATTGGGCGGGGCTTAACAGATCCCGTTTCGGTTTCCTCTCAGGACATGGTGTCACATTGTGATTTTTAACTTATCAGTTTTCCTCGAGCAAAACGACCACCTTTTTGGATAGACTTGTATGAATCAAACTGTTTAATTGCATAGTTATGAATAGCAAAAAAAAAGGGAACTATATTTACTTCTTTTCTTGATGATATTTTAAACTTTTTTGGTATAATTAATGCTGTAAACATTCGTTGAGATGACGTTCATAATAATATTTGGTGTGGTGTTGAATGTACTTTGTTCCAACTTATTTATCTTGTACAAAATATTACTTGCATAAAAACACCTTTTTAATATAACCTTTATAGCAGTTTGAATGTTGTATTTAGTTAACATTTTGCTTGCCTCTTTAATGTACAATAATTGAAGTGATTATAAAAATTGATAGAAATTACGTATTGTCAGGGGAATAATATAATTATGTATATACCTAAATGTGTTTGTCAAGCGTAACTTAAATGCAATTGAAGGTTTGGAATTCCTACTGCAACACGAATACTTCATTTGGTAATGTTGCATTTTGTTTAGCATACAAAAGATTTAAACGATTTTGTAATGTTATATCGGCATTATGATACATGCTTAATTTAGGCCTATGGATAATACAATCAGTACTGGCAACGTTGGGCTTTTGTGAGATAATGTTAAAATGTTACAATTGTTTAATTAGGACTATTGAAACGATTCATTTGAAGAAAGTACCAACGAGAGTTTACAAAAAGAGACCTTTTGTTGAAATGATCGCTATAGCCTACCCCAAAACGATGGCAACCAAACATTTAATACGGCTTGGATGCATTTCATTCAATATGTGCAATCTTGTCTTAGCTCTCAGCCGTAAGGATTTCAGAAATTTGCTATGTGAAGGCGGTTTGGACGACCTTAAATTCAGTTTATTTCTGTAAACAAATTTTCTGAAAAGTTATAATATTAAGATTAAACAATTTTTTTAATGTTGGCACTCGGCTTGCGTTGCAACTACAACTTCGATTCTACAGTGTCTTATTGATCTTTTTGTAAATATAATTGATGTTCACTAAAATTATGAACGGAGCTTATGTTGCAAGATCGAATAATAATTATAGCTATGTCACCCTTGGGAAAAAAACACGATAGAGGTAATAATTATAAACATATAAAGGGTGGCGGGGAGGGGGTATAATCAGCGCAAGCACTTTTAGACCAACGTCTGTCGGTGTTTGTGCTGACTTTGTTTACGTGATGAGTTTGTAATCATTCAATTGACTTAAGTTTTATGGTCCCAAAGTGATACGCATGCGTAGTTAATGAGGGTGATTAGGTGAGCACGTTGAAGATAGTTCACCAGTTATTGAAATGAAATAATATTTATCAGCAGAAATAATATCTAATTCACTATAAATATGATTTGATATGTCATTTGGATTTCACTTTTGAGTTATAGATGGGCAATTGAAATACTTGTAAATTGAACGTTTGTATATCCAAAGATATATACTTGTATTTTATTTTATTTCGGGGTTCCCTTTATTGTTCATGCAGTATTTTGGAGTTAATTCTTGTGAGAAAATGTAAGATGCATCGTTTCGCGTGCCATAATATTTCCGCGTTTTCGAAGTCCATGGTTTGGTCTATATTTCATTTTAGCCCCCCGAGTAACCATAAATTATTTAAGAGGAAATCCATTAGTGGTTATGCTTCTCTATGTAAATTAAATCAAAAATGTAAATTTAAAGGAGACTAAAGTAACTTGTGAAAAATAAAGGAGAGATGAAATTGTAAGAATTTAGTTATATTAATAAAATTTGGCGAATATTGCTAATGACTTCCAACAACTGTTAGTGCCGGCTTTGATTTATCTCTCTGTTATGTATGTCTTCCATTAGTTGTTCCATATAGGCCAATTAGCTGGACCTGATAGGGTGAAGGCCAGGTATCGGTTTTAGTGCTATTAAACTAAAGACTTAAAATCTCCAAACCTTACTCAACTTAAACTCCTGACCCTAAACAGGTGATCGGTGAACACTGCGCCTCAATAGTTCAGGAACTATTATTAATTGATGTACTATCTGCAACCTTTCAAAAACGGTCCCCGTGATGAACCCCCTCCCCCAGTTTATATTATAGTAATATTCGCGTCGGCTTTTCTTACTCCGTCCCATTTTGTTTCCCCTTTAAAAGGCAGAGGTGCGATCTTGATTAAAGGGCATCTCAACCTCGACCCAAGGGTGTCGAGCAGTACGCGCCCATCACTACCTGCTCTCTCACCCTGGTATTGGATCATTGGCATCAGTGCAAGATTTTTGAACACGTATGCAAATGAGGAATAGTCTGGTGCCTGCATGTGCGTTACATTATCGTTCGTTTGTGTATGCGGTGTCTGGGGTAAAACAGGGCGCAGCGCGAGCACAGCGTGAGTTACGAAAACACGATTTATTTAATAAAACTGTTACCATCTTATCGAGACAACATGCAGTATCACATTTCATATTAATAAATTGGAAAGGAAATGAGTATTTACGAATGATCGCGAAAACACGTACTGCACGTTGTGAATAACAACACCAAGTACACGATCAAAAAACCATTACTAGCCAATTGCGATATCGATGATCAGGATACAGGAAGAAAGTTTCCTATCCAGGGCTTACTATTGGAAACAACGTTGGAGATAAAGTAAGCACTGGGGACGAGGTTGAGGGCACCTCGACTTTAAACTTAGTCTGGTTCCCTGACCTGACAATTTCCCGACGCCCTGACGTCTAAATTGTAATGCATCAGAAAATCGATATTACAAAAAAAAACCGCCAGAAACAAATTGCACGACAAACCGCATGGTCCGGTGAGACACCGACTGCATGAAGGCTTATTTCCCAAACTACGAGACACAGTGTGTGTGGTCATCTATGTGCGAGGATTCCCATTGGAAGCTCTGCTTTTGGACAAGTAACAGCGGTGGCCGGTAAGTGCAATAACCATTTTTACATCAAGTTTTCGGGCTGAGCAATAACCGAACCTATAGGCCTAACGATACCTGTCGGCAGTAATCTTCCAGGCACGCTGCCACGTGTGTCACGAAGGACATGTTTTCAATGGCGAAAGCATTATATGCTGCTGCTAGCTAAATCTGTCGTGGGGCAGTAGCGTTGCACAGCACACGTGTACTTTTGGACCCCACTATTTCTTTAGTTCTAAAACAGTTTTTTTGAACTTTTTCATCATATATATTCTCAGTGAAGGTCAGTCATTTAAAATGTTGACTGAAATGTTTAGTTAGAAAAAAATAGTCGTGTCCCCTAACGTGGCGCACTTCGAAGCTTACCCAACTTTCCTTGTGTAGTGTTGCCAAACCTCTTTGTTGACAAACCTCAAATTCATGCAGTAAAATACTGGTACTTTTACCTTATTAATGCTTGCTATTTAACCTCTGTGAATAATTTCGGTTTCATAAAATTTAATCCTAAATTCAAAAACGGTGGCGTCCGGAAATTGGGCACAAATTGGCGGAGTGTCCCCCAACGTGGCGCACTTGAATAAATCTCGGAAAATTCCAAATTAACATTTAAGAATTTCTGTAAACTTGATAAATTCTGATAAATCATTATTATCTCTACTTACATACCCAGCCAGATGTTTGTCAGAAAATTATTTTTTATTTTTTTATTTTTCGGGGCATTTTCAAAGGGTTCACTTTGCACTTGAAAATAAAATCGGAAAATCACGCCAAAATAAATGTTTCTTCTAACTTTGTAATGGGTATATAAACTCGCGATTTATAAACGGGAGTGTTTAGAACTTGATGAAATTTCCCTTTCTGTAAAATTTCAGGTACAATTTTTGCTCTAGCTAGGCGCTACGGGCGAAAAATCAAAGTGCGCCACGTTGGGGGACGCGCCACGTTAGGGTAGGCCAGATCAATAATATTTTCAGTGAAGGTCAGTCATTGCAAAAAAATATGACTGAAAAGACATGAATCTGGAAATGCGAAACATTTTCAATTTTGTTAGAAAATACTTCGAAAATGCACGTCTCTCCATACACAGCCAAAGAATTGACGTCTGGATACTACATTCTTTCCCTTTCTCCTCGTCAGCTCGTGATCACGTACCCATATTCGTCCATAGCTCCTTCACATTCTCGGAAACGCCATTTTCCTCATCCCCACAACAGGCAAAGTTCAATACATTGCCAAATGCGCCTATAGTATTACATGGACATCTATAGCTCTTCCGATGCACAAAGTTGTACAAGCAGGGCGGGGAAATACATGTGGGATGGGGGTGTGCACGTCGGCGTTTATACATGTACCTGTACTCCGATATTTATGCAAAATTCAAAAAATGAATGGAACATCAGTAGGCCCCCTACCTATCCAATTTGCTTGAATATATATGACCCTTACAATACACTCACACAATAACAAAAACACAACAAAGATTGTTTTCCATGATGAAATGATAATTTATTTTCCTTTTTCGTTAAACGGAAGTTGACTTTTTTTTTTTTTTTTTACATTTAAATCAAAATGATAAACAAACACTGTAAATTTAAGCATTGAGGGAGCTGAGTCACTGAGCCAAAATACTTTGGCATTTCCTAGAATCAATGCCTCTCTCAAAAGATTTACCCAAGGGAGAAAGAACTGATCGGCTGTAAAAAATAAAACTCAAAATTCAGATACATTTTTGCAAAATTGATGATTCAAACATGTCACAATCCTGTAGGCCTAATGCTGCAGTGACTGCAAACAAAATGTTTGTTTGGCCAATGTACAAGTTACAACTGTAAGTTCTAGTTGTTGTTTTTTAAGCCAGATCTTAAAATGTAGAACTATTCTCACAATCGCAATCAGCTCTTCCGTAAGACAGAAACCATACCATGGAAGAGTTGTAAAATTCACAAATATGTCCACATTCACTTCTGATTATTTACAAAATATACGTTAACATTATTTAACCGTCAGTTATATTGTACAATCTTCAACCAATAAGGATTATGTTACACTAGTTGCCTAAGCATGACAAGTTAATTTTCCAAGATTAGCTGCATTCACTATGTGAGAACTGTGCATGCCATGCTCATGGCGTGACTATGTGAATTCAAGAAAAATAATGGATCGTATGTCTTCAGTTGGCCCCCCCCCCCCTTCCTTGAAAACATTTTGCACCCCGGATGCCCCCTCAGAAATTGTACCCTAGTTATGCCACTGGCTGGAGTAGCCGTGCTTTTTAACAACCGATAAATGCTGGCCAACAAGCAGAAAGGTGCAAAGAAACAGTGTCATTGTTTACATGTTTTAAATTCATAAATACAGGCTTTACGCTTTTGTCACACTTTATGTACAGTCTATACACTAGAAGACCTCAGGTGCCATACAAGTGCATGTATGTACATGTATGTAGTATAAGATAATACACACAGTATAACATATGCAACATATGTTAAGGTCAGGAATAAAGCACAACTGGCAAAATTAAAATTGAATATATGCAAATTACAAGATTAGCATACGACCCCATAGCACAGTATACACAATAAATACTTTGTTACAACACATGACTTGCAGTGATTTGTAAGACTGATATATTAATGTTTGTACACAACCAAACTTTTGTTACATTTGAATTCTGACAAATATATTCATACTACATGCACTACATACTACATGGGTTGTGAAAAAAAAAATCTTTTAAATTTTCCAGAACTGAAGCGTTTTCGAAAGCTGTTCCAGGTGTTTATCTTAAACTCTCCTTTTTGCTAATTTTCTTTTTTTTTTGAGAGTGGAAGACACGCCCATCTACCCATCTCTATCACAATACTACTAAATTAATAAATGTCAAATAGTTTGAAATGATTTTACATTTAGCACCTTTATGTGACAATCATTTATGAGTCCAATATCATCTCAAACGCCTCATACTAGGGCCCGTCAATACATCAATAGTTCTTGATTATTTAATATTACCGGTACTTTGATATCCATATAGCCAATAGAAATTTTTAAAAATTGTATAATTTATGGGAATGATACCGAAAATGTTGATGATTTTTTCATCATCCATACAGTTTGTGCGGGGATGAAAAATCCGGTCACACCGACACCCACATTTATATTTTTGGACTAACTGTGGATCAAGTCCCCACTGGTGAATATTACAGCTGTTATCCACTCGGGTTTCCTTGATATCAAGCGCCGTCTTTATATGGAAAATATTTGATATACTGAATATTGAAAATTCTGATACTGACGGACCCTACCTCTTACTTAATTATGCACCAATCTAATTAACTTACCTGACTCATTAACACTTTATAAATACTGAAAAGTAAACCCACTTTTCCATTACAATGCTACCTTTCAACGGTGGTACGATTTCTGGAAAACCCCTAAAAAAGAAATAAATAAAATTGATAAGCATTTTTTAAAAAATATCTATCAGTAACAATGATGCCCCCACTCATTTTATACTTTTCAGTCATTAACCTTCATTTTTGTCAGTTTGGTAAACTAATTGTGAACAATAAAGTTCTTAAAGGTCATTTTAAAATGACTAAATACTAAACTAAACTAAATATCAGACAGCAGTGGAACATAAAGGGATACCCTGCCTTCCAAATGCATCTCCTGAAACTCTCCAACTCACATACAAAATCTTGAAAACTCAGCTTGCAACCTGCAGAGTTAACCTGCATGGAGCTGTATCAACTCAGTCAAGATACTAACATTCACACTCGTGTCAACTTGTACTCTTTGTAGACTCACATACACCTGTTGTCACACTCAGGCACACATACTTTACTCGCTTGCATCAAACTGAACCAAAGAGATCTTGAGTATTGCCTCTTGCTGAGGTTCCCAATGCCAACTTGTGACATCTGATCTGAATTCATTTATCTAATTGGCGAATCCACTCCTAGCTTAAACGTAGGGTAGATCATTTGTCCATTTTTTTTCGTTTGAAGCAACAAAAGTACATGTACTCAAAATCTAAAGACGGTTGTTCATAAGATGGGATTTGTGTGTCGGGGTGATGTAAATCAAATTAGGTTTTGCCCTTCACCGACATATAAACACTGTATACTCAGTGTGTTACCTCCCGAGTGAAAGTTGGAAAAAATCTCGGTGGTCGAGTGGTAAGACATCTGCACTAGAAAGCAGGTCGTGGGTTCGAGTTTCACCCGAGTGATTTTTTTCCAACTTTCACTCGGGAGGTAACAGACTGAGTATACAGTGTTTATATGTCGGTGAAGGGCAAAACCTAATTTGATAAAGATGGTTGCTGAACAACTAACCTGATGCAATTTTAGCTCTGTGAATGCTGTACATTCCGAGACAACAATATTTTCAGATCACGATTTCAATTCAAAAGTTGCCGAGTCATATGTTGAATTGCGCCCGAAATCAGCATCTGGAACATGTTCTCATTCAGCCGGTTGCAGCTACACGACGTCACGCACTTAATCAAAGAATAAATAATAGCAACCGCGCACGCATCTGCATGCCAACCCTTGCGTGCACCCATTCACAGATTCGCCCAATTACAAACCAACTACTAACGGACATTTTCAAGAATGCGTCGCTTGACGCATCTTCGGAAATGACCTTTTTTATTTTCTTCAAAATGACAGTATGCCTGAAGAAATAATTTCACAGGGAGTTAAGTGCCATTACTATCTTTAAACCAAGTAAGTTTTGTAACAAATGGTCAGTTATTGTTTGGAAAGCTGCAAATGATCTACTAGACCTTTAACTCAATTCTGAGCCATGCTGTTCAACATAACTCAACATGATTGGCCACTAAGTCTGCGCACCTTTGGTTTATGTCCTTTTCTCAGTGCTTGTGACAGTTTGTCCAAGATAGCGTGGTCACCTGACCAAAAGCCGTGATCGGATTGGTCAATGCACACTGTTTGACCAACACGCAGTAAGGGTCAATTGACGGCAAGAGGTGTTTATGTTCCAATATATAATACTTAGCTCAAGATCTATGCATTGTGATTGAGCTGTTGCTCGTCTGGTTCTTGTCTGATCATGCTGAGGCAGTGTAGTTTCCTTCTCTTTGTACTGCCTTGGTGGTTGACGTGCTGGAAGTATGTATCTTGGTCAGTCCTTCTGTCATGCCGTTCTCTGTTACTCTGTGAACAAAACAGGCAAATCTTTTGTTGTAAAATTGTTTGTGTTTGCTTTCAAGGCAGCTACATACATGTACATAAATGTTTTTTCTGAGGTTTGCAGGATGTCCGTTTTATTTATTAAAACGTTTTTTCCCCACTTTGTTCGGTTGTGAACATAATTTTTTTACATTTCAAATCATGTAACTAAAATACAATGTACAGTATAGAGAATTATTCCCACAGTGCAACTGTAACATTCTTATATGTTTCAGAGGATATTTTCAATGACTTTGAATATTTTTTGTAACAGCCGAACTACTGAAGGGCGCAGACCTAGGACAAGCTGCAGCTTCTTGTCTGGCCTCCCCATGTACTATATTTCAAATTCTGTAAAAAAAAAAATTCCCTTGTATTTTACTGGCCTTATATTGTGTAAATAAACCTATCGGATTATGAAATTGGGTGCTGCCCACTTAAACAGGTCAAACTCCTAAGGCTATAAAACCACCTCAGAGTGTGAAGTCACCAACTGTAGCACTGTTAAATGGAGCTAGCTCCCACTGTCTCAGAATTGGCCGTTTATTCACTAGTGAATGGCTCAAGGCAACGAGGTCCCACGGACGTTTGCACTTGTTGCTCTATGTGTTGCATCATGCAGGGTTTAGGGTGAATCTCATGTCTCGCAAAGAGAGTAATACTTACACTTCATCCATGTCCATGTCGTCTTCGTCATCGCTGGGAATTTGCAAGTAAGGATTGTCCGATCCGGGACGGAACTTGTAAGCGGTGATGACGAAGAAGCAGTAAGTGGCAATCTCAAAGAAGAATTCATCCAGCCACATGTAGCGAAAGGGTACAGTGACCTGTAACGAAATTCATCGGTCAAGTTTAAGCAAAATCATCAGTAAAAGCTGGGTTTTTTTTTTGTAAATGCAAACACTCCACTTAAGAAGTAGTATAGGACAATCAAAATCATAATTCCTACATCTAAATATCTTTAAATACTATGTGTATGTACATAACAACGCTTTCATGCATTCATTTTAGTTTTGAAAAAGTTAGTTTTGAAAAGTTTACTTCAAGTGATTTTTATGTTAATTGATAAAAAGAAAAATATAATGAGGAACGCTTCTTTTCGTATGGCTGAAGGCTACTAACTTACCTTCAATAGATACACTATGATGCGAGTGAAGTAAATATAGCACACAACCTGTTTGAAAAAGAAAAACATTTGAAAGTACTATACAACGGATACGGTGAAAACCAACATGAACCCTCTTACCATTTAAACAGTCACAAACAGTCAAAATTCATTTCCACTTCCCCTGCTATACTTTTTAACAAAGGCTAGTCACCAGCAGTCAGATCATATGTCAAGCAAGCACTGTGACTAGTCAAACTCAGTCAACAGACAAAGCAGGCAAGTTGTGGTCGCAGCTGTTTTATCACTCACCCGGAGTCAAAGCATAGCTGCATCAAGTTACTTAAACAATCCCAGTCAGTCAATCCTGCTTTATGTAGGCTGGGAATTCCTAACCGTTGAAAACAGTCACTTGATTGATTTTGACTGAAAGGACTACTTGGCACAGAATGTGTGTTTGCATAGAAGGGGTAAAGATAAAATTAATAAATTATTTTAAATTTGAATTGAATTGAATTAAAGAACACTATTATGTAATATAAAAAATAATCATACCAGTATGTAAAAATGTCGGAAGAGCTTCAACTTGGACAGACTTATGGCCGCTGTAAAAAACAAAACGGAAAAGAGTGGTATTTAAACTACACTATAATTATGAGCTGTTAAGTAATGACTTCAGACCTACAATGTAAGAATATGATGGTAAATTTCCTAAATGTGGTAACTTGTCTACAGACACAGGATAAAGAACATCACAAGAATGTCTACGAAGTAAATAAGTTGTAATGCTTATATAGCACTTTCCATTGTATCAACAATCTCAAAGCACTTTACAATTATTTCCCCATTCATCAGGCCATGGGACCACGCGGCAGCCGAAATCAGCGCACAATCGGTCCTCCACCCTCACAGGTATAAAACAGTCATACTCCTGGGTGGAGAGAGGCAATTGTAGTTAAGTGTCTTGCCCAAGGGCACAAACAACATGTACCGGACAGGGTTCAACCCTCGTACCATCGTACATGAGTCAAACACCATAACCACTGGAACATGGCATTCTACAGGCCACAGAGTAATGATGTACATCGGGTCGGTTTGACCACGCCAAACCGACCCGAAACATTAGAAATATAAACCGAATCCGAACCGAAACCGATCTTAACTATCTCAAACCGACCCGACCCGACAAAAAAATCAATTAAAACCGACCCGAACCCTGACGACCTGAAACAAATCCGAATCTATCTATTTCACTGTCAGTCCCGATCCAACTGGAGAAATTAATACCGTGGGAACTTGATAGTACGCACGTTGGCCACACCACAATGGGCTGCGGTCACAGTGACTGTCAATAATATTGCATCACCTGAATTTCTCAACTGTTTCAGTTTATTTCGTTTTTTTCAAAATATGGCTAAACCAAACCGACCTGACTTGACCCGAAAATGTAAATGCAAAACCGAAACCGACCCGACCCGACTGAAAAGATGGACAAACCGACCCGACCCGACCCGAAGTTGGTTTCGGGTCGGGTTTGCACATCATTACAACAGAGCACAAATATCATTTACCTTTGCCATCCGTTGTGGCCGCCTCCTGTAGATGTCTTATAGACCAGATGACAGGGTAGAGAATGGCGCCGCAGCACAAGATATCGACCAAGACGAAAACAGCCTTCCATGTTGCATACTGTGATTCTCCCTCTTCTGATGTGTCCGTGATGATGTAAGCTACGTTAGCAAACACCTGTGACATAACGATATGAAAGTTTTGGTGAAAACAATCAAAGAAACCTGTGGCCGTCATATTAGCTCTGCAAAATAATAATGGTGAGGGTAATGTGTGGACAATCATGGAGAACTATTAACTTTGGGAATTTATTTCGCTCGATACAAAAAATGTAGCAGACATCATGTTCAGTGTGATACATGGAGTGAATTTGGCCTATGATTCAAACGTACACAAATACAGGAACAGATTTAGCTTCATATTAAACATTTCAATTACGATAAGAGTCAAAAACTGAATCTGGCAATGATTCTAGATTTAAGGTGAGTTTGCTCTCTTGTGAAAACAATAATTACCACCATCTACTGTTTTCTTAAAAGAAAGAAAGAGGATATCATTCATGAGAGTTATACAGTCTTTTTAGAGAGTCCAGTCATTACTCCAGGTTGGGTTGTTAAGAAAAAAAATATAAAAAAAAAATAGTCGGTCTCTGGTCAGACCGAAGTTCCGGAATTGATGCGGCGACGCGTTTTTTTGTTGTTTTTTTTGGTGGCTTTTTTTTTTTCAAGCTTGTATTGTACAGACAAGGTGGTCACTATTTTGCTTTTTTGTGTCCTCATTATACATTGGTGTCCTCCATAATTTGCCTTGGTGCCCTTTATCATTTGCCTTGGTGCAATTTCCCCATTCCTTGGTGCTCCTTGGTACAAAAATTTGAGGAGGCGCAGATATAGAGGGCGCTGTTGAAGCTTCCGTGTTAATTTGAAAAAAAAGCCACTTCCCATAGACCCGTGTGTTTTTCCCAGCCGTAGCCCAGTAATGTGGATGCAGCCTTACCTGTAGTGGGATGACAATGATGAAGAGTTTCTTGTCTTTCTCTGACAGGATTGGCTTAACGAAGGCCCACCCAGAACCGATCAGGGCAATGTTCAGGAACAACAAGGCTCCTTTAATCCTGAGACAGAACCAGGAGGAAAGACAAAGAGGACAAGTTGGTCAGTATCTCTTGAACAAGGATATCTTTTCATCAACACTCACACAAGATTTGAGAAGCACTTTGTTTGTTCTCAGGAGTCACCCGACTTTCTCCTGAGGATGGACAGAATACACTGTCAGAAATGTTCAGACCATTCATAAACTGGTTCTGTTAACCAGTTCGCGCCGGATGACTATATATGTATATACGCTATGGTTTTGCGGTATTCGGAACGGATGACAGATAAACATGCAGGCAGCAAGGACAGAAATATCTGTCAGCCAACCACTCGCAGCGAGCGAGGCTGGAAATATGAGTGTGCTGCCCGAGGGTGATGGCTTCAACCCGCCTGGCTTGAGGTCGAGTGAAAAGTAATCCCGCGCCTCGTTCCATTCTTGTCAAAATATTCCCGGCGTGAACTGGTTAAGAAGCAACTCTTCTCAAAGAAGAGAAAAATTTCTGCTACATGGTGTAACAGACCGTTCTATTTCATTGCCCTGCAAAGCTTCTTTCAAGTCTTATTTGGTCACCAGATTATTTTTTTCACGGATTGATGAAACTTACAGGTAAGTGATGTAGAAGAGAATGGCAAAGGCTTCCATTGGTGATCCATCCAGGGATATGAAATGATAGTCCATCTAGAGTAAGGTAGATAGAGAGGAAATCAATATTTAACTCGTTCACAAAACTTGTAATACTGATTTCTTCAAGATAACAAAATCAAATGTTGTGCTATGTATCACTACGACTATGATTATGATCCCTAAAGGCCAGACAAAAGACATTTTGATTTTGACAATCACAATGATTTTGAACACAGTATCAATTTACACTAATCCTCCTGCTTTTTGAACAGTCATAGACAGTAAACAAAAAATCTATCCTCTTCCCCTGCCATGCCTTTTACACAGGCTAGTCACCAACAGTCAGATCATATTTCAAGCAAGCACTGTGACTAGTCAAATTCAGTCAACAGACAAAAGCAGGCAAGTGGTAAGCACAGCTGGCTTATCAATCACCTACAGTCAAAGCACAGCTGGCCTGTGTCAAGTTACATAAACAGTCCCAGCCAGTCAATCCTGCTTTACATGTATGTAGGCTTGGAGCTCTTAACTGTTGAAAACAGTCACTTGATTGATCTTGACTGAAAGGACAACATGGCACAGAATGTATGTTTGCATAGGACATTTGAAAAGGCTGTGGGAAAACAAATTTGGATGTGAATTATTAAAATCGTGGCTAGAAATATTAAATCACGAAAGCAACATGTTGAAAGTACACATACCGCATGAAACATGAGCGACAGAGTCTTGAGCACAGCCAGCAGGAACATGAGGTAATGAATCTTGAACACATCGTCCTTGTGTTGACGTAGATAGATGAACCAATAACACGAAGAGGTGAAGTACACAAAGGACGTCATGATGAAGAGCATTGGGAGCGGAATATCACCGGCTGATAGGTAGTTGCCTTGAGCGTTCATCTCGGTAACATCAATCTGTAAATACAGGCAAATAATCTTTCAACTCCGTAAATTAACAATCATCATAATTGTCAAGTTATGGACTTCATGCACGAACAGTAGATGCCTTGTGACCACTCATGAGAGCTCCATGGGAGGACCACATTGGTTCACACACACACACATGTACACACACCTTTACTGGAATTTGTATCCTTGTGGAGTCATTTCTTTTTTCACGTGTACTAACATTTTCGAGTTTGAAAGTGTAGTTTCAAAATGCTCCTATTTTAACCAGAATTAATTTCCTGAGCTGAAATTCGGACTTAATATCCCTTACATAAAATACCTCAATTGGCGACAGATCAACCCACCTTGGAAATTCCTAGTTTTTGAGTAAAATCCATATATCTATTTCGTGATAACCTTGTGGAGACGTATTCACCAATAGAAATTGCTCTGTGGAGACGTATTCAATCTTTCGTTCCCTATTATACCCATGTCTCCACAGGGTACCGTGTACCAGATCACCCATGTGTGTTTTACTATACTCATGAGGACCTGCACTTTTCCTACTTTTGTTTCCTTTTGTTTGTACCCTAACTTTTTCTCGACAGCTCCCATAAGGTTTGTACACGAAATTCTCCTGAAGACGTGGGCCCAGGTCCTCGGGCCCATTGAAATCGCACACACCCCATTGTCCCAAGTCCTCAGTCTGAATGGATAACCAACCCAGCCTTACATATACATATAGACTTGTGGAAAACCTTTGTTTCTCTTTGTTTGCTCTCCTTTGTTCCTATTGAAATCTCAAACTCCATAGCGTTTTCCTTATAGGGTAGATTGATTTTGAAAGACTTCCTTGTGGGGTCTATTGTTCTATTGTGTTTTCTACCCCATAAGGAACCATGTACATATACATACTGGTCCGCACATGTTGGGCGCGAAGAACACACCTTTTTTTTAGTCTAAATGTGCACAAAGCTATAGAGTCTTTGTCGGCAATGCGGTCGCATGTCCCTTCCAGTGGTCTCCCCCAACTCCCTCCTTGTTAACCGTTGAGGGGGTACTTGAACATGGAGCCGTCAGGCGTCGTCAACGATGCATGTGAATGTCTCCCCAATAGTCTGCCCCAACACTCCCCTTTCTTGCCAGTGAGGGGTACTTGTACACGGAGCCCATACTTGACACAGGACAATGTAAGCACCAATAGACAAATTGCATGAGAATTTCTGTCGGATGGACTTAACAACGGCGGTTGGTGTATGACAACATCATGTAAATTGTCGTAGAAATCATCAAGATAAACTGTTCATTAATCCCTTTCACTGCTAATTGAAATGGAGCATTTTTTTAAACTTACAGTTAGACCGAGTTCTGATTTGTTGCAGTTGTGGAAAAACAGATTATATAGTCCTTCCTCTGAGTCCGTCATCAGACACACAAAGAACTACGGTGACAAAAAAAAGAGAACAATTAACCACTACCATTATCAAGAAATGAAACTTTTTGAGTCAAAAAATAAAAATAAACTGTCATTATTCACTTGTCATCATTGAAAATGGAATCTATTAACAAAGTGTAAAATTCAACATTTTAAGTTGTTGGTCAATGACTCTCATTAAGTTAGATTTAACAATGACAGAATTCGCTAAAAAATACTTTCAGTTCCTACTCTCTTAGATTTAAAACCCTAATCCTTGAGTGATTTACTAGGAACCTTCCTCACTCCTACAAATTCCATCCAACACCATATGGTAAACTCAACACCCAAACTATTGTCAAATTAGGTTTTGCCCTTCACCGATGTTTAAACACTGTATACTCAGTGTGTAACCTCCCAAGTGAAAGTTGGACAAAATCACTCGGGTGGGACTCGAACCCACAACCTCCTGCTTTCTAGCGCAGATGTCTTACCACTCGACCACTGAGCTAACGGGACTCTGATCTTTGGTGGTATGCCTAACCCTTTACATGCCTAATCAGTTTACTAGTGCAGTACTCACTCCAACAGATTCCAACAAACAGCGGTGTTGGAGTTTGACTGGATGGGGATTGTTAGGATTAGTGAGCAAAAGAATCTTGAATCTTTCAGGATTTATGTCAGCACTTACACTAGCATTGAAGACATGTTTATCCCCTTGTATTGGTATGTAGTTGTACAATGGTAAGGGAGGGGCTTGAGAGCTCTGGTTGACTGGAGACTGTGATGCGTTAGTTGGCATGGCTGATGTGGACTCTTGCTTCATCTTAGACTGTTGTGAAGCTGGCGGCGAGGCTGATGAAAAGGAAAGACGTCATTTGTCAATGTGCCACATTAAAACAAATGACAAATTGAAGAGACTTATAACTTAAACACCCATTTCCAGAAACTCTGAACAAATTATAATCAAATTTTTCACACAAAAAAACCACACCAAGGGAAACCGAAAAGGTTCATTATTATAGTTTTCAAACTTGAACAAAGAAATTGACTGGAGCGGTGTTTGAACCTGCAACCTCCGGATTGCCTTTTGGTGCTCTACCACCTGAGCTACCCAGCCCTATGTTGGCGGTTCCCCAATTTGTCAATGGTTTCAACTTCATTTCATTCTGTTATAATGCAGCATCAGACATAAGTGTATCAGTACTTAGAATGTGGGGGTGTGATGTGGTGTGAGGGTGGGGGGGGGGGGAGAGAGAGAGAAAAGGCGCAGACACATAGGAACTTTGTACATTGCCTTGTCTAATTCCCAGACCTATTTTCTTATAACTCAATGGGGTATGCAAATGAATAAATGATTTCATTGGCTGACAGACATAACCCCGTCCACACCTATAAGCCAAAGTTGATCTGTCCCACTCCAAACTTGTACTTCCATTCTGCACCCAAAGAGCTAACTTGAATCAAGACCTAATACGTTTACATACATGTACCATTTTTCAATACCGTCTGATGTCTTCAATGTCAATTGTTAATCCTTACCGATTGCCGTGTCTCTTCTCCGTCTCGACGGATTTTCTCCCTGCATTTCTTTCTTGCAGTCTGGCTGTTCGCTCATTGGAAAGATGTGAAGGTGTCTCAAACTCCGCCCTTTCCGATTGATGTTCAGCCTGGTCAAGTAAAAAACAATGGTAGGCAAGATACGTGAATTCGTTAGAAAGGTTACTTTTAGAGGCCTACATGGTAGCAAGTGATGAAAGAAAACAAGTGTACTGAGACAACGTCTCCACTACATTACCAATAAGTCCTCTTTGATTAAGTCCCAAACGCTGGTCCGTCCACCCCAAGTCCTGAATAATTTAACAAAGAGAAGGATTTTTAGGAGAGGGCTCAGACTTTCCAGACAGTAGTTAAGTAACTTACCTACGACTGGTGAAGTTGAACGTGAAGAAGACAACAGAGATGGAATCATTTTCCGTAGCGTCTTGTGTGTTCTTCAAGATGCACTGATTCTTTGCATGTTCCTCCTGTAAAAAAAGCCCGACAATCGAGAACCAAACTTTAATCATGCCAATATATAATAAGACCTTGTAAATACTGTACATTGTGCAGTTTGAAAACATGGTTTTCAGTGGCAAACTTTGGTCCAATGGTTACATCAGTTCCAACCCTGATGGGGAACATGATGCTTGTGTTCTTGGGCAAGACACTATACTACAATTGCTTCTCTCCACCCAGGAGTATAAATGGTTACCTGCGAAGGTAGAGACCAGAATGCGCTGATCTCAGCTGCTGCAAAAACTGGTCTCATGGCCTGATGATTAGGGGGAGTAATTGTGAAGCGTTTTGAGACCTTTGGTATAATGTGCTAATATAACAGTAAAGTCTGTCCCGAGCCAATGTGGCCCATCAGGCCTGCGTTTATCTCCAGTTTCCGTGGCATGAAACGACTGAGAATATTTCCAATCCCCCTGGATGGGATGCCGGTCCATCGCAGGTTGCTCCTAAGCTTATACTTGTACCCATTTATACTCCTGGGTGGAGAGAGGCAAGTGGGGATGAAGTGGCTTGCCCAAGGACACAACATATGGCCAGCAGCTGGATTTGAACCCCTGACCCTCTGATCATGAGTCACAAACCCTAACCACTAGGCCACACTTCCCGAATATAATATAAGCAAGCTTATTATTAATATTATTAAATAATAAATAGGCAGCACTTGAATTTGTGTTGATGGAGACGCTCTTAATTATTTTACCAAGTAAGAGGCTCCTCCATCACTGATTGATTTATCCAGCGTGAATCCAATACTTTGACGTTCATGCTTTGGATCCTTGACAACTAACGCAGATACGTTGACGACTAGTAGACTGTTCTTGAAGAATCCAAATGTGCTGACGTCAACGATTTTCCTGGAATCATCCTGAAAATAAAACGCAGTTATTTTATCACACAGGTCATACACGCACAAACTGAGGCAATGTACAAACTTCACTGATTGGCCTGAGAAGAATAATTGTCACTTTGTGATCTATGTGTGCGATCTAATGTTATGCCCTATGGGGAGTTTTAATGAAAATTTAAAAAAAAATATGAAATTCTAACATCATCGTTAAAATTAATGGAAACAATTATGTATCCTGATGCCACTTTTTCCATCATGTAATTATCTCAATGAAGGTGAATCATCACAAAAATGTTGAAAAGACATTAATCTGGGACTGAGCAAAGCATGCAAAATTTTTCAATTTTGTTAGTAAATACTTTGAAAATGCACTCGACCATGTCGACTCTCCGTAGACTTTGTTGTACATGTTGTACACAACCAAATAAGCGGCATCTGTATACTACATTCTTTTGAATAAGGTTTACTAAAAGAAAACGCGGGCCAAATATCAACTGCCTCATGTTAATTGTTATGAATATCAGGGTTTTATGTAGACCTGTGAATGTGGCGTTGTATACAACGCCACGCACTTCCGTCGGGTAAATACAAGCGACAGCATTCTATCTTTTGATCCGCTACATATAACCATGTATAATTTTGCCCATAGGTAAATCACTTACTTGTTAGGCTTCCTATGAATTTACGCGAGTGTTGGATCTGGCATTGCCAAGAAATTTGATGTAAAATACGGCACAACTTTGTCACTACGAATGTTTTCAAAATGATCAGAAAATCAAAGACAGGCATGACACTCTGGTACCCCGAGTTCTGCATTCGCAAAACGGAAGAAGTATCACCAGTGGGTACCCGACTAACCGTCTTACATGGCAGGATGACCGTAATACCATGTAAAATTCTGCTAAATCTACATCGAAAGTCTGCCAAATCACCCAGTTTATATTGCTGTTCCATTGTGCAAGGGTTTGTTTTAAGGATCTTTCAAAAAATGAAGGTTTTTCAAACCAAATGTGTCATATTTCTTTCCAATCTTTTTCATTTTCCTTCATCTCTATAATTCTGCCGAAAAAAATATTCTGTTGATTTTCTGTACAACTCATTTTTGTATGCAAATATTCTGTCAAATGAAGCTGAAATTCGGCTAGAACGGTCACTCCATTTTAGTAACCGCGGATCACAATAGAGTGTTTTTACTATAGACTGAAGCGTGGCTATGTATATAGCCACGTTCACGGGTCTAGGTTTTATGAGTCATCATCATTCATTACAATGTATAAAATTTGCACAACTGAACTTTACTATTGTGATAGGGCCTAGTGTAAAAAAAATAAAATAATGATTTTTTTTTCATCTTCATCCATTTCTCGACTTTAAATGTTGAAATTCACAACATAAATATACGAAAAAGTGGTTTCCTACTTACTGTAAGATTCAACTCGTGTTTTCGAGAGACACACACGCTCACAACCGTCAGAATAACGATTACATATTGCAGAAATTTCGACAGAATTTTCGCTTCCATGTTGTTCGTTTACTTGCAATGACTTTTTGATGTAGATAGAGGGCGCTAGACGCGATGACCGTAAATTTTCTTTTACATCTTTACAATACGCCGGGCGCCATGCTCAAGTAATGTAGAATATTGTGAGGTGTCTTTGTCTCATACCCAGACTCGCCCCAGACACAATTAATTATGCATGAGTCGAGTGCTGCAGAACGTAGACGTCAACAAAACAGATGTTTCTACGTGTCTATATAACATGTATGAATGCAGCAGGGATTTTAACTTTGACGGAGATTGTCTGATCGGCTACCCGTCTATGCGACAGCATTTGCAGATTGATTAGGTATGTCTAGGTACGGTATAAATTGTTTTTTAGTCATTACATTATTTGGCCGCAATTGTTTTTTATTTTGATGTTTGCAAGTGTGATTTTTGAGTGATTTAGTTTGTTAAAAAAATGTTGGCCCTAGCGGCCTAGGCCGGCTAGACTAGGTCGGCGCAGCGCGCAGTGAGCGTGGTGAGACAGTGAGATTCTCCATGCATGCGGGGGATATATATGTCAGGCGGTAGGCATAGGGCTATGCCGGCCTATGACTGCTGTTTTTGAAACTTTTAAAAGGAATCGTTCATTCAATTGCAGAGTATTTCATCTTCTTTTTCTGATTTGTGGCTCTGGAGGAATTTTTTTTTTAAAGGGAAATAAAATCCGAAATTACTATAAAGCTCTGATTCCCACCTCTTAAAATTAAACACAAAATCACAACGACAATGAAAGCGTAAAACCCGACGAAGATTCCTAACGGCAAACATTTCTAAGTCCCCAAGAAACAGTCATTGCGCATGTTCTGTGCCATGCCGGTACAATACTGAAAACAATCAGGGACCGGTTCACGGTCAAATATCCACTGCCTTTGTGATATAAAGGTTTGTCTAACATCTTGTCTGTTTTCGTGTCAAATTTTCTTTCTCAGCTCCCCATGGCACATTAACACAAGCTCATAACCTAGTCGGCCAGTAGCAAAACTGGCAGATGCTTTACCGTCATGGGGTTCTTTCATCAACTGCGTGTCCTTCTCTGGAAAAACTTTGTCTTGAAGAAGAGACGCTTGGTAAGTTTCAAACACATACCAGAAAATTTCTCACAGGGTGAGTAAAAAAAGGCGTAACCCATAGGCCTACCTCAAAAAATATATTTCATATTTAAAAAAAGTATGTAGCTCACCAAAAATAATAATGACTGAAAAAGCCAATTTCATAAACTACTTTTAGATGAGAAAATTACTGAAATTACTCAATCCGTTCAAAGAATATCACCATTTAAACACAATGACCCTAAAACCTCTTTCGTTCAAAAATGCGATTTCAAGAATCGTTGACACAATTGTCTTCAAAAATCACCAGCAATATAACCTCAGTATAAAAGTTAAAAATATTCAACGAAGTCCTTTTGAAGGCCCGTCTTTTGAAAACAAGTGGATTTTATAAATCATATTGTTTGCCTAAGCAGGGCAGGGTTGTTGATAAATATATTTTGTACTACTGTTGTTGACAGTTGTTGAAACAAGTATTCTGTGTCATTTTCTTTGTTGTTCCAAACAGTCTGAATGCACAATAAACAAGTTTTAATCCGTGCTTTAAACGGATTGAGCAACTTCAGAAATTGATTTCACCTAAAAATAGTTTCGAAAGTCCAAGGCTTTAATTCAACTCCCAAATTTTACAAACAAGCAAGCAAGCCAGTGTAATCAAATTTTTAAAAATCTTCATTTTTTTCTCTACATTTTTTATTTCAGGTGACAGTGACACTGGAGACGCTTATCCCGTTGGTGTTGTTTGTCATCCTTATTTTCATCAGGAAGCAACAGCCTTCAAAGCGTGTTGGTCAAAGTGAGTTCATTTTGCAACTGTTCATTTCAAACGACTTTGTCAGGTAGATTTTAAAGGTAGAGTACATCATTTGCAGCTATCCAAAAAGTAACTGACAAAATTATTGTTGAAAAGCATACTTGGTTTAAAGATAGTAATGGCACTAAACTCCCTGTGAAATTATTCTTTCTGGCATGCTGTCATTTTGAAAAAAACAGTGCAAGAAGGTCCATTCCAAAGATGAGTCAAGTGATGCAATTTTGGAAATTTTTTGTTAGTGGTTCGTTGTTAATTCGGCGAAGCCGTGAATGGATGTGCGCAAGCGTTGACACAACGCACACGGGCACGCTGTTGCTAATATTCGTCAGTTCAGTGCATGACATCATGTTGCTGAAATCCACTGAATGAGAACGCATCCCGGACACTGATTTTGGGCGTAATTCAAAACAGGACTTGGCAACTTTTGAATTGAAATCGAGATCCTAGAATTTTGTTTTCTCGGAATATACAGCATTCTCTGAGCTAAAACTTCATCAGGTTAGTTGTTCAGCACCCTTCTTCAAATTTTGAGCACCTTTGTTGCTTCAAACGAAACAAATGCACAAATGACAAATGACATACTTTACCTTTCGAAGAAGTCTTTATTGTTACAATGTGTTAAAACATTGTTTTGGAATTTAACTATTCAAACGTGAATCTTGATATTTTCAGGGATATTCTGTAGCGATCTGTACTTTACTGTTGTGAATAATATGAAAAATTAGTTGATTTAACCACTTTGCGCCGGGATTATTTTTGATTTTCGCAAAAGGCAAAATTTTCCAGCCAACTTCTGATATACAGCCTAACGCCACAAATGCTGATTCGCAAGAGTAATTTCAACAGTATTTGTACGATATTTCTTGCTGAAACCTCATATGTTTCAATACTCCGGGGTGTGCACTGGAGCGTAAATTGTACAACAATAGGCTGTGCACAACGACTAATTCAACACAGTGCTAAGATCAACACATGGTCCGCCTCCACAGACTTCACGTACTTTGTGTGTGTACAAAAGGCACGAGGGACAAGCGTGTTTAGACGTAACCCGGAGGCGAGTCAAGGCAATCTTGACATCTTAACCCGTCAGCTGTTCCTGTGTATAAAAATGAGCTGAATAGTTGATGCATAATCCTTTTACATAATTTGCCTTTCTGTCACTGATAAAACTTCAAATGGTCTCATGTTCAGCTTACTTCACTGCAATGCCGTTACCATCATCTGGCATCATTCCTGTTCTTCAAACGTTCTGCCCGTCTTTCGAGAGAGATCCGTTTGGATTCCCAGACCATCCTAATTCAGGGTAAGATCTTAGCCCTAAAATCTTAGAGCCAGTTTAAAGGTAATGTACAACATTTGCAAACATAAAAAAAAAAAAAACTACCAAATTATTATGAAATACCTTTCTTGACTGTACATCAATAATAGTCTCAATCATCCTGTGAAATCAGGGAAGGGAACCAGACTACAATATCAGCATTGTTTTCTTGGTTTTTTTTACCCAGCATCTATGAACACAAAACAGTGTATTCAATATTTGCTATAAAATACTAGCCCCCAAATCCATCCATTTCTGAAAATTACAGCAAAAGCAAATGTTGTATATTCCTTTTAAGCAGAAATGTTTATTTTAACAAGATCTGAAATTGAAGACCAGATTGTCAGAAATCTTCACCATTTGTATGCAATGTCTGTATTTGTAATTTGTAACAACGTGGCTCAAAGTCTGTGTCAGTTTTAGTTTGTTTACATCAGATACCAAGAGGTCAACAAAAAGTGCTTGTCAGCAAGTTGCATTGTTGATTGCCTGGGATACTGTGTAATTTGGTACAACGTTTGGCCAGTGTTAGACATGTGTTACTTATGATCTCATAAACACTTTACTTTTTGCAGATCAGCACTTGATATTTATAAATACATCTGTTTTCAGTTCCATTGTATACATTTTTTTATTATGATTGTTAGCAATTTTACTTAGCAACATGGTACTTTCAGTTTTAAATATTCCATGAGGCTTTTTCTTTAGGGCCACACATTTTGTCTGTGAAACAATATTCTGGTATTGACTTGTTGGAGTTTTTGTTTATGTTCTGTTTTCCCAGTTGTAACATTTTTAGTTTGGGTTTCTAGTAGTAAAGAAATCTAGTAAAATACAAATATTTTTTTAAATCTATTTTTGCCTTGGGAAATGAACGAAGAGTTCATCTTCATCCAAATCCACACTTTCCCTTTCCATGTCAATTTTCCAATCAATTGTCGGTTATGGCAATTTTAAACAGTAGGGCTGTCTCTGTTTGAATAATTGAGTATTGGATTATTCAGAATTGCGTTTGACCGAATATTCGAATATTTGAAACTTGCTGATCAAGTGTACTCGTGCCAGTTGCAACTGCGTGCCTCTCCCATTACAAGTTGTACGCAAAGCGCCAGTCCTTCTGATTTGAGGCGTGCGATCGCACCCCCACACCATCGCACGCCTAAAAGCTTCCCGAGAAGTGTGAACAATTGCACGCCTGAATTTCCCTAGACCACAGAATCACACACCTAGAAAATCACACAACTAGAAAAACCACACGCCTGGAAAAATCCAGGTGTGCCTTTTTCCACACGCCTGTGATTTTCAAATCAGAAGGACTGAAGCACCCGGCTTAAAAGTAACGGGCCACTGGAGTGTTTTGCTGTAAGTATTTTATAACTCTCAAGGGCTTTAACCTGCTAAAAGGATAAGAACAATGAACAGCCGTCGACAAAAAGTTACTGCAGTCCTTCTGATTTGAATATCACAGGCGTGTGGAAAAAGGCACATCTTCATTTTTCTAGGTGTGTGATTTTTCTAGGTGTGTGATTTTTTTCTAAGCGTGTGATTTTTCTAGGCGTGTGATTTTTCTAGGCGTGTGATTCTGTGGTCCAAGCTGGGACTGAACAATCTGGTATTTTTTTTTATAATATTCATCTTGGTTAACAGGAAAGCCATTTTCTCTTCACCGACGTACTTTTCCCCACAAATTATGAAGTATAATTATGCCGTAAATGTAGCCGAGGTGTGCGGTACAGAGGGATTCAGGCGTGCAATTATTCACACTTCTCGGGAAGCTTTTATGCGTGCGATGGCTTGGTGGTGCGATCGCACGCCTCAAATCAGAAGGACTGTTACTGTCGACAAAAAGTGGCATTTGACAAAAAGCGCCGCAACTTTATGATTAAAAATAATATCACAGTCTGGTACTAAAGTTTAGTTTTCTTTTGAATATTTAAACTGGTATACAGCGTGTGTCAATAAAAACGCAGGATTAGAAACAAAAATATTAAGAATATAAACCACCCCTATTCATCATAATGTTAACCCTCTTTTCAAAGTACCTTTCCTTCTCTTCACTATGCTTTTTATCCCATCTCATTTGGACAATCCTGTCCAGAGATCGAGTACATTGAAGAAGGGTTATATATTCCAAGCTGGTCTGATTTGTGAAATCACACATACCTAATGAAAGGTTTGAATTCAGTACAGGTATTTGTGGATCACAAAGAAGGACATGTGTGGCAGGATTAGGCTTACATAATCCTTTAGTCCACAATCAATGTTATTGGTCAATAATTCATGATGCTTTGAAACAATGATAGTCCAGTTATCAAATTTAAGTGATACTTATCATCAGTTGTTTCAAAGAAAGTTTTGTTCTGGTTTAATTGTCTTCAATGCATACCTGCATTGTACATAACTGGTCGTTGTGTTAAGGTCATTGAATCAGACCAACCCGCTTCAGAAGGGCTTCACAAAATTTGTCATAACTTTTGAACCACAAGTCCAAATTCCACCAAACAAAAATCTTGTCAAAGATGAAATTATGGACAATCAAATCCTTATCAAATTATGCACACCAGTAGCATAATTTTCTCAGAAAAAAAATCGCTTTGAATCCTGCGTTTTTATTGACACACGCTGTAGAGCTGTTCTGATATTTTCGATTGATGATCAAATGTTTGAGTATTCGCTATATTTGGGACAGCCCTATACATCAGTTAACCCTCCTATGCAAACATACATGTACATGTACATTCTTCAGTCAAAATCAAACAAGTGACCGTTTTCTACAGTTAAAAATTTCCAGGCTGCATAAAAGCAGGTTTGACTGGCTGGGACTGTTTAAGTAACTTGATACAGCTACGCTTTGACTCTGGGTGAGTGATAAAACAGCTGTGACCACAACTTGCCTGCGTTGTCTGTTCATGGTCTGTTGACTGAGTTTGACTAGTCACAGTGCTTGCTTGACATACGATAACGACTGCTGGTGACTAAAGTATTGCAGGGGAAGTGGAAGTGAATTTTGACTGTCTGTGACTGTTTAAATAGCCAGAGGGTTAATAGAAACGTTTGCATTCGTTTATGTTTAGCGTGGAGCAGTTCCTGAATCGTCTGGACAAAGTGGTTGGGGAAAACAAACTATTCACCGATGACTTTTCTCTGGAGCGTGTTGAGGTCGAACTGGACGCATTCCAGAATTTGATCAACGATGAGGGCGCTATTGAGCAACGCTTTGCTCTGGCAGAAGGTTGGTGACATTTACTTGAAAATTGTGTTAAAATTCACTCATAACTTTTACTCCATGAACAAATTTATTAGTGCTGGGATTTATATCCAGATTTTTAAAAATTCAGTTTGAATTCAACTATTCGGTTTAGATTTTGAAAACCAAATATTTGAAACCAACCATAATAAAAAATTAAGCCTTCCACTTTTTGTGACGCAGGCTAATAAAGAAAACAACTGGAACGTCCAACTATTTGCTTCATGGTCTCTGATTGTAATTGCATTCACTTGCTAGTGGTCTTCTTGGTATATGAATAGCCTGCTCATCCGACTTATCAGAGAGCTCCCGTCCATTTTTCCCCCCAACATTTCAGCTCGGAAGTGTTTTTGTAAAGGCCCAGTGGTCATTGAATCCTGCAATCTATACCCAGTCATTGGGAGGGAATTTCAGGCGAAACCTCACTTGACACTTTTCGTTGGCATGATTGTAAGCTGGATGGGAAATTCCGCTGAAATCCGATAACCGTCATTCGGTTTGAAAAAAATTAGGATAACCGGATTTTGAAATCTCCGATTTCTCCCACCACTTTTATACTTTACAGGCATGCAACTTTTCCTTGAATCTGCTGATTTCCTCGTTTTTTACTTCTCACGAATGCCATTACAAACTGAAAAACACTGTACAAAGCCTTGTGTGGTTTGGAATTTCCTCGTTTTTTTTCTAAATTTCCAGTTGCATGCCTGACTTTATCTTCATGAGATATACAGATAAAAAAATTCACCCATTTCACATAAATCAAAAATGTTCTAAGCAAAGGGAGTTCTCCAGTTTAATTCAAATTTAATTTAAAATCAATTTCTTATAAGGCCAAAAAAAAAAAATAGTTCTGCTTCCGGTTTCCCTACCGACCCTATTCTGACAGCCCCTACCCTAATTTTTTTATTGGAAAATGAGAAGAAAAAAAACGCCCAAAACCATCGCTTTATACCTTTTACCCTTGCCTACACGCAGACGTCTCCATATGATCGTACACAAAAAAAATTGGCCAAAAAAAAAATTCCCTACATCCTACCCTATTTTCGAATGCCATGTAATCGGAAGCAGAACTATTTACTTTGTTTTGCCTCAGTATTACTTATAATAGTGTGGATGACACAAGTTTTGAAACATTTAAAAGATGGGTGGAGATTTGCTGGCAGTCCCATTACTTTAGCACTGCGGATGTACGGCGAACACAATTTTCCAAAGTATGTACATGTACGTGTGTTAAATTCACGTTTTGACTGCACATTTATGATTATTTTTGTTATGGTCCATCTGGCCCTGCTGTCGACACATGTTAATATATAACCAGATTCTTCCAGCTGAAAGAATTCATAATAAAACTGACCTTTAAGCGTGTTTATATTTAACTTTCTGAGCTGTTGATAATTTGAAAGTTCGTAGACCCTTTTTTTCTGTTCCCACGTTTAAATGTTATCTTGAATTTGCCCTTAAAAAAAAAATTAAGTGTTTGTATAAGTGTTCTTTGTATACAATGAAATCAGTAGTGGAAAGATACTGTTATTTATTGTTGGGCCATTTTTAGGGATGTCCATCTTCTAATAATTTAGTATTCGATTACGTCAAACTGCATTTGACTGAATATTCGTATATTCGAAACTGCCAGCTGCAACTTTGGGCCACGCCGGTCAAAAGTTGCACGCAGAGTATACAAGTTAAAGAGGTTGTGGAATGCTCGTAAGACATTTCCGTCATTTTTTGGGTATATGTAGCCTAAAGTGTGATAAAATAAAAACGACTATTGTTTCTGTCATGAAATGAGTACAAAGGGTACTTTTGAGAGCTGTTTTTCAGGTCCTGTTTTGACCGGAATGTGCAATTTGTGTAAAAGTCGTCGTTGCGGGCAGCAAACAAAACACAGTAAGTCGTGACGTAATAAACAGGACTCGTATATGCTACTCTGCATCGGGAGTCCTGTTTATTACGTCACGATTTACTGTGTTTTGTTTGCTGCCAGCAACGACGACTTTTACACAAATTGCACGTTCGGGTCGAAACAGGCATGACAGGACTTGAAAAACAGCTCTCAAAAGTACCTTTTGTACTCATTTCATGACAGAAACAATAGTCGTTTTTATTTCATCACACCTTAGGCTACATATACCCAAAAAATGACGGAAATGTCTTCGAGCATTCCACAACCTCTTTAAAATACAAGTTAAAATACAATGTATGCATGCGGTAATCGTTATGGTTCTCTCAGAGGTGTTTTGCCGTAAAATATTTTGTAACTGCCGAGGGCTTTAACAAAAGGATGGGAACGATGAACCTCCGTTGACAAAAATTACCGTCGACAGAAATAGGGGCACCTGACAATAAAGCCCCACAACTTTAGGATAAAATAACATCACAGTCGTGTGTGTATACTATGTGCATACATTGAAGTTTTTTTTGTTTTCGAATATTCCAACCGGCAAAAAGCTATTTGAATGTTCAGTTGATGGTCGAATATTCAAGTGTTTGGTATATTTGGGCGAGCCCTATGCCATTTTTTCAATAACTTGGGTTATGGAATTGTCGGGAAACAAAATATACAAAAAATGCAGCCGAAAAATATGCCACTTTTGATGGGAAAAACCCCCCAAACAACTTTGTCTTCCGAGTAGTCAATACAAGCTTTGATTCACTTTTTAAACATGCAGTGCTGGCGTTGGACCAAAATTGAGAAAGGAATAATTGTCCATTACGTGCCACTTTGCTACATGCTTGATGTACTGCGTGTTCGTATGGCGCAGTGCAATGGATAGTTGATCATGATTGGGTTGATTTTATATTTGTAATTTTTTTTTACAGATTTTAGTCTGGATGACATTGTGAAGAATAGCAGTGTGTTAGAGACGTATTTGGTCCGCAACTTGACTATTCCAAGGTCAGACGCACAGCAGATAATGCACAACGAACTCAATGTGACTGAGGTACGTGTACAAAAAAAACCAGTCAGGCGAATTATTAAATTGCATTTAATTTCCGTCGATTTTAATTTCGCTTGTAAGCACTTATGGCTAATGGAAATACATCATCGTAATTACCTTAAAGTGTACATGTATGCAACGTTTGCCACCAAGTTTTCAAACGTTGCCAAGAAATAAAAGCCCTAAATCTTGTGCAAATTTATATACATGTATTATAATTAATGTTTAACATGATTCTGTTGGTGTACTAGGAAGTACCATCACTATAATATAGCAATCTAATCTTGTGGTAATTATAACTGGTGTAGCAAGCCACAAAGAGGAATAAAATAATCAGGCGATATTTAAAGTCAGTTTTAAAATGTTGCCAAGAAATAAAAGCCCTAAATCATGTGCCAAATGTATTTATTACAATTAACGATTTACATAATTCTGTTGGTATACTAGGAAGTACCATCACTATAATAAAGCAATCTAATCTTGTGGTAATTATAACTTGTGTCACAAGCCACAAGGAGGGGATATATGAGAAATAAAATATACAAAAGCGTCGCTTCCTTCAATTCTCATTTCATATCTCTCTTCCCCATCCCGCCCTCGTATTCTAGACTTATTAAAATGGTTATTTTTATCTGTAGATACTTTTAAACCCTCCTATGCAAACATACATTCTGTGCCAAGTTGTCCATTCGGTCAAAATCAATCAGGGGACTGTTTTCAACAGTTTAGAGCTCCCAGCCCACGTTAAGCAGAATTGACTGGCTGTGACTGTTTATGTAACTTGGTACGGCTATGCTTTGACTGTAGGTGATTGTTAAACCATTTGCCTGCTTTTGTCTGTTGACTGAATTTGACTTGTCACGGTGCTTGTTTGAAATATGATCTGACTGTTAAAAGAGGGTTGATTTTTTGACTGTCTGTGACTGTTCAGACAGTAGGAGGGTTAAAGTCGCTCTCCTTAGGCTCTTCAATAATTTTGGGTTTTTATTTTCCTTTTTTTTCTCCAAATGAATGTTAATTTGACTTTTTAAAAATTTAAGACATCTGCAAACCTGACAAAATGCTTCAATTTTTCTTGGTTGCCGATGAGTTTATAACTCCAAACAGATCTGCAAGAATATTGCTTAGGCAGCTTGGCTATAATTAATTTCAAAATTGCAACTAAATTATTCCATGCGAAACTCGGGTGGATTTTTTCCCCTGCATTTATCTTTCAAAAGTGAAAACGTTTTGCATTGTGGGAAAAGTAGCAATTTGGAAAAAAAAAAAAATGTTGTTATGTGAAACTCAGTAATAGCATGAGGAGACCATTTTTAATGGTTAGTGTATAGTGGTGTGCATGGAACTGGGCACCCCAGGGCCCAATTTCATAGAGCTGCTTAAGCAGAAAATTTGCTTAAGCACGAAAAAAAACATTGCTTAGTGAAATTAGGTTACCGGCCAAAACTCCACGTGATGTACATTGCTTGTGACTGGTATTTAGCTGTTGTTTACTTAGCATAACAATCGCATGGAGTTTTGGCCCGTAACCTGATTTTATTAAGCAAGACGTTTTTGTGCTTAAGCAAATTTTGTGCTTAAGCAGCTCTATGAAATTGGCCCCAGTACTCGACTGCTGATGTCAGGAACCGGTTCCAGATTATGGGATCCGGTACCAGTAACCAACTCTACAAGTAACGTACTTCCTTTTAGACAATGCAAAAGAATCGTTTTGAATGCCATTTGTAGAGAATTTTCATAATGAAAACCAGGCTCTATTAAAAATCAAAACAGATTTAATCTTTATGTGCATTTTAACGCGCGACAGATGACGTTTGCAAAGTTTCAGTTTACACTGTAAACCTATAAAGCCCTTCAGACAACGTCCGGGATTTGAATTTTGGGGTTGGGTTTCTTTTACGCGTTCCACGTTCCTGTGGTTTACTTCAAAAGGGCACCCGGTTCCTGTACTACTCGTAAATGAAACCACTATTAACCCTAACTCCCTAGCATGATTTACTAGGAACCATACCCATCCTGGCAAATTCCAACACCATTTGAAAAACTGCACACACACATATTTCTGACTTTGTTTCTGGAGGTGTGCCAACCCAGTGTAAAAGACTGTCAGTTTTAATAGGGGTACTGTACCCATCCCGACAGATTCCAACAAATCATGCTGTTGGGGTTTGATGGGTTCAGTTCTGTTAGGGTTTATTAATGTATGATTTTTCCCAAACCTTGTACCAACAGGGGTGTGAAATCTCAGCTTTAAAGCTGATTTCAGGGGGTTTTAGTTTTTGATTTCAGCCTTTTCCCCTCACTTGCTGTGTACAAAAGTATCAGCTCTTTTTTACACCTTGTTCAGCTTTTTTCAGCTATTTTTTATCAGTGTCACTCACACCCTTGTACCAGGTGCCTTCTTATTGTAACTCCTTGAGATAATTTCCAAGGAATCACCCTTGAATCTTTCAAATGTACATTCTAGAAAAACAACGGCCCCAGTGATGTTGTACTAAATCAGATTTATTTTATACCTTAGTGTAATCAATTCTTTCAGAACATCAGTTTGCAAAATGAATTGGTGTATTATAAATGCTTCAAGTTCTTATCCTGGCAATGTTTGCGTTAGATAGAAAAGCCATTACATTGTAACATTTTTTCTTTAAACAAAGATTTAAAAAAATCTTTTTATTTCTTGTCCAGATATTTAATTTGCTATATGGATACCGTCCTGAGGCCTTTGACTTAGGACGTTTGCCGAACTCAACCAACTCTACCTATCCATCCAAGAGTGCTTCCGACTTCACAACTTTCCTTAACAATCGGATGAGTAGTCAGTGTTGCGGAGCCGTCTTCAAACGTCTACCCGATAAGGACTTGTTTAGCTTCAACGGATTGCTGGGTTTGCTGACGTTACAGCCAGTCGGGTTACTATCGGCATTAGGCGATGGCAAAGACTTGAACGATTCCACGGGTGCAAGTGACGGAGAAGCTCTGAGATTGAGTCAAGAGTATGCGGTAAGGAGATAGCACGGACGTGATCTGTTTAAGAATAGTAGAAGGAAACATCGTTATGAGATTTAAGTGGAGGGATATTCTATGGAAGTGGATAGACAATTAATGGCACTGTTTGAGCTCATGGGTAGTCCCCCAATGAATTACCAATAGGCCATCAGCCTGGGGGTTTGGTCAGTATCAAATCCGGGCATAAATGATTATCGTGCGCATGCGCAAGGTATACCACCCCTAGAGTGGTATCAAGCATTTTGATGGACAAAGGGTGATAACACCCAAAAAGCTGCCATCGCTGCAATGCTATCACATATTTTCCAACTCTGGAGGTGTATACCTGGCCAAAAATTGCTATGACGAGTATTCCCCTCATTTGATACCAGTGGCCAAAATTTTGGACCAAGGCTGATGGCCTACGATATGCAGTGCTCCAGTTAACTTGTTCAAAGAAAATTTGTTATGTTTATTTGGAATTCAGAAATGCCTGAGACAGTTTACCCATTCCTATTGGTCGAGAGCACGTCACTTGGGTGGTTTTAAACTGCCAGTAAAACACCGCTGCATTATGAGCCACATCGCACAATACCCGCCGCACGCATGCCAATCTCCATATAAGGATATTTGTAGACTACGCGAACGAGGCACATACCATAGACGGGTGTTTCACAAAACGTGAAGTGAACTTGTCAATTTTTGGCTTATTTACAGAAAAGATCTTATTTCCTTATTATTTGAATGAATGCTACAATCTGTTTCACCAATTGTTTTTGGGTGTGATTGTGTTTTTTTTTGATAAACTGTTCAATTATAGTTTCTTTTTCTTGTTTTTGGAACAGGACTCTCTTTTTTCTCCATCTGAATTACAAGACATCATGTGTCATAAGAAGACAATCTCAGCTCTGTATGATACAGAAAACAGTCAGTTCAACAGCTCTGTGAGTACATTATGATGTCATCATAACAAAGTTTGATTATGTTAATACATTGGAACATTCCTTTCAGTTTGTTGTTTTTACAGAAGTACATTTTTTCCGCCACATTTTTCTGCCAAGCATGGACCATGTATCGCTCATTCTATTTATGGGAAAAAAAAACCCCTAATTATTAATGACAATACTTTAGAACTTTTGATTGCTCTTTTACTTAAATATGTACTTCAGTGCTTATGCAAATATACCACAACACAAGTACATTGATTCTTCTTCACTTGAATTTGCTCTTATGAAAATGTGATGACAAGACTGCCTAATCTCTTGTTTTGAAGCATAATCGCTTGTCTTGAGTTTCTCGCTGAAGTACTTTAAAGGCTTTGTTTTGACAATTTTTCATGTCTGATATCTCATTGCAGGGTCATGTGGTTGATGATCTATGCAACAGACAGGATGCACCTGTTTTGTTTGAAGGATTCTCTGCCCTTTTAAGAGATCAGTTAGATACGGATGCTTTACTTCACAAGGTACAGTTTACTTTCAGTCAGAAGAAGGCCAAGTAAAAAATAAGCAGTTTCCTGTCTGGACTGCTTGAAAAAAATGAAGGCTGTGGGCACTCCTTTTTCTTTTCTTCTCCCCAAGATGGCAGATTTTCAAAGATGGCGGATTGATTCTTCCATTTTCTCGATTCTTTTCCTAATACAAAGTTATGTCCAAAGGACCTGTCGCCCTTTCTAGTTCCACATAGCTACAATTTTGTTGCAAACAAATAAACAGAAAATGTACATGTATTGACAATATAATTATTTGCAAATGTATGAATTCCAAAAATAAAAAAAGGAGGTGGACAGGAAAAAGTAATCGGGCGGGGACAAATATTGGTTTAGTTTTTTACTTGGCCTTATTGGGAGTACATCATGTCTTTTATTAATAATTTAGTTGAAATGTTACACAGAGAGAAAATAACGAACCTTTTAGAGCACGTGTAGTTTTACTCCTTGCAAGTCAAGACTTTAGTTAAAGGTTTTTATATAAACAGGTCACCGTTCAGCAGGTGATAACAATTCTTCCTGTGATTTTTCATCTTTAGTTGACAAAGATCAGGGCAGTACACTAAATTGTGAAATAAATTTATGCCCATTCTTTTGAATTTCAGCTGAATATATCCAGTTCTGACCTTGAAGAAACTCGAGAAAAGGCGATAGCTGTTATGAAGGAGGTAAGATGTCTGAAAATTGGCAGGAACTATAAATTGTTGATTATATTGTGGTATGATGGTGTCATTGCTTTATTGCAAGTATAAAAGAAGAAATGCAGTGTTCCCCGCGGCATGGGAAAAACCTGGAAATATCACACAATTTACTTTGTAATTTGAAGTAATTTCAAGGCCTGGAAAAAGTCATGCACATTTGTAAAAATAGTAAAAGTCATTGAAAAGTCATGGAATTTTGTGAGGACCAATACATGTTCCATTTTAAACTTTGAACATTCATAATTTAGCATCAGAAATCTGATTTTTATTTTTCTGATACAAACGTTTGGATTTCAAAATATATTATTGCTTTGTGTTGTTTTTTGTGTTTTTGTTGAGCACTTTTCACTCAACAAGTTTCACAGTTTTGATCTGCATTTTGATGATCTAGGTCATGGATTTTCACAACTTGGTCATGGAAAAGTCATGGAAAAGTCATGGAAAAGTCGTGGAAAAGTTATGGAAAAGTCATGGAAAAGTCGTGGAATTTTATTGTCCTAAAGGTGCAGGAACCCTGGAAATATAACAAAGGAATTTTAATCCTTGATTCATTAATCCCTAAGAGTTTACATTCCTATTGGTCGAGAGCCCGTCACTGGTCGGTTTCAAACGGTTGGTAAAGATATGGCTGGCTGGTCTTACGCACTTTTCCAGTGTCACATGAAATTTTGACTCCTATGAAATCCGGTGCCAGCACCGTTTTATTGATTGAACCTCACGTAGGCATCGCCTTCGGTTCGGGTAATTATCAGCATCCAGACTCCAACCGGTCTTAAACAGAGTGTTTAATACCTCCCAATCACAGATTTATTCCCTTAATTGCAGATAAGTGTTTTAATGACTGCTTTATAGCTAAAACTCTTGTCCACGTTTCAAAAACTATGATTACTATTTTCTATTTTCTTTCTTTTTTTAGCTCGATAAGTTTGCGGTGTTCCAGGAGACGTTGAATGACCTGTACCACTTTGCTCTGGACCTGCCGGGCGATAACTGTCCGGAAGAACCAGCACCAACTACAGATGCCTCGCCGTCGTCACCGACGCCAACTACGCGATATTCATCGTCATCCTCGTCACCCCACACGCCAACAACCTCAAGTGCACCATGGTTCGATTGGGTGAGGATAACATCATTGAAGATGCTTCATAATTTATTTTTTTTCGGGGGGGGGGGGGGGGAGAAATTGATATTGATGACAATTGTCTTCCTTCTGAATAGGGTCTATTACTTGGGTAACACTCGTCTGGGGAAAATGGCTTCACCTACTTAAGTAGGTGCATGTGTAACCTGAAGTTGTAGCAAAGAAATCCTGATGCAGCTTTAGATTGTCCAACTAAAAATAAGTTGGAAAATTGGGAAAATGAATTGTAAATATCAATAACATTTATACTTATTCGCGAGAGAAATTCCTGCTTTTTTCTTCAAATCTTGTGATAAAATTTAGCTAGCCAAGGTGTTTGCCTTGTCATGCTGTTCTACCGGACTGTTTCAGATGGTTTACTGCCTATCCCACCTGCTATCTGAACAGTCACAGACAGTCAAAAAAAATCAATCACCTTCCCCTGCCATGCCTTTTACACAGGCTTGTCACCAACAGTCATATCATATTTCAAGCAAGCACTGTGACTAGTCAAATTCCTTCAACAGACAAAAACAGCCAAGTGGTAAGCACAGCTGGCTTATCAATCAGCTACAGTCAAAGCAAAGCTGTATCAAGTTACATTAACAGTCACAGCCAGTCAATCCTACTTTATTGAGTCAGGTTGGCGTAGCGGTACTTTCCTCGCCTTCCACCACTGTTACCCGGGTTTGAATCCCACCTGGGTCAATATGTGGATTGGGTTTTCAGTCCCTACCTGATTCCGTGGGTTTTACCCAGAATATTCTTCTGGGCTATTCCTCCCACCTCTAAAACTGTAATTTCTTCTCATTGTCTCCTCTCTAAGTTGGTGTGATGTTACCCCTGGGATGCTTTGCCGACTATATGATACATACATGGGAGCTCTAAGCTGTTTAAAAAGTCACTTGATTAATTTTGACTGCAAGGACAACTTGGCACAGAATGTATGTTTGCATAGGAGGGCTAAGGGTTCAATTAAGCATTATTGCTTCATTGATGTGGCGTAATAACCCAAATCTTTTTTAATTGGTTAATTATTTTCTCATCTTATTTTTAGAACTCCTTTCTGGATGACAGTAAAGATGAAGGCAATTCCTCAGGTTTTCCCGAAGATGACATCTCGAACATATCTCAAGCCAGTATTTTGACGACGTTTAAACCAGATGCAGTATCCAGCACTCCTGAAGACGGGGGAACTGGTAAGACATGATCACCTCATGAAAATACAGGTGCCAAATCAAGGCAACATTTGGAAGAGGTTTTGCTGGTATATTATCTTTCGGTTACAGAGTGTGTAAAATTCGCCAGTCCACGTTCAATTTTTTCTTTAAAACTGTGTTTGTGATCAAAATTCCGTAACTTAAAAAGTACATAAGTGATTTGAATGATTCTTGTACTAAAAGAAAGCTTATGAATTGGGCTTTCATATCCTAGATAGAAAGTGCTACATGCAGAACTTCAATAAAATATTAGTCCATTTGGGCTTCTTGTTTTTAACTCATCCTGTATAGTATTGTGACATAACAATGATTTTGTATTGTAATTTTTATGGTATCAATTAATCAACTGTGAAGTGTTCTGCAATTTGGTCAATGACCACAATGAACAACTTCAACAAACCATTTCAAATTCAAATTCAAATTCTTTTTCGCAGCCGAACCAGAACAAGACGAGAAATCCAAAAAGCTAGCTCAGCTGTACAAGCTGTGGGCCAAGATGCAGTACGGTCTGTGCGGTCAGGAACTGAAGGTCAACGACGAGGCTCTAGCCAAGGGGGACTTCAAGGCGATGCATCTGAACAAGCATCAGAAGAAGAGTCTTGGACTGTTACTCCACGTCTTGTTTAGCAATCCGAGAATCCTGTATGCGCCCAATACTACCGATGTCAATGATCTGATTGACAAGGTTTGCTATGCCGTTGCAGTTTTTGTCTCACCTTGACTTTGTTTAGGAAAGAGACTATGCAATCACTATGTCTGTATGTATGAATGTATGTAGTATTTGTGTATGTATGTATGATCTGTTACACGGTACCCTGTGGAGACATGGGTATAATAGGGAACAAAAGATTGTATACATCTCCACAGAGCAATTTCTATAGGTGAATACGTCTCCACAAGGTTATCACGAAATAGATATATGGATTTTACTCAAAAACTAGGACTTTCCAAGGTGTGTTGATCATCGCAAATTGAAGTATTTTATGTAAGGGATATTAAGTTCGAATTTCAGCCAAGGAAATTAATTCTGGTTAAAATAGGAGCATTTTGAAACTACATTTTCAAACTTGAAAACTTTAGTAAACGAGAACAAACTCCACAAGTATACAAATTCCAGTATATTTGTGTGCATTTGTTTATGGTGTAAATCGAGGACATACAAGTGCAAAATCATCAGTGAATCGAGGACAGGAACCAAATCGAGGACGACCTCGATTAGAAAACATGTACAAAAGCAATGAGAGCTGTTGCAAAGAATTTTAAGTACAAACAAAGGAAAAGGGAAGAGGAACAAAATAAAATCCTCAATTTACACCATAAAAAACGTGTCTGTATGTATGTTTGTATGGTTAAAGTTTTGTAAAATTGGTCTCATTTCAAAAGTTGACGTCCAATTAGAACCAAACTCGGGTCATAGATGCAACACGGCAACCTTCATATGATGAAGATGTCAAAGGTCACACACCATAGTCAAAGGTCACTCTTAAAAGATAAACGCGAAAGCAGTCGAGACGTGCGGTTCGAGAACCTCCTTGTGTATTTGAGGTGTTTTGGATCACAAGAGTCCAGTCACAAATAAGAAGGGATCGACACAGACAAAGGAATGGCTTTAGTATACTTCATTTCACAGTTGAAACTTTTCTGATTTTCAGATTTATTTCCAAAAGTCCGCTTTTACTGACGATCTTTTCCTTGCAGAGTCTGATTTTTAAAATTAAATTTCAACAAATTTGATGAAAACTAGTTTATCAAATTAGGTTTTTTTTGCCCTTCACCGACGTATAAACACTGTATTTCTCAGTGTGTTACCTCCAGAGTGAAAGTTGAAAAAAAAATTACTCGAACCACGACCTCCTGCTTTCTAGTGCAGACGTCTTACCACTCAATCACCGAGCTAACGGGATCGGTTATGATGAAGGGCAAAAACCTAATTTGATTTACGTCACCCCGACGCAAAATTCCATCTTATGGAAAACTATTCTGCCTCCATTTGCTCTTCAACCGTTTAAAGAATGTCTTATTGTTAACAAACCCACAGGCAAGCGACATGATACACCTGATGCAGAACATAACGCACTATGCTCAACTCTGGCGTAACATCTCGGAGGAGATACGAACCTACATGCACATGGACAGCACTCAACTTGTGTTAAGCTGGCTTGGTCAGGTAAGGACATATCCAAGAAAATATGGAACTCTCTCCCCGTCACCATTTTGTAAAATAATTTTCCATAATAAAATCACTTTTTTGAGCGAAACTTTTGCTTTTGTGTTTCCAGTTGGAAGAAAGCTATTCCGGTCACCCCTTGCTCTTCCAAAACATCACTAGGATGACATCTCCGGATCTGGGTAACCTCATCGTCAATCACACCTACATCAACACTACAAGTATCGAGATGAAACTGGACGTCATAGATAACGCTGCATGTGGATGGCTGAATCTCGCTGGCAGCGTAAACTTCAACGTTTATCGGCCGTTTGAAGATGAAGAAGCGCTGATCGATTATATACTGAACGATGCTCGGCATGACAACGTCACGGTCTTTGGAAGTGAGTGTGGGATTTATTCATTCGTGGACGTAATCTAATTGCCATTTCTTACTTTTTACCGTCTAACTTTTGAAGGTGATGTACAACATTTGCAATCATTAAAAAACAAAATTACCAAATCATTATGACGTACGTTGTTGAACCCAACTCTAGTAGTTACATGTACTGGCTCTTTGGAACAATACGCGCTACGCGCAACGCTCAACGCGCACACCAGCATGCATTTGCGCACAAATGGCAGATTTTCCAAGATGGCAGATGGACTTTGATGATACAAAATTGTGTCCAAAGGAGCCAAAACCCTTTCTACACAGCTACAGTTTTCTTGAAAACAAGTAAAAACAAATATCGACAATATATTTGCAAAATACAGTCGACTCTCGTTAGTACAAACTCTGTTAATACAAAATTCTGGTTACAACAAACATGAAGCCTTGGTCCCGACTGTGCATTTATATGCACAATGAATGGGACTGATGTTCCTCTTAATACAAAATTCTGATATATAACAAACAATTTGGCTAGTTCCGAACGAGTTTGTTATAATGAGACTCGACTGTATATTGAATTTAAACAAACATTTTAAAAAGGAGGCGGGGAATAAAACATGGTCAGGAGCGAGAAACTGGTTTATTTTTTACGTCATGTTTGATTCATTAGGGTTTAACAACTTGGTTAAGGTTAACAATTTTTTGAAAATTACGTTATTCATTTTTTCTTAAAGGCCTAGTATTTGAAGTTGATGACGAGGGCAATCTTCCGCCTCACATTGTCTACAAGATTCGTCAAAACACGTCCTTCACCGATCGGAGCGATTTGATTCGCCGTCGTTTCTGGGCTCCCGGCTCCAATCACAAGTCGACCCTGGGCTACTACACCTTTGGATTTGTCTGGATTCAGGATATCATCGAGAGAGCGATCATCAATAAGTGGGTCGGGAGGAGAGTTGTAGAGCCAGGGAGTTACGTCCAGGAATTTCCATACCCATGCTACATCAGTGATAAGTAAGTACATCTCATTTTCCCGTTAAAATGTAATATACAACATTTGCAAACATCCAGAAAACAAAACTACCAAGTTATTATGAAATAACTTACTTGACTGTAAGTGAGTAATAGTCTCAAGCGTCCTGTGGAATCATGGTAACTGGTGTGCTGTCATTTTCAAGAAAAGTGAAATTTTTTTGGGTGGCATGGGTGGCTTGTGCGTAAAGCGCTCTCCTCTCACCAAGGTGACCACGGTTCGAATCCTGGCCGCGGATCGCATGTGAGTAGAGTTGTGCGTTGGTTCTCTCCTGTGGCACGAGGGTTTTTCTCCGGGCCCTCTGGTTTTCCTCCCTCCGGAAAAATCAAACCCTTTCGATCTCAGGCTGTGCTCCGTGGTCATATATGGGTTGATGTGGCCGGCAGCCATAGGCGCCTTTACGTGCCAGCGGCCCGACCACGTTGTAGCCGCGTCCTTCGCAATTCAGCATACCAGCTGCGAGTAAAGATGATTAGCCTCCCAAATTATTATTATTATAATTATTAAAATTTTGTATCAATTTCCACAGACCTTCGTTGAAAAAACACTTTACTTTTTTTTTTAAAATACTGTCTCCAATTTACCAAATTTAGTTAGTCCACACTTAGTTAGTCACACAACTGTGAATGGGTGCAAGCCAGCTAGTATGGTTCCCGGACCTGACAATTTCCTGACGTCTGTTAAATTGCTCCGTTTCTTCTCAAGTAGGGTCACTCAGGGAACCAGACTACAACAACAGCATTTTTTCTCTTAGTTTTCCAACATATTTAACAAAAACAGGTCAGCATGGTCAGTGTAACAATATTTAATATAAAATACTAACACCCCCCCCCCATCCATCCGTAAATTACGGCAAAAGCAAATGTTGTATATTATATTTAATTTATATCTCCCCAACCAAAACAAAATTCAATCAGAAATCATGTACATCAGAGTCGCTTGCAGTGTTCAGAAATGTGTTTACAAAGGTAACATGAGCATTTGGTGTGCAAATCATGCATTGCCTGTCAGTTGGCAGTTGTTTACTTTTAACCCTAACTTCCTAGCATGATTTACTAGGAACCATACCCATCCTGGCAAATTCCAACACCATATGGGAAACTGCACACATATATTTCTGACTTTGATTCTGGAGGTGTGCCCAATCCAATGTAAAAGACTGTCAGTTTATACTGTACCCATCGTGGCAGGTTCCAACAAAACATGCCTTTCGGATTTGATGGGTTTGGGTAGGTTAGTGTTATTAATAGTAAAAAAAACACGATTTGGCATATTCTTTAAACTTCCTAAAAACTGTTCTTTTTTCCAACAGTTTCATTTTCATGATCGAGCATATCATGCCGATGATGTTGATAGTATCTTGGGTCTACTATGTGGCCATGTTTACGCAAAGTATCGTGTATGAGAAGGAAGTCAGACTGAAGGAGGTTAGTGAAAGTAAAGATTATAACGATTTTGAATTAATTATAACTTGTTTGAATTAGAATTGTCATTGTGGACAATCTAATATGTATGTTCACCGCAACTGTTCGGGAAAGTGGGTACCACGTAGGTGCTTAAATTCTGCATAAAATGTAAAGATGCCTAAATATTTTTAAGTAGTTATTTACTTCTCATGAACACAATAACAAATTGAAAAAAATACTGCACAAAGTCTTGTATGGTTTTGAATTTCCTTGTTTTTTTTTAATTCCCAGTTGCTTGCCTAATTTATATGACTTAACTTGTAATTTGACATCTTTTGTAAGATCACAAAGAATATAACTTGCTGTAGAAAAGGAGCTAGTTACTTAAATGTCTTTTTTTTTTTATTTATATTTTATGCTAACTTGTACGTATTACTTTCATTTAGGAATGTTAATGTAATTTTACAGAGATGAAACTTTTCCGATTTTAATCGGAAATCCGACTTTTTGAATTTTCCAACGAAATTTCCGATTTTTTTACAGTGCGTCCCAAAAAAGTTGATTTTCTAACGATTTTCTCACAAAATGTCATTTTATTTCAACCATAATTTCGAAGAAAAGTCGATGGAAATGGCACGTTAAAATCATCGTGAACGTAGTTTTAGTCTCTTTCACCAGTCGTTATTGGAGTGTTTCAACAGTAGAAACACAGGGCATAACACTGATCGGAGCCTTCTCCGGCTGGACAAAAGGTTAAACATTGACAGGCGACATGGAAAAATCACTGTGTCGCACGTGCGTGCGAATATGCAATGGTACCAGCGTACGTGTACCGCACCGTACCGTCCGCTAGCACATGGCCGGTCGGGAACGGATAGCCTTGTGAACGATCCAGTGCCAGTGGATAAAATCATTATGTTGTGCGATTTTTGGAGGTTTCAGATTTAGTTGCACAAAATGCAATGCTTTAAAATTCATGATGATTATCTTGAGGATAGCGAAGAGAGCATTATCGAAACATTTCACTGGCATTTGTTGGAAGAGAAAGACGATAATGCCTGATTTTTTTATCGCATGTATGAATGCAAGTGGAGTAGTGGAGTTGTGTGGTTGAATCGTGGACATGATTGAAGCACTATGAAAGGTGCCCTTGTCTTTCGGACTTTTCCCTCGACTTTCTCAAGTAAGAGGTGAACTTCTTTATTGATGACTGCATTACTCTAACCGGAATTCAGGCATTTTATGCAATGAAAACACTGACCATTTTTTCATCGTAAAATTTTGTTTGAATCGAAAATAAAGCAGGAGTTGGTGTCCGGAAATTGGGCATTTAGTGTATTGTACATGCATGTACATGTGTGTAACTGCAGCGCGGCCCAGATTTCGGACACGTATTTGTTCGGCCTATTTTCCGATTTTTTTGCCATATGCCAGTTTCATCTCTGATTTTAATGGTGTGTTTTTTTGTTTAGATTTATGCTAACTTGTATACTTGCTTCATTTTTAATTAGAAATTTTAATGTAATGTGCTCTCGAACAGGCTTAATCAGATTTGATTACGATATGATTTGCTCTCAGGTGATGAAGATGATGGGGCTAAGTAACGCTGTTCATTGGGTGGCATGGTTCATCGTTGGTTTCTCCCAGATGTCGTTAACCATCGTAGCCTTAATCTGCATCTTGCAGTACGGAGAAATACTGATCCACAGCGATCCGATCATTGTATGGCTGACTCTTACCATCTTTGCCATGGCAACCATCTGTTTCTGGTGAGTATTATTTTATGTGATGGGTGGTACTTACATGTGATCGGTGGTATTTACTCGTGTAACTCATCTGTAATCTTTTGAGACCTGGATTCTATTCTCACCTGGTGCACAAAAGAGATATACAGGGTGAGTCAAAAAGAAAATGAGCTGAATTTTAAGAAAAAAATCTTTAAAAAATAATCAACTTTGATGCACCAATGAAGTATGTCTTAAAAAAGCGTTCTCCTCCACTCATTGGGAAAAAAAGAATTACTGAAATTGATCTATGCATCATACAGAAGTTAAGCATGTTTGAAAGAAGCTCTTTTTATAGATGTCGATTTCCATTTGTGTTTTGAATATGAGGAACAAGTCAACTCTTTTTTTTTGCCTGAACTATTGATGGCTACTTTTGCCTGTTTCCTTTGCAAGTTTTCGTTCATTCATCGATGTGGGATAACGTCCATTCACCGATGTGGGATAACGTCCAAGTTATGTTGTAGTTTATGGGTATTCATCAGTTCGTAGAACATTTTTGGACAGCTGAATTTTGTGATCTTTTTATTAAGATAGACATAATTCGGGAATAAAGTATGCAAATGGATCTCTCTCAAATGACGTCACTGCATACAGATTGCCATGTGCATCGGCATTATGGGAGTCGAATTTTCATGACGCGCATCATTCGAGCCGTGTGTCGAAGAAATTTCAAGCAACTTGCTCGCTTGTTTAGAACATTTTGCACACTGCGCGCACACGCATCTGATGTCGTTGAACACACAGTTGTAATTTTCCTAGGAAGATGGCTGTCTATGAGAGGGGTCTATTACATGAAATTTTCACAGTTACTAGTCAATAACATGTACCTATATTATTTGTATGAAATGGAGCAAGCCACATATTTTAATTTGGTCACTTTCTTTTTGACTTGCAATGTATGTTCCCTACTTGATACTTGGGGTTTCCGCTGACACTTAAAACTAACATTTCCTTAATAGTCTCCTTTCTAAAGCTGTCCCACCTACATTGGTGGATAGTAAACTACTTTTATTTCAACATTTGTAGGGGTCCTGACTCATGGCTAAAAAAAAAAAATAAAGACTTGCAGTGAAAATGTAAAGTTCTGCCCTGATGAGAGCGTAGAAACAAAGTGTATAATATCTTGAATTTATCATATGTGAATACTCATATGACTGGATGTGTTCTTCCTTCTTTATAGTTTTCTAGTGAGTGTACTCTTCTCCAAGGCTAAGCTCGCTGCAGCATGTGCCGGCATCATATACTTCACTAGCTACGTACCATGCCTGTATATTGCCATACGAGAGGAGAGTTTGGCCTATGTGGACATATCAAGCTCCTTAAAGACGGTGGTGGTAAGTCAAATCAATCCGCTGTGGCTTAGCAAAGTGTTAACCCTAACCCTGCCAGATGCAGCAGGTGTAAAAGTCTGTCAGACTGCGATGCATTGAGCCAACAACATTAGTGCATAAACAGCTATTTAAGACAGACATATTTTAGACAGGGATGTAGTCGAGTCTATCACAAGTAAATTACAAGTCCATTTGAAGGTAACAAAGGAATGCCTTTGTCAAAGCTCATTTGAATATCTTGTGAGTTGAATCGGGACTGGAGGACTTGTGATGGACTCGACTACATCCCTAATTTTAGACGATTGGAGCTAGTCTCATTGAAAAAAATCGGGGCAGACTTTGGGAATTTTGATCTGTTAGATCTTTTTACACTGGGAAGACTTTCCACTGTTTCATCTGCTGCTTTTTGTGTGTGTTGTGCTTAAATGGCGAAGCAACCATGCCAACAATGAATAAAGTTTTGGGGTTATTGCAGGATTTTACAAACTCAATCTCTATTCTTACATTTATTTGTCAAATGTTAATCTTGATATGAACAGCTAACCATAATTTGTGTGTGTTTTTTTCTTCTCAAAACAAAGTACCCTGATTGTACTTTTCATTCTCTCCTCCTCTTGGAAATTATTGCTTTTCATTTTCTAACTTTCAAATGATCCAGGGAAGCTGACTGGGTGCACTAAAATAATTTAAAGTTGAACAAAGTGCACAGGGTCTGAAATTGCAACCTCCTTTGTTCAAGGTTGAACAAAGACATTGACAAATTTAGGAACCGCCAACATAGGGCTGGATAGCTCAGTTGGTAGAGCACCGAAATGGTAATTCGGAGGTTCAAACCCTGTTACAGTCAATTTCTTTGTTGAACATTAAATTACTCTCTATTTTCTGATTGTTTTCGTCCTCTAGTCACTCTTGTCCACCACCGCCTTTGGTTTGGGCGCTCGCTACTTTGCCCTCTACGAGGAAAATGGGGTAGGGATCCAATGGAACAACATCGGCCAAAGTCCTGTGGAACACGATTCGTTCAATCTACTCCGTGTCCTGATCATGATGTTGGTTGATATGGTTGTGTACTGTCTGCTGACGTGGTACATTGAAGGAGTTCATCCAGGTGGGCATGCAATTGCTGTACAAATTGGCTAAGATGTTTTAGATCTCGAGATATGAAAGTTACTTTACCTATGAGATTAATTTGATCCTGTGGTAACCTCCTTGATTTATTTGATCCTAAGGTGGTATTCTTGATTTATTTGATCCTGAGGTAACCTTCTTGAATTAATTGATCCTGAGGTAACCTCCTTGATTTATTTGATCCTGAGGTAACCTTCTTGATTTATTTGATCCTGAGGTAACCTTCTTGATTTATTTGATCCTGAGGTAACCTTCTTGATTTATTTGATCCTGAGGTAACCTTCTTGATTTATTTGATCCTGAGGTAACCTTCTTGATTTATTTGATCCTGAGGTAACCTTGATTTAATTGATCCTGAGGTAACCTTCTTGATTTATTTGCTCCTGAGGTAACCTTCTTGATTTATTTGATACTGAGGTAACCTTGATTTATTTGATTTATTTGATACTGAGGTAACCTTGATTTATTTGCTCCTGAGGTAACCTTCTTGATTTATTTGATCCTGAGGTAACCTTCTTGATTTATTTGCTCCTGAGGTAACCTTCTTGATTTATTTGATCCTGAGGTAACCTTGATTTATTTGATCCTGAGGTAACCTTCTTGATTTATTTGATCCTGAGGTAACCTTGATTTATTTGATCCTGAGGTAACCTTCTTGATTTATTTGATCCTGAGGTAACTTTCTTGCTTTATTTGATCCTGAGGTAACCTTTTTGATTTGTCCTTTATACAGGATCCTACGGTCTTCCCCGTCGATGGTACTTCCCTCTACAACGCTCTTATTGGTTTGGACATCAACCTGGTGATACCGACCATTCCGTCTGCTGTGATTGCTGCGTCCGTTGTCGGAGAGATCGTCATAGTCCATTGTCTGTAGTGGAAGAGAATCAAGCATGCTCTATGCACAGCAACATAAACAGTAAGGCTCAACTCAGTCAAATAATTAATACATCTAGTACGCCATTTATGTCCTTAAGAAACGGGAACCCCCTTTCCAAGTTGATGAATGTGCATTTCATTGATGAGCTTTATATCTGTCGTGTTACTTTCTTTTCAGGAAGTTGGATTTTTGGGTCAAAAATGAGTTTTTTTAATGACCGCGGATATGAAAAACTTTTTAAATACGGGACATTTGGGTAAAATACTGAAATGTTTGTTCTCTCCCTGGATCCTGACTGTAGTGAGCTAAAATCTCTTGGGGATTCATTTCTGGCATCTACTCACCTTGTGTGAACAGTTGACTTAATTTCGGGAAGTTGGATTTTTAGGTCAAAAATGTGTTTTTTTGATGACCGCGGATATGGAAAACGTTTCAGATTTGGGACATTTGGGTAAAATACTGAAATGTTTTTTTTTTCTCCCTGGATCCTGATTGTAGTGAGCTGAAATCTCGCAGGGATTAATTTCTGGCCTCTACCCACCTTGTGTGAACATTTGACCAAATTTCAGGAAGCTGGATTTTAGGGCCAAAAATGAGTTTTTTTGATGACCGCGGATATGAAAAACTTTTTAGATTTGGGACATTTGGGTAAAATACTGAAATGTTTGTTTTCTCCCTGGATCCTGACTGTAGTGAGCTGAAATATCTCAGGGAACTGCTCCATAGCCAGTGAATATGTGGTGTGAGACTTGTGTGTTTGCATGGTGGACATGAACAAAGCATGGAAGGATTACGGTAACACCATGTGAATATCATCTCTTTGTGAGCTGTGTGGTTCTGACAAGAACCAGTTGTTTTAACTTGGGGTTTGGAACAGTGTGCTCTGTTCGTCATAAGGAGACTGCCAGACTCTTGCAGGTGTAGGGATATGTTGTAGTTAGGAATCGGTCAGGAAATGATTAATCAATCAATCAATTATCTTTGTATGACAGGTGCCTACATGGAGCCAGATCCTACCCATCTACCATTGGGTGTCGGCATTGATAAGTTGAGCAAGGTGAGTATATCAGGCTATTATATAAACCTTGGTCAAGACGTTCGATGATAGTATCCGATGATCGATGGAACAGGAGCCCGGCTATGCACTCATACGTACTGTACGAAGCGCGAACAGCGACCTCACATGGCTAGGCTACAATTTGCATATCAATTTGCACTGGTCTTGGCACAAGGGACGCTTCGGCGGATCTTTTTTGGGCAATTTTCAATATTTTGTCGCTGGATTTATATCATGTTTGTTTCTTGTTTCTCTGTAATTTGCCTCTGAAGAAGGCCTTGCTTAGGCTGAAATATCAGGCCGCTCTAATTTTTTCAATTTCAATTCAATTCAAAGGTAACATTTATTTCCATACTCTCCACAAATAAGTCAAACTAAGGTTTCAAATAAAAAGAAGGTAATTGTATAAATTAAATAAATAATAATACAACAATGTAGTACAACGACTAAATATATTAAATGAGGGGGAAAAGTTTATGGGGCTGTTTATATAAACCGAAGCTTGTAGAGAACAGCCTAACACATAAACGGACAATACCGGACAGAAAACACAGACAATAGGAATAAACACGAAAACAGTCAAAGGGAAACTAAAGACAGACAAAACAAAACACGAGACGGGACACTAAAAACCGAGACAAATTGAATAGTTGCGATGAGGATAAGTTAAATCAAATTTAAGTTTGTATCGAGTTATATTTGGTCTGCAGACTCCAAACTTGTTGGAGAATGTAGTCACACTATCCAACTCTCTATTCATGTAAAATACGAGCATCCACGACCAAGTACTGAAGAATAATGTCAGCTTTATTCGCAAACTAGGTCGTCGCTGGAATTGCAGCGACAAAATAAAGAAAACCATAAGCCAAGGCGAACGGTTGTGCCAAGGCTTTCGTTCAGCACAAACTGATTTGCATATTGTAGCCTAGCCGCGTGAGGTACAGTGCGTGGCCACTGTTTATGTTAGCGGCCGACCATTGATCATCCGACACTATCGTGGAAAGCCTTGACCAAGGCCAGTTATTATAGTACCAAAAAATATTTGCTGCTCTATGTAATGAATGGAGTTAATTAATGAACCGATATTTTTCCTCGTCTTAAAAGGTAAAAAGAAGCAACTGTCTTCACCTAAAACAAATTTAGATGTTTGCTGTGTGGAATGACATATATGACCATGTATAATATTTGATAAAAAACTTACATTTTCGAATGACAGGTGTACCAAGCCGGTGGGAAGAGAGCTGTGAATAAACTGAGTTTGAAGTTCTACGAAGGACAGATCACCTCGTTTCTTGGCCACAACGGAGCAGGCAAAACGACCACAATGTGAGATATTTCAGTCTTGTCAATAGTAAAGAGAGAATGTAACAGAAAAAAAATAATAAAATTAGTAGCAATTGTGGTCGGGCCACTGGCACGTAAAGGCGCCTATGGCTGCCGGCCACATCGACCCATATATGACCACGGAGCACAGCCTGAGATCAAAAGTGTTTAATTTTCCCGGAGGGAGGAAAACCGGAGGGCCAGAAGAAAAAACCCTTGTGGCATAGGAGAGAACCAACGCACAACTCTACTCACATGCGATCCGCGGCCAGGATTCGAACCGTGGTCACCTTGGTGAGAGGCGAGCGCTTTACGCACAAGCCACCCATGCCACCGAACAATAACAAAGGAATGCTTTTCTCATAGTTTGTTGGAATAGCTTGTGACTTGACTTGCCACTGGATGACTTGTGATGATCTGTCATGGACTTGTGATGATCTGTGATGGACTTGTGATGGAGTTACGATTTACTTGTGAGGACTTGTGATAGACATGACTGCAATGGTGCACAGTGTAAATGCCTCAGGAATATAATATTGAAGTAACTTTTTCTGTACTACTATCATTTGCCTTTGACAAAGGTCTTGTTAAGACCGAAATGTTAGACCCTCTGAATATTTTTGATTAAAATTTTTCTTATAAGAATATTTTATTCCTGTCGTAGATCCATGTTGACTGGGCTCTTCCCGCCCACTTCTGGCACGGCTCACATCTACGGCTCGGACATCCGTTCCGACATGGACACGATACGTAAAAGCCTCGGCATGTGCCCTCAACATAACGCACTCTTTGACAAGTAAGCATTTTGTTTACAATTTAACCCTAACCTTCTTCAATTCTCCGCAATCCTTCAGGCTGTTTTGGAGGATTTTGGAGGATTTTGGATGTAGCAAAAAAATGTATCGGTTGATTGCGGAGGATGCATTATGTCAAGCCATCAGGCAGTACTATACTATACTATACTATTTTATTTCTCGGGAAAATATCAACAAATACATGTAAACAAATGACTAAAGTTACAACACAAAACAACAAAAGCTTTAGATACATAAACAAACAAACAAAAAACAAAATACCATTCAGCTCCCGAAGGATTGCCCAAAAGAAACGTTGTTTCTGTCTAGGGGTTCTCCAAACTGAATGGCATACGTGAAAACAACAAGCAATAAATATAAAAAGAAATCTTAACTATACAAAAAAAAAGTTAAATAAGTTACATTAAGTCAAGAACAAAGTTGGTAAATTATATAATTATTAGACAAACAAATCAAAAGCAAAAAAAACAAAAAACAAAAACAAAATTCAATTACATTTGTACTAGGTAAATTAAATGAATAAACAAAATTAATATGTACATTGTACTTCAACTACTACCACTACTACATGTACTACTACTACTACTTCTATTAATAGATAAATAAATAATTAGACAAGTTAGTAAGTTAGCCTAATTAATTAATTAATTAATTAAATAAATGAGTAAATATTGCATTTTTAATTCTTTAAATAAATAGTTATTAATAAATAACCAAAAATTACAGTTTTACAATAAAAAAAAAAAAAAAAAAAAAGATTCATAAAAAAAAAAAAAAAAAATTTAAAAAAGGTTTTAATTATATGAGGGGGTTGAAGAAGGTTAAATAAATAAGTTCAATAAAGTTCAGTATATCTACATTGTTTGTGTTCAGCCATGCATAAATCAGGCCTGCATTTTTCTGAATGTCATTGACTCTGCCTCGGCCATTAGCAGTAGTTTGGCGGAGGATTTTGAAGGATTTAGGCAGTGGTCACCCTCCATAGACTAAATAAACAAACCAAATTGATGAGTTTTTTGGGATGAGGCTGAATCGAATTTTTGTTATCCCCCTGGCTTTTAAGCCATACAGGGGGATATTGCGATTGTGTATTCTTCCTGTGTGTCCTTGTGTTCCTGCATGGCATTACGCCTGAGGACAGACAACAAAAGGAGCACAAAGGGGCCATTGATCCTCGAAGGAAGGTGCCTATTGTCCTCGAACGCAGGTTTGTGTGCTTAGTCTATGGGAGAGTGTTATATTACAGGGACAAAGGAAAACACAAAGCCAATCCTCGGAAGCATAGCAAAAAACGACTGTGTGTGTATGGGTGAGTAGGTTTATGGTGTAAATCGTGGACACACACATGCAACATCATCGATGAATTGAGAACAGAAACCAAATCGAGGAAGACCTCGATTAGAAAACGTGTACAAAAACCAATGAGAGCTTTTGCAAAAAAGTAAGAGTATAAACGAGGGAAAAGGGAAGAGGAACAGTAGAAAATCCTCGATTTACACCATAAACCATAAATTTACACCGAACAAAAGAGGTCCACATAAACCAGGTAGAGGAGACGTTGTGTGGACTTGGGCAAATCCACACAGTGTTTCCCTCTTTCTGGAAAACAGGTTTAGAGGCATTTTTTGGGTTAGGTTTATCTGTGGCAAAATGAAGGGGACACTAAAGGGAATCATAGCAAAAAATTGGATTGAAAGGGTTTTCACAGTGAGAGTAAAATAATTTTTTTTCGGAGGTTTTTCTTAACTACATGAAACCAAGGGAATGTCCACACTTGGTATGTAACATATTGTTTGTGCCTTAACCCCAGGTCCACGATTGCCGGTGTTTACACATCATGTTTGTTATGGTGTAAATCGAGGGTTTTCTATTGTTCCTCTTCCTCTTTCCTTTGCAACAGCTCTCATTGGTTTTGTATACGTTTTCTAACCGAGGAGTCCTCGATTTGGTTCCTGTCCTCAATTCATTGATGATTTTGCCTGTGTGTGTCCTCGATTTACACCATAAACACGTCATAGGACGTGGACCCCCTGTAGTCCCTCATTCCTTCAGGAATTGTGGACCCTGTTGTCCTCTATTGTTCAACGTCTCCTATTGAATGCAGAAACAAACTCCTGCCTACCCACGGACGGACAAGGAAGAAACAGAATGCCCCTCGACTTTGTCGGCGCGAGTCATAAAAATGGTCTCTTTAATTGCCACATTTACTGAGCACTGAAGCATTTTGTACTTTTTGGTTAGCATACATGTACTCCACAGTTTTTGGCGGTTCCTCAACGACGTACTGCGTATTATGGACAACTTGAGTGACCTTTTCAATAAAAACTATATATATTTTTTTTTTCAAATCTAATTTGACATCAGATTAAATTTTGATGTTCAGAGAAAAGGTCAGCCTGTGTCCCATAAAACTAACACAAAAAATTAACATTGGTGTCATTTAAAATTATAACGTTATTTAACTTTTCAACCCCATACAGCTCAACATGTTTTTTTTTATTGTACTCTCTTTGTATTCTTTCTCAAAAGCAGATTTCCATTTGTTGGGAAAAAAATCTTCGTAGAAAAGAAGCGTTTTGGAAACCCCTTTTGTATCAATCTTCACTGAAAAGAAAGAGCAAAACAACATTCCACAAGCAAACGAAAGGCATATTTGTTAACCCTCTTTATGGTTTTGCTATAGGAACCTGCCTAATCATTAAAAATACACGAAACTGTGTTCACATTTCCGGGCTTTGCCCTTCACAGATGTACTTTTATAAACATCGTATACTCAGTGTTTTCCGAGGACTTGCGAGAAAAAGTTTGCAGGCTTCAATACTCGGATGGGACTCGAACCCATGACCTCCTGTTTACTAGTGAAGATTTCTTGCATGATCGAATCTGATGTAGCAGCGGGTATACTGAAACCAAACTATGCGTCGTCACAGAGAAAGTCAACGGTCGGAGAGAAAGTCAACGTGCACATTCCTATACTTACCGTACTGTCCAGGGACATTAATGAATACCTTGGAGGGTTGATACCTTCTGATTGGTCGAGACTTGATCACGTGTGGGTGTATTAACATGTGATATAAAGACCGGCTTCAAGAACAAGCGAAAAGTTTGCCGGGCACCTGAAGCAGCATTGATCCAGCATCATATAAGCCTTAATTGGACAAATATACAACAGTCCTACGGTGGCTTGTAACAATACAGCCAACCACCATCGTGTGAAGACTTACGCGCCCCTATGCAACACAGTTGCTATGCGGGGCGTGCATACGCGCGTGTAAAATTCTTCCTATGTTCATACTGAGGATGTTACGTTTCACGACGAAAGCATGGATCTACGATTTATTTTCTGTAAACACGTCACCCACGGACATATTTACTTTTCTAAACCGAGCATCTTTGTAATTCTGGACACAAGGAATGTAAACCAGTAACCACTGTTTGTGGATTTGGATGCTGAAAGCTGGTAAATGGGGGACTACTGTCACACTTGTCGGGTCTAGAGTGGACAATGAAATAGGGCAACGAACTCAGAAACTACTGAAGTGTGTGTGTAATTCTATGCAGGAAATAATAAAAACAAAACAAAATGGCAAACTGACTATGTGCATGTACATAATTATAACAAAGTTGAACAAAGAGCGTCGCTCATCATACAGGTGAGGGCTGCACAAAAGATGGGATAGAAAAGAAAGTCTAAGAAAACAAAGAACAAAATACATGTAGATCAGGCTCATGTAGAAAGATACGTTTATAGTTTTTCTACTTAAAACTATTTATAAACAATTTTAAATGAGGTAGTGTACCAAATACATCTCGGCTACACATTACTATGTATAAAAAAGACAAAAGGCAAAAAAAAAGGGCAATTCTAGTACCGTGACAGAGTTACAGAATTGTACCATGAGTCTTTCTTCAAGAGACAAACACATTTGTACGATCCATCGGTGGCCTCCAGTTGTGTCACGTTTAACAAAGCGAAACTAATTTCCCGCACGCACAATTGCACCGACAAACTGCACAAAGTCACCAATAATAGGATTGCGGTAGCTCTGAATTTCATGCAAGACTGCATGTTGAATGCGGTCAAAATAATCCAGACATCTGATAAATCATGCAGAAATAAAAAAAAATTGAGTTGCCAATTCATGTTTACTATAAACCGTGCCATGTCCATATGTTTTTGTTTCTTATGGCTATATTCAGTTAATATACAACATTCGCAAACATCAAAAAACAAAATAATCAAATTATTACGAATTACATGTACCTTACTTTATAATTGACTGCACAATGTACATAAATTTGCACATGAATAATATAGTCTCACCCTCCCTGTGAAATCATGGCTCCCGGTGTGCTGTCATTATTCAGAAAAGTGGAATTTTTTATATCAATTTCCAACGATGGTCGGCCGAGGATTGTTGGAAAAAAAACTGATTTCCCCCCCCCCCCCCCAAAAAAATACTGCCCCAATGTACCAAATTTAGTTAGTCCACATTTTGTTTGCAATCAGTTACACATCCGTGAACAGATGCCAGCCAGCTAGTCTGGCTCCCTGACCTGACAATTCCCCGACGTCTATAAATTACTCTGTTTCATCTGAAGCAGGTTCAGGAAACCAGACTGCAAGAACAGCATTTTTTCTTTTTTTTTCTTTTCAGCATCTATGAACACAAAACTTTAAACAGAGGTCAGTTTTACTAACCCCAAAATCCATCAATTTTTGACAATAACACCAAAAGCAAATGCTGTATAATAGATTTATACCTGTAGTACCTGGTACATACATTATTAGTTATCTTGCGAGCGCGAGTGGAACACGGAATAATGTAGTACGTCTGTGTCCCACATACCACGAGACCGAAGGCCGAGTGGTATGTGGGACACAGACGCACTACATTTTCCGTGTTCCACGAGCGCGAGCGCGATAACGAATTTATCTTCAAGCAAACTTGACGCACAGTAAAGTTGGAACACGCATGCTGTGTAACCTACGCGCAACTTTTGAATTCACAGTGAATTGTGCAGCACTAATCGCGTCATGTAGGCTTAGAATAGCGCAATACGCAGAGTGCGGTATGAACCGTGGTTGTGCGGTATGGTTATATGTAGCACGGCTTGTTGCCATGGATCGACCAATCAGGATCGAGGATTCAAGTTTGCTTGAAGATAATGTACATTGTAATATATACAATATACATGTACAGGTACACATTAAACCAATTAACCATTGCATGAGCACTACATAATGTAGGCAGTTTCGAGAGGTATACAGAGAGTAATTATAGGCAAGGCAGTTTGAGGTAGTATAAGGACTCTATATACAGTTAACATGTACACCTACATGTACATGTAATACGTTTTATGGTTTTTTAGCTGTTCCCAATTTCAAAAGTTACAACCATCTCTACAACCACCGTGAACCAGTAGGCTGATTCACGGTCGCTACAGTATCGATTCTAACAGGTGGCTGGTACCAGTCTACATTGGAAGTTGCAAGGCTGGCATTTTTGTCAGCACACAAATAATTTGAATCTTAAGCACACTTAAGTAAAGTAATTAAAGTTTCCATAACAAAAATGTGGATTGAATTTTGTTTTACATACCGGTACATGTTTAAATCAAGTGAATAACAAGAAAAATAGCCAGATTAAGTCCAAAACAGCAAGGACTATTCAAATAAATCTTTGAAGGTTAAATACAAGTTTGTACAAAACTGAAAGCTCTGCTTTTACTGCACAGTGTTGTATTTTGAAAATCTGGAAAGACTGGCCCCAAGTTTCACAAACACATAATAACATTTACCTGAGTATGAGTCTGCAAAATAAGGGAATAAATGTTTGTTTTGCCAGTTTGCTTGCTCTTCCAATCCTGAATCTGTCCTGAGTCTATCCTTAGTCTATCCTGAGTATATCCTGAATCCATCCTGAATTGTGGGAAGGAGCACTTACATCCTGAATCATGGGAAGAGATAGTGCTTGTAAAAGTCTTGCTTGTTTTCCAGTCTTGCTTGTTTGCCAGGCAACATCACAGCTGTACGTGACTTATGCAGACATACTATTCATACGACATATGGTACACATGAATATACGGCTCGAACATGCAGTACATTATGGTCTTCAAGATTTCTGAAAAATCAAAGGTGTCTAATCACTGCTTTCTTGGTCAGCCGAATTACGTGATCCGGGCAGGAGCCTGTGAAGTACTTCGGGGTCAACAAGAGAACCTGGTGGTTCGGTGTTTTTACGCACAGTTGAGCTTTCCCGGACCTCTGGGCTTCCAACCTCCAGTGTCGGCAGGTGATCAGAGTCTAACTGCTGGTCAGAACCAATGGTTGTCATCTTTAGATTTTCAGATTGTTCGCTGGCACTGTTCTGAGCAGGCCCTGAAGTCTGCTGTCCCTGCCTGGACTGTCTCCATCTGAATTTGTCCTCGCAAGTGGCACAACAGGTCGACATACCTGACCTAACCCCATGTCTAAAAATGCAGCTCAAACAATATGCCGCTGGTGTGCTTGTAAACCTGTAACACAGAACAAAAGGATGCAAAAACAAATTAATGCTCCTTTGAGTTTTTTGTGTGCACCACTGCCCCTAACTGATCTTCAAGTTCAATGTGTCTTTCGTTGGAATTTTCTTCATCTCATGAGCAGTTCAATACTTGTACATTCCAAAGTGACTACAGTACCTTCAGAAAAACACAGCCCAGAAGCAGACCACATCTTCTGTGCATGTACATGTGTGTGAACTACAGGTAGAGAATATTGCCTTTATGCCCGACGTACCCGGTACAAATTCTCTTGCACAACTGGAAACTGTCATGAATTACCAGTACATGATATTGTCAGCGCCCCTACACATACACGTACCAACAGCAACTGTACTAAAATGCAAAGGATTTTGCAATTTGCATGGTTTCTGGTTCCACCATTCTGAATGTACCATTAATGTACTGTACGTGACCTGAAGGAACCAAGTTTAATAGACCGATCACTGAACTCTCAATTCCTGAAAGCTGTGTAGTCTATAAATTGCATAGTAGATCAGGGAACCAAACAAACAAAAACAGCTGATGCGCGTGGGTGTTTACATACATGTGGAGCCCGCGGTGTGTGACATTAGGGTTACATTTTCTAGGCTATATGCTGATGACAAATTATTTTGGATGTCTGCCAACAGATCTGGCAGCACACAAATCGATCCCAAACCTGCTTTGGTAATGTCACGTGACTTTGAAAGACGTTCATGTTGTCCGGAAATTCGGCACCCTGTGCAAACCATCACCAACGTCAGAAAAAACTTCCATTTTAACCACTTCCACATGAACAAATGGCTGCAATCATCTTTTCATCTTAAACCCTATCTTACAAGGAATCCTAAAAACTTGAAAAAATAGTTCACCTTTTACGGAGAGATTTTTAATCCCATGTTTTTTGCAAGAATGCGTCGCAAGCTTCTGTTATTTTTTATTGAAAACTCGATTGCAACATAGGTGGTCACGTGGGCAGGCCAGTTCACTATTTATGTAGGGGTGCCGTATTTCGGGACGTGCCGAAATTCAGGATGTCTACCCTACATGTACATGGACCAATCATTAACTTACAATGTACTGGTACATGTACATGTACAAAGCTTGGGATCTTTCCAGGGCAAAGTTCCAGAGAGGGCCAATAGATTGAGCCTATAAGGTACATGTTCCCATTAAAGAGGGATTGTGGTACACAACTATTTATACAGGGGTGCTGTATTTCGGGACGTGCCGAAATTCAGGACGTCTACCCTACATGTACATGGACCAATCGTTAACTTACAATGTACATGTACATGTACGAAGCTTGGGATCTTTCCAGGGCAAAGTTCCAGAGAGGACCAATAGATCGAGCCTATGAGGAACATGTTCCCATTAAAGAGGGACTGTGGTACACAACACTCATTGGTACGATGTTACCGTTCACTTACATTGTATCACTCATCAATATCCTTTTTTCATAAAGCTTTTTGAACTATTGTAATTAAGCTTCTATTATTTAGAGTATTAAGACATTGTGCTAAACTGACGTGTACCTTTGTGTACTATTTTCAAGATAACTTGAATCCTCGATGGTGATTTGTCGATCCATGGAAAACAATTAAACCGTGCCATCATCCCTTGTTGTAGCACGGTACCATCTGTTACATTCCCGCTACATGCACATGTACATGCTTGTTTACAAGGGGGGGGGAGGGAGGCACGGGGGGGGGGGGGGGGGGGGGGGGGGGGGGGGGGAGGTAACACACTGAGTATACAGTGTTTAAATGGGGACGCAATAATTCCATTTTATAATGTTCAACTTCCATTCCAAGCTCCCATCTTCATTCCACTTTGCCCAATACAAAAACACTAACCTTGCTCTACCTTTCTTACTAGGTTTATTGCTAATCCCTTCTGCTAGGTATGACGCTTTCCATTTTTGTTAGGTACACTGAAAATTGTCCTTACTAACTGCCTGTACAGTTATACAAACTGCCAGGCTGCCAGGGGCGTCGTGCAAGTTTCTTGCAGTATTTTGAATGGTGGTAATTAGAGGATTTTGCAGGATTGAGGTTGCATCCTAGCTAGAGGACCTAGGGGTTTAGGGCAGAATTAATTTTAGAGAATTTGTTTTTATTATATATTCTAGTTTGAGTTTGGACACTTGGTTTTTCTTTCATTAACATGAACAATTGGAGACCTTTTTTTTGCAGCTGTTTCAGAATCCAGCCTGTGATGTGGTTTGTTTAAATTTTCAATACTTGAATTATGAGTTGTTGTTTTTTATCGAGAAAACTTTTTTCCCCAACGCAGACTGACAGTAGAGGAACATATCTGGTTTTACTGCTTACTGAAAGGTGTTCCAAGCTCTCTCATCAAATCAGAAATGACCAAGTAAGTATGTTCTTTTTTTAATTGATGTTTTCCATAATGTTGTTGAAAAGATGGGATTTCTTGGTGTCAATTCCATTTTTGTGAATCTCTAAATTGCATAAAAGTTTAAAGGTAGGGTACATCATTTGCAGCCTTCCAGAATTGTTGTTGAAAAAACTGACTTGGTTTACAGATAGTAATGGCAATAAACTCTCTTTGTCATTTCGAAAAAAAAACAATAAAAGGGCCATTTCCAAAGGTGCGTCAAGTGACACATTTTTAGAAATTTCTGTTAATAGTTGATTTGTAATCTGGCAAATCTGTGCATGGGTGCGCGTAAGTGTTAACACGACACGTGCACGTGCAGTTGCTGTTATTTGTCGGTTCAGTGCATGACATCCATAGCTGCAGTCAGCTGAATAAGAACGTGTCCAGGATGCTGATTTCGGGCACAATTCAAAACATGATTTGGCAGAGTTGTAACCAAGTAATTTTTTTTCAAGTCAAGTCAAGTCCCAAGTCTAATTTTAGCAAGTCAAGTCAAGTCTCGAGTCAATTTTTTTTCAAGTCAAGTCAAGCCTCGAGTCATTAAAAAAAAGAAATATTAGATGCACGTACTACGTACGTGAACCAGTTTATGTGTTCGACGACGGAGCCAGAGTAGGGAATGTATAAAGGAGATAAAAAAAATCATACTTTTCAAACATCCTCTATCAAACGCCTTATTTGTATCCAAAACACATTTTGATATATTTTCAAACTTCTTGTTGAATGTTTGAAGGACGTCTGACAAAATATCCCTCCGAACGTTTTCGTTTAATACATGATGCGAATTCTTGTTGCTTTATAGCGGATTGGGGGTAGCAGCCATTTTCCAGTCGTTTAAACCCTAGTTGCATTTAGCACGCTTACCGGTAAACCACTCAATGTCTACATACGTGTAACCTGTAATTATGGTCTCCGCTATGGAATGACCGCTCTTATAACAATGGATGGTACTCAGACTACGCACGGCACAAACTTCACCTCGCATGCAGGAGGAGGTTCAGTATGATACGCTGTCCATAACACACGCACACATAGATAGTCATGTACATGATGTGTGGCAGGCTCAGGATTCCCAGCTATCGCGAGCTGGTTGCTAATTTGCTATGTATTCTCTGCATTCTTTTCAACTGATTTTGCTAGTGCACACAAACACCCAGATGTTTGTGTTTTTTTGTAACTTTGAGAAATGTGTTAATGTCTGCAAGTCGAATTTATTCGAGTCAAGTCAAGTCTCAAGTCATATTTTTTCAAGTCAAGTCAAGTCTCAAGTCATTTTTTGTCAAGTCAAGTCAAGTCTCGAGTAAAAAAAAATAGCGACTCGAGTCAACAACACTGTGACTTGGCAACTTTGGAATTGAAATCGAGATCTTAGAATTTTGTTTTCTTGGAATATACAGCATTCGCTGAGCTAAAAGCTCATCTGGCTAGTTGTTAAGCACCGGTCTTTAGATTTTGAGCACTTTTTTTGCTTCAACGGAAAAAATGCACAAATGGCAAATGATCTACTCTACCTTTAAATTGTTGTTAAAGTTTAAATTAAATATTATTTTGAAGTCATTTTCGTTTCATAGACAGTGTCTAAATGTGTCTGAAAGTCTGAGTACTTTTATATCCTGTAACTAAATCATTTTCTTTTGAATTGTGACATCAGGATGATCACAGACATTGGCCTGTTGAAGAAGCGTAGCAGTGTCGTCAACACTTTGTCTGGTGGCATGCAGCGTAAACTCTCCGTTGCGATAGCGTTTGTTGGTGGTTCTCGGACGGTCATACTTGATGAACCTACTGCGGGGGTCGACCCGTGTGCTCGCCGAGCTATTTGGGAGCTCCTCCTTAAATATAAGCAAGGTATGACTGCAAGGCTACCTTATGTGATGATGAATACAAGTAAGGTTTGGGAGCCAGAGTACCTTAGAGAAATACTTGTTCAATGTAAGCAAAGTATGACTGCCAGGCTACCTTATGTGATAGTAAATACAAGTAAGGTTTGGGAGCCAGGGTACCTTTGAGAAATATACTTATTCAATGTAAGCAAAGTATGACTGCCAGGCTACCTAATGTTTGGGAGCCAGGGTACGTACCTTTGAGAAATATACTTATTCAATGTAAGCAAAGTATGACTGCCAGGCTACCTTACGTGATAATACATGTTATACAAAGTAAGGTTCGGGAGCCAGGGTACCTTAGAGAAAAACTTATTCAATGTAAGCAAGGTATGACTGCCAGGCAACCTTATGTGATAATACATACAAAGTAAGGTTTGGGAGCCAGGGTACCTTGGAGAAATACTTATTCAATATATTAAGCAAGGTATGACTGCCAGGCTACCTTATGTGATAATAAATACAAGTAAGGATCGGGAGCCAGGGTACCTTTACTTATTCAATATAAACAAGGTATGACTGGCAGGCTACATTTATGAAATACTCAATATATACAAGCAATGTATGGCAGCCAAGCTACCTTATGAAATAATAAATACGAAGTAGATATGTCAGGCTAGCTTATGAAATACTAAATAAATATAAATGAGGCACTGCAGCTTGGTTACTGTATGAAATACTCCATAAATAAGGGCAAGGTGTGGCAGGCAAGCTATAAACACAAGGAAATTATGTCAGCCGTGCTAGCTTACTGCACCTATCAATTGTATGACACACCCCTGGGAATGGTGTGTCATTGTCCAACAGTGGATCATCTTTTTGTGGAATCTAGATACTAGAGACTACCCAGTAGTTAGATTAATGAAGCACCAAATGTGTAGTTTTTATGCTATTTGGCAACATTTTTGGCCCACCTTTCACAGTTTGTGTTGCGCCTACTGAGGAAAAGTGGTCACCCAAAAAATTGTTTGACACACCAAATCATGACTTGACGCACCCCTGTGTCACAGCCATGTAGAACAGGATGCACACTGGACGCACCATGCTGGGGGTCATGGGGTCCGTCCTATAATTGACAGGTGCATACGTAGTAATCAAATGAAATATCTGTTTTTATCTAAAAAGCAAAACTGTGCATGGTAGTTTCGTTGTTATAGTAAAAATATCTCGTATTTTTGTCCCTTTTAAACTGGCCAGGTCGGACCATTATTCTGTGCACCCATCACATGGATGAAGCTGACATCCTCGGCGACCGGATCGCCATCTTGTCTAACGGTGAACTCAAGTGTGTTGGTTCCTCACTGTTTCTCAAGGCAACGTTTGGTGACGGGTACCAGCTAACCCTCATCAAGAAGCCAGTCGCACCCAGTGAGAATTGTAACCGTTCAAGCACATCGCAAACGAACGACGGTAAGAACTAAAAATCAGCATTGGGTTTTGCCCTTCACCAACGCATTTTTATAAGCTCTGTATACTCAGTGTTGTCCCGAGTAATTGTGAGAAAAAAAAAAACACTCGGGTGGGACTCGAACCCACGACCTCCTGCAGTTGCTGTTATTCGTCGGTTCAGTGCGTGAAATCGCGTATCTGCAATCGGCTGAGTGAGAACGTCTCCCGGGTGCTGATTTTGGGCGCAATTCAAAACGTGACTCGGCAACTTTTGAATTGAAATTGAGATCCTAGAATATTGTTTTCTTGGAATATACAGCATTCACAGAGCTCAAATTTCATCAGGTTAGTTGTTAAGCACCCGTCTTTAGATTTTGAGCTCTTTGGTTGCTTCAAACGAAAAAAAAAACGCACCAATGACAAATGATCTGCTCGACCTTAAATACTGATTGGTTGCAATTTCCTGCTGCTGTATCTTACTTGAACCAACCAACCGACCCTATCAATCTTGGTTATCTGTTCATGTGTAATTTGTGTATTGTTACATTCCCTAGAACCACAACAAAACTCTCCAAGAAACGACTCCTTCTTCTCCAACTGCTGCACCAAAGACGTCACCGAATTCATCCAGCAACACGTTGCCAGGGCGACGCTTTCCTCCGAGACTCTACGAGAGTTGACGTACGTCCTGCCCACCGAGGCCATGCAGAAGGGAACGTTGGAAGATCTGTTCCAGGAACTGACCGAGGAGAAACTGGAAGCCTTGAATCTGTCAGGATATGGATTGATGGATTCATCCTTGGAAGAGGTCTTCCTGAAAGTCGCGGATAGGTTTGGAGTCAATAAAGTCGGTAAGAGATGCTACAAAGTCCTGAGGTGTTAAAGAAGTTTGGCTATTTTTTTTCTCAATATTGCTCATTTATGATATTGAGAGAAGGACTCTTGGCAGTTTCTATCATCACGAGTACTGTACCACAATCATTTTATTAATCCTCACAGAGAGGAAAATGAGGCAAAAGCCATGATAAAGTATTTGGAGGAAAATTTCAGAGATAAAACCGAGGAGATTGCCATGAACTAAGTCCTATATGTGATGCGATCAAGCTAAATGAGTCGTTTGTCGGGAACTTTCATTTGGAGATTCAGGCCAAAGTAGGGCCACTTTATCACATCACTTCATCACATCTCTTGGTGTTCCGACTTCCATAATGTTTGAACTATAGATGGTACCAGCATGGGGTTTTCTACAGCAGTAATGCTGAAGTTGTACTCTTTTAAAATCTGTAAAAAATAATTGACCAGGGTCGACAAACGACTCATTTAGCTTGATCACATCACATATGTTGAAATTGAATTTATAAATATGTTATTTCAAGCTTGCGATTAGCAAAATTTGTGTTATATTATTAAATGATTATTTCCCCTTACTATTTTATTTTAGATGGAGAGTCATCTTCCGACTACTCCACAGTAGACTATCCCCTCCCAACACAGCCATCCAGTAGTGACACACCTCCGGGGGAAGTGGAACTGTCCAATGTCAGTCAGTTCCATCGCAGTAGCAGTGTATCAGATGAGGTCTTCACGGGACAGGCCCACTCTCAGACTAGGGGAGGTTACAGTTCAGTATCGCAGGAGGAGCAACAAACTGGTAAAGTTTTTGCTGTACTGACCTACTTGGGATTAAAATTCAGAACTGATGAGCAGAAGATACTGCTAAGCAGATTTATAATGCCAAGCAATTATAGGCTGGGAACCAATCCGATCCAGTTCTGCCAACTCTCCCTGATTCTGCAGAAAGTTCCCTGAAAATAAACCAATATTTCCGTGTTCTGATGAACAAATTTGAAAATCTGCCTGATTATGCAAACTTTTGCCCTATTATGTTGATTGTAATTCTAAATATGTCCTTGATGGTTGTATAAAATCTCCCTGATTGCAAGATGGAAATGTTGGCAGGTCAGCAATCGTGAGAAATATTTCTTGCATGAGACTTTGGCTTATATTTTGATTTTGCTATAAAGCAATATATATTTTTTCTTTTTTGGGGGGGGGGGCAAATATATCCCGTGGAACCTTGTTGAGGTGACTGCAAGCAAGGGTTTGTTGCTAGATACATTGTGTATCTTGATCAGAACTAACGCAAGTACAAAGCCTAAACGACGTGGTGTTCGGGGCCCGCTTAAGGGCTCCGAAGAATTGTTGGATTCTAGACACTCTGTGGTATGATCTGAGGCTATTTCTGACCACTTTAACCAATATTTTTTTTTTTTGAAAAAAATCATCATTTAAACATCATTTTCGAGTTTGGAGTAATTGAATAAGCTATTCTGAGCTATAGAATACATAGAAATATAGAATGAAGGCTACATTTTTTTTTCAGGGACGAAAGTAGTTGAGAGAGGGGAAAACGACAACGTCAGTTGGTGAAATCGAAAATTCTGAGAGAGAGCCTAATTTTTTTTAAAAACTTTTCTCTGCGGTGGGTGTGTGTGTGTGGCTAGGCCTATATGTATATTATGGCACACTGCGATATTTTTGTAGGCCCCCAAATTGTCCGTAGGCCCCTGAATTTTTCGTAGGCCGTAGGCACATTGCCCACTGTGCCTATTGAATAAACCGGGCCTGCCTGTAACTGGTGGTTACCAACTGTTGGCTGGTGGAAATAAAATAAATGAATAAATCAATACTTTTTCATACCTATCAGACCCTCTTCATGTCTAAAACACTTATTTTTAGAATGTGTGTTTTCTTTCCTCTTTTCGTTGATTGACTTCAGCATCCTCGACCCACTTGGACGACACAGGCTCCTATTTACTGACGGGCATCTTGCTACAACTCAGTCAGTTCCAAGCGTTGATGATCAAGCGCTTCCACTACACCAGACACAACCGCAAGAGTCTCTTCACGCAGCTGATCCTACCGGCGTTCTTCGTTTGCATCGCGATGAGCGTCGCGCTGTCCGCTCCCAAAGTGGGCAACTTCCCTCCGCGGATCCTGACGCCGTCGCAGTACCACCCGTTGACCTACCCTGACAATACATATTCAGTGTATGCAAATGAGGCTCTGAATAACAGGCGGAGCTATCATATCTACCGCTCAGTTAACGGCGATGCTGATCCGACACAATTGACATCCACATTAAGGTAAATGTTAAGCATTTTTTTTTTTTTTTAAGATGAAATATGAAAGACGTAAATGTGAATTCACAAGATAAACATGCCATCACAGATGCACTACAGCTTTGACGTTTTGGTGGCATGGGTGGCTAGTGCGTAAAGCACCCACCTCTCACCAATGTGACTCGGGTTCGATTCCCGGCTCGGACCATATGTGAGTCGAGTTGTGTGAGTTGATTCTCTCCTGTGCCACGAGGGTTTTTCTCTGGGCCCTCCAATTTTCCTCCCTCTGTAAAAATCAACAATCTCTGGCTGTGCTCCATGGTCAGACATGGGTCGTATGTCGGCAGCCTAAGGCCCCTTTACATGCCTTCCGCTCAAACACGTTGTAACCGTATCCTTCACAATTCAGCTTCTCAGCTGCGAGTAAGAATGAATAGCCCCCCCCCCCCAACCTATTATTTTTTGTGTTATTATTACTATTACTATTTTGCTTACAACTACAAATTTGTCTTAAGCACTAAGCTAAATTGGTCAGCTTGATGATTTGATCCAGTGAAATAATTGATTTGATCGTTACATATCATTAACCCTAACTCCCTTGCATGATTAACTAGGAACCATACCCATCCTGGCAAATTCCAACACCATATGGGAAACTGCACACACATATTTCTTTCTTTGTTTCTGGAGGTGTGCTAACCCAATGTAAAAGACTGTAGAGGTACTGCACCCATCCTAACAGATTCCAACAAAACATGCCGTTGGGGTTTGATGGGTTGAGTTCTGTTAGGGTTAATGAAATTCCTGTTGTCAAATCATGTGTGCTTTCCGAAACCTCAGAGTTTTCATTTATGTCTTGAAATAAAATTCACTATTTTAAAGTCGTCTTGATAAAATTTGAACAGATAAAGCAGAATTGGAAGGCAAGGAATTGAGTTCCAACCTTACTTTAATGAAATTAACATCCTTTTTGCACAGATACCCGGCAGGGATCGGCGCAAGTTGTGTCCTGAAGACACCTTGGAATGGCACCTTGGACAGACTGGTCCAGTCCAACAACTACTCATCCAGTGTCAATCTTCGAGGCAAATACTTTGATCGAATGTGCGAGGAATCCTTCAAGAAGGGAGAACCGTTGTCCAACTACGTCCCCGAGATCCCCCACGAGCCACCTCCGCCCGAGGAGTCCGAGTTTGATGGTGAGGCTGTTTGTTCAGACTGAATATCGTTTCATCCCAAAGTTGGATATTTTGCTCATATTTGTAATTACATCCTCACCTTGGAAATTAGTACAAGGGGCTCCGTGCGCAAGTACCCCCTCATTGACCATCGGGTGAGACATTCGAACGCGTCGCAGACGACGCCTGACGCAAAGACGTTATGACTCTGTGCACATTTAGAATAAACTAATGCGTGCCTACTTTGCGTTGTACGTACGCGAACCAGTAGGTGCACACGGTGTGCCCTGTCCACAGGACTTTCAAAAGTGATAAAAAGGCGCCCTCTCTTGTTGGCGCACGTAGCCCATAAACTGAGCTATGAAGCAGGTGTTCGTGGGTATTTGAATTTCAGACACTCAGACACTGGGGCTACAGTGTGTGGGATATCTTCCTCTTTCTAAACACTTAGTACTCAGGTTAGGTTTAGTTAAAAAAAAATGGCAGGGAATTGTTTTCTATTTTTGAATGAAAGTATTCAATTCACCACCATGTAAAAAAATTTTAACTAATGACAAACTAATGAGCATTCTTGTTGTAAAGACACACAAGCAGAATGTTTGATTACTTCCCTTGCGCATACTCGTATTTTCGTCTTGGGTATAGATGCACATGCACAATTTGTAACAATAAGCGAACGATCTCGGGTTACTTGAGGTCGAGCCATAGCAACCAGACCGGGTCAAGAGGTCACGTGCAGCGATCAAATCCCCTTTGCAAAATGCAAATGGTTTTGAGCTGTGGAGAGCAAGCCATGGTGGCCACCACTGTGCTTGCTCTTCCAAAGTGAACAAGAAATGCCGGGTATATCCTTGCTCTATGTTTAAAATTAACTTAAATTTCCTCCCGTCGTCTACTACTAGTGTGAAGTGAAGCTGAGACACTTTCGAATCTCCCACCACCGCAGCGTTAGTCTTAGCTGCCATGTTTTCGCATTATATTGTGGGCTTCTTTACCCAAGTAACCAGCTCAGAGGGTTGCAGACCAGTAAATAAACTTCCATAGACCCTAATGGTAAATGCTCCCACTTCAGAAATTCGGGAAAAATACTCACAACTCTCCAAGGTGTTTGAGACACACATCAAATTAAAGCTTATTTCGTCATCTTTCATTTTCTTTTCAATTTTTGGGGGGTCAACTGATGACTTTTAGGAGAAATTTCCATCCGAAGATGATCACCCCCTGAAAATAGTCCTGAAGCCCATCGCCATTTTGAAAAACGATGCCTACACTCCATTGCAAAATAGAGCGCTTTAAAGGCCCCAATTTCATCCAAATTGAACGGAACTACAAGCTCACAGTCCTGTGCACGGCTTCCACCCATATTTTTTACAAACCCCCAAGTTCATGGCCCACAGCATGCTCAAATACTGAAGATTTTGCGGGCATGCAAATCGTGATTTGGCCGGCGTAGGCAATTTCGGACCGATTTACTGGTCTGCAACCAGAGGGTTGGTGCTCGGGCCAGGCTCAAGCAAGTGCGAGAAGTCACGTGAGAGTTCAATCGAATGCAGTTGCGCTTGCACGCGTAAGCGCGGGGGAAGTAATCGAATGCGCTCCTTGTATTCCTTGGCCACAGTAGTTTTTTTTTTCTTAAAATCAGAGGATTGAAAATTGATAACCAGACAACTTTTGAATTGCAGTGCATTTCCCTATCCCCTGGTATGATCAGTACATGCATGAACTGTGTGAACCAGCCATATTTGCATGATACCAGTCAGCTAACCTTTGACCCCCCGGTTATTTGTGTAATGATTCCCTTAACGTTTTATTTGTCTTTGAAATTGCTTTCTCCCCGTTTGTTGTGTGGACCATGTTATAGATGGTGGTGCATCTTTTACGAGTAAGTATAATTGTATGTTTAAATTGCGCAACGCTTTGTGGTTGAAGTGCAGACCCAGTTTGATACCCCCCCTCCCTTCAGAAAACAAAATCAATTTGGAGCGGTGTCTACCGAGTGAAAATGTTGACTCCAAAATCTGGCTCGTACAGCTGACAAACGTGAAGCAAATTTGATATAAGTATTTACTTGTGGTGTCCCAAATTTGCATTCTATTTGCATTTGTACAAAGGCATTTGTGTTTGCTACTTTTCAGGTATCCTAAACAATTTGGACTTTTCAAATAAATTCAAGCAGCAATAAATCCAAACGTAGTACAGTTTGTAACTGGATAAGCACTTCAACATGCTCGTGAATAATAAAGCATTCTTATTGCACTGTGTCATGCCCTATCCATACAGCTTAAACACATTTGTTTTTAATGCTTCTTTTCTTGTGCACAATTGACGCATGTGTCTTTTGACGTGGTTTGCATTTTGTGCATTTTTCCTTTTTTTTCTGATTTTATGATTTTGATGTTTTTATACTAACTTCCTTACAGTTTTAAGTCAGTTGAGATACCTAGAGAACGTTGCTGTGTTTAACAGTGACACTTTCCAAATAGACAGTTGACGAAAAGTGAGATAAATACTGAAGGAGTCAAGGATATTAAAGTGTTCTACAATGGAAAGTCATGGGTTGTATTTGTATTGCGGTTGGGCGTGTAATATAATACTAGTAAGCACTGTTTCCATGACAATCATAGAATGATAGTTGTATTCTTGAGTAATTCTCTGACACCGAGTAAAATTTGTGAATGTCACTACAGTTTCCTAGAAGAAATAGTTTGTGGTTTAAATTAGCTGGCAAATGGGTTAGTGCATCTTTGGTCCCTCCTTGAAGGGTTTTCTATTTGTTAGTGAGCACTTCTAGACATATTGATGAGCACCTCTTTTTAGATCAGGAATGGCTGTCCAAAGTTATCACATATTGAGCTTGCACATTTAATTTGTAGCTGGGTAGTCCTAAAAAAAATTTAAAAATTTATCACAAAATATTGCATTGACGAATTTTTGATATAAGGCCGAGTAAAAAAAAGAGAAGTTTCTGGTCTTTTTTTTTTTAATGAAGGAGGTGATGGAGGCGGGCGGTTTTTTTTCTTTCCTTTCCCCCCCCCCCCCCCCAAATGGCAGATTTTCCAAAATGGCAGATTAATTCTTCCATTTTCTCAACTCATTTGCTGTTATAAAATTTTGTCCAAAGGAGTCGGGACCCTTTCTACATAACGACAAGTTTGTTGGAAACAAATAATACGACAAAATATTGACAATATCTTGCAAATGTGTGACTAAAAACAAAGAAAGGGAGGTGGCAGGAAAAAGGATGCGGGCAGGATGAGCAACTACAGGGTGTTCTGAAAATAATGTTGCATGTAAACCCCTCCATTTTTCCTAATTTACAACCAAAATTTTCTGCGGATGTTTACACCATCTTCAAGGTAATAGATTTAGCTTGAGAATACCGTTTGTTTAATTAAGATTGCTTTTGTAACTCCAGAGATATGTTTGAATAACCGCAAAGCCAAAAACAACATTCTGTGCCACTTTTAGGCAGCGAGTGCTTCAAAGATCAGACAATGCCAGTATGGCTCTTTTGATAAGATTATCCCTATGGGTGTAGGACAAACATTCCATTCACACCAAGGGCGGATCCAGAACACAATTTTGGGGGGGGCCAAAAAAAAATTTGGTCCCCCCAAAAAGTGGGTCAAAAAATTACGGCGTGGGGTTCGGGGCCCGCTTAAGGGCCCCGAAAAAATTTTGGATTCTAGATGCTCTGTGGTGCGATCTGAGGCAATTTCTGACCACCTTAACCAATGTTTTTTGAGGGAAAAAATGGTGGTGTACTCATTGCCTGCCTTTATTGCGATGTCACATAAAAAAATTAAAAAATTGGTTTCGTTTTGGGGGGGGCCATGGCCCCCTTTGGCCCCCCCCCCCTGGATCCGCCCTTGCTTCACACGACAATATTGAATAGTACAGGCAGGTTCACTTCTTTAAAACTTCAATGAAAGAGTTCAATAAAATATAAATAAATATTGCACACTCTGCTTAAAAATGTTAAAATCACTAACAGTAAAGTCATTTTGTTTTAGACTAGTCCTGATTTTAACTGCTTCACAGAAAGTGGCACAAACTGGGTTTCTTGGCTTTGCCGTTACTCAAACATATCTTTGGATTTACAAAAGCAATCTCAATGAAACAAACGGTATTCTCAAGCTAAATCTATTACCTTGAAGATGGTGTAAACATCCGCAGAAAATGTTGGTCGTAAATTAGCAAAAATGGAGGGGTTTACATGCACCGTTTTTTTCAGGACGCCCTGTAATATACTTTTACATTGCCTTATTAGGTTTTTTCAAATGGTTGGGCAGAAATAATTGTGTGGATTATTTTGTAGAACCTATCAAATTGTATTTCTATTGGTCCATCAAGTTCATGGTGCATATTGGCATTGCTAGCTTAATTCCTTGGGTTTTATCCTTGCCAATGTTGACATTTTGATCTGGCTTAGCTTGCTCCATGCCGATACCATTCAAGAATTCTTCATATAGCTTGCTTGTGTGCATTGGGGTGCATTGGGAGCATTGTCAACTGCATGTATATGAAAACTGTTTTACATCAATCAAGACAGAAGAATGACAGCAGAGCATACAAGCTTTATTTTATCATACATGTTGAATTCTAGGAACCACACTTTACTTCTTTTCAGCAATTTTTGCTCTTGATCACATTAATCCTTACAATCCCACCAACTCAAACTCCAGCACTTGGGTTTGTTGGAATCTGTTGGAGTGAGTACTGCACTAGTAAACAGATTATGCTTTACATGGGGTTAGGCATACCACCAATAATCAGAGTCCAACAGTTTGGGTGTAGATGTAGAGTTTACCACATGGTGTTGGAATTTGTAAGAGTGAGGAATAGAAGGTTCTTATGGTGGGACATATAGGGGAAATTTTTGGGAGAATTGTGCCTTTGATGATACAAGCATGGCATTTGGCACACAGTTAGAGTATGTCATGAGAAAGATATTTGGCTATAGGGCCATTGCAGATTTGTCCATTGAAAAAATATAGGTAGAATAACATACAATTTTCACATTTTTCAAAATGGCTGCCATTGCTTGTTATTCCACTTATATTGTTCAAAGGACAAATCTATGATGGCCGTATAGCCAAATATCTTTCTCATGACATACTCTGACTAAGTACCAAATTCCACGCTTGTATCATTAAAGGCACAATCCCATCACCTATCGACCGCACTACTAATAAATCACTCAAGGGGGTGAGGGTTAAAGCAGAACCATACAGCCACATGCTGACATGTTTCAGCTGCAAACCTGCAGTTATTCATTGCAAATGCTTATGCTGAGATCATGTCATTTTAACGACGGCGCTCATTAGACCTGCTTCATAAATCCTTCATAAAGTGAATGATGGACTAAAAACTGTCAACTTAAATCAGTCAATCATGAGCTGTTTTCATGTGTTCCTGTAGTATTTGCTAATCTGAGGTTCAGACATTAACGTGTTGAATGTTTGATACATGTATATCATAGCATGTCAGTTTTATGCAGCCCTGAGCGCCAGCTGATCAGAGTGGTTTTTAGCGGCTGTGACATCATTTCGATCAGAAATGTGGACTAAGCTGTGGATTGGTCAATTTGGATGCCACGTTTTTGTAATACAACAACGGGTTACAGAAGACCCGATACTGTGCATCAGTCAGTGGCCATGAATTCGTCACCATTTGACGAAGCGACTAAGCGTGAAAACGGTGACGAATCGATTGCTCAATTGCTTTGACAGAACCAGCAGGCACCACCCACATCAAGGAGAAGACATGCGGATGCTCGGCGGATGGAAACGGTTTCATCTGCCCACCAAACGTCGGTGAACCAGAGCCTGATCATCTAAAGGTCATCACCAGCGATATACTGCTAGATATCAGTGGGAGGAATGTGTCGGAGTATCTGCTGTATACCACCGATAAATTCAGGCTGAAAAGGTGAGATTTGAAAGTAGCTTGAATAGAGAAATTGATGATCATTTACTTGTGCTCACTGTTGGTACAGGCTAATTAGCCTTTATAAAGGTATGTGGGACAATTTGCTTTCTTGCATTTTGTTTGTTTCCAATAAAAACACACTCAAAATCCAAGTTTCAGCTCAGTGGATATAACACTTTTCGAGTAAACACCGAAATACCATGCACAATCTTTTCATCATGAAACCCGTTTCGTCTATAGTACTCTTTTATTTCCAAAAATCAGTCAATTGACTGATCGTTGGAAATCACCTACATATCTTGGTTTCTTCTAAAATGACAGCAAGCCAAATGGCGTAATTTCATACTTTCAATAATGCAAGTAAGCTTTTTGATAAAAATTTGGGATAAATGCAACTGATTCTATATGTACGTCGGCTATATGCACAAACCGTTATATACGTTCAGGCATGTAACTTTTCCTCGGATCAGCTGATTTCCTCTTTTTTCACTTCCCATGTGTGCCATTGAAAATAGAAAAACACTGTACAAAGTCTGGGAAAGATTTGAATTTCCTCTTTTCTGTGACTTCCCAGTTGCATGCCTGATACGTTGGAGAAGGGCAAAACCTAATATTGATTAATATTGATTCTATATACCTTTAAAGAATCCCTGAACCAACCATAAAGGAGATAATTTGGTGGGTGAAGTTTCATTTCTTTTATGTGTGGAATGTTGACAGGTATGGAGGTTTGTCCTTTGGGAATGTGCGGACGTTTGTACCAGCCAAGTATGGTAACATTGTACCTGACACATACCGTATGATTGCGGTCAGGAACGCAGCAATCGTAAGTGGACAGTTTTAGATTGAGTCATCCGTTTTGTCCAGCAAAGTATAAGACCAGTGTTGCTTTTTTGTATTTTTTATTATTATTAATTATTTCTGGTAATGAAACCAAGGATTCCTCAAAAGCGCCCTAGGCACTGTAGCTCGCAAGCCTGAGGAAACCTGTAGAGAGAAGACAATGTGAAGAAACGACAGTTTTAGAGGTGAGAGGAAAACCCCAGAAGAATATTCTGGGGAAAATCCACGGAATTAAGCAGGCACTGAAAACCCAAACCACAAAATATTGGCCCAGGCAGGATTCGAACCAAAAAAAAAAGAATTTTGCATTCTTTATTTTTGAGATTGCCAACCTGCCAAGCTGGCCTGGCTTATTTTAATCCAACAGAACAGCAGGTACAACAATAAGTGACAAAACCAGGAATTTCCTTTTGTTTAAATTTGTGTTGAAATTATTTGGGCTACACATGAAGCTAACTTTGTAAAGCGGTTTTGAAATATGCAATGCTGTTAACTCTCGCAGGTTTGTGGAATATAAAATACCAATAACAAGTAAATGATGACAAAAGAATAATTTGTAAAATTTGATGTAACAATATAACGATTGTATTGATTTGATTTATTTTGTTGAATTCAAATTCCACATAATGATAATGTTGATTTTGATTTCAGTTATATTGTTGATTGGAACGATTATGTTGATTGGACATATTTTGTTGACTTGACTGATTTCGTTGATTTTACTTATTATGTTGATATGATATATTTTCGGTGATTTGACTTTTTATTGTTGATTTGACTTTTTGTCCCACAGGCTTGGTTCAGTCATAAAGGCTATCATTCTGTACCCACCTACATCAACGTCCTAAACAATGCCATCTTAAGAGCGAACCTTGACCCAGATATCCATGGCAACCCGTCTGCTTATGGAATCACTGTCATCAACCACCCAGTCAATAAGACAGGATGGCAGCTGGAAGAGGAGTTTGTGTGAGTTTTATGACTGCATTCAAATTTACATCAAGTAGGGAAAATGATAAGAAATTGACATTCATTATCGGTTTCTCTTCAGTGATGCTGGGGTGGTACTTTCTCCATTATGAGTTAATTGTGTATTTGAAAACATTTTAATTCTCAAGTATTTGTGACTGTTATGTTTTTGTCTTTGAACTTAACTCGGTTGCTTGAAGGGGACATACAACATTTGCTTTTGTTGTAATTTTCAGAAATAGATGAATATGGGGGATTAGTGTTTTATAGCAATATTGTTACACTGACTTGTTTGAAGTTTTGCGTTCGTAGATGCTAGAAAAACTAAGAAAAACAATCATGTTCTTGTAGTCAGGTTCCCTGACCCCACTTAAATTGATATGGAGCAATGTATAGACGTCAGGGAATAATAAGGTCAGGGAACCAGTCTAGAAGGCTTGTACCTGTTCATAGATGTGTAATCGATTGCAAACAAAATTCTGACTAGCTAAATATGGTAACTGGCAGTATTTGAAAAAAGCCAGTTTTTCCAAACACTGGTCGTTGTCCAAACAGCGTTGGAAATTGATACAAAAATACCACTTTTCTTGAAAATGTCAGCACACCAGGTGTCACGATTTTACAGGATGTTTTAGACTCTCATTTTTAATGTTTTCATCTTTTCCATGTATTTCCCCAAAATTGTCCCCATTTTGTTTTAGAGTATATAATCTTTGAAATTCTGAAATAATAAAACTAAAACATCAATTGTAAGGCACACATTGTTTTCTATAAAGTTGCTTTGTAACGTAAACCCTCAACTGTCTGTCCGTAAGTCAGATAGACTATAGACAATTTGACATACATTTTACATTTTATTTCTTGCAGTAATCGTCAATCGACCAACGTTCTGATCGCCATCTTCATCATCGTTGCCATGTCGTTTGTGCCCGCCGGGTTTGTTGTCTTCCTGGTTATTGAGCGCTCAACGAAAGCCAAACATCTGCAGTTTGTGAGTGGTATGAGACCCGTCGTCTATTGGACCTCCAACTTCATCTGGGACATGGTAAGACAATGTCAAGTAAAATGCCCAGGTAAAATCCCTGTCATCTCAAGATTGTTCTCATCTTCACACATTGATCCACGTAGCTTACTTATTATCATCAATATATTGTTTCCTGATTGTCGTATTATTTAAGTTTCTTTTATGTTCTTAATTTTTTCCCCAATTTTTGTTATCCATATATGGCATATTTATTATGTAGCCCCCCAAAAATTTTGTCTAGCCCCCCCAAAATAAATTCCGTAAAAAAAAAAAAAATTGCATTAGCAAAAAGAAGGATTGTGATGTACATGCGAACGGTCTCCCCCTAAAGAAGAAATAGCCGTGACAAGGGTGCATTAGTTAATATAGTGTGAATGATTTTAGGATGTTATTGGCGCTCCCCATTGAAAATATGGCATGAGCCCCCCCCCCCCCTCCCTCCCCCCCACCTATTGTTTTTCGGAGGCCTAAGTGTCTGGAAAAAAAACCCGGTCAACATTTCAGCACGCCTCCCTGAACAAATTCTGGATCCACCGTGCTAGCCCCCCCAAAATATTGGTTCTAGAACCGCGCCTGATGTGTAGCTGATTGGAGGTACGCAACATTTTAATTATTTCCTGGCATTTAAACAAACAAAAAGCTTTTTTTTGGGGGGGGGGGGAGGGGAATGGTCCCGGATCCGCCAATGGTTGTATCCTGATCTTGATAATATTTGATTTTCCATTGCACTCCTAAATTCTCCCTTCTTTCCCTGTTATTCCTATCTAGATGGCATACTTGTTACCAGCAATGTGTTGAATCCTGATCCTGATAATATTTGATTTTCCATTGCACTCCTAAATTCTCCATTCTTTTCCTGTTATTCCTATCTAGATGGCATACTTGCTACCAGCGACGTGCTGTATCCTGATTCTCATATTATTTGACGTTCCTGCCTATTCTTCCCATACCAATCTGCCTGGTGTTGTGACACTCTTTCTTCTCTATGGGTGAGTTGGAAAGAAAAACCTTCATATAAAAACCAAATAATGAGAACTACAGTGTAAAGGATATTGCTCTATTGTCTCAGTGCCAATATTCATGGAGTAGTAAGACACCGGACTCTGGGTGAATCATAGGAATTTACAAATGTCTATGTTACTCAATATGAGTGTGCTCGACTACTCCCCCCGCACTTACTCGTGCCTTTAAATCGGGGAAAGTTGCACATGTGCAATACGTGAGAGAAAACAAACGATGATGAACAATCGATTGGCATACGCGGCCATGATGAACAATTTTTAAACGTTTAAATATCGGAGCCCCTTTTAAAGTGGATTGGTTTTATATAATTGAATTGAAGGTGACATACTTGACTGAAGCCATGCTGCTTCAGACACACTGTTAACAAAATGTGTCAAATTTCTGCCCATCGTCCATTAGTTTTTTAACTTCCCACCGCTGGCGCATTGCCGGATTTGGCACTCATGTTTTAGCATGGCCTTATAAGATACTTACCCAAGAAACCAGCTCATCGGGTCGGTTTATACTTGGGCCAGGATCGAGCAAGCGCGAGATTTCACGTGAGAGTGACATCGAATGCAGTCGCGCTTGCACAAGTAAGCGCCATGTCAACCAGTGTAATTATTTTAATATTTTGTGTCTTTCTCATCAGGTTTTCCATGACACCCATCATGTACCCAGCATCCTTCTTGTTCTCTGAGTCCAGCTCAGCGTATGTTACCTTGATCGTCTTGAATCTCTTCACGGGAGTTACGTCAATCATCACAACGTTCATCCTTGAAATCTTCAACAATGACGAGGTCGGTTACATCGAAATATTCACTCTATCTATACTTTTTTAAATAAAAAAAAAAAAAAATATTATAATGCGTATATAGCGCTTTCCATTGCTTCAACAATCTCAAAAGGCTTAAACAATAAGCCTCTGTACTGATGACGTAAAACTTTGTTTACATGTGTGCTTTCCTATGGTGCTCAGTGGACCGTGGGCCCCCACTGGCTCCATAGGAAAGTGCACATGTAAACAAAGTGTGATGTCATCAGTACAGAGGCTTATTACTCCCCCGTTCATCAGGCCGGTGATATTAGCACAAATTCCGTCCTTTACCCTCACAGGTACCCATTTATACTCCTGGGTGGAGAGAGGCAACTGTAGTTAAGTGTCTTGCCCAAGGGCACAAACACCATGTTCCTGGCAGGGTTTGAACCCACGCACCACCGTACATGAGTCAAACACTGTAATCACTGGACCAGGGCATCCTACATTCTTCTGGCATTTTTAACTTAATGTTCTTGCCTAGTTCAACATAGTCTTAATAATATTTAAATCAGGATCTTTCTCATTGTAGTAATTCTTGTCCTGATTGGTTTTAATATAAAATTGAGATTGACAAGGTGCTGTCAATTTGTTTATTTCTTTTGCATAGGATTTGGCAAGTCTGTACACTGAGCTGGACAAACTGTTCCTACTGTTCCCCAACTACTGCCTAGGGAAAGCACTCATGGATCTATCCTTCAATGAGTACATGAATGAATACTACTACATGATTGGTAAGTTATCGTAAAGATCACAGCACTATTTTCGTAACTTTGGTATTTTCTGCTTCGTGCCATTCTTGTATGGCACTTTAACCTGTTATCTGTTGGGTTGTTTGTCATCTGTTACTGTCACTGTCAGTAGCGTAATGGGGGGGGGGGCGTGCAGAGTGGCAGATTGTAACGGAATCAAGATTGGTAACAAAATCGGGATGGTGATAGAAGTAAATCGGGACGGTGAAAATGGGTAACGGGACGGAAATTCTATTTTGCAACTCAATATTTTCCATTGATAGCCCTTTTTCACGAGTAACATTTTTCATAAGCAACCTTTTATCACGAGTGCCCTTGTTTTTACGTCCCACAAATGTCAGGCCGCTTTGAAGAGTGCCACCTAAAAGTTTCCAGTTTGAACAGCGCCCCCATTGGTAGAAGGTGTCTTGGTATGCAGGGCCCAAATGGAAACCAGTTTTAAACTGTTTGGGCATACCCGTAGGTAAAGAAATGGAATGAAGCTATTTGACTTGGTCCTGTTTGTGATTATTGCAGGAATGGAGGAGGAGATGCAGAGCCCGTATCAGTGGGCGTTGCTGTATCGTATCTTTGTCATCATGGGATGTGAAGGAATTGTTGCGTTTATCTTCACGTTACTCTGCGAGTGTCGCTTCTTCATCAAACCCAGGTAAGTGATCTGTGGAGATGATTCAGAGGTCAGAAACATGTGAGAAATATTCTCAAAACTTCTTTTACCTCTTTGTTATGTCATTGTATGACTCCTGAAGTTAGCTTATATAGATCCTTTGCGTTTCAGCCATCTTTGAGGCAGGTGCTTTTTGTTTTGAATAACAGAAAACACGTCAAAGATGAATACAAAGGGTTCATTTAGAGTTTCAACAAATTTTTTGTACCTCATTCTGACTAAATATGTATTCATATTAAAGAAAGGAATTGCTCAACAGATATGAATGCCATCATTTCTTCAAAATTATGGATTCACATCAATTTTTGTTTGATAACTGTTGTTGTTATATCGTGTGCTTGGATACTGTAATTTCATTGGTTGAGAACGACCATAATAATAATAATAATAATAAAATTGCATTTATTATACGCATATACCATAAAATGTTCAAATGCGCATCACAAAATCTGAACAGTAGCTAAAATATTAGAAATACGAATTTGAATTAAACATTAGTCTTAAATGTAAAACATCAGATATTTTAGAAAATACTGTCAAAACAATGAAACTTAAAATTAGAAAAACAAGACCTACATTTAAAATAGATGAAAGTAAAACCTTATACGAATGCCTTTGTAAAAAGAAGAAAAGTCTGTGTCCAGTGCTTGCGACTAAGCTGAGAACAGCATGCAGGCAATGCGAAACCACTCAGTCTCATGTAAGGCAGAAAAGCCTGCAGTTATCAAGAGTTTACTCCACACTGATTCAATTTAATTCTTGCAAAGTAAGTTACAATCATTTATCTTTTCGGCATGAAAAAACAAAACAGTTGTTGACTGCTGTGATGTGGGATATGCCGCAAAAATGGCATATCCCACATCACTGTAGTCGACAAGTGCAAATTATCCACTTTTTGGTATTTGCTTGCTGAGTCTTTGACAGAAGGTTTAATGGATTTCAAATATTGTTCCTCTTTAGACGGAAGAAGTCCTCCAAGTATTCCCTGTTGGATGATTCAGATATCGATGAAGACGTCATAGAAGAGAGAGACCGAGTCTTGAGTGGTCTGGCTAAGAATGATGCGTTGTGCATCAAACAGCTCTCCAAGGTACAGAAATATAACATCTTAGTCTTATTTTATTTTTTATATATTTTTTTTTTTTTAACTGGGCAGCCCATTCAGTGGGATCCTCTGGTCACCCATGTGTCCCAGTAAAGAGAAGACAATGTGAAGAAATTACAGTTTTTAGATGTGGGAGGAAAACCCTAGAAAAAAATTTCTTGGCAAAACCCACGGAATCAAGTAGGGACTGAAAACCCAATCCACATACTGGCCTGGGCGGGATTCAAACCCGGGTCACAGAGGGGGGAGGCGAGGAAAGTACCGCTACGCCAACCTGACTTCCCCTCAGAACAAACTGAAGATAAGTCTAATAGAATTGAAAGGATAATTCAAATAGAGGTGAAACTTTAAAAGTGGAATGTGCAAGTAGTTATTTTAGTCATCCAGTGATGTGAAGTACAGAGAATTCGTGCTGAATGAAATTTTGTTCACAAGGTGTGTTTTATGTGTGATATTTTTTGTTTATCTAGATGTACAAGACAAAGCGTTTTGGGTCTCATCTGGCTGTGGATGGACTGTGTCTTGGTGTACCCCAAGGCGAGGTAAGATTTTTGTGTTAGTTTCTATTGCACACTAGATGCCACATCCGAGTGTTTCCTCTTTGTCTTACCACTCTCTCTCTCTCTGTTTCTATAATAGATTCTTTTAAAACTCATGTTAAAGGTACTATACAACATTTGCAAATATCAACAAATGTAACTGCCAAATTATTAGGAAATACCTTACTGGACTGTAAGTGGATAATAGTCTCAAGCATCCTGTAAAATCATGGCACCTGGTGTGCTGTCATTTTCTTGAAAAGTTGAATTTTTGTATCAATTTCCAACAACAATTGAAATTGAAAAACAGCTAATTATCTCATTACACCTGTCTTGTTTTAATTGCTAGTGTTTTGGTCTGCTGGGTGTGAATGGAGCTGGGAAGACCACGACCTTCAAGATGTTGACAGGGGATGAGTCCATCACACAAGGAGATGCGTTCCTGAAAGGACACAGGTGAATAAGGAAACTAGTCACAACAATAATAATAATAATAAAGTGCTTATATAACGCTTTACACCAAAGGTCTCGAAGCGCTTTACAATTATTACCCCTGTTCATCAGGCCATGAGACCAGTTTCTGCAGCAGCTCCAGATCAGCGCATTCTGGTCTCTACCTTCACAGGGGTATCCGTTTATACTCCCAGGTGGAGAGAAGTGATTGTACTAGTAAAAGTGTCTTGCCCAAGAACACAAGCACCATGTTCCCCATCAGGGTTCAAACCCACATACTAAGGTACATGAGTCAAACACCGTAACCATTGGACCACAGCGCTCCGCTGACAATCAATCCATCGTTTTAATAATAATAATAATAACAGGTTCTTATATAGCGCTTTTAACTAAGATCAAAGCGCTTTACATTATTATTACCCCTAATCATTGGGCCAATTAAACATTCCAAATACCATCTCAGCTCGATGCTGCCTGTTAGGCGCAAGGAAGCTAATTCAATCACAATAACCATCACTGCCCTCATAGGTACCCATTTACTCCTGGGTGGAGAGAAGCAATGAGTGACAAAGTGCCTTGCTCAAGGGCACACGCACCATGACCCCGCCAGGACTCGAACCCACGACCTGCAGCTTTACCCACAGACCACGAATCAGTGCCCTTAACCACGAGGCCACAACACGCCACATAACTCATAACACGCCACATGACCACATAACTCATTGATTGACTTCTTCATAACAGTGAGCCAAATACTGCCTGAAACCACTGTCATACTTTGTGTCAACAGTTCTCATTGTGAATAGTGTAGAGATGGGGGCTTAATTACTGGGTGAACACAGCATGTTCCTGCTTATGGTTTTGACCAAAGTTTTGGGATGGTTGACTTTATATATTTTTAAAGATATTTTAATGATCCTATGTTCTAAAGGTTTGAAAACTTCAAAGTGTGACTTACAAGACTTTTAAAACGCACAAGGAATACAAGTGACTGATTTTCCATTTTGTCTTTGTTTTTGTCCTTTGCAGTGTGTATAAGGATATGCTGAAGGTGCAGCGTCTGATCGGTTACTGTCCTCAGTTTGATGCACTGTTTGATGAGTTGACAGCAAGAGAACACCTGACACTGTATGCCAGACTCAAAGGAATCCCAACAAGGCAACAAAAGAAGGTACAATTACAACATAGTCTCTCTGTAGGCAAGGCTTAAGCCAATCAATTATGACTTGACAGGTGGAAATCGGCCGGACAGGTGTTTTGTTTTATAAAGTGAAACCAAGAATTTGAAATATATCCCATTTTGAAAGTATAAAATAGAATTTTGGAAATGGTATTTTAAAACACTATCAACTGTGTAGACATGATGCCTTTTTAACAAAACAATTTTTTTTTATATGCAACATTTGCTTTTGCTGTAATTTTCAGAAATGGATGGATTTAGGGGTTAGTATTTTATAGCAAATATTGTCATGCTGACATGTTTAAAGTTTTGTGTTCATAGATGCTTGAAAAACCGAGAAAAAAAATGTTGTTCTTGTAGTCTGGTTCCCCGACCCGACTTCAGACGAAACGGAGCAATTTATAGACGTCGGGAATTGTCAGGTCAGGGAACCAGACTACCTGGCTTGCACCTGTTCACGGATGTGTAACTGATTGCTAACAAAATGTGGACGAAATAAATTTGGTAAATTGGGGGCAGTATTTGAAAGAAGTCAGTTTTTTCCAACGGTGGTCAGCCGACTATCATTGGAAATTGATTTAAAAATTCCACTTTTCTTGAAAATGCCGGCACACCAGGTGCCATGATTTCACAGGATGCTTGAGACTATTATTCACTTACAGTCAAGTAAGGCATTTCTGAATAATTTGGTAGGTTTGTTTTTTGATGTTTGCAAATGTTGTCTTTTACCTTTAATGACTACTTTTCATTTTGTAGGTTGTGGACTGGGCCGTACGCCGAGTGGCGCTCACTCAGTATGCAAATAAGCCGGCTGGAACCTACAGTGGAGGGAACAAACGCAAACTATCAACTGCTATAGCACTACTAGGCCATCCACCGGTCATCTTCATGGTCAGTTACCTAGCAACCAAGGACTCTGAAATTTCCATAGATCCTAAAACTTCAAGCCTCGACCCCTGATTGAGTTAATGGCGAAATATTTTGTCAGTGAGCTGTAAACAGAACAGTGGTTTTCCATAGCTGCCATTTTTGTAATCTTACTTAACGTTGCTTTTCAGTGATTGAGAGCACTGAAAAGGTATAAACAGACTGCTAGACATTCCGTGTAACAATTTTTTGGATTTGGTGGATTTGCTGTTTTGTTTCATTCAATTGAACTTACAGGGCGAGTCATAAAGAAAGTGACCCAATTAGAAACAATATTTTTTTAAAAAATATGTGGCTTGCTCCATTTCATAAAAATAACATAGGGATAAAGTACATGTTATTGACTAGTAACTGTGAAAATTTCACGTAATTTGCAGACTCTATTCCCAAGCTATGCCTATTTTAATAACAAGATCACAAAATTCAGCTGTCCACCACTGATCATTTACCATTCTACAAACTGATGAATACCCATTAAATACAACGAAACATGGACGTTTTCCCAACTCCATGAATGAAAGAAAACTTGCAACCAGACAAAAATCGCCAGCAATATTTCAGGGAAAAAAAAGAGTTGACTTGTTCCTCATTTTCAAAACACAAAATCTGACAGTATTGAAAAATAATGTTTCAGTCTTGACTCAACTGATTAAAATCTCATTTGTATTTGAATGCCTGTGTGTAATCTGTAATTCTGACTCAGCTCAATAGCTTTTAATGGCATTCCATGGACACAGCTATAAAATAGGTTATTTTTAATAGTAAAACATGCATATTCTGATAACATGGATCAATTTCAGTAATTTTTTTTTTTTTAGATGAGTGGAAGAACATGCTTTTTTACGACGAACTTCATTGGTGTATCAAATTTGATTGTTTTTTAAGAATAAAAATCATTAATCCAGGTCACTTTCTGTTTTACTCACCCTGTAGTATTTGCATGCATGTATTTTGCTGAGTTAAGGGTACCAAATGTAGGTCCTTTTTGCTTTGATGGGTTTATTTTAATTGTTAATTTATTCAGGATGAGCCAACAACTGGTATGGATCCGCACTCCCGACGATTTCTGTGGGATTTGATTCGTTCCATCACTCAAGAAGGCAGATCAGTCATCCTTACATCTCACAGGTAATTAACCCCATGCGCACTGGAAGCGGTCATGGCCGCGGCCGCTAATCCTCATTGGAATGCAGTTGCCAGCTGTGGCATGCCGTGGCGCTCGGCTAGTGGGTAGTTCCACAGCTGCTGCTTTTGTGCAGTCCCGCTACCACACAAAGGCTGTGCAGTCATGCGGGCCACTTGCTCTATGTGTGGAGGAATGTCCCCATTACACCCCGTCCTTAAGGGGTTAAGGATCATGCAAAGACCTGCTGCATCGTGGTGAACATGGGTGGATTGTAAATAAAGCACTCCTTGAAATGCCTTCAAATGAAGTGAGGTGACTTGATAGACCTTTATAAGGGTATGCCATCTTGAAAATCAAAGCGAGGCATATAACGCACACAAATAGTGTGTGCGGTGAACGAGTGACTCTCGCAAAGTTACAGTAGATTGACACTCTTATACATAGATGGAACTGAACTTTCCGTGTCTGAGTTTAATAGGCATCAGTAGCACCCCGCCGTCAGATCAGAGAAATAATCAAGAATTTATAATTTCACTTTTTTTATCTGCGGCTTTCTCTGAGCTGGCTTAAGCTAGTATGTTCCACTCTTGTGCATACACAAGATTGCTTTGTACGTCGGATCAGAGAAACAATCAGGAATTTATATTTTTACTGTTTTTATCCCAGGAAGGAATCAAAGTATATCCATGCAAAAGAGTGAGGAGCTAGCGCTCGAGTAGTTTACTATAACTCTATGATTAACATTCATTTTTATAGACAGAACACATGGCCGTTCTAGACCAATGAAATCACAGTATCGAAGGCACGATAAAACAAATTGCTTTATTCTATTGAAATTAATAACTTGCATCATAGTTTACTTTAGATGATGCAGTATCTTTCTGTATTTCTTCTTACAGTATGGAGGAATGTGAGGTCCTATGTACACGCTTAGCCATCATGGTCAACGGCAACCTACAATGTCTGGGCAGTGCACAACATCTGAGAAACAAGTTTGGTGACGGGTACTACGTCACTCTCAGGGTCAGGGGTCAGAACCCTGACCTACGACCTGTCAATAGATTCTTCATCGTGACCTTTCCGTTTGCCATACTGAAGGTAAGAAATGTCTTGAAAGTGGTGCGTCCTGGGTGTGTCGTGTCTTTTACAGCTGTTGCCAACACCAAACTATTTTTACACAATGAACAGGGCAAAAGCAAACTTTTCCTTATAAACCACTTCGTGTCAGGATTATTTTTGCCGAAAATGTTGTTTTTCGCAAAAGGCAAAATTTGTTCCAGCCAACTTCTGATATACAGCCAAACGCCACAAATACTGATTCGCAAGAGTAATTTCAACAGTATTTGTACGATATTTCATATGTTTTAATATTCCGGGGTGTGCACTGGAGCGTAAATTGTACAACAATAGGCCGTGCACAGCGTCCAATTCAAGATCAACACACGGTCCGCTTCCACAGACTTCACGGACTTTGTGTGTGTGTACACGACGGATTAGCATGTTTAGACGTCACCCAGAGGAGAGTCGAGGCAATCTTGACGTCTTAACCCGTCAGCCATGCCTGTGTATAAAAACAGCCAGTGCGTGTTATAAAGTCCTCCGATGCGAACTGATTAATACATGCTTCCCACAGACTGTTTGCTGTTAGCGTATGAGTTTGTCTTTGAATACCATCAGAAAAAAAAAATTGTGCGTCTACATTTAGGAGCAAGTTTGGGCGTGAACTATAGTTAACCATAGTTTGACTAACATCACTCGAACGAAAGATGCTTGGACTACTCTCGTGGACTATATGGAACCGGAGCATGGGGCACGGTTTCAAAGCTGGTTACCAATAGCCGAGGGCTTTGTAAAGCACAACGGGGAGCCAGGACTGTTGACCAGAGGCGTTTGCCTGTTTCTATTAGTGCGCAGGCGTAAGTTACATCACAAATCGACCACTAGTTGACTAATGGTTCTCGCGCGCCTGAACTTGCTCTGAGCAAACAATGCACTCTACATTTGCTGTGCAGATTGGATAAAAATATGACGTAATTAAATCGATTGATTGTATTTTGTGTTTTGATTGGATTATTTTCAGGAGGAACATCACAACATTCTGCAGTATGAGATCCCACTGGAGTATGTTTCTCTCAAGGATTTGTTCGGCCAACTACAAGACGTCCAAGAATCACTGCAGATTGAGGATTACTCCATCAGTCAAATGACACTGGATAATGTAAGCCAGAGTTGAAGACAAGTCAACCACACGTCGAAGAATTACTCAACCAAAAATTGAATCACAAGTCGACTACAAGTCCAATTACAAGTCAATCACAAAACCAATCACAAGTCAAATCACAAGTTAAATCACAAGTCAATCACAAGTCAAATAACAATCACATGTTGAATCACAAGTCAATCACAAAACAAATCACAAGTCAAATCACAAGTCAAATCACAAGTCAAATCACAAGTCAATCACAAGTCAAAACCAAGTCAATCACACGCAAATCACAAGTCAAGTCACAAGTCAAGTCACAAGTCAATCACAAGTCAAATCACAAGTCAAATATCACAAGTCAAATCACAAGTCAAATCACAAGTCAATCACAAGTCAAATCACAAGTCAAATCACAAGTCAAATCACAAGTCAAATCACAAGTCAAATCACAAGTCAAATCACAAGTCAAATCACAAGTCAAATCACAAGTCAAATCACAAGTCAAATCACAAGTCAATTCACAAGTCAATCACAAGTCAATCACAAGTCAATCACACGCAAATCACAAGTCAAGTCACAAGTCAAGTCACAAGTCAATCACAAGTCAAATCCAAGTCAATCACACGCAAATCACAAGTCAAATCACAAGTCAAGTCACAAGTCAATCACAAGTCAAATCACAAGTCAAATCACAAGTCAAATCACAAGTCAAATCACAAGTCAAGGCACAAAATATATCAGGAGTATGGTCACAAGTCTCAGGGATGGTCACTCTCCGAGGCGTGTGTGATTCACAGTTCTGTAAGTCCAATTTCCCATAAATTGCGCCAGATTACCCGCATGTAATATTTTTTGCCTTCATTCTTCAGGTCTTTGTCAACTTTGCCAAGCAGCAGCTGGAGAAACAAGATGCTCTCGACTCTGCAAGTCACAGAAGAAAGAGAAAACATCAACTGATGAGACTCAAAAGAGCAGACATGGAACCCCTCCTGCTTGACGATGAGTTTGACAGCAGTTTCAATGCCAAGAATGCAATGCCTCTGTCAACCAAAGGGTTGAAGAATCAACTGCTGAAACCCTGGCAACTATTCAAGAGAAGACAGAGTGTCAGTGAGAAGCCAGTATGGTTTGAAGATGAAGAGTACTGCAACGAGGAGTCCGATGATGAGCCATTACTGGATCTAAGGCGTGACGATCAAGAGCCAGGCGAGAGATACCATGAGATGTGCAGTATGGAACATGATGAGCCATTACTGGATTTAAGCAGTGAGGATCAAACACAAGGCCAGAGAATGCAGCATCTAAGACAATCATCACCTTGTATCCATGACAACAATGACGAACCATTGATACTGCAAGATGATGCAGCATCTACGACCCACCCTACTGATCCACTGACGTGCTCCCGGTACCACGAAGAGGACACACAGCCGCATGGAATACAGCAGTTTGATCTCAACAAGCAGTGTCTACTCCAGGACTGTGATGAAGACGATGTCATGCTACCGTTAGATGAAGCTACAGTAAGTTAGGAGTCTCTTTGTCAAAAGATCGATTGTTAATGTTCAACTGCCTAAAACCAGAATCTATTGCGATCTTTTGCCGTTAATACTAATCGTCTACTCATTATACTTTCTCTGTTTGTTTATACAGAGCAGATTATCCTTGATTGACATGGACTGATACAATTGGATTTGTGATAACCTTACAACCGTTCTTCATGCGCCTGCATTGCTGCACATGTCAGAAGACCATCTGTGCGTAAGATGCTGCATGTTTTAATTATTATATCTTGTATTTTTTTGTGAACAGTATAATATGTTAAGTTTTTTGTAGTATCCAGTGATATATTGAGCTAGCATGGTAGAATTGCGTCAACGCAGCTTGTGGAACATTGTCCAATTACATGATATACAAATGGGTGCGGAACGCGCAACATCTGAGATTAACAAAACTTAGCGTACAAAAATTCCATAGGGTTGTCTAATTAAGGGGCGTGGCTAACTTGCAAACGGCGATAGGTCAATTGTTCAACTGATATCATTTGCAGGGAATCATTATGTCCATTGATAACAAGAAGTAATATGCGTCATTCTAGGATGGATCCAGAGAGCTTAGTACCGGGGGGCCTGAGGGTGGGCCAGGGGCAGAAGGGTTCTCTCAAGTGAAAAATTGCCTTATTTAGGCAATTTTGGTCACTGCCAGGGGGTAGGGGGGAGGGTGGATCCGCCACCAGCGTCACTCTGTCTTACCTGAATGCATTATAAACCATGTGTTGCACATTCTTTATTCATTAATTTGAAGTTTGAGTGCATTCTTTATTTTATTCAACATAGTGTGTTATTGACCCTTTGCATTTGACATCACATAGGAGGGCAGGTCTGTGTTCCTCTGTCATACGCATGAGTACACACTTTGCCCTTTCATTTTCTCTGATTTTAAATAACAAAAACTGTCCCTCAGCCTATTTTAATTTATATTATCTTTGCTTATGTTATGTACATACTTTTAAATTGAAGTTGGCACTTAATTGTGGTATTTTATCAGAAATGAGTTTCGCATTATATTCTAGCATTTAGCTGAGATACAAAAAAAATCACGAAAGTAATGAACATTGTAATGACAGACATAAAGTGGAAACATTTTAATGGTTTGCAATGTAATCAAAGTATTTTGTCAAAAAAAAAAAAATTAGAGTAATTTTACTAATTTGGAGTATTATAAGCCAGTTTGGTATTTGAACTGCTCATGCGCACAATGTTATGGGCAGCGGGTCATTTCAAATAATCGGTCATGGAAGGCTCATGAACGCGCAGGGAGACTGGCGCACGATGCTCCCTTGTTAATTAGGAGCAGACTGGACGTTTGCGTAACACACGTCCACGATTTTATCCCGAATGACCCTTGATCTTGATTACCTCAAGATACCAAACTGGCATATTACATTACATGTAATGTCACTAAATTAAAAAATATACTATTAGGCCCCCCCAAAAAAGTCTCCGGTTTCTGGTATGGAGCTTGCCCAAAAAGTGGTGCGGCGACGCGGCTTTTTTTTTTTTTACCTGATTTTTTTGCTTTAAATGTCGGCTGATGACTGCAAATGGTGCCCGACTAAACTTAGTGCAAATATATGGGAGTCCAGAGAGCTTATTCTCGACCATAACCCAATCTAAAAACACGTTAAAATTGTGCAGCAGCAGGATTCCAGTCAAACCAGTGAGTTTGGCGGTTTTGAGACATCATCTTTCATTGAAAAAAAAACTTTTTCATTTTGCCGACGCGCATGGCTACGGCGACGCGCGCGCATACCAGAAACCGGAGACTTTTTTTTTTTGGCCTTAACCCTAACCGAACTCAACCCATCAAAGTTCAACAGCAGGTTTTGTTTAAATCTGTTGGGATAGGTACAGTACCCCTAAACTGATGGTCTTTTACACTGGGGTTGGCATACCTCCAGAAACTATCAAAGTCCAACAGTACAATTTAGGGTTAAAAATATCCTATAAACTTTGTGGACAGTCTGGGGGGAAACAAATTGGCTTTTTATGTTTTATTAATATTTTTATTGAGACGCACCTTCCAGAATTCATATTGCACAGTACTGTAGCTGTAGTGTATTTTTCTATTAGTTAATTTATCACACAGTTGCAATTGAAGCACACGGCATTAGTTTATTAAATTAAATGTATTATGTATTTAACTTAATTTAATTTCATTTATCTGTGCAATGCATTTTTTTCCGGAGTTGTATTTTTTTTTCATCAGTTCAAATCGATTGATGCATTTTAATTAATTGGGCATTGTTAATTGTTGCAATCAGACTTATTCACTGAAGCATTTTTGATACAGCGGCTGAGAAATGTCTTCCTTTTGTTCCAGAAATGTGGGTCCTATTTTGTAATGCTTTGCACTCCGATCATTACACTTAGTCATTGTTGGCCAACTAGATTAAAATTATTTCCTTTAAACTGTAGTTCCTTGAAGCATTTTGCAAAGTTCGGTACTAAATACGCACTCTGCAGTAATATCACCTTTATGGAAAAATACACATTCCTTTTGTATTGACCTCTTCAAAGTAACTAATTTAGATACTTTGGGAAAGAGATGTGGATGAATGCAATGAAGATTCCTAATAATCTCGAAAAATCTTTCTGAACAAATGCACTTTTCTGCAACATTTTAATGGACTTTTAAGCAAAATTCACCTTGACTTTGGTGGAAGGAGTGGCTTTCCATTTTCATTATCCTATTTGCTTGGTAGATAGGTACACTTTAACTTCGAAGTAGTAGTCAGAAAAAAAGGAAAGATGCGTTCAAGATTGACTATTTTAGCTTTACACGTTATATCCATGAATTGTTTACTTGTTCACTTCCGGGGTTTTTTTTTGTAATGGTGCACAAGTTTTTAACTTATTCTTTATTTATTCTTTACTTATTTAACTTTATTCTATTAATTTGAGCAAATTGTAGGAAAAAAATATTAGAAGAGTTTCTAATTTCAACTGTAAACCAAGTTCATTATTCTTCATAGAAAACAGCAATGTTGTACACTCTTACCAGCGTGTCCACTCATTGTGATTTATCCCAAGATCTTGGGAATTTGGGCAAGACCTCGGGAACTTGGGAATTTTTATAAAAATTTCACGAAATCTTGGGATTTTAAAAAATCTTTTAGTTAACGGCAAACAACTCTTATTATTTTGGCATAATTTATTAACCGCAAACAATTTCCCGTTGGGATCTGCGGATTCTGGGCAACGTGTATGCATGCCGTGATTTGTGAAACAACAGTCAAAGCAATGTGGGCCTGCCCTACGTCATGCGCCAAGTGAGGATGGTGCGGCTCCTTTGTAAATGTTTGTAATTTTTTTTTTGCCAGTCCTTGGGATTCCTCCCAAGATCTTCGGGTTTTCAGTGGTAAAAATATCGTAATTCTATATGATTTTAGTTTATTGATTGATTTTATTTTAGTTGTGTTTAATGCATTTTGCATTTTGTACACAGTTTTCCATTGCCTTGGGATTTCTTGGGATTTTTACCGGATGAATCTTGGGAATTTTATGAGTGGCCACGCTGATTCTTACCTCAATAAGTAAAAATTGTTGCCGTTGTAGCAAGAAGGGAGAAAAGCCATTGGCTGAAGAAAGCATGGAATTTTAAAATAGTGGGTCCGAGTCCACGAGGCAGGCCACGATGAGACACTGGCAGAAGACCTCGGACTGTCAAACCTAACCAATGAGGATGTCAGAAATCGGACTGCATGGAACAAGGCCATTAAGGAAAGACAACGTCTCACCCCACAGCCTAGCGTGGGAAAAAATGGATGTTAAATGGAAATTTTGATGATAATGATGAGGATAGACTCGGGCTCACTTGAGCTGTTTAAAAGTGGTATTAATATTTCACTTTCCACTTGACTAACAAAACGGGTCATTGGTGTTGGTGGGGTTAAGTATCGGAGGTGAAAAAGTAGTTGAATGGACGGTAGCGTTCAGTGTACAGCACATAGAAATTATATTTATCTTTCACATTAAAACACATGATTAATACTGTACACTGCACATGTGATGCATTAGAAATTGCATTTATTGCTGTTTTTGACTTTTGCAAATACTTGTTGGATAACTTTGAGTAACAGACACCAATAAATATTTTGTGGGAGTCAATTTCAGGTGTTTTTCTTTTATTCCTTTTTTTTTATACATTTGCAACGCCTTTTTGATCAACTTGGTTTTCAGCTTCCTATGAACATTTGTCATTAACCTCATTTTTCTCATATTGCCCCCCCCCCCTCCATCGTGTTTGTTTGTTTGTTTTTAAGGGTGTTGAATTATTTAAATGTTTATGATTATCAGTAAGATAAAAAATTTTTAGCTCGCAACAGTGCAAGAGTACAATAGGCTCTATGGCCTTTCTAATATTGGCCGCTAGATGGCGCATTTTCAACATGGCGACTTACACAACCACGAGATTTTTCCGAAGTCTGAATAATCCACGGAAATTCTTGCTTCTTGCTTATCAAAATGCAGCAGGCAAGCCACATATGAGAGCCAATAATATCAGGAATATTTCAGGCTACTTTCGGCTTGATTTGAACCCCGACAAATCATGGAAAAGTTTGTGTGCGGGACTCGGTATTGCCAGCGGCCTGTTTTGCACTTCGTACGTTTTGAAACACAACATTCGAAGATTTTCCTCTGCCTCGGCCCAGTCCTTGGAAACTAATGAAACGAGTCAACGTTTCTTATCCGACGTCGATGCTTCTCGTCTGAAACTTACCCTTTACCAGTATCAAGTGTGTCCTTTCTGCTGTAAGTTGAGAGCGTTTCTTGACTTTTATGGAGTGCCTTACCAGGTTGTTGAAGTCGATCCAATCCGCAGGAAGGAGTTGAAGTTTTCAGAGTATCGCAAGGTACCGATACTTGTGCAAGAAGGACCAGCAAATGAGAAAACAGTAAGTTCATTGATCATCACAATTTTATATGAGAAGTCTGAATGTAGGCTACATGTAATCCAACAACATCAATAATCAAGAGAAAGAAAATGTAAATTTTGGGTAATCCTTACTTTTAGGACCCCATTCCTATATAAGGTTAAAAGACTCACCAAAAGAGCTGACTAAATGACACTCAAAAGTGACATTCTGATATTTATTGTCATATAATCTGAACAGTATGACATCTTCATGAATGTCAGCAGGTTTAATTTTGTGGAAAAAGGCTGGCAGGGCTTTGATTTTAGAGGGAAATTAAGGGAGAAAGACGACGATGACGAACAGAAACTGACTCAAAAACCAAGATGGCAAACTGCAAAAAAGGGTAGGAAAGTCACATTTTCTTTGAAAGTGCTTTCAAAATTACAACTTACATGAATTTATCTGAAGAAAAAAGACTGCTTTAGCCTGCAAAAGCCACTCTGGTACTGGACAGTCATCTGCAAAAGTCAGTTTTGAACAGAACTCGTAAAAAATAGAGGTGTCCTAAAGATAAGGATTACCAAATTTTGGGTCACGATCGGTCGATGTGCACGATAAGTTGATCGCGCTGCGCTAGTATCGGTTGATCATGAGGCTATCTGTCGATCGCGCTGCCTCCAGTTGATCGTGCTGCCACCAGTCGAACACCTTTTCTTTCTGATTCATATCTCTGGAGCATTTTTTTTCCTAAAGCCTCGGTAAGTAAAGTCTGAGATATCCCACAGAATCTACCAAAGCTATTTCATACAGGGCCAGGGGCTGACAACTACAGCTGTCATTTTGTAATATATTTTTTTTAAGAAGATGACATTGTGTTTAATTACATGTACTTGTTTTCCAGCAATTGAATGATTCGTCCGTTATCATCAGCGCCTTGACGACCTACATGTCTACTGATGAGAAGGACTTCCAGAGAATCGTTAGTTACTTCCCTCGGATGGAATCAGAAGACAAGAAAGGAAAGAAGTCTGTGGAGTTCGGCAACAAATACGAGGTTATGACAGGGAAACCAGGACGAACAGTGAATGAAAAGTGAGGAAGATTTTTCTTTAACCCCCACTGTCCCAAACCTCCCAAATCCAATAAGTCCTTTGGCTTTGGCACTATTCTGAAGTATTCATTGCTGTAAGGCCCAAACTAGTCTGAAAATTTGGGACTCTCAATACTGTGTATGAGAGTCCCAAACCTTAAGATCGTAATAACATGCAACACAAGAAAATACAAGGTGTCCCCCCAAAAAGTTGTGAAACAGATATCCTGTAATTTCGCGAAAACTAATTAACATGAGTATTTCATCTTGATGGAGCATGTTGATTATACTCTTGTGTGAAATCAGTAAAAATGCCATGGAAATCCATTCATGCAAACCAGAGATCTAACAGATTATAAAAGGATGCGAGTTTTTCACCCATTGCAACGGGATGGCATTTGCACAGTTAACTTAATTTACATCAGAGTGTAAAGGCCCATGACAAGCTGATGCCTATTTAGTACTGCATCAATCAGCAGTGTCAAAAGAAACATCTCAATTTCTACACATTTCCATAGTCATGCCACCGGACTACTGCAGGGTCAATCACCAAAAGTTGGACAAGTAGCATTGTACCAGTCTAGTCTTAGGCTTCAAATTGAAGTCACCTGGCTTCACTCTCATGTGCAAAATGTTAAAAGAAAAGTCCCCTTAAAAAATTGAATTGAGACCTCAAACTTGGCTGGTGAAATACTGAGGACCTTGTCTTTTGCCTTATGAAAATTTTGGAGAATTTTGTTGGCTAAACTAAAGAGTGATTAAAGCTGGCCTGATTTTGTTTTGCATTTTTTTTCTGCATTCAATCAAGGTCCCAGTCTGGGCCCAGACAGTGTTGTTCATGGCATTAGGGATTATTAGGCTACTGATGATGGTTGGTTCATAGTGCAAAGTTATCAGAGAGTGCTCCGAGAAGGGTACATGTATATGGTTAGGGTTAGGATATCATTTTGTTGACTATTTCTTACTTATTTTACTATATCTAACAATAAGACATTATGTACGAAAAAAAATGTTGCAACCTGATGCCTCTTCTGCGATTGTGTACAAAGTCTATGGAGAGTCAAGAAAATTTTCCTTACAAAAGTTGAAATGTTTCTCAGTCCCAGATTCATGTCTTATCATCATTTTTGCAATGAATGACCTGCATTGAGATGATATATGAAGAGAAAAGTGGCGTCCGGTTGCAACATTCTTTCCAAATATACTATTTTTTATCTTATTGATAGTGTCAATGTTGTGTATTTGGGGTTTTTCGTAGGGAAGAGAAGAAATGGCGCGAGTGGGTGGACGGCGTTCTCGTCCATTACATCCCACCTAACATTTACCGCAGCCCATCTGAGTCGCTGCAAGCGTTCTCCTACATCTCCAGCCACAGCCAGTACAACACAATGCAGCAGTTCGTCATAAAGTATGCTGGGGCCGTAGGGATGTTCTTTGTGGCTAAGAAACTCAAGAAGAAGTAAGTAGATGAAGATACTGTTCATATTTTTTTTCTGCAAAATTGTTCTTGTCCTTTCTCTTAAACTTTTTGTTAACCCTAAATCAATAGGTATGTCAGGCATGATGCAACCTCAATCCTACAAAATCCTCCAATTGCCTTCATGTCAAAATTGCCTGCATACAGCCTCAATCCTACAAAATCCTCCGTTTTTTCTTGAATGTGGTCATTGGTTGGGTGACCACTGCCTCAATCCTGCAAAATCCTCCAGCAATCACTGTCAATATGTTGAAGCAAAGCCAGTTACATCCTGGAGCAGTGCGGAGGATTTCAAGTATAATCTAGGCCTAAAAGTATGCACGGCTGAGCATGAACACCACAAGGTCCGGCCCAAGGCCTTGACACAGTGCATCCTCCAAAATCAGCCACACATTTGTTTGCCATATAGCCTCAATCTTGCAAAATCCTCCATTTTGCAAATAGCATTGTGGAGGATTTGGGAAGGTAAGGGTTAATCATAGTTTTAAAATGGTATTATTTTGTATGAAATGAACTTGTTCAAGCAATTTCCCAATAATTGAATAACAAGTACATTAAATTTGCTTCCCGATCACTGGAAGATGAACCAGCCCTTAGATGTTAATTGGATTATGATGTAATGTTCTTGTCCCTTGAAAACTAAACTGTAACATGTATCTGATAACCAAAACAACCAGAATATTCCTCATCACTGTCTTTGCTTCTCTCTGTTTTGCAGGTACGATATTCCCGATGATGTACGGTCCTGTCTGTATAGTGCAGCTGATGATTGGACTAAAGCCGTAGGCAATCGCAAATTCATGGGTGGAGACAAACCAAACCTAGCCGATCTGGTAAGTTCCTTTCCCTCAACTTCATATCATAACACAAAGAAATCTCCTTGGAATGGATTAGAACCTGTGACCTGTTGATTAGCGTACCAGCGCTCTACTATCTGAGCTGTGGTAGCAGTTTCCCGATTTGCACATATCTTTGTTCATTTTGACATTTATAACATGATAGAATCTGGACAGTAATGAACATGTTATAGCTTTTGAATTTTCTTTACTGTCTAGGCTGTGTATGGTGCGCTGAGCTCGATTGAAGGACTAGACGCCTTCAACGATATGCTTTATCATACTAACATTGGATCCTGGTATCAACGAACTAGGAAAGCTGTCAAGAACAAAGATGGTGCCAGATGAGTTGACACGTCATCGTTTCTGAATGTGTTCAAAACTTTGTTTTATGCAAAAGTGCAAGTATATGTACCATACATTTGTAGAATGGACTGTCTCCTCTGTATCAGAGAGATCTCTGGTGTGAATTAGATTTTTGATAACAGCCAACTGAAAGTATAAAAATCTTTAAAAGGTCGGGTGATACTCTACTTAACTTGCTGTCCACAAATGTTTGATGTCATGATTTGATGTGACTTCTCTTGCAACTTGCGTCTAAATCTCTGGTTATCTCAATAATGTTTTGTTGCCACCATTTGGTAATCAAATCCTTCACTTGTAATAAAAATAAGGACAATTTGGAGATCTTTTCCAGGCGTGTTCAGACACTCAGACACAATCTTTACAATATTTACACTCCTTTCCTATGAAACTGCTTTTACCCTAACAATGCCCATCTAGTCAAACTCCAACACCAGGGTTTGTTGGATTCCTTTGGCGTCTGTTGGAGTGAGTACTGCACTACATGTCGTTAACTGATTATGCTTTACATGGGGTTAGGCATACCACCAATAATCAGAGCCCAACAGTTTGGGTGTAGAGTTTACCATATGGTGTTGGAATTCGTAGGAGTGAGGAAGGTTCCTAGTAAATCACTCGAGGGAGTTGGGAACTTAAAAACCATTATTGTGTTTACATTTGGGATTGGTGATGAAATGCAATCTTATGCTATTTTGGTCCATTTAATGATTAACCCTCACCCACCTCAATCCTCCAAACTCCTCCTGGCGATTGTGGAGATTTTTGGAGGATGATGTTTGAAGAGGAGGAGGATTTTTGAGGATTGAGGCTGAATGCATTTTGAGAGGCAGGACTGTCTGACGATTTTGAAGGATTGAGGCGCTGGGTATATGTCCTTCATTTGAACATAATTGCGAAAATTTGGAGGACTTTTGAGGATTCAGAATGGTTCCTAGCAAAAAGGACCTGGGGGTTACGGTTTATTGTTTTATTTTTCATATTTTTTCCCGTCATTCCATGGACGTTCATCATGATTCTAGATGCAGTATGATTTCCTTTTCAATACATAATTCAACCAATTCTCCAATATACTCTCCAATAACAATCATAATTTTACTTTGGTACGACTTGGATTGATAAACACTGGACTTTCAGTCTCGTAGGCCCCTCATCAATTACTTCAGTTCCCACAAAAATCGTAGCAAATTGTCACAAAGGCTTGCCAGCACTTCGTGTTCCTCGAAATTAGTATTTTCCTATTTTTGAAATGAGGGTGGAGATTATCAAATGTATAATAATGTTGATTTACTTTTTCTTTTGGTTGAGATTGTTTGTTGGATTTTCGTGTAGATGGCTGGTAATTCTGACGGTAGTGGATAACAATAAAATCATTGCTAAATATGTTTTTACGACAAATTAAAAAATCAATGTGTCTTGTTGATTCCTGGTTGATTTTTAAAATGTTATTATTTTACGTCAGAAGAAATGTTCAATCAATGTGTGAAGAAATTAATTAATAAGCAAGTCATTAACCCTCACTCCCTACTGAACTTTACCAAGTCCGCCGAAATCCATCACTGACTCTGCTTCACACAATGTTTCAGGACCAAATCCGCCGAAATCCCCCCAAAATGGGGGATGGATTTTGATGGAGTTGGGAAGGTCAAGCTGTATTTCAGGGTTATAATGAGACTAGTGCAGGGCATAGTGCAGGGATCATGAGTGTCGAGCAGCGTGTTGCGCGTAAGCGCAGAGTTATTAGATGATGGCGCATGGATGGCGCGCAATTTTCTACGCAGCGCCACATTTTGTCTTTATCTTACAAGTGTGGTTTTGTTATGTTGGAGCTTTGCGCGTATTCGAACGCGCACTACGGTTACATGCGCAACGCACATACGATGTTCAAACTGAATAATTCTTCAGAAACTGGAGATCGAAGCGCAGCGCTTTGTATGTTTGCTGCATGTGAACAAAATAGGGTTACGTTTACGCGAACATGAGAGTATTTTGATAATTTGCTGTTTTGGCGATACCATTGAGGAGTTGTCTTGACAGTTTGGTCGATCCTTCAAACTGAAACCTATTAGGTGAGTCTTATAATATATATAATATATTTAGCCTAGCCTAGGGCTAGTAATAATATGCCTAAACAATGAGATGGAGGTGTTTTTTAAGGGGGGGGGTACATGGTGCCCAAATTTTGTTAGAATATCGTTATAATAAATCAATGGAAGATTTTTGTTTAAGTAGATTATTTTCATCAAATAGGCCTATGCCTTCATTGTACAATGATGACCGTAGAAGATGGCTGGAGCAAGTGTGACGTGTTATGTGGTATCGGCTACCAGTCTCGACGGACCGCAGAACAAGAAGAGAGCACTGAAATACGACGATGTCTGGGAATTGACTGCGACAATCCTGAACAACTCGAGGCCAGCATTGCTTGCAGTCACGGTGGTGAGCAATAAGTCAAACACTTCATTCCAATCGTCTATTTTAAACGACTCGAATAGCTCATTGCTTTCGACAACGCCTCACTTGTAGATAAGTATATATGCATACATGTACACGTTTAGAGTAGTTTTCCGTGAATTGAATGCCATAACTTTCCTTTTTCCCCTGGATTCGGTAGGAGCTACCCTCCTGATACTTGGAATCTTACTTGGCATGGTCCTTGTCCTGGCAGCGTATGGCTTCAAAATACACCTCTTACCAAGAATCAAGTGAGTAGGCCCTTGCGACTAGCAGGAGTTTTGGGGTAAGGCATTCAATAGTTGACATTATTTTGCTGACCCACAGTGAGTACAGGCTGGTATTGGTTAATAGGGGTGCGTTTTGGCGGTCATAACCAAGAATTGGTTCGGTGGTTTCTTGTCGGTGAATTTCTTCGGCAATTTTATTTGGGTTAGAATTACGCGTCATCATGTAGTACTCAAATCCCCAAAACAATTAACCAAAGAGAAACCACCGAACCAATTCTTGGTAATGACCGCCAAAACGCACCCCAGATCGAACTAGCATAATATAGAATCATTTATTTATGACAAGCTGATTTACCCGATCATAGATCGGGTATATAGGGCGTAGTGTTGGGGATGAAAATGTGGGCAGTTAAATGTAAATGGGGGATCATTGAGGAGACATGCAGTTATAGAAAAACATTTTTTGTGGTGTGATCTGAGGCAATTTCTGACCACTGAAACCAATTTGAGCAAAAGATCATCTTTTAAACATCATTTTCGAGCTTGGGGTAATTGAATCAGCTACACAGTATTCTGAGCAATAGAATCATTATAGTAGGCTACAATTTTTATTCGGGGAAGAAAAAGTGTGGGGGGGGGACCAAACAATGTGCCCGCTTTAAAATGTGGGGGGGGGGTCCCCCTGTTCCCCACCGATTTACGCACATGATAATTATGTACCCTGATAACTGTCTGTAAATGTTCCCGTTGGTCTGTTAAATTGGCATTTTGTGAGGCAGTGGCATTGCCGGGAGAACGTAGTGAAAAGGTTACCGTAGTACACAGGCGAAGGCTGATTGTACAGTGTTGACACTAAATCATAATGTAATCAAACGTGAAGTTGTCATTTGCAATGGAAATGTTGAGTGTTACCATCAACTTACAAACGGTGTGAATGATGGAGGAAGGTCATAATTAGGTTTCAGTATTGGACTCTTCAACAAACGTAAACTTGAACTTCTTACAACTTGCGAGACCGTCTGCGAGGAAAAAGTCGATTCAACTTTTATTCAAGTTGGTCAATCATCTATATAAGAGCAAGTTTTACGTGGCCTCCGAGACGATGTTCGCTCCTGAAAGGTTCCGAGACCGCGGTCTCCCGCGACGCCAAAATGGCTCCACATCCATAGAAAATACGGAGAATTTCTTCCGCCAAATCAAGCACTTCAGGTCTTCCTAATTTTTCCGTACGGACCGGCAATCCGTTTTGTCGATTTTTTTGTGACTGCGTTCAAGATCGCAATATTTGAAGCAATGCATCGACCCTTTGTTGATCCCAAACAGGCCCCCGAAATTATAACGCGACACTGACTGTGACGTGCAGCGAACTCACAACGCTCAGCCTTGGTGGAAGCATAGAGCTAGTGGAAGCATGGAGCTGTAAACACATTATGGAAGCAACAGCACTCTATCACGCGACGTCACATGCTTGTGCTTCAAATAGCGAGCACCGTAGACTCAACCTCGTTTCCAGAGTGTGGAGCAGGCTGCAGTACGCGTTGCCAGTGACGGTTTTACGCATAGCCGGGAAGTACCACGCAGTGTAGACTTTCGATTGGTCAGACCGCGCTAGGCATACTAATGTGTAGTCCTTCTGAGTATTCGTTGCACTCGGCGCACGGGCGGCAAGCGAAGCATATGAAAGAATAGGGACACTTGGTGGCCACGCACCATGGACAAAAAATATTTTACGAAGGTCACCACATACTAACGTTTGGTGAACGCTTTTGCAGAAGGGCCGAGTAGAACACGTAAACGAAACCCCTACGTTGACCTCGCTGACCTCGCACAGTCTAGACACGCAGAAAAGCCAGCACGGGGGGCGGCCAGGCAGTCAACGTGAAAGCGCACACGACGGCAAATTCCTGCGCAAAATGCAGTCACGAAAAATCGACGAAACGGATCGCCAGTCCGTACGGGAAAATTAGGACGACCCGAAGCGTCCGACCCGGCGGAAGACACCCTCCGCATTTTTCCACGGACGTGGAGCGATTTTGGGGCCGCGGGAGCCCGCGGTCTCGGATCCTTTCATGAGCAAACATCGTCTCGGGGGCGAGTAAACTTCTCTCTTATATATATAGATGTGACGACTTTCACATGGGCGTCGCCAGGATTTTTTCTAGAGGGGGGCAAAACATATTTTTCCCAAAAAAATTCTTTGATTTCTCAACAAATTCTCGATTTATCAGTTTTAGAGGGGGGCAGGGACATTTTGCCCCCCCCCCAACTCATTAAATTTACACCACTATGACTTCGCGCCTCTTTTTCTTTTCTTTTTTCTTTTTTTCCCCTTTTTTTTTTGTTTTGGCTTTTCGGGGGGGGGGGGCAAGCGCCCCCTGCCCCCTCCTTGCGACGCCCATGGACTTTCACAACCCTTTTCCCCCGTTTATTCTTTTTGAATCGGGGTCTTACGTCACGTTATGTTTCAGATAGTATGGCATGCACAGAATGTACATCTAGTCCAACGCCAAAAAAATGGATCACAGAATTGTTAAATCGTGTTTTGCAGAAAAGCAACTGAGAAGAAGTCGGGATCTAAACGGAAAGCTAAAGCCAGCAAGCGTCCGCCTGCCACGGTGTAAGTCCAACACCCACCCCTCCTGCAACCATTACATTCCCTAGGCACGCAGTTCCAATAACTCTCTGGGAAAGCACCCAGTTATTAATTCATTCGCCAGACAATGTCACTCCCTCTCACAAAAGAGGTCATCAACCGAATAAAGTGCAAAAACATGTATCTTTCCAGAGAAATCTATGATTCATTCAGAAGTTGTGGTCATGCAGATAATTTTCTCTGAAATGTAAAATAATGAATGACTTCCCCTTGGTCACGGTGTAATCTGAAAACCGTCCCCTCGTAATGGAGGAACGCCTCTGATGTTTTTGCTATTCGTGTTTTACATTTCAGTCCCAGAAGCGACAAAACTAAAGGTGGAGGTGATGAAGAGGAACATCTGTACGAGGAAATCGATGAAATTCAGAGCAAAAAAACCAAAGCTAGTAACCGCTACGTCACCATGACGTCGTAAGTTCTTTTAGCTGATTTAATTGGTTGTGGACACTCGGGGTACTTCACTCCCCCTGCCGCTTTTCCGAACTGTTTTCCTGGAGAATTCTTCGAAGTCATTACTTTTGTCCTACCTCCGACCCACCACTCCCCATCCTGTGCTTACCACCCCCGGGCCCCGGCCCGACCAAACCCGGTCAAACTCGCCTACAAAATAGCTAAGTATCTTTCTTAAGACATACTCTGGTCGTGTGCCAAATGCCATGCTTGTATCACCGAAGGCACAATTCTCCCCCCCCCTCCCAATATTTCCCCTATCTGCCCCACTATCTATTTCATCAATATTTTTAAATTCATAATAATGGCAAAATCTATATATTTTGTGATATTTTACTTTATGTTTTCACACATAAGTCTCGTTGCATGCAACTGTATAAATCTCATTTTTGTTTCTTGAATCTTTTTTGTCTAGGAAACCGAAGAAAGAAAAGAAGCAGTCTAACAAGAAACAGGAGGAGACTGATGATGAATCAGAGGATGGCTACCTTGAACCTGATGAGATTAATCAACCAGGGTATCAAACAAATAACCAGATTTTTGTTTTAATGTAATCTTACAAACATGCCAAAAGAAACGGCATGAAGATGAATGACCTTTTAGTCATCGGGAATTGAATGCATTCTTTGAAGCGATATACTGTGTTTTCCTGCTTTATATAGTAGTGTTCCATAACGTGGCGCACTTCGACATTTCCCCCGACTTTCCTCATGCAGTGTTGACAAAGCTCTTTGTTGACAAACTTCAAAATTCATTCAGTTAAATACTGGTACTTCTTCCTTATTAATTCTTGCTGTTAAACCTTTGTCAACAATCATAAGTGTCATGAAATTTAGTCCCAAATTCAGAAACGGTGGCGTCCGGAAAGTGGGCACAAAATCGGCTGAGTGTTCCCTAACGTGGCGCACTTGAACAAATCTCGTGAAAATCCCACGTTAACACTTCAGAATGTCTTAATAATGTTGAATTTTTTTGATGAACCTTTATTGTCTTTCCTCACACACTCAACTAGAAGTTTGTCAGATAATAATGTTCTTATTTTGGGGCGTATTTTAAAAGTGTTCACTTCGAAATAAAATCGAAAAATCACGCCAAAATAGATTTCTCTGCTAAATTTGCAATGGGTATAGGTAAACTCAAGATTTATGAACGGGAATGTTTGGAGCTTGATAAAATTTCATTACTTACTGTGAAATTTCAGGTAAACCTTTGCTCTGGCAAGTAGAGGCGAAAAATCAAAGTGCGCCACGTTAGGGGCCGCGCCACGTTAGGGGACATCAACAATATTGCAAATTTGTATTCTATTTTATTATTGATACTCGAATCACATTTAAATCTTCCAGATCGGAGGAACTTGAGATCGAGAAACTAAGAGAAGCGCCTCCACCTCCAGGAAAAACGTCCAACTCAAAGATTGACAAAGGGTAGGTCTTGAAGTATAAGACAAACTTGTGATGTTGTGTTGTAAGGTGGTCCTGCCGTGTCGATACATGCTGTGTATACAGTCGAACCAAGAAGAGCACTGTGAATACAACATCCAGCTATAACAAGGCAGATTTTAGGTCCCAAGTCTGTTTTTTTCTTTGTTTTGAATTACTGATATTAACAAGGTACCTGTTATAACAAGTTGATTTGTGAAGTCCCAAGGACCTTGTTATAAATGCGATCGTGAAGTGTAGGGCCCCTGTTTTGTTTTGATCAAATTAGAGTCATAATATTTTTTTTTATTGCTCAAAAATCACGTTTACAATCAAAAAGCAGACTTTTCTCAATTCTAATGACACCCGTTTTGCAATTTTGCACAGATTCTTCGGGTAGAAATCACGATTTTCCTGCGCGGTTTGTGCCTTGCGATTCAGCGCGCCGTGCGTGCTCACGGTACATCGCGCGGTGATCGCCATCTTTATTTTCGGGTCGCGTGTTGTCGTCGCGCTGTCATCGTCATATTACCCCCAAATTTCCCTCAAAAATTCAAAACCCTGCCCTCTATCTATGACATACCCGTTTATTGAGAATGTCGCCAACTAGTTTGGTAGGTCCAGTAATTTTAAAGTGGATTTTGTTCCCTTATAGGAACCGGGCCCTACACTTCAGGATCGCCGTTATAAAAGTGTTCCACTGTTGTCATTGTCTTCTATAGTATCATGATGATTATTTATGATTTTATGAATGTCATCTTATTTTAAGGGCGCCATCGCATAATGAGTACGAAATACCGACACAGAACGACTACTTGGAGATCGAGTAGGATTGGAGCCCGCCCTCTAAGCTTGCTCAGCGGAGAGGAAGTGATTCGGCTTGTGACTACTTCAGTTGTCATGGTTTCCCATGTTCTTATAAAAATCAAATTTGTATTTGTGAGAGGTTTAAAGTGATTTGTGTAATTACCAAATCGGCTGTTCTATTTATTGAATTGATAAACGTTGCATTCATGCAAGCGTTTTTAACATCTGTCAAGACTATTCATTGCGCGTATGCGTAAAGCTTTTCGGATAGGCTTAAAATTAATTGATTAGGTCGGTGCTCCCGTGTGGGTTAACCCCCCACCACCACCACCATCGCCACCACAACCACTCCAAGACACAACTTCCGGCGTCCAGCCTGGAGTGTCATCAACTCAACCTGAGAGTTCATCGATCAGATTTTGAATGTATAGACAAGAAAGAATGATGATGTAAGAATACTCACAAATCCTGGCTCACCGCAGTGCATTGAAAGTTACAAACACTCAAGAGGTCTTGGTAAATAAATCACTCTAATGAATTGAGCACCCCACGTTGGTCACCGAGTGAAAGTTTTATTGTGTCCTAATAGACGTGTAAACTGTGATTGGACGCGCATGACTTGATCCTTGTGAGGTATAATTCCAGTAAGTGGCCTCTTGTTGGGATGATCTCCTTTCGAGCTTCCAATCCTCCTTAGCTGACCATGCAGGCTTATAGTGTGGGAGATTCCCTCGAGGTATCAAGGCCTAACCACTTGTAGCGGTCTGTGACCTGTAGTCAAGGTAACTCCTGGGTATCCTCGACGTTTGAAAGAGGACTCACAATCGAGGATAGATCACTCACCCACAGGAGAAATCTTAAAGGTCCTGGAATTGCAAATTCCTCAAGGAAATTCGTGAAGGAAAGCTTTTTTGTTCTTCTTCTTCTAAGAACTGCCTTCGACCAGGAAAGGATCCCATAATAGTATTTAATTATTCGGCGAAATTTAATGGAAATATGCTTCACTGATAAGCCATTGCAAGACACGAAATAAAAAAAAGTTGCGCACTTGTAAACATTGAACCAAAATTAGAATGCCGAATATGAATAGGCCTATACACCGAGACGATTTTTCTGACAAGTACTATACTGTACAGCTTTTGCATTCGATCACGAACCTTGAGCAAATATCTTCCAATCACCGTCCGCCTTGCAGGGTGAACTTCAGTGACCATGATGCAACAAGGACGTGATTGGCTCGATGCTTGGATTATGCAGAATTATGCAAATTAGTTTCGTGAAAAAAAGTTAACAGCCTCTATAAAACCCGTCGACTTCTTCCAGAAATCCGTAGAAGACCGAACTCTCGATTTTTTTTTCTTGGTAACATCGAGATTCAGGTATCTGTATCGAGATGGTTACTTTCTCAAACAAGTCGATTTTGTGGGTCTTTTTGATTGGCTTTTCCCTTGAAACTGTCTCGGGAAAGAGAGCTCATCACGAAGGGAAGCCCGCTCGGAGGACCTCGGGCTATGAGCATTCGAAGAAATTTCCTAAGGATGAAATTGATAGACGTCACGTCTATCGCGCTCCCAGCAGCACCAAATCTAGCCGTCACTTTTGCGGTACTTCGACGCAGCGCTCCACTAGTCCTAACGATGAGTTTCGTTTTGCGCGACTCGCCGACGATTGGTCCGAGAAATCTCAGAGTCAACGGCAACGGCGTGATGCGTCCGCGGGCTCGGCGGTGTATTTCACGGGGAGCGGAGATGCTCTTCAGTACCAAACATCACCGGAACAGAGTCGGCTTCCACGGCAGGAGTTCTCGGTTGCACTTTGGGTGAAGCCAGCAGGAGGGCAGAAGAATTCTGCTGTCATAATTGGTGAGAACAAAAAAAATTGTTGGTTGAAATACCAACTTACAGTAAAATGTTTTTCACAATATTTACCAATCCAACTAATGTTGTAGAATACTTGATATTGCGTGTGCTGTATTCTTTCAGAAGTTTATTAGTGATTTTACACAATAATTGGGAGTCCGTAAACCCTTTGTTTTGTTTTCCGGTGATTGATCAATCTATTTTTAATTCTGGTTACGGAGCCTTTTAGACTTAGCCGGAAGGAGGCGGTGAGTGCCGCAAACTGTGAATGAAATCCGACTTCAGGCTTGTAGCTTATCCTGAACTTGAGGAAAAGAATTTGTAAAATAATAATGAGCCTTACAGTTCCCGCTGTGCAACAAAATAGACACGGGAACTTGCAGATTATTTTGCAGGGGGAAGTATTAATATATGTGCCTGGTTTTAGAGCGTGCCAGGCGACCCTCACAATCGCCAAGGTTCTTGGTCATGGGGGTCTGTCAGCCTTCGCCTTCAAGACTCGCTGTCATTCTCAATTTCCCTTCAAAAAATGTCTTAAGTGGTCTGATGACAAAAAATCTTGAAGAGTTTTTCGAGTAATAACGCGGTGTTTTTGTTTTTGAATTACGTCTTCATCCAGTCGGCGACACCGTATCTGGTTATAGAGATGCTGAATTCGTTTAAGGGGTTATTTCTAACACGTGTTTTGGTTTTTCTTATCCAAGTATGAAATTTGGAGGCTTTCAAACAGATTTTTGTTTATATATTAAAAAAATTACTAGAATTTAACACTCGAACTCGTGTATTGAAATGTTTAAAAAGTCCCAAAGTTTATATAGTAATTATTTCTGAAATTCCAATATATAGCTATAACAGTCGTATAGTCACCATCACTGTCCATACGCCTTATCAAAAAATTCCTCCGAGTTATTTTAATTTTTTTTAGTTGCCAATTAGCTGTGTTTTGAAAAATTTCCACGAATTTGCGGTTAATTTGTATCATATGTTTTAGGGACGGTCACAGTATGAGTAAAGGAAGTTGAAGTAGCCGGCCTTCGCTGCGTACGTGCAGGGTCTGCCGACCCTGGGCCGTAGGTTACTAAGACCTCAAGGACAGACCAAAATGGTTTGCACGAAGTCAACTTGAGATTATGTCCAGTCATTACTGACTTAACAAAACCTGCAAAGTCAATGTCCTTTTCAGACAGCGGGCGCTGACCTATACGCAGAAGTCATATTTATTTAATTGGGCAATAACATATAATTTCCTGGCGGCAATTCTCGAATTTCTGAAAACATGTGAGTAATGATGATATTAGTCCGTTCTCAAACTGCTTCTGTTGACATTGTATTTAACAAAACTCAAAAATGTATTGCTGTATTTGTAGATTCCCCGTTTCTCTCGATATCAGATTAGTTTTCATGTTCTGATCATTTTCAACTTAGCTTCATCGTTTACAAACGACCATTTCTTAATTCAAACAGGTATAGGCCTACGGGATTTTACTACTTAAAATCTGGCAAATTCAACAGACAAAATAGGAGCCAAAACACCAAACCCACGATAACTGGAAACAATTAATATCCAATCACCAACGTGTATTTTGTGACGTCAGCTCAGCTCACAGGGCCCATGCAGGTGTAAGCAAAAAGTGAAATCCTCCAGCGGTCATTCACTGCGTTGCTGCGAAGCAACCTGTACAAAAGTGTAGGCCAACAAAGAATCGGAATCCCAATGATCAAAAGTAGCATATAGGTATTGTCCCGAAATAGGCTTACGCGTAACAAAGACGATTGTTTGAAGAATATTTCAAGTGTCTTGAAGTGTCAAACCGTGAACGGATGACTGCAATCTCTTAAGCACCTTTTTTTTTGCACCCCCCCCCCCTCTTGCTACAATTTTCACTCAATGATGTGAGGATTTCTCGGATCATTAATCCCATTTTCAAATCAATTGGTAATCGCTGCTGACATGCGGTTTCAGATTGTGTCAGTAATCCAGCATTGATTCTTTTTGGTATTATATACATGAAGGTAAGGCTATTCTAGCGATTAGGGTTCTTTTCTTGATCTCTTGTTCCTCTAATCGCCTGGGTTGTTGCAAGGATTGTTGGCGTAATCGACCGGTTAACAGGATCACCACTTTATAGGATTAAACTGATCGCAGGACCGAAAGTAATAAAACTCATGTTTGATGTGAAGCAGCTAATCGCATGATTATAATTCTGAGTGACAGAATCGTTCTTGAACATGTGAAGGTTTAGCCTAATCCTTCCCATTGGGATTAAGCTAAAATCTTTTTTCATGACCACACTTCTTGTCTATTTCAGATCAACAAGGTTCTGCCTTTATAAATTAAGAAATCAAAGTATATAAACAGGTTTGGTGTTATATTTATTCTTTCATTGAATCACTATATAAAAGAGTGTTTAGTTTTGCAAAGTTATGTTACAGTTGGTTCTGCCTCTTTATAGTATTTTAAATGTGATATATCCCAAAGAATTTCCTGTCTATATAACAACTTTCAAATTGTTGGGACTAATGTGAGACGTTTTCGATCGATTGGGAATGCAATGATGGTCGCGAAGCCGTGAGGCAAATATCTACCCTGTTTGATGTTTTGAACCGTGTGCGGTCAAGCTGAGCTATACGTGCTGAGCTAAGATAATTAACTGGCCAGTGCAAGCACGTACTCATGTGATTTCAAGATGGCGGGCCCCGTCGAAAATATCAGCGACTTTGTAAGCGACTATACTTTAGAGGACAAGCTGGTTGAGTTGTAGCCAGATTATCCTTGTTTGTCGGTCGCATGATTTAAAAAAAAAATGGGCACAAACGCCAGCAGGCTTTTGAAGAAATTGCAAAACAATATCATGAAATCACGTGAACAGAGTATATGCTTTCATAGGCTAGTTTAGCTCAGCATGTAGCTCAGGTTGACCACCTGCATGTGCACGGTGAGTTTTTTGCCTCGCGAGGCGACACAAATCAAACAGGGGAGATACTTGCCTCGCGGCCCCGGGAGGCAGAAAACTCAGCAAAAAAATTGACCTCACATGGCGATACCAAATGTACCTCCCTTTGATGGTCTTGCTTATCCTCATTATCTCTGTCTTCTTACAGGTTTACTAGACACCTGTCGGGGTACTGGCAATCACTGGACTTGGTCTCTGGGTATCAGTACGGACCAGGAGCAACCGGGACAAGATGCTAGGTACTTCATGTCAGTTACTACGGATCGATCACCTGCCGCAAGCTCGGTGAGAAGCACGAGCAGATATGAAGAAGAATTGTGGACGCACCTAGCAGCATCGTATGATGGAAAGCATTTGAGTCTTTACGTCAATGGCGCCAAGGTAATAATATAAGGATTACTACATTATTAAGAAGTCATGACGAGGGAGAATTAAAGCCAAAAAAATCTGTCATTTTTTAAACATTTTTTTTAACAGGTGGCCGTGGGCGTAGGTACAGGAGGACCGATGTTTAGTGAAGTAATGCTTGAGTGCAAGGAACTAGTGATTGGTGGCAGCATCAATGATGAGAACGGATTCCGTGGAGCTGTGGATGAAATTACAGTCTGGTCTGAAGCCCGCCCTCACCGACAACTTAGAGACAGCTTCTCATCCTCCCAGATGCAAAGCGGTGTCATCCTCCGGGAGAACTTTGACGACGATTGGTCGAACTGGAAGACGGCAGCTGACAGTGAACCGCTGTTCATTTCCTCAGATATCCATAGTGAGCTGCATCACTTGGTTGCTAAGATACCGCAGTGTGGTGTCACCATCTGTGATGATCCTCACGTTGCTAAGAGTTACATCAATCAACCAGAGCTACGAGCACACAAGACGATCAGATACCGCGCCATTACCATGGCAGAAAATGACGGAGCCAATCCAATCATTGATACTGAATCCATTCGCCGTAAACACGCCATGGTCAATGAAGCTTTCAGTTCTCACAATATCTCGTGGGAATTGACGGATTTTGTGGTGAGGAACACGTCACTGAGGCACCGCGTCGTCCTCGTTCTTTGTGACATTAACGACATCGGAGATGGGCGGTGTGATGAAGAATGTAGCTATGACGTCACTGGCAACGACGGTGGAGATTGTGCTGAGGAGGCCGGAGGGGAACCGTGTTTGGATGAACAGATAGGTAGGCAGACAAACAAACAAACAAACAAACAAACAAACAAACAAACAAACAAACAAACAAACAAACATATACTCCAAACAATATATGACGTCATTTATACAAATCATGCATCAAGTAACTATAGTGTAAAATCCTGACAAGTTTTCAAAGAAAGCTGCCATCTTTTCTTTTGCAGGCAACGGTGTCTGTGATAGTGTGTGCAACACCGGAGACAATGAATTCGATGGTGGAGACTGTTGCAACCCGACTGTTGCCGACGTCAATATGACGTGTTTCGATCCAAGTTCTCTATACAGGTATATAGGCTAGTATGTTTTTCTTAGAGTATGTATGTTTTTCTTATAAAGCATGTATCCACCATTATTGGTACACAAGGCGCTATATCATTATTACACTGCTTAGCGGGCCAATGAAACATTCCAAATAACCATCTCAGCTCCCTGGGGAGTATACAGCTCGATGCTGCCATTTCGGCACAAAGCAGCTACAATCAATCACAATAACCATCTCCGCCCTCGCAGGTACCCATTTACTCCTGGGTGGAGAGAAGCAATGAGTGACAAAGTTCATGCCCAAGGGCACACGCACCATAGCTCCAGGCTGGACCTTAACCCACAACCTGCGGAATTACCCGCAGACCACGAATTCAATTCTCCATACCACGAGGCCACGGCACTCCACAGCTTAGCTTCGTCCCTTTGCTTAAAATCACAAATCATTATTTAGTGTGCTCTTTGGACTTCTTATAAGAATCTTTCTTTTCATTTTGTTGACGGCAGGAATTATTTGACAGTTGGTGAACTGAAAGGAACCATTGCTATGGAATCGGATTCGCACCTCAATGTATACTTTGTCAACTTTGCGGATCCTACCATTGAGGGCGTTGCTACCTTTCCATGGGAAATGGACGTACATGGACAATTCGGTAATAAGCCTCACAATCTTTTTAAAAAAAAAACATAACTTCCGTTTTGGTACTTTTGTAAGGTGTTTTATTGTTCGCTTCAAGAATCAAGACAATAAAAGTGGCGGTTATTGAGTGGTCGGGCACAACCCGACCACTCTTTGGATCTGTTACGATTAATCTTTCTTTCTTTCTTTCTTTCTTTCTTTCTTTTTTTTTCCGGACAATACTTCTCCGCGGGTTTTTTCTCAAACGGTATATGGTATGAAGTTGTAACTTTCAATATATATCGACCCTCATCCGAAGTGGTGCATATTACTCTGACGTCATGATTACGTCATCAGGTGTCAAATTACAAGTGATTTTATCTGAAAAAGTGACCAATTACTTTCACCTATAACTCTTGAACTAAACAATCAATGATGTTTGTATTCTGTAATCAGATAGACCATTAATCGCTAAACAGTTTTTGTCGTGTACGTGAACTCGCTTGACCTTTACTTCCGGGTCTACCGGAAGGTCAAAGTTAGGTGAATTCAAAATGAAGACGTTAGCCTGACATCAAAACAAAGCAGCATTTCTTCCGAACGGTTCACGGTATGATCACAAAACCTTGTGTGAACTTTTACCATGTTACGAAGATGTTCTAAATTTTGTTACGTCATCATGACGTCATCAGGTATCAAATTACAAGCGATTTAGAGGGCAAACGTTGACAAAATAGTTTGCGTTATATCTTTTGAACTAAATAGAGTATCGTGTTCGTTTTTTCGTGAGGTTGTAGACTATGCCGTGAGAAACATTTCGTGTTCCCGGACGCAAAACCGCTTGACCTTTACTTCCGGTGTTACCGGAAGTGTAATAAAAACTTAATATAACTCAAAAGCGGAAGCATTTCACTACAGACATATATATTATGAAAGTGTTTAGTGAGGAATGCAAAGACGCAAACAAACAGTTTGATGACGTCATCATCCGAGAGGGCGCCCCTATCGGCACATAAAATAGAGTTTCCCTTCTTTAATTGTAAAACCATCCGTCCAAATTTTACCAAATCGCCCCTTGACATTCTCTGATTAACCACAGATAACTTGGCAAGGTTTCAAATTCATGACGTCATCAGACCGGAAGTTACTTTAAGGAGAATTTGAAAAAGATCAAAGTTTTAATTTTAATTCTATCATTTGATCCGTCATATCTTCGAAGTCCAAATAATGATATCCATTACAATGTTCACCTTTGGATCTCTAATGCTGTGACGTCATCAAGCCGGCAGTTAGGTGTTATAAATACGTCATCAAACCGGAAGTTAGGTGATATTAATACAAACAATTATATTTCCCATATTTTCATACGTTATTTTAATTTTAAAATGAAAAATTATCGTCTCCGAACTTCAGTATTCACTAACCATTTTTGACTGATGACGTCATCAAACCAGAAATAACTTTTTGTGCACATAGAATGTTTACTGAAATTTATCACACCGTTTAAGATACCTTTTTAAAACATTGATTGTACTTGAAGGGATTTAATTTCGTGATCCTTTTTTCTACATAAACATATATTCCTAACTTAACTGGGCAGTGTATAATGAAAAGGCTGTCCGCCCGACCACTCTGCGTTTGTAACTCAACAAACGCGAAACTCTAGTCTTTATGATTATTATCATTTTTCTGTGATAATTGGCTTTTTGTTGGCAGGTGGGACAGTGTTACAAGGAGACACCTGTAAATCTGAATCCTCTTCAGAAACCTTTATCCATGAGTTAGGTCACAATCTTGGTCTGTGGCATGTTCATCAAAGCATGGAATGCACGGACGAGTGTAGAGAAAAGACTGCATCAGATGTTTTAGGTGATCTAGTTGAAGATACAAACCCTACGCCGGAGAATGAGTTTTGCAGGTAAGAGACGAACATTGAGATGAACATTTACCATATCCCTAACCCATTAGAATAATTGTGACAAGCTAATTTTGACTCTCAAATAGTATTCTGACCATTCATGTGTTAGATCAGCTGTTAATGTTTGAAGCAGAAACTGTACTACTGTTCGATACATTAATTTTTCTGTGCTAGTAAAAGAAAATCAAACCGGTCATCATTGAATTCAAAATGTTGTCTGAATGTTTTCAGGGATCCAAGATCATGTGACTCGGACACGTGTTTCGGTGAGGTCGAATTTAAGGAAACGCCCTACCGGAATTTCATGAGCTACACAGGTAGATTTTCTTTCTAGAAAATGTAAAATATCTTAAATAATGTTTTCAAAATCTCATCCGATGACTTAATTTTCTAACTTTAAAACTCGTGACACCGAGTCACAGCCACAATCACAGCCAATATGTATCTGCCATCTTGACTGACGCCAAGGTTGTGTTGTCGGTCATGAGTCGTCTCGCTAAACTTAGTCTTTGATCTTAACTTTGACGATGACTTTGTCATATTTTGCTGTTTCACCATGTGCGAACCTGTTACGCTGACTATGCTGACAGACACTGTCTGACTTCTGTCGCGATGTTGCCTTGATGTTAAAATGCTATCAGCCGCACTTCAACTTGTAACAGGAAATCCAATATTAATACCTAGGCTCACTTTTCGTCATCTATAAAGCTTGTGCGCCTAATTGTGACAAGGAACTACATGTAATCATATTTCCCTTGCCAGTACGAGCACTATGTTGGGGGAGAAGCTACAACAAGTGGCAAAGTCTCAAGGATTTACTGGGGATTGATGTGTCTATATGCACCTGTTTTATAGAGGGTCCTCGTCTAATGGAAACTGAACTTCTAAACCCTAAAAATATGAGGCGCTTTCGCCGGCAAAAATTGTCAGCATTAACTCCTTATCATTCAGTGGTCTATTTATAAATGCCTGCTTTTGGCAAAACTTTCCGAACGTATTTTTAAAAAAAAATTGTTGCTAGATAAAACAAGATGACATTTAAAAGAAAAATCTTTAATTACGATGGATGTCTAAGACCCTTACTAAGAGATGCGAACTTGTATTAGGTTTTTCATGGTATAACTTTTCACAACTGGTTTTCCTTCATTAGATGCCGACTGCACTGACCATTTTACAGAGCAGCAAGGCGCTCGTATGCACTGTTATATCGATCTCACGTACCAATCCTGGCTCCTTCAAGAACCGGTGTCCATCCCATCCATCGGTACACCGCTCAGCTTACGGGTGGTGTCGGAGCGCCCCCACTCGACCACTCTCTCCTGGCTTCCACCAGTGTCTGAGCACGGAGACAGTTCGCAGGAGGGGGCGTGTCTGGGCTGTACTGAGGGGGGTCGTTTGGTGCAGTACGCAAGCTCAGCTCGGTTCTATCCAGCATCAGTTCGCATGTATTCATGGTATCCGTCTCCTGACGAAGCAACAGGTATATAGGAGAAATGAATTAATTTTAATATCTGGATGGGGAAAAATCAGTTTGCAACATGCACGGTTTGGAAATGTCACAATGAATACTGAATTAGTTTTGTGGATGTACCGGTTGTCCCACAAAAAAAACGACAGTCTAAACCAATTAATAACGGTATATTGCATTTGACATTTGGAATATTTTCAAATTACCTCTTAAATTAAGATAACCAATCTACCATACAAACTTTATTTCATTCCAACTGCATTTGAACAAACGCTATATGCTTCATCGAACTCAAGGGTTGAAAATCGTCTTGGGCCACTTTCTTTGAAAGTGAGAAAGCGAAGTTAGCGAAACACACACACACAAGTGTGTATTTGCTTGCAATCTGGGACCCCCTATTGCCCCTCTTTTGTTTGTACTTTAACTTTTAGGAAGACCTAATACTCCAATGTGTTTTGTACACGAATCTAAATTGGGGACCCTATTGTCCTCTATTGTTCAACGTCCCCTATTGAAACAAACTCGGGATTTATATACTTTGTTCAAGAGTAACGTCGGTGTATTCTACAGGCTGCGATCTGTAAACTTGAGAAAAAAGTGGTTTTTCAAGTACCGTGTTGTGATGGCTGTATCTTTTGAACAAAACATCCTCATGAAACCAACTAAAAAGCATTTGGAAGACCAATAATATTGTACTCAGCAATACATTAGACACGATTTTAAATATTCTATCCCCACTTTTCTTAAAACATACCCGATTCGACTGTTTTTTTTGTTTTGTTTTTTGGTGGGACAACCTGTATCATTATATAATTTGGAAATTTGATTATATACATTTGGTTTGATGAATAGATTGGAGATTAGTTTGCTCATAATTTGCTAGCTTGCTCTTTACGTTAAATGGCTTTCGGTGATTATAGTAATCTTGTTAGTGGTCTATTTTGTCTTGATGTACAGCTGTTTTATTTTTTTGGTTTCATTTACGCAGGTCCCCCTGATGCTGGTGTGAAGTGTGCTTACAGTCCCAACTCCTGGATACCAGCGGGTCGTAAGGCCCTATGCGATGATTGTTACCTCGAACTAGGCTTCAAATCAGCCGTCGCTCCTTATGAATTAATCCTCTGGTCCAACTACCCTGACGACACGAATACAGGTGTCAGGAATTTGGAGTTGGTGTACAGAGATGGTAGCACCGAGTCGCTGGGACCCTTAACGATATTTTGCGATATGCCATTCACTATGCGCCTCACACATATCAGCAGGAAGGTACTGGCTATACGGGTCTACCCTACGCAGGATTTCAGCTTAGACGCCGTGCAGTTGGTGTCAGTTGCTGATTGGTCTGGATGTGCCGGCTGTCAAATCCTGAACTACAAGGTACTTCGAGATCCAGCTTTCTCAGACGGGGACAACAGCCGAGTTGTACCGACGACTGTCTTCACCGACGAGTACGATTGCGAATAAATGATGCTAATTATTTTGTGATTTTGTTGTCATTGTTGTTGAAAATATGCTCCAGAATAAAATGGTTAAAATAATAATAATCACATTTTTTATTCAAGTTAAACGTACGAAAAATGTTTTACATATACAAATAAGTATCTCTTTTTCTGTCTTAAGTGACGTTGAGGATGACGTCACATATTCATACAGAATCCAGGCTTTCCAAGATGAGGAGAATGGTTTGTTGACGACACCATTACGTCATCATCATGGTCAGGAATTCTGTGGCAATGGACGCCGGGAAAGGTACGTTCTCAAGAGGCCAACTATTAAATCAATGAATATAAGTTATTTAATTTTTTTCTGGTTGGCGTTATTTGTTGTTATTTACTAAAATGGCTCTCTTGGCTTTGTTTACTCATCGCAGAAGTACTGGTGAAGAATGTGATGACGGGAACACATCAGGCGGAGATGGGTGCAGTATGGACTGCAAAGTTGAAGAGTTTCACGAATGCAAAGGTTAATTCCTTCTGTCACGAGTGAAAAAAAAAAACTCCCTATTTTTGGTTTATCCCTATTAGGTTTATTGTCTGTGACTTTTCAGGCTAATTAAATTCAAATTAGCTGAGCGCCCTCAACCTCAGGTTCTGAGCACTCTTGCTACGCCCTAGATCATTTACTCATTGTCGAAGAACGGGCTTACATTGTAATTTTCTGTCTTCGCCAATACAGAATAAATTTGCCGATGCCTCAAGAACATTGTCCGGTCTCTCATTTTTAAAGTGCCATACTGCGATAAATCTGGATCTAGTAAAAAAAAAACACCACGAAACCCAAATGTCCGGACCATTGTTTTAGTGAAGTACTGCATGTAGCACTTTCAAAATCTAGCATATGAAAGCCCAATTCATAAGCTTTCTTTTAGTACAAGAATCATTCAAATCACGTATGTACTTTTTGAGTTTTGGAATTTTAAACACAACCACCGTTTTAAAGTTCTGTCCACGGATCGCACAGAAGGTGTGCGTTCTTTCAGCAAAACGAAAACAATTCACGCACATCCCTATGTGATTTGTTTTCGTTTTGCGGAACAAACACTTACCTTTTAGTGATCCGTGGACAGAACTTTAAAACGGTGGTTGTGTTTAAAAATCCGTAACTTGAAAAGTACATATGTGATTTGAATGAAACTTGTACCAAAGGAAAGCTTATATGAATTGGGCTTTCATATCCTAAATTTTGAAAGTGCTACATTTAGAACTTCACTAAAACAATGGTCCGGACATTTGGGTTTCGTTTTTTGTTACTCACCCTGTATTTTTTTCTGTGTGGCACGATTAATAAGACGGAGAAAATGGGGGAGAAGTTGTGGTGATGTTGGTGGGGACAGACGATAAATGACGCCAGTTAATTGTGTTTAATTTCAGGCGAATCCAGCATTTGCAGTCACGTTTCGACTACCAGCATCAAGCATCTCGGTCTCCAATCTTCAAGCAGTATCTACCCTACGCCTCCTGGTTTTGAAGACCAGTGGGTTGAGTCTGCAGTCGCTAACCCGATGTATCAAATAAGCAAAGAAAACCCAGTTAGCGCTCTAGTTGGACCCCCTAGCTCCCCCAAATGTGGCATGGCGGTGGAATCAAGTCCTGGGTGGTACCCACTGGACTTGTACGATGACTCGGATAAAAACTACTGGGTGAAGGTACGTCGGGTACCATTCGATAGAAAAGTGAAGCTCCTGAGTTGCCTCCTTCGTTTTTGTTTTAGTGCACCTATACAAATGGGTGTTTTATCATTTTTTAAACAAAATTTAAAATTTTGATTTTGTCCACCAGGTGCGTTTTGCCAAACCTGTTGTGGCAACCGCTGTAATCGTTCATTTGGCGGCAGACGGTCTTCGGTTCGGGACTTCCCAGCTCTCCCTGGAACTAATCGGGACAGACGGCGCGATTCACGGCAGACCGTTCACCGATCGTCCGGTGACGTGTCAGGACAACCCGGTGTATTTTAACATCACTCATGACTTGAACGCTCCATTCGCTCATACTAAAGAGGTACATGTTATCAGTTAATTATAATTAAAGAATGAATTTCGGAGGCCTCTGTTGGTAAATTTATTTTCGTTTTGTATTATTATAAAAAAACACCGTTTGGGCACAATAGTGGACGGCAGCCGCCACAGAGGAACTGCTCTCTTCAGCAAATTCAGCAAAAGCTGAAGAAGAAAAAAGATTCTCTGAAAACTTTGGACATCTTCTGTCGATTGTCGCTTCTTATTTTGTTTTTGTTTACACTCGCTCACTCGGTCGGTCGCCCACAGGCAGGCTCGAGCATGGCTTTTCCAAATAATTCGGTCCCGCATGAGGGTGGCCAGTTCGTCTGTCGGTTCTACACCGGTGTCCTTTTGCAGCACCCCGGTGTAAGACATTGATTTTCGGTCTTCCTCGCCTCCTGTGTCCGTGGGTTGGTTTCCAGAGAATGACTGTGTTTGCTTCCAGCTCCGGGTGCCGGTAACAGTTGTTTATTAAGTGTCTACATTATGTTTTTTTTATTCAACAGATTCGGATTCGTCTGAGCTCTGACACCGTCGCGAGTATATCCGCAGTCCGCTTACGATCTCGGGCGTCGTTTGACCCAGTCTCAGTTGCCTCGTGTCGTCCTGGTCAACTCTTCAATCCGTCCACTGGTCAGTGTGTGTCGTACACGTGTGTGTGGCCAGAATGTGAGGAACTGACCATCCTCCACGCAGTGGTCAATTGTAGTGGTAGTAGGGAAGGTGATGTATGCAGAGTGGGGTGTGAAGAAGGCTACAGTACGGACGGGACACAAACAGAAGCTGAGGTAAAATAAAAAAAAACCACTGATTTGAATATTTAGTGAGGAACTTGTGCCAGATCGCAAGTACATCGCAAGTCTTGTCGCAAGTAAATCGCAGGTCAATTCGGAAGATAAGTCGCAAGTAACGTGATGAACAATAAGAAAAAGAGTGCGGTTCATTTCTGACAAGCATTACATTCACTTGTGGACAAGCATTACATTCCAAATACCATCTCAGCTCCCTGGGAAGTATACAGCTCGATGCTGCCATTTCGGCGCAAAGCAACTAAAATCAATCACAGTATCTGCCATGGGCGCCGCGAGGGGGGGGGGGGGGGGCTGGAAAAGCAAAAAAAAAGAAAAAAAAGAAGATAAAACAGGGAAACAAAGGGAGACAAAAGAAAGAAAAAGAGGGGGGGGGGTAAGCAAATGCCCCTGCCCACCCTCGAAAAATGAGAAATCAAGAATATGCTGGAAAAGTACTGGGATTTCGGGGGGGGGGGGTGTGCTTTGCCCCCTCTAGAAAAAATCCTGGCGACACCCATGGTCTCTGCCCTCACATGTACCCATTACTACTGGGTGGGGAGAAGCAATGGGTCACAAAGTGCCTTGCCCAAGGGCACACGCACCATAACCCCAGGCAGGACTCGAACCCACAACCTGTGCAGAATTACCCGCAGACCACGAATTCAATGCTCTAGACCACGAGGCCCCGGCACTCCTAACATTGCATGCAAAGACCAGGGGATGGCTGTCGCCTAGTGATCATGATGATCACAGTTATAGCATTCAATGTTTTATTAATCGTTCGATGTGCCTACAGATGTTGTGTGTGGATGGCGCATGGCGTGGACCAGAGATGATCTGTAAGGCTGTGGACTGTGGAGAACCATCCCTCCCTTACGCTGAAGTCGTGTGCTCCATGGGAGCATTCGGGAAACAGTGTAAACTCAAATGCATCCCTCCCGCCAAAATGCAAGGTATGAAAAGCATTACAAATTACCATTACGTGACAACGAAAAGTTACACAAAACTTTGACAACTTCGATTACAGATTCGAAACTGTTTTATTTATTCATACATAAACATCTTAAAACTGATTCACACTCAGAAATTGTTACACACGAAACATGCAAATATCCAGAAATGACATTTCTTTTAATAATGAGATAAACACGTGTTTGTTAAAAAAGAACAACTAAATAACAATATTTTTCCCCTTTTCTTGAACTCGTCAGGCACAGTACAGACATTAACGTGCATGGCAGACGGCCTGTACTCGTTACCCGAAGCATTCTGCCAACTTCAGTGTGACGTTCCCTACGTACCCAATGCAATGCTCATGAGTCAACAGTGTCAAACCGGCAGTCATAATATTGGAACCGTATGCAAATTCCGATGTGACGTAGGCTATCACGTGCCTGGACAGGCCTCCAAAAGGTAGCACCCAAACCTGAAAATCTAATATCTTAAAAATGCAACACATGAAACAGTAGTCTGGTTGGGAGTGAGGTAGTGTAGGGTCGAGATCAAAATGTAAGTAATAATCTTTTTGGTCCTTTTTTTTGTTGCCAAGCAGACGAAAGCCCCAGAAGTTGAGGTACAAATGCACTGAGGATACCACGTGGTCTGGGCCATCCTGTGAACCTGTTGCTTGCGACCCTCCTCCAATGATATTCAATGATCTCTACACGTGCACTGATGGGTTCAATTACAACAGCGAATGTCATTTGGGATGTGATGACGTCACTGGTGACGTAGGGCTCGAGGTAGGCCTACTCCGCAGGGAATTATTGTTATAACAAAATTACCTCAAAGGTTTTTTTTTAAACTATATAATTTTATTTGTCTCATATTATTATTTTAAACATCAAACCACGCAATAACATTCTCTGAAAAGCTAATAATTGGAACGCGTTTCTTTCTGTTTTCTTTCTTTTTAGGTGGTGAATACAATTCGATGTCTGCAAGATCCACTTGATCCCAGTCGAGGTATTTGGGATGGTGATTTCACGTTATGTAGATCCTTTGAAGGATTATGTGATCCGCCTGAACCAAGCAGTAATACGCACGTAGAACTGAGATGTGATCATGGCTACAGCGTAGGTAAGCAACTTCGTACAGAGTCTATTTTGTTGTCCTTTATTAAAAGATCCTACGCTGTCTGTCTGTCTGATGTCTGTTTGTCTGATGTCTGTCGGCTGTCTGTCTGTCTGTCTCGTGTTTTTTGTAAAAGGCCTAAGAAGTGTGCAAAACCACAAAAATGCAAGGATTTTAATGGAGAGACTCAACCTCGTCCCCAGTGCTTACTTTATTTCCAACCTCGTTTCCAATAGTAGATATTATAATAGTAATGGTATATTCCTTGGCCGGCAAACACGATTTAACATATGAAATGTGAGGGGTTTTTAAGTGTTTTTACTGGGACCCTCAAAATATGATAACTTTGATTTTTCTTTTTGTTCCGATGCTTATTAAAGGTTCATATTGTACAGCCATTTGTCAAGACGAGTATGGATCAGACAAGGAGCCAGTCTTACTTGCAGCAAACTCCTCCTCACCTTATCTCCCTGATAGTGATTGGACCAAAGCTAATCACGTGATCACGTGTACTGACCAACGACAATGGTTTCCCGACCCTGGACGGATCACATGTGTTGAGGAATGTGTAGAGGTGGGTTTTTTGTCTGTTTTTTTTTTTTTTACCGTTATGAGGGGTTTTACTAGTAGGGCAGATAGGGGAAATATTTGGGGGAATTCTGCCTTTGATGATACAAGCATGGTATTTGGCACACGGTCATGAGAAGGTATCTGGCTATAGGGCCATCGCAGATTTGTCCTTTGAAAAAATATAGGTAGAATAACAAGTAATTTCAAAATTTTCAAAATGGCCGCCATTGCTTGTTACTCTACCTATATTGTTCAAAGGACAAATCTGCGATGGCCCTATAACCAAACATTTTCTCATGACATATTCTGACTGTGTGCCACATTCCACGTCTGTACATGGTGAGTCAAAAAAACTGCAATAATGCAAAGGAGCCATTTTTTTCTTCAAAGCCAAGTTGAAGTTTTGAATTTTTAAAACCTTGTAAGAATGACATAATTCATAAGTAACCTAATGTGAACAAATAGAGTTAATCAATACCGTTTGTCTTTTTTGAACCTTTTACTACGGTACCCGATTTACTTTTTACTTTGTCTAAAATTTGCATAAGAGCACAAAATGTGTCCCAAGAACCATTCTTTTCAAGAGATCTAGAGCTGAGACATGCATTGCCTTGCAGGGTTGCCAAGTAGAGGGCAGAGCTGCAATTGTGTGAACAATGAATGACACAGTAATTATAGTATAGCCCAGAGAAACTTTGCATAAACATAAAGAACTAAGAAGTGAAACGGAAAAATAAAGCTTGACCCAATGTTCAGTCAGCTTTCAATATGTCTATAATGTCTTTATTGTACTGTTTTCGCTCTTATGCACATTTCTGATGCCTCGTGGACAAAAACGTAAATCGGGTACCGGTGTCATATGAAAATCGGACTCGTATGAAAATCGGACTCTTTTCCCCTTTTATTGGTTAAACCCTCTCACGTGACCGTTCCCTCTCCTAATTATATGTATGAGCATGCGCAATACCACCAATGAGTCCGTATTTCATAAAACCTAAATTCATGCTACACCGGTACTGCAGTAACAAGGTTCACAACAGACAAACGGTAAATGCAATTAGCTTCGTTTTTTTCACACGAGGTTACTAATGAATATGTCATTCCTACAAGGTTTAAAAAGTTCAAAACTTCAACTTGGTTTTGAAAAAACGTTGGCTCCTTTGCATTATTGCATTTTTTTACTCACTTGTATCATCAAAGGCACAATCACATCGCTTATCTGCCCTGCTATACGTGAGAACCCTTTTTTCTTTTTTCTTTTTTCTTTTTTAAGATTAGCAACTTCGATCGCATATTTTCATTGACGTTTATGTTGTGTTTCTTGTTTTTGTTCTTTCAGCGCGACATTGCTAATGGTATATGCCAACAGATCAACAATCGTGCGTACTGTAATTGGGATGGTGGCGACTGCTGTCGGTCAACCACGAGCGCTGATTACGTCATCACAACCAGAGATGACAGTGATGCAGACAACGATTCCTTGTGTTTCGATCCCCAGGCTCAAGAGAATCAACCGACCAATGGCTCGAATAGAAGGAATCGATTATAAACGACTTCTAAACGATCATGTCTGGTTTTATTAATCAAGAAATATACCACATTATAACCAACAGGGTAAACCTTTAGAATCGTAGTAATTAAGTATAAAAAAAACCTGTAAACGTTACAAATACTTATTCAACTAGTATAAATGATCCAGCTGTTGCTAGTGGATTATAGGTATAAAAAACTACAGCGCGTCCGAAAAATACCCCGCAACATTGTTTTGCGAGGCTCTATACGTCGCCGTGGAAACACGTACCGCCATTATTTTTATGTAATTTTAAAGCTTGGAATCTTAACTTTATCCCTGGTAAGTATTTGTGTGATTTTCAAAAGGGTTTTGATGTTATTTCGTGTTCCAGTAAAGGCATGTCAAAAACAAACTCAACCGATTCCAAGGAAAATCAATCATGCGCATTTTTCTAATGTGGAAATGCTTCATCATGCAAAAAAAGTCGCGGTTATTTTGGGACGCGCTGTAGTTGTACATATTAATAGCATTTGAAACTTCTCACACAATTTTTTTTTAAAGCAATGCCAGTAAAGTTCTCTCAGGATTAAGAGAAGAAACTCAAGATCAATGCAATTGTTTTAGTAGTTCGCACTTGATTTTATTTGCATGAGTGACGACGCGTTACAGGCACGTAGGAACCGGGGGGGGGGGCCGCGGGGGCCATTGGCCCCGCTGAAAATATGATGGGGGCCATGGGAGGGTTGCAACCCCCCCCCCCTTCAGCCGCTGACTTTACTAGTAAAATGGGGTTAAAATAATAAATGGAATGCTAAATTAAGTGCTGAAATTGATTCTCATATTGCCTTAAAATGCAGGGAAAATCGTATAGATTTCAAAATTCTAGAGGGGGCATGCCCCGGACTCACGCTTTCACTCAACCCCCCCCCCCTTTCATTTAACGCCCTTTGCCTGAAAGCTAGATCCGTCCCTGATTGTTTTTATACATTCGTGTGACATAGGTAGTGAGTTAAGATAAGGTTATAATGCTACTCGTTTTATAATAGAAATTTCTGGAGTTGTCCACTAACGGTTTTTCTCTCTTACGTATTTACAGACTCAGAACAAGTTCTTGTGTACATTGAAAATGAACAAACAGGCTGAAAATGTCTATTTTTCTCATAGTATTCCATTTCACTTGGAATTTTTATGAAATTATTATAACAAAGTTTTTATTAAATTTAGACTGAATGAGAACCTCTTTTTGAATGCCAGTTTCATGTTTATAGTCGTCAAGTATGTTTGTGTGTGTTTATTTATTCGAATCAATGGGACGGGGCTTGTCGGTACGCATTGGCATCACTACAGTAATCGCCTTGAGTTTTCTCCATAACACCAAGGAGCAGATAATGAGAACGCACACAGCAAAGATCAAGATGCTTATGACGGTCCAGTGCGTGGTGTTTGCCCCCAAACACACCGTGTTGCGTTCCTGATTGGGTCTGTAGGTTGTGGCATTTGGTGGTGCTGTATCCGACAACGGTTGTCCGCTTATTCCTAGAGGAAAAGCGTAAGCAATGTGTTGTCCAAATCCGTAAACATAAGCGGCAAAGGCCGCATCAGAATTCACTGCTGAAATAACGTGCACCCCCGGACGCAACGGGGAGCGCATCACACAGAAATCGACAACCTCACCGCGAGAAGGATGCACCGTCACTAACTCCTTAGGTACGGAAAGTGGTCTACCGTCAACGATGATGTCCTCAGTAAATGAACAGCGTGACGTCACGGTAACGTAGCTTTGAACGGGTTTGAGCCCATCGGCAGTGACGTCATACGTTGAGAAAACCACTGCCGAGTCGCCGGCTCGTAGCCATTGGTTAATGGGTGTTACAAGGAGCATAGTAGGGTCACCTTTGACCCCGCCATCAGCGAACGCTCCCTGTGAATATTGGGCCACAATGATTGGTCGAGAACTAGTGACGTAACCACTCTCCAGTGAGTGCAGTTCGAAGGTGTAGAACTCGCCCGCACCCAGTTGTACAGTAAAATTACCGATGCTAGGCGCTGCGATTGTTACGGCGGTCTGTGGTTCGAATCCAATCAGTCTAAACTGATCCCCGGCCATTCTGGAGAGGAAGGTCGGAAGGATAAACTCTCTGCCCAGTCTGTTGGTTGGAGGTATGAACTCCACTAAATGATCACATGCCTCGATGTCGACTGGGATATTGGCGCACTTGCTGCCGGACATCACAGCAATTGGCCGGCTTGAAATCACGCGTGTTCCCGTCAGATCTCGTTGGCTCTGTAGTTGTATTGTCTCTAAACGAGACACTCTTATTTTCAGAGTTTCACCGATGTTGTAACTTACATTTTGATAAAATGTTGGCGCCATCAACAGCACTTCAACTGTTGTATTGTCAAACACTCCAATAATAAGAAACTCGCTCCACCTTTGATCGGATGGTAACAAATTTGACACATTTGTTGATATCACTTGGTATTCCACGCCCAGATATCTTGTTGGTAATGCGGTGAATCCATCCATGGAATTTGCACTCGCCGTGTTCAATCCATACACGGTAATATCGGCTGATGAATCAATCAGTATTCCGTTCTTGTAGTGATCGGTACCAATGTTCACTGCTTCCGTGGGAATCTCCACACGCACCGCTTCCAGTTTTAAAACTTCAAACGATTGGCTAAAATTCAGCCCAGGACACGTGACTGTGACGTTTGATGACGTGTGTGGATTTCCACCAATCACAAGCTTGGGAGGAAACTTAGACTCAACATTCTCCATGAAACCAACGATGAACTGGTTCCCTGGTGTACCTATATAAAACACGAAAAGGGTTTTGCTACATTGGTATTTCATATACAAGCATGAATATTAATTCCATTTAAAAAAAAAGATACTGGGCATCTGCTAAATGATTTAATTGAAAAAAAAATGGCTTAAAATTCAAGTCAATTATAGAAAATGTTCATGGCTATTGGTTTCTCGAATCAAACTTACCAGTTATCACATGTAGGCCAGAGAGACACACAATCATTAGAAGCATTGTTTTCATCCGTTGTTGGCTAAGGACATCCATGTTGCAGTAATCATCAACTACTTCAAAGTGAGCCTCACACTAAAATGAATTCTGACCAGCCCAGCTAGACATATGAACTTATGTGAGGCAACTTATTCTAGTAAGAGCGTGTAAGAAAATGACGAACGTCCTAAATCTTAAGAGCTTATGCTCTCAGCCAGTGTAGGCCTATACACTCAGATGCTTAAAGTTGAAATCCAAGAAACCTGATTCGCAGTTTCGTGAAATACTAAACTCCTGTATTCAGAAAACGTCCCTCGAAGTGTCAAAATACACCCAGACTCATTCAACAACTCGATAGACAACGTCAAAGGGGACAATGCATTATTTATCAAATTTCGAAAGTGATACATCAAGAACAATTCACTATTTTAAACAAGAAACTCATTGTTCGCGCGCTAAACGATGTTGGTGGTCCTACCGTTTCGAAAACAAAATTTGTGCATGCAGATGGCAATAGAATCGTTTGAACTGTTGTGTTCATGAAAAGCTTAGTATAAAAAAAACCCACAATTTGTTTGTTTTCCATTCGTATTATATCGGATGTTGCTTCTTCGTCAGTAGCAACGGGAACCGCGCCACAGCATAGAAACAAATGATGTCACACTTTATGATTTTGATTCTTCGGTCACAAAAAAAAGGTTGTGACGTCGTGGGGCGCTATACGCCAAAGTGAATACGCGCGCGTTAAGAATCCAAAACAAAACATCGAACAGGTGATACGCGCGCTCAATCAACATTCACAATATTTCAGTAACACACAAGAACTGTATTCATGGTAATTTCCCATTCACATTGCTGGTCTGAGAAAACTGCAAAGCCCAAATACCTGCAATAGGTCCCACGCCTCCAAGTGACATCAAGTTTCACTTTCAGCTCAACTGATGCATTTTTGGTCGACATTTTGAATCGTAAACTTTCGTCATGACGTCAGCTAAACAAGATGGCGCCATGAATGCGTGGACGGTGTATGATCACATAGATGAATGCAGAGGCAAAGTTGCTCTCAAAGGTACGATTAACTGATACAGAGAGATGAAAACAAGTGTCCAAACACTCTTTTGTGTAGGCCTAAATCTGAATCATTAGAACTTGAAATTAATCGTTGCCTGCTGAGGGCTACTTTAATGTTCAGTAAGTTGATAATGAAAGAAGATTCTATATTTTTTTATAAAAAAAGTTTAATTTGTTATTCTCACTTTTTATGTTAGAGCGTGATCATCGTGCGTATTATGAGAGCTCCCAGGTTGACAAACAGTTTAATGAGGTGGAGATTGCAGCACTAAGACAGAATAACAAGGACAAGAGGGTTAATCTCGCTCAGCAGACGTTTCATGTAAGAAAAACTAATGGCCATTTGCAAAGAGCGCCCTCGCCCAAGACACTGGGGTTAGTTTTAGTCTGTCCGAGGCAGGGTGCTATTGTTCCAACTTTTATTAATGTTTTGCTTTAGTTTGTGCACTGCCTGTTTCTTTGTCCTTTCTTAATCTTTTGGTTTTGTTTCCAGGGCGACGAGCGGGTTATCAACGAAGCGCTCGAGTCACACAGAGATGAAAATCTGGCTCTCCGGAGGAAGACGGCAGAGGTACGAATGCAAACCTTTACAATTTATCTTTGTGGTGCTAAGTATTTAGTCATTTCCTTACGTTCGCGGTACGGTATGCGGTTGAGTCAACATCGACTTTTCATCCTAAAGACCAATTTGGTTTTTGTTTGTTTTTGTTTTCAACTTAAGGAAGCCATCTCCGAGATGGATCAGAAGATGTGTGAGAAGGAGAAACAGCTGAATTCCCTGAGAGAACAACGCGAGAAACGAGAAAATCGCATCAAGGAGCTGGAAACGGCATTGGCACGACTTGACCTCCTGGCTAAGAACAGCGACAACAACTATGCGCAATACGATCTCAAAGTAAGAAGAGTTACTAATGCACGAATAAAGACGTTCATTCGAAATTATCATTTACTAAAATAAATGACGATAGAATTACAAATAGATTATGAATGTCTTGAAGTAAATACTACTGGGAATATATACATGGGAAATGATGGAGAAATATATATATTTTTTGTTATCCTTTTCTCCTGCAGACAATTCGTATGGTAGAGAACAACCTTGACAAGGCAAGAATCAAACATGAAACAGCAAGGAAGCTACAGCAGACTTACATAGAGATTGTGAGATGTCTTGAAGAGGTACGTACAAATATGATCATAGTAGGACCACGGCGTAAGGATGAAATCTTAAGCAATACGAAGATGATGATGCATCTTCTTTTTTTTTTCTATTGAACAAAGGAACGTCTTAGCCTTCCTAAAAAGCTGAAAGCGCTAGAGGGCGCCCTTGAAGAGCAGCGTCATGAGTTGAGGGAGTTGACGGGGATCAGCCAGGATGCACGAATCAAACGAGACCAGGCCAAGGTATGAACAAGTTTATAGAGTTAAGCAATTGACTTGCCATATAAATGACCAGTCAAACAACAAACAGGAATTTATTTACAGTATTTTTCAACCAAAAATGGACATTGAATTATCTGGGATAAGTATGAAGTGAGAGTTATTTTCTAAGATGTTGTAAATCTCACAGGCGGAGCTAAGCGTCTTGGAGCAGACAATGATCGAAGCAAAGCGGTCACGTGATCGTACACTGACCCGGATGAAGAAGCAGGCGGAGAAACAAAAGGAAATGGCGGACAAGATTGAGAAGCGAGCGCGCGCAACACTTCAAACAGACGACCCATCGCAAGGTATAGACAAACTGATATTCTCGTGAGACAACTTTGTAAGACAGAACAAAAAATCTATGAGACAACTTAGTCAGAACAAGAAACTAACACTGAACGGCGGTCGTGTGCTAATTGAAGGTTTAACTTTGTTGTCATGGTTACATAGAAAGCAAACGTCAGTCACAGATGGATGAGGATAACTGGGTCAAGGTCACGACATATGAGGAGGCATTCAAGCGAATCCAAGAGGCAACAGGCGTGTCCAGTATCGAGGTATGACATTTGAACCCCAAAACTATAAAATGCTACAGGTCTTTCTTGCCCATGATCTTTTCTGTTGGCATCAGCTTATATCCACTGATTAAAGTGAATTATTGATCCCTTTGACAGGAAATTGAGGCCCGCTTCATGAATCAGGGAGGCACATATGAGCATCTTTTGGCTCAGAAACGCACCTCGGAGAAACAGCGGAAATGGCTGAGCGAACAAAAACGGCAACTGACGCAACACTACGAAGCAATGAAGTACAGCGGAGAGAGTAAAATGTCCCAGTAAGTCGTCTGTCTGTCCTTCACACTTTGTGTCTATTTATTTGTATGCTTGTTAAATCATCAACGTTTACTCTTTCCTTTGTGGTTGATGACTTATAGAGGCCAGCAAATGCTTGAGAAGATGCAGGAACATCTCGGTAAGACGGAGCAAAGACGCGACTTGTTACGCAACAGCGTGCATAGGAACCACATGGTTACCACTGACGTCAAGAATGGAATCCGTCATCTCTACGACACCCTGAAGGATATCAAACTCAAGCCAGTAAATCAAATCTCTTGGTTTTCTTTTCTAAAGCAATGTCATTTCAGTGATTTGTTTACCAAAGTTAATTGTAAAAGTGTAAATTTAGTGTTAAGTGTAAATTCATCGGTTTACATAAATTCAAAGAATTCGAGCGGAAACTGTTTTGTGTTTTATATGATTATTTTTGGGTCTTTCTAAAAGAATATTTTCCGATGCTCTTTTACAGCCGATGAAGAACAATGCCAACCCAGATGATTATCTGGACCAACTTCAAATATGCGAAAACAAACTGCAGAAGTTGATGACGCAGGCAAATGTTCGAGACAGTGCGTCGTTCAAGAAAATCATGAACAGCACGGAGGTAAAAATTAATTTGACAAAAGAACGACGACTGTGACATTTATGACAATGGCGGTATAGTATGATGGCGACTATTATGGCGACAATGTCAGGATTCAACAGTAAACCTCTCAAGGAAGACAAACATGCGTTTAAGAAATACAATAATCTACTTTTTACGCTATTTATTATGTTTTTTAACTTTCCTCCAGTTCCATGAGTTCATGGAAAATAGGCAGAAGACTGAAAACCTGCGAGTTCGTTTGGACGAGCCGGATTCTTACGACTCAGGTACAGTTGATGAGAATAAGCCTCTGTACCGATGACGTCACACTTTGTTTACGTGTGTGCTTTCCTATGGTGCTCAGTGGACCGTGGTCCCCCACTGGCTCCATAGGAAAGTGCATCTGTAAACAAAGTGAGACGTCATCAGTACAGAGGCTTATTAGGCCTATGTTAACTGGGATAACTCTTACCCCATTCATGCCTAATTTATGTTAAATATACGTGCAAAGAAATGCTATGAAAACATACATTTTTTACCTTTTGCAGGAGTTTAGATGATATGTCTTCGTAGACAAGTCTTTATAAAGACAAATAAATGACTAATATATTGAAGGATAAGATCAGTGGCGAAAACATGGCACCGCGGGAATTAATTCACGCGACGCACGCGTAGCAAATAGCGCCATCTTGGTAATGCACGCCCTAAAAGACACAGGCATTTACAAAGCGGACACTAAAATCTAACGCAGTAAAATGATTTGAAATCCGCAGATGACTTTGGATATGACAGCCAGGATAACGAAGACATGATGACCAATGCTGACATCAAACGAGAAGGACAGATGCTCATGGACCAGAAGAAAAACAAGAAAAGGGCCAGAGGACGCCGAAAGAAATAAAGGAAACACCCAAAATATAACTACTGGTCATAAAATGCAACAGACCTACACGGGTTTACTTTGACTGTTTGGGAACACGGTACAAAGCGTTAAGGAGCTTGGTGTAGGCCTAAAATCTAAAAAAAAAAAAAAACCCACTATTCCAGTAATAAGCTTAATTGTCTCGACACTCCTGTTGTGATCTGTTTTTAACCGATCAGTAAAACAAATGCTCATGTTAACCCACTACTTTTTGTGATGTGCAATCAAGACATTTCGAAACAAAAAAAGGGCTCGCTCTATACCTATAGACTATAGAAACTGACACGTTGAACGATAGCAATCTATTACGTTATCTCAATTGTAAATTTTGATATAGAATAACAAATTCCTTTACTATGAAGAAAACGAAACAGTTCAAAAAGGCTTATAAGGCCTTCTTGGGGCTAATGCAGTATGAAAAATAATAAATATTACAGGTCAACCTGAGTTGTTCAATTATAATGCGCATTATTTTTTTTTAGCCACGCATAATGTCCTCTGTGGGCTCCGTACACCAGTACCCCTAGTCTGAGGATCAGGCATTCACGCGTGCAGAGCAATGATGGTGTGAACGTCTGATTGTCGTCGCATCAGTAGCGTAGGGGGGGGGGGGGAGTGCCCAGTGCCCCTCCCCCTCCCCCCCCCCCCCCCGGCCAGGTGCCCCCCCCCCCCCAAAAAAAATCCGAAATTTGTTGATTGCGAAGGAAGAGAAATCTAGATGACTTTAGAAACTGTGACATCAGTTTGATAAGAAATGTGGACTAATTAAGCTACTGATTGGTCAATTTGGACAGCATGGTTTTAGAATACGTTTATGGAATGTACCCAAACGAGGTTGGAAATAAAGTAAGCACTGGGGACGAAGTTGGGAATGTACCCGATAGAAGGAGCTTGGCTTCTTCCTGCTGATTGGCTTAATGTTATGGAGTCGACTGAGGGCGCACTTTTAAGAGCGGTACCCAAATCATGCGCGTACGATGTAACACAAAATACAAAGGAGCACCAGTCTCGGCGAGAGGAAACGCGTGCGAAACGTCTGAACTGTCAATGACTGTCGGATGGGATAAAAGTTTGTTTTAATTGTCTTCCGTAAATAATGGATAATGACGGCGACGTTGAGGAGGAGCAGTTAAGGAAGGACATTCTCCAGATAAACCAGGTCCTTGGCGACGAAGACGACGAAGGGGACGATAGTGACATTGATTTTGTGATTGATGAAAGAGACACAACACAACGGGCTAATGGTATAACCGTCTATTTCCGACAGAAAAAAAAATAAGACATTGACAATCACATGTACATATTTTACTGCCAATTAATTTATGCTTTGGAAGTACACTCACCTTCCTAGTATTAGTAGTTTTTTCAGTAGCCGCCATTATTAGACTCAGGAAATGTCATACGCTTTGTGGGCTAGATGCAACAGATAAAGAGGCACAAAATGATGTCACTGTTGAAAATTCATTATTTTTTCGGTTAAAAAAAAAAAAAAAAAGGCGGCCTCCAAAAAGGAAGCGGGCGGGGATGCTAAACATGTTTTTTTTTTTTTTTTTAATTCGCTTTATATAGACAGGCATGCAACTTTTCCTCGGATCAGCTGATTTCCTCTTTTTTTTAACTTCCCACGTGTGCCATTGAAAATAGAAAAACACTGTACAAAGTCTGGGAAAGATTTGAATTTCCTCTTTTTTTGTGACTTCCCAGTTGCATGCCTGTATAGAGCATGCAGAGCTTTACATAACTGCCAAACACATAAACATGAACTAAATATGAATTGTTCAAAGAGAGAAACTGGGTCATTCTATAAATTTGGGGTTGAATTAATGATTTTGTTTGGTGTCCCTGTTACATCTGAATAGTTGGGGAGGAATATAGGGTTTCCATGCACCCACTAGATATATTTTTGTATGTACTTTTTTGTAAGGCAGTGTATATTTTGCCGGAGACGGCAAACCTTTAGTAAACGTTAGTTTGCCGGATATGCACTGAACATGCGCAGTTACTGTTTTTTTTTACTTAAACATTTTCCGGTGACAAGTTTTAGTCTGGCTCCATGCCAAAATTATCGTTGTTACCTCGTATTCACAAGATGGGATTCAGACCATTTTATAATTTCGGACTTTATTTCCCTTTTAAAAAAAATCCTCGAGAGCCACAAATCTGAAAAAGAAAATGTAATACTCTGCAAAAAAATGTTTGAGACATGTTAAAATAATAAAAGAAGAATATTCTTATTTATTTAGGGATGAGAAAATTTTTTTTTAAAATGTGGTGCGGTCGGAATCGAACGCGAGTCATCCCGCTTACTAGAGCCTTTGATTAACCACTACACCAAACGTGCTACACAACTTTTGGTGGGAATTTAATACATCTTATAATTCAGCCCTATTTTAAAGAGTACAGCGCCCTCTGTTGATATGGACTGCCGCCGGCAAACCTTTAGTAATCGTTAGTTTGCCGTCATTACCTCCAGCAAAATATCCACTATCTTAAAAAAAAGAAAAAAAGGTGGCCTTCAAAATGGAAGTGGGCAGGGACGATAAACATGTTTGTTTTTTTAATTCGACTTATATAGAGCATGCAGAGCTTTACATAACTGCCAAACACATATTAACATGAACTAAATATGAATTGTTCGAAGACAGAAACTGGGTCATTCTATAAATTTGGGGTTGAATTTTGGGTAATCCTTACTTTTAGGACCCCGTTCCTATATAGGAAGGGAAAGACTCACCAAAACAGTTGACTAAATGACACTCAAAATTGACATTCTGATACTTCGTGGCACATCTGAACAATTGGCAATGACACCTTCTTGACTTCTAAAGACTGCTTTAGCCTGCAAAAGTCACTTTGGTACTGGACAGACATCTGCAAAAGTCAGTTTTGAACAAAACTCGTAAAAAATAGAGGTGTCCTAAAAGTAAGGATTACCAAATTTTGTTTGGTGTCCCTGTTGCATCTGAATAGTTGGGGAGGAATATAGGGTTCCCATGCACCCACTGGATATATTTTTGTATGTACTTTTTTGTAATCCTTAAGGTGTCTAGTGTACAAATTTTGATGTTCCCAAGATCAAATATTGTCCCATGGGGTTCATTTGGCGGCCATCTTGGTGGCCATCTATAAGATTTTGTCAATTCAGAACACATTCTGTAATGGCTTCTACCTCCAATAGTGATGCAAAGTACCTGCTAAACCAATAAGAATAGTTGGAGTCAAATTTCAATGATATGTTCAAGTCAAATTACACACAGGTCAGACTAACAGGGACACCAGAATGGCACACTTCTGGACCCCAAATTTATAGAATGATACCTGAGAAACTTACAGCAAACTTCTTTGTGGGTTTTTTTTTTAGAAGAGCTGCATTTGCATGAACTTGGTGTTGACCAAGAACTGTGTGAAGAGGACGCAGGCTTTCCAGAGACATCTGATGAATGCTCTGACCAGCAGTTGTTACTGATCAATCAAGAAAGTCAAAAGAATCTGCAAGATTTGTTGGCCAGAGTGCAGGAGGAACTTGCCAGAAACCAAGCAGAGCAGGTATATCATTAAGACTTTTTGATAATATTTTTTTCTGGCCCCTGAGGGCCAGGCTTGTGTTATGTTTGCACGTATCACAGTCCGAAAACTTGGGACTCAATAAAAGCCCCAAAACTTAAGGTACTGAAAACATGCCTATGGCCTAGCGATGAAGAGTTTCAGCCGGAGTCTGGACACTTGTGCCCTTAAGCAAGACATTTAACCGTTATTGCTTTGTCCTTCGGATGGGTCGTAAAGCCGTAGGTCCTGTGTGTGTTGTGTAATGCAATGCACGTAACAGAACCCAGTAACACTTATGGCTAAGAGAAGGGGTTTGCCCCAGCGTTTCTAGCCTCCCGGTAAAACTCCCCTGCGGAGTATTTAGGAGAAGAACCAACCAAGTACCAAGCAAGTACAAGAAAATAGACTGGCACATGAAACATCCAGTCCAACCACCCTTCTCAGTCCCAGATTCATGTCTTATCATCTTTTTTGCAATGACTGACCTTCATTGAGATGATATATGAAGAAAAAAGTGGCGTCGGGTTGCAACATTTTTTTCCACTGACTCTTATGGCTAGTAAGACTGGTCTCGGACCCACTTTTCCAAGCGTTGCCTTGTTTGTTTCAGAATGAATTGCATTGTCACTCTGGTTAAAGGGTTTATTTCTACACCATACTTTAGTTGTTATAAATGCGGCCATGTGTTTTTCGTCCCTAGGGAAAAGTTTCTGCCAACCCAAGTGATCATGAACAGAAGAACTTTGACTTGTGTGTCCGACGACTCTTCAGGAGTTACTTTGAAGACCGTGCTGGAAGGGTAAGATTGTAGACTTCTTTTATTGACTGAAATTATGTGGGGTATAATGGCTTGAATGTCAGGCAAAGTAAAAAAAAAAACCAAGTTTCTCGTCCCCGCCCGCTTCCTTTTTGGCGGCCGCCTGGATTTTTTTATTTTTTTTTTATTTTTGAAAAATGCAGTAAAAACACTAAAAAAGTCCACAAATTCTTCGGAAAATAAATACTTGCGAAATATGTGAGTCGAAGTTTTCAGTATAGACTCTGTCGGTCACTTTTTACACCACATAATATCGACGTGTGATCGCTACCCCTGCGACAGTGCGAGCATGGCGAGTTCACAACAACTCACCCACTTGGTTCCCAGACCAAAAGATTCTGACTATTCCTGATGAATCTACGCGCCCATGGAGTCGAGGCTGAGACGTGAGAGTCAGGAATAATTGTCGGGTCTAGGGAACCAGACTACGTACATGTATGTCTATTGATAGTTTTAGACTACAGTCGTTTGAAAATTCAACCGGAATCTGTCTGCCGTACTGTATACGGTAAATGCTGACTTCAAAGCCAGAATGCAACCGGTGTGAGACTAGCTCACGCTGGAGCATGTGTTTAAAGAATTCACTCGCAACTTTTGGCGGTTAAAGCAAATGCATCTAAAACTGTTCATTGTAGACCAATACAACTCTAAAGGACACTGTAAATATGTTCAGTTCTCTTGTCCAACTTGTCTTTCATTTTAAAAGTGTCTTTGAACAGTGGAAACACCAACGGTTGCAGGAAATTTTAAAATGGTGACCATCTTGAAAAAAATAAAAAATAAAAAGCCCCTCTTCCTCCTATTTTCAAAAACCCGGACGAGAAACTTTTCTTTTTTTTTTACTCGGCCTTAGAAGCCAAAGTAGAAGGAAACTGTGAATACCATATCAATTGACTTCAGTCAGTGACAGCGTTTGTTCGTCGTTACTATTATAGGAGTGATGATATACAAATTATGAATATTTATGAGTAAAACGGTAAGAATAATTTCACAAGGTGACGGATGGAATGTTTCAGTCCACGAAGCAAAGCCGAGGGGAATGAAACATTCCATCTGTCATTGAATGAAATGGTTCTTTCCATTTTACAGATTTGTTTTCTGCAAGCCATACCACCAATACTGTGAACAGTGAAATGGTAAATAAAGATTGTGACATCATAATTATAATTAGGACTGTTTTTTGGTGTGTGGTATTCAGACACCTCCTCACAATCATGAGACGATACAGAAGAAGGAAGCCAACATGCCCAACCCATTTGAAGGACCACGGATAAAATGTAAGAAGAAAATTCATATATTTTTGTGCCATGCAATAACATCCCAATTTAACCTTATTTTCGATTTGCCATTTTCAAGGGTATTTTTGGTGCCATTTTGGTTTTTATGCAAATACAAATTTCCATATTCATGAGCAAAGTGTGATGTCATTTCAGGCAGAAACCTCAATGTAACTGTTATTTCAGAACCAAAAGTTGCCAGAATTAGGGATAATTTGCTGTTATAAAATTTTCTGTTCTTTGGTGATTCATTGTTGTGTCAGTATGGCATTTAGACAGTGAGCAATCTTTTCTCACAGATTTTTCAATGAGCACATGTTTGGGTTCACGATGAACAGTGTCCTCCTGAAATGACATCTCAGCAACGACACATCCTCAGTTGTCCGTATAAGCATGGACAATTGTTAAATGTTTAAAGCAGTGCACTTTTTGATCAAATTAACCAAAAAAGGGATGTCATGTAATTTTCATACATTTATAAAGAGTAGAAGAAAGTTGCACAAAATAATGTCCTTAGAAAAATTCATTTCATGGACCCTTTCTTAATCTCAATTCATGAATACCTAAGACAATTCATATTGGTCGAGAGCCTGTCACCTGGACAGTTTTAAACGATTGAAAAAGACCGGCTGGCTGGTCTTAAACCCTTTTCCAGTGTCACATGGAATTTAGACTCCTATGAAATCCAATGCCTTTTAGTTACTGTTTTATTGGTTGAAAGTTCCCAATGCTCATTTAGGCTTGTGCAACACTACCAGTGAGCCAGTATTTCATACTCCTAAACTCAAACTGCACTGGCACAGCTGCGTTCTGTGCCACATCACGCAGTATGCAGAACACGCTTGCCAATCACTATATCAAGGAGTTGTTTGGGACATGGACACAACCATAATTTAGCTAGAGGGGTGTTTTGAAAAAACATGAAGTAAAAGTGTTGAACAAAATGGTTGGAAGTTTATAATTTTTGTGCTTAAAATACAAATGTATGTGCTTGGCCAGTATTAAACATGTTTTAGACCAGTTGGAGTCTGGATGCTGATAATTACCCAAGACACCAACTGGTCTTAAATAGAGTGTTTAATGCCGACCATGCACATATTTATTCTCTTAGCATTACATCTCCTGGTGAGGCAGTGATGGTTGCTTTAAGTGTCATAAGGTTTTTCCATTTCTTCTTTTCTTTGAATCAATCATTCGCTCTCTTAACAGGGAAGAAGGAACAAGAAGAGACACTAGCGGAAGGTATCAAGACAGACGGACTCAAAAGGAGGTTGCAACCCATCCTGAATCGCCAGGAGGTTCTGGAGGATAAGATTGATCGATTGAGCCTCCCAAAGGACCTGGAGAAAGCCTACGAAGAAATGAGAGAGAACAGAAAGAAAATTGTCAAGATAGAGTAAGTTTAATCATGGGCTGGCTGGCATGATTTAAATGTTTTGGAATGTTTGCAAGAAGTACACTCACTTTTAACCCCTTTTCCTCCCGGTTTTCAAGGCCACTGCACGGCATTACATGCACGACTGCACTAAGCCCAGGGTGCTGTAGCGGCCGTACCGACAGTACTGGCAGTACCGACACTACTCAGTAGCGGATGCCTGGCAGCTGTCCACGGATGCCATTCCTAGGCTAGCCGGACGGCTGCTACATCCGGCTCCCAGCATGGAGGGGTTAACCCCTTGTTGCTGGGTTTTCACCTCTCACTGCACAGGATTACTCGCATGAGTGCACATTAGGCCCTGCGCAGTAGCAGCAGTTCTGGCACTACGCAGAAGCAGATGCCTGGCAGCTGTCCACGGACGGCATTCCATGGCATTCCTAGGCAAACCGGACTGCTGCTACAGCCGGCTCCCAGCGTGGAGGGGTTAACCCTTTGCAGCTGGGTTTTCATGCCTCACTGCACAGGATTACACTAATGACTGCACATTAGGCCCTGCCCAGTAGCGGCAGTTCTGGCACTGTAGCAGATGCCTGGCAGCTGTCCACGGATGGCATTCCTAGGCAAACCGGACTGCTGCTACAGCGGGTTCCCAGCGTGGAGGGGTTAACCCCTTGCCGCTGGGTTTTCATGCCTCACTGCACAGGATTACACTAATGACTGCACATTAGGCCCTGTGCAGTAGCGGCAGTACTGGCACTACGCAGTAGCAGATGCCTGGCAGCATGTCCACGGACGACATTCCATGGCATTCCTAGGCAAACCGGACCGCTGCTACAGCTGGCTCCCAGTGTGGAGGGGTTAACCCCTTGCAGCTGGGTTTTCATGCCTCACTGCACAGGATTACACTCATGACTGCACATTAGGCCCTGCGCAGGAGCGGCAGTACATGCACTATGCAGAAGCAGATGCCTGGCAGCTGTCCACAGACGGCATTCCATGGCTCTTGGCGTGGAGGGGTTAGCCCCTTGCTGATGGGTTTTCATGTCCTTGTGCATGATTACATGCATAACTGGGCAGTAGCAGCAGTACCAGCAGTACTCCATAGCAGCTGCCTAGCAGCTGCCCACAGACGGCATTCCATGGCATACCATGGTATACCACGGCATTCCACTGCATACCATGGCATACCACTGCATACCACAGCATATTGGGCCGGGTCTACAGCTGTCAGCCGGAGAGGAGGGGGTTAACCATACATGAATAACTGAACTGTCTCGGAGTTCAGAGGGAACTGGTTGTTATTAATGTTGCTTTACTGGAATGCTCCGACAATTTGTTTCATTTTTTTTGGTATTTGTTCAAAGGGATCTACCAGACTCGGAGTTTGTAGGCGATCGATTCCGAGACGTTGATTGGGAATGCATAGCCAGTGTTGATGTAAGTCAAACCCATCTCATGTTGATTTCAAGCTTTTAGTGTGCAGTTTGGATTTCATGGTTGAACTGATTAGTACCTGTATACTACATTGTTTTGCTTTTATTCCTGATGAAACCATGCTGGGGCGATTTTGTGGCATTGTAATAGGAATACCACACAGGGGCGTTACACATGGGCGTCGCCGAGATTTTTTCTGAGGGGGGGGGGGCAAAAGCACATTTTTTCCCCCAAAAAATCCTCCTGCTATCCGAGCAGTCACAGACAGTAAAAAAATCAATCCTCTACCCCTGCCATGCATTCTATACAGGCTAGTCGCAACAGTCAGATCACATATTTAAGCAAGCACTGTGACTAGTCAATTCAGTCAACAGACATAAAAAGCAGGCAAGTGTAGGCCCAGTTAGCTTATATATCACCTACAGTCAAAGCATGGCTGTATCAGGTTACATAAACAGTCATAGCCGGTCAATCCTGCTTTATGTAGGCTGGGATCTCTTCTCTGTTAAAAGCAGTCACTTGACTGATTTTGACTGAAAGGACAATTTTACTCAAGAGTGTATGTTTGCTTAAGAGGGTAACAAGAATTTGCTCAGTTACTTTTTGGATAGCTGCAAATGATCTACTCTACCTTAAAGTCCATATACCATCTTCACACCCATTTTGTCACTGATTTACACCATTTTAAAAATTGGAGTTTTTTTCTTCTCGTAGTTTGATGGAGAGCGCACAGGGGAAGAGTGCCAGCTACATTGGCAAAACCATTTATACCCAACCATCAATCACGAGACATGGGAGGAGACAGAGATGAAAGATTTGTTGAAGGTGGCCGCCGAGCACGAGCATAGAGACTGGGCAGAGATAGCCGAAGCGCTAGGGGTAAGTATCCAATTAAACCAGGACTCGGGGAAACAGTGTCATCGAAGTCAGACTTTAAAGCGTGGGAGAAGACTTGGTGATAGCTGCTACAAGATTATGGAGACAAGATAAGAGAATGCTGAATATATTGGGATGAGGTTTCCATTTCCAACAAGACTAAGAACCCATGTCATCACCTGTCAACCGTAGGGAAGTTAGAAGGAAGACTTGATGATGATTGCTCACAAATACAATTTTATTTTGTGTATGTTTTAGTCAGTACATTCCGTCTTTGGTTCACGCATGGTGGGTAAAACGCAAACTGGCACCTGGAGTGCTCTGAAACGTGCAAAACCAAATCAGGCCAACTTGACTCGCTCTTTAGCTGGCAAATTTCTTCAAAAATTCCACTGGGCAAAGCAAAGGCCCTCAGTATTTCACCAACTATTAGTTTGCAGACTCAATTCAATTTTTAAAGGAGACATCTCTTCAATATTTTACACATGAGATGGAAGTCAAGTGTTTCAAAATGAGGCTAAAGACTAGACTGGTACATGTCCAACCATGGTCCATCTATTTGAAAAGACCGACCTCTTCATTCAGTGTCATTAGTCTGGTGGCTGACTATGGAGAAATGTGTAGAAATATAGACTAGTTCCCGGTGCTTGCAACATGTTTCTTTTGACACAGTTGATTGATGCAGTACTGAAGTGGTGTTGGACTGGTTGTTTCAGATGCCAGTCTAATTTTGTGTATGGCATTTTTCAATACCTTAAGTTTTGGGACTCTCATACACAGTATTGAGAGTCCCAAATTTTCAGAGTAGTTAAAACGGGGGGCTAAAAGATGTGTTTTTTCAATTGACTTCGTTGATTTCATTGAGTGAAGTAATGTGATGCTTATTCTGTGTAACAGACGGGAAGGACAGCCATGCAGTGTTTGTCGATGTATCAACAACTAGACGACACCTTTGTCAATCCGTAAGTAAAGTAACATCGTCCTTCTGTGATGAAAAACAACATGTAGAATGTGGAAGCTGGCAAAACGGGCGATTCCCAATACAGTGCGCCACCAAGAGTTTGCCTCCGAGAGTCCATTTTTGATTTTTATGGTCAACAGTATCATGGCCGACTTGCCGCGATTTGAATGAATGTCATTAAACAACTGGAGGAAACGTGTCAAAATGGTAGATCGGGGCAAATCATTCTGCTGACTCACAAAAAAAAAAACGCCGTCTTGATAAAAAGAAAAGAAAGAAAATTTACTTGAATCATACGTTTATGAAATTACTGACCTGACCAAGTAACAATTTTAAGTGTCCTGAGCTTTGGGGAATTTGCCGACCGTCTCCTGCAATGCACTGCGAAAAATGGACTCTCCATGGCAACCTCTCGGTGGCACTCTGTATTGGCAATCGCCGGTATTCAGATCTCAGGAAGCAGCTTTTCCTATTGAGTAATATTGTATTGTAATGAGTTGAATTGTATCAGCCACATTTATTTCAGATATTTGCACTTCTCTGTTGATTAGTTTAGCTTAATTCTATTTGATTGTATTGGAATAGAATAGTGCTACGACAAGAATGATCAACAAGAATCATCATGGTTGTTTATGTTATTGTTTCCATATGTGAAAATTCTGTTTATGCAAAAAATCTTAATTGTTTTTCTGGTTTTACAGTATTTTCAGCAAAGACGACGACGAGTTACTTCACGAATTGGTCAGAAGGTTCCAAATGGGCAACAAGCATATTCCATTTGCCAAAGGTATGTAACTTGCATTCATAAATACCCATTCCCATTGGTCGAGAGCCTGTCACGTGGCCGGTCTTAAAGCTATAGTCCATCATTTGTAATTAGTGCATTTTGTTCATTTGAAGCAACAAAAGTGTTCAAAATCTAATGAAGGATACTGAACAACTTACTTGATGAAGTTTCAGCTGAGCTTCAGCTTCATATTCCGAGAAAAACAGCATTCTAGGATCTCAATTTAAAATCAGAAGTTGCTAAATCATGTTTCGAATTGTTTTGAATTGCAGCTGTACGCGATGGTTGCGCACTGATCCGACGAATTATAGCAACCGCGCGCGCCTGTGCGTCGTTCCAATGCTTGTGCGCGCTGCGCCGAATAACAAAACGAACAACTAATTTAAATTTTCCTACAGTGCTTCTTAAGAAGCACCGTTGGAAATGCCTTCTTTCGTTGATTTCTTCAAAATGACAGCTTGCCAGAAAGTAATTTCACAGGGAGTTTAGTTCCCTTACTATCTTTCAACCAGTATGTTTTTCAACAATAATTACGCCGGTTACTTTTTAGGATAGCTGCAAATGATGGACTCGGGCTTTAAACGGATGATAAAGACCGGCTGGCTGGTCTTAAACACGTTTTCAGTGTCACATAAAATTTGGACTCCTATCAAATCTAGTGCCTTTGACCGTTTTATTGGTTGATCGTTCACAATCCTCATGCAGGCATGTCTAATACTACCAGTGAGTCAGTATTTCATAGTCCTATGTTCACAACGCACTCGCCACAGCTGCGTCTGTGCGTCATTGTGCAGTACGCGGGATGTGCTTGGACACTCCATTCTATAGCTAGAGTGGTGTTTCGAAAAAACATGAAGTAAGATTGTTGAACAAAATCGCTGGAAATCTGAATTTTTTTACCTGTTTTGACTTTTGGACCGAAAAGTTTTCTTTTTCTTTTTTTTACCAAAATTTGGTATTTCAAACATTATCACGTTAATCAGATTTATTTAAATGTGAAGTTTTCTTGTGATATCTTTTTTTTTCCAGTGGCTTACTTTATGGAGGGTAAAACTCAGCATCAAGTTACTTGCCGCTGGGTAAAGACTGCTGATCCAGATATCAAGTTTGGAAAATGGAGCAAAGAAGAGTTAAATGTAAGTACATTGGGGAAGAAGAAAACATGGCACAAATGATACTGGGAAGACATTGCATGCCACTTTTTTTTTTAAGTGAAGTAGAAAGCCTGCCTACTAGTGTTGTAGGGGAATCTATCACAAATCCTTACAAGTCTGTTGCAAGTCCTCACTAGTATATCACAAGTCCTCACAAGTCTACCGCAAGTGCTTACAAGTCAATCACAAGTCCTCACATGTCAATTTTAAGTCCTCAAATGTCAATAGCAATTTCTAAGTCCTCACCAGTCTATCACCAGTCCTCACAAGTCTATCACAAGTCCTCACAAGTCTATTACAAGTCCTCACAAGTCTATCCCAAGTCCTCACAAGTCTATCACAAGTCCTCACAAGTCTATCACCAGTCCTAACCAGTCTATCACCAGTCCTCACAAGTCTATCACAAGTCCTCACAAGTCTATCCCAAGTCTTCAGAAGTCATCACAAGTCTATCACAAGTCCTCACAAGTCTATCGCAAGTCAATGGCAAGTCCTCACCAGTCTATTGCAATTACTCACAAGTCAATTAGAGGACTTCACAAGGCGATCGCAATATCTAAGTTACAAGTCCTCACAAGTCAATGGAAAGTCTGTCACAAGTCGGCCACAGGCTATCCAGACCCAAGTATTTCGTTACCAGCTATTGAAATGGATTGTGACAACAGTTTTCTGTGGTGTTGGGGGATCAACTCATGAACATACACGTGCACACCTGTTCTGCTTCACAGTATAGTGGTGTTTTACACAAGTAACTCAAAGGTAGTTTTTCCTGTCAATTTCATACTGTTGCTGATTTCTTTTTTTTTCTTTCTAGAAATTCCATAAAATGGTAGAGCGGTATGGAGCTAGGAACTGGTCTCGACTGGCTGAAGAGTTTCCCGGAAGGACACAGTATCAACTCAGGCAAAGGTGTGTTAGTTTGCGTGTCAGTTTCCTTTATGAACTCCTGAAACGAGGGTTTGGGGCAGTAGAGGCGCTAGGGTGAGGGGGGGGGGGGGGGGGGGCATGGGGGGGGGGGGGCATTTGATCCTTCTAGCCAAAAAAAGTAGTTCTTTCATTGTAGAGACACTTTTTCCCCTCATGTACAACAGATAATACATGTATTGTAATGTTATAATAGATGATGTTATTTACTTTATTTTGTTTGTAGATGGGCAAATTTGTCTGCTCCTGATATCAAACACGGCTCATGGGACTACCAAGAAACCATCAGGTTCCTCAAGAAGGCACAGGAAATTGGAATCGGTGAGATAATTAGTCCAGTCACAATCCAACCTTTGCTGCACCCAATATCACGAAGTGTTTCGATGCGTTGCAACCTGAGTTACGACATGTAACACCTCGCAAATCGGGATGTCTCGTATGACCCATTTAACAAAATTTGTGATGTGTTGAACGCGTATGAAGTTCCTTGAGAGAGGCAAGTGGTGGGGGGGGGGGGGCGGCAAGTTGGGATGAAGCGGCTTGCCCAAGGACACAACATAGGCTGGATTTAAACCCTGACCCTCTGATCATGCGTCAAAAACTCTTACCGCTAGGCCACACTTCCCTACAAAGTCATGACAAAGAACATGAAAAAAAGCACTTTTAAAGTGGTGGAATATTTTTTAAATTAGTGTTATTATTTTTTATGGTTAGGTAAATGGGCTGTGATCGCTGAAGCTTTGAAAGAGCCAGGAGAAAAACGCAGGACATCACGGCTTTACTTATGCGATTCAAAATAGTGGTAAGAGTTGTTACTTTTTTGTTTTTGTTTTTAAGTCAGATGTGTTGTTCATTCTGGCGTTGATTTGAGTTTAAGGAGCTGTTTTCAGTTGATTAAAGAGTCGTCGTGTGTTGTATCAGTGAGGTTCTATAACAGTGAGGCCTGATTTATAGCGAGTCGTATCCCATGTGATGACAGACAGGTCAGGTTGGCGTAGCAGTACTTTCCTCGCCTGCCACTGTTGTGACCCGGGTTCCAGTCCCGCCTGGGCCAACATGAGAATTGGGTTTTCAGTCCCTGCCTGATTCCGTGGGTTTTTCTCCAAATATTCTGCTGGGGTTTTGCTTCCCACCTCTAAAATATTTTGTGAAGACTGGCCTTTTTCATTCAGATGCCCTTTTTCACCTGCACTTACCCCCCCCCCCCACAATATTTGTAACTAGTTCCTTTCTTTTGTTAAAAAGTGCCCTTTTTGTCTGAACAAGTGCCCTTTTAAAAAGCCGCCGTAAGGTGTGCCTTTTTTTGAATTTCGCGCATGTATTGCACTGAAAAGCACCGTATATTGTTCGTTTGTGAACGTAATCGTCGGTTTTGAACAGCGACCCCGGCGATAGATGGTACCAGCCCCCCCCCCCCCCCCCCCCTTTTTTTAAAAACTTTTATGGAGACCAAGTGTCCGGAAAAAATAGGTTTCTACTTGTTAGCGCGGATGTGCAAGTGCCATTTTCAAAAAAATTAACCCCCCTAATCCAGTAATTTTTTTTTGCAGTTCATTATGGGAGACAGTCAACAAATTCGCTGCACATGGCGTGGGGTCCTGAAAATTGTCACTCTGGTCTTTTCTTTCTTTCTTTTTTTTCATAATATGTTTTTTTGTGAGGTGGTAAAATGCTTTTTTGCCTCAATCTGTCAAAAATTTCCTCAAGTTGTCTGCTGACATTTGTTGAAATCGCCGGAAGTGAGCCATGTTTTTGTTGACTGTAAACTTGAGAAATGGACTCTCCGTGGCAAACTCTTGTTGGCGCACTGTATTGGAAGGTCGCCCACATTACCTTTTCATTTTTTTTTTAAACAGGTGGAGTCTTATTTGAACTGGAAGTCTAGAACCAATCCCGAGGAAAACAATAACCTTGGAGCGGATGATCTCTATAGCGGCACGTTTTTACCTGGCTTGATAGCTTTCATTGAGATGAGAGAGGTAAATGCAAAAAGATTTCAAGCATCAAGTTATCAAATTCTGATGTGGTCTTGATGAAACCGAGACCAGCTAGTGATAGAAATACCGATATTAATGATTGAGGGCACATAGATAGTATTTGTGTCTTGTGATCCTGGCCAATTTTTCTTTCTCATTGTGTGAATATTTTGATCAAAGTTTGACTGTTGGCACAACAGTTCTGTGCAATTTTCTTTGGACACAAGTGTGTGAACCTTTTTTGGCTTTTTTATGCTGTTCGTTCCTATACATGGAGCAGCCTTAGTGTCCAGGAATCGCCCCCACACTTTTTCTAGTAAGGGGGTTGCACAGTGCCCGCAATTGTTCATGTACAGGGTGAGTAAAAAAAGCGGAACCCAAACCCCAAAAAATATGTTTCATATTTAAAGAAATATGTAGCACCGAAAATAATAATGACTGGAAAGCCAATTTCAGCTAATATTACCGTAATTTTTCGGAATATAAGCCGCGCGGCGTATAAGCCGCAGCAAGCAAAAATCTGCAAATTAAGATTTGAAGTCGGCGTATAAGCCGCACCGGCGTATAAGCCGCACCGACCGCTGCGGTTTCAATTTTGTAAGGCCTCCAAATTCTAGTCAAAATGCTCTGAACCAGTTCCATTTACACTACAGAAGCTATTAAAAGGGCCACAAAAGTTATATCAAATCATTCACAATCGATACTTTTACAAACAAATATGGGAATTGATGAGAAATAAACACCGGGAACTGCTGCCGGCTGCCCCGTCATAGCCCGGCAGCCTGCGCTACGCATGCCGGTGAATGACAACATTTTCCCACAGCACGTGAGAGAGTATGAAACCCACCGTGTGTTGTCTGACTGGAGCGCTACAAATCTTGCTTTGTGGCAACAGATGCTGATTTGTTATGTCCTAAGAATAAACAGGTCCGTTTTTACCTCAAAACTTATCAAATTGTTGCGAATACTAACGAGTAGTTGCGATAAAAATTCAACTTTCGATCGTAACTTTCTTCGGAAATAGTCAAAACGAAGCGGACATTTTAATAGACGAATCCATTAATTTTGTAAGGGGTGATTTAGTCCCTCTTTTGAGTTTTACATCGTTTCTTGAATACATTTCAAGAAAACAAAATATTTTGTGACGTTGAACAACTGATTATGTAATAAATAAATAATAAAAAAAATGTTTCGAACGCCATAAAAATGTTAGTCGTCTTTTTTTTTTTTTTTTAACAGCGGAAATATTGGTAATTATTGTTCCCAAGAAAGAACACCCCTTTATTACCACAAATGGTGTGGTCCGCTATGGGGAAAGCATGCTGCATATCGCTGCTGCACTGTACCAGTATCACGTACGGCTGGTCGCAAGTGTCGAAGACAGCTTTCATCACCGTACTTTTTACCGCTCGGTACCTTTACGTGAGACTTGGTTTCGGGTTTGTTAATGACTTTCTTAATTTATAATTCATTTCAGCAACACATCTCTTCTTGTACCAGTACATTAAATACACATGTGAATCTTATTTTCATTCTTCAAGGCTCGGCGTATAAGCCGCCCTGTGTATAAGCCGCAGTAAACATTTTCATGGGCAAATTCAACGTATAAGCCGCGGCTTATATTCCGAAAATTACGGTAGATGAAAAACATGCTTATATTGCCTTATCTGTTCAAATCTGTGTGTATATTGTTTTGAAGATGAATTGTAAATATATGTACTTCAAGAAACAATTCATTTGGTTTCATTTTAACAGAAGCAAAAGGCTGCGTTGGGGCCTTCCCTTGTGTACCGTGATCATAGGGCCAAGGGTCATCGGGCAAGACGCAGACATGAAGAGGATGGTGACGACGAAGATGATGAGAGTGATGACCTAGATAACATCGAGGAGCAAACTCAACCGGTATGCATAACAGCAAGACAGAAGGCATTGGCACGGAAGAAAGGCCTCTCTGTGCCAGCGTCAGCCGCAGAGAGAACAGTTGATGCTGAACAGGGAGCGGCAAGACTGATGACACAAGCAAGGATCAACCATCAGAGAGAGCAGACAGTCTGGATGAGGACTTACCAAGTGCTGATGATCAGGAAGATGAAGAAGCCAGCCCACTTGATGAGAACAGTGAAAAAGAAGACGAAGTTTCTTGCTCCTCCACGAGAATTGTTCCTTCTCATACTGCCAACTTGACCAACGTATATGGCCCCCGTGGTTTAGCAAGATGGCTGAAAAAAATCCACGCCGCCAACGCCGCGCGGGCAGCGCAAGTCGCTGCCAAATCCAAAAGAAAAGAACAAGAGCGAAAACAAAAAAGGACACACCAGAAGATGGACAAGTCTACCTTCCAAGCGAGTGAGAAGTCGACATTTGATGTTCAGACGAGCATGATTTATGTTAATCATAAAAGATGTGGAGGGGTAGGGCGGAAGCCCCTGACATCGACTGATCACCAACTGTTTCAGGCTGTGGACCCTATGTGGTTGTGTCGCAATGGAAACTCAGGCCGACCTACAAGACGCACTGCTCAAGGTAATAATGATAATAATAATAATGTGGTGCTTATTTAGCCCTTTATACCAAAGGTCTCAAAGCACTTTACAAGTGTTATCCCTGCTCATCAGGCCATGAGACTATTTTTTTTGCAGCTCGAGATCAGCGCAGTCTTGTCTCTACCTTCACACATACACGTTTATACTCCTGGGTGGAGAGAGGCAATTGTTATAAAGTGTCTTGCCCAAGAACACAGGCACCATGTTTCCCGTCAGGGTTCAAACACAGGTTCCATGTCACGTGAGAGGAATACTGTAATAAAAGCTAATCTTTTGTGCCAAGAGTGAACTTTTAATTCTGATTTAAGCGAGGTCAATCTTCCTGACAGGTTCAGTTTCATTGGAGAAATACTCAAACCCTGTCCGTCTTCAGAGTATTCTCTTCAGGAGTTGGGCTTGGTAATAGCAGGGTGTCATCCACAAATCTCATTGTATATCCGGCCAAGTTTGGTTTAACAGAGTTTAACAGGTTTTCTTGCCTGGTGTTCCTCTGAGTTGCTGCTCATTGAAGGTTTTACTTTCTGTTGCCCGGACACGAAGATGTATAAATTAATTAATTTCCGAAAATGCGTTCGTCTTATTTCCTGCACAGCACAAGAACGTACCAGACAGGAGAAGCTATGTCGGGATGATCAGAGAGCAATGTTTGGACTACTGCTCAAGGTAAATCAATACTAACTTTGGTGGGAAATGGTTCAGTTGGACTTTATTTCTATCAGTCACTGAAAGAAGAAAAAATAAGTTATCCCACGAGCGCGAGTGGAACACAGAACAATGTAGTGCATATATGTCCCACAGGGGCCGAGTGGCATGTGGGTCACAGACGCCCTACATTTTCCGTGTTCCATGAGTGGGATCATGAATTTATCTTCAAGCAGTCTTGACGCGCAGTAAAGATAGAACTAGCACGCTTCAACACAAACCTTTTTTGCAGTTTTAGCTGGAAAAATGTCGCTCCCATCTCAAAATAATGCAAGTTTAATACCCAGGGTGCAAAGTGGACTGTGTGATTCAGTATGATATCACACTGTTGTTGCCATGGATCGACCAATTCGGATCCAGAAAACAAATTTGCTTGTAGATAATGCTTGTGTGACAGACTAAAATTGACTAACTGATGCTGGGTAGAAAAATTGTTTACTCGGTGGTCAGACTTCTGCACTTGCAAGGAGGAAGTCCCAGCTTTGAGTTCAAAGTAAGAAAACCTGTAAATTCATTTATAGTTTTCATTGATACTCAATTAATCTTTTTTCTTTTCGTGTCCAGGTGTTTGATGTCGATTTAAACTTCACAACAGCAATTGCCAGACGAAATCTGACAAAGTCTAAGGTGGCTGACAAAAAAGAAAAGGAGGACTCGGTGGAGAATGTTTCTCGGGACCAAACTACTGGAACAGGGAACCCGCCAGCATCATCAGGAAGTCGCATCGATACCACTGGTCCTACCAGAGAAATAGTGAGGATGCCACAGGGATTGACAAGTGGCACCCAAGTATTGAACACAGGCCCTCAAGGTGTGATGAATCGCACTCCAGGAGTGCCTGTTAGCCCTCAAGAAGTGCCTAGCTCACAAGGAGTGACAGTCAGCCCGCAAGGGGTGACCACACAAGGGTCTGACGTAGAAGAGACTACATCTGATGGAGAATGGATGACTGTTAAGCAACAACTGAAGCGCAAACGATCCAAAGAAGCACGATCTACCACAGTGTGTCAGAACAGTCAAAATGCTAATGCTGCCCCAGCATTGAATTCCAATTGTAATGCAGGTTTGAACCAGAATAATCAGTTGGGTTTGAAGCCTGTACCTCAACATCCGCAGCAACCTCAATCTCAGTTGCTTTTGCTCAGAAACAATCTTACAGGACAATTGGTTCTGGTTAAGGCATCCACACCATCGGCTGTAACTCATCCAAACACTGCAGGAGCTGCCCCTCAAATTCAGACCCAATCTACTCTGACTCCAGGCAGTTCATCAGCTGTACAAGTTGATACTCAAAATCAAGGAGGTTCTTGTCTCATCCAACCCAGTGTACCTTACCAAATGCATCCACCTCAAAGCGTTCAGACTGCACCAGTTCCGGCCTTTGGGTCGCCTGTTAGATCTGCGCAGGTGCTTGGACAGCAAGGAGCGTCACCTGTAGTCATTGCAAATCCTCCGAATCCGTTGATGGTTGGTGTTCAAGGTGGCACGGCACCTGTAATGTCTTTCTTCACTTTGCCACAACAACCTGTGCCTCGTGATGGATTGGGAAATGTACAGGTGCCAGCGCGACAAGTGCAACCTGTCATGAATGTTGTTGTTGCAAACGGCCAACAGCCGCAAGACCAAGCGACTCTTAAATTCCAAGTGCCAAAACAGGCAAATTCCCCCTTGCCACCAGGTTTGACAGTTACTCCGCCGGCTCTTCGGCAAACAACACCTGCTGTCTCCGCTTCCGCAGTGTGCAGTGAGTCCTCAAAATTTGTTGAATTGCCTCTACGCGACGGGTCCAAATTTGCTCTTACATTGGATCAGTACAAATTGTTTAAAGCAGGTAAGCTAGGAGATGTATCATGTCCACTCTTGACTCCAACCAGAAAAGTTGAGGACAAACAGCCGGATGCAGTGTCGAGTCAGTCTGAGAAGACGGCGGCCCAACAGCTGAACAGTGAACAAGGGCCTGAGCAGACTCAGTCTGGAGAGGAACAAGAAAGAGAACGCTCTAAATCTCCAGTGCCAAACTTGGATCCACCAGAGTTTTCGAGTCCTGGAAGGAGCGGCAAAAGCAAAAAATGGAAACCACTCAAACGGAAGTTACATACCCAGGATATCTCACTTCTGCCACCAAATGTGGCAACGCTTCAAGCTCTGACGTCACTACTGCTTGACCGTAAAAATCTTGAAAAGCAGCGCGATCTTTTCATTGCTGAATTTGAAAGGCAGGTAAAGAAGCAACAGGAAGACAAAAGAGGGAGCGCCTGCTTCAAAGGTTACCTTGAGAGTAGAAACACTGCTCAAGTAGAGTCAAGTCAAGGAAGCAAATCCACAGGTACCCCTCAGAAAGCATATCCAAATGGCTGTATGAGTCAAGACAGTGATACAGACGCATCATCACATCGGTTATCATCTGACAGCTCTATTCCCTCCTACTCCAGTAGTCCAAAAGCCAAAGATCCTCAGCAGAGTGTCTCGTCTCAAATACTGGAAGGCCAGATGGATGCCCTAAGAAAGTCAGACTTGTACAAGGTCCTTTTAAAACGATTCCTCTCCCTATTTCTCTGGCCAGGACTTCTGTCTTCAACTCGAATTAGAGGCAGTCTCAGCACAACCAGTCAAACCTCTTATATAACTGATCAGCCTTTTGTGATGACAGGGACAAGTAAGCCATGTACTGCCTCAAATCCAGAGAAATCCCAAAAGGAAGCTCCTCCCACTTCAAAGGAGGCAAGTGTCGGAACCAAAAACAAAAAGGCAACAACTTCCAAAGAAGGAAACCAGACTGAAATAGATGATGTAAATCTTGTCTGCACTAAAGAAACAGAAGTCAACAGAAGTCAAGAAGAAACGATGGAGACAGCAACGGCCTCTCATTGCCATAGTGATGAAAAGAGAGCGAACGTCAATGTTATGGCATCTGGACTAAAGAGAAAAGCTGCAGATTCTATGTCGACTTGCAATGGCGAAGAACAAGATACAAATGGTAAAGGAAACAGTGATGCTGCAGATGGTTTAAGACATAAAAAGAGGAGAGCTGCTGTTTGCGGGGCTGGAGATGCAACCGTCTAAAATGTCTAGAAGACAACCAACTTGGACTCTGACTTGAAGGAAAGTGAAGAGCAGGTATGTTGCTGATATTTAGGAAAGATGTTTCAGGATGCCAAGGAAAGTATATTTTCTGATTTTTTTTTCTTATTGGACTGAATTCCAAAGGGAGAAACCTTCTGGGCCTTGGTAAAATATAAACTTAAACTTATATAAATTCACAATTTATAAGAAATACATATGTTTTTCTTATTTTGTTATCTTGGTTATTTAAGTGAAATTCATTTTCCCTGATCTAGGTAATAATTCAAAAGTGTGATGTAGAATGTAAGAAGAAATGACGTATTAAAAATTTCCTTGCAAACATTTGCTGTATGTAAGTGTTCACCAGAAAAAAACAAAACAATTTGATTGATGCATATATAGATAATGGCCAACCGGACAGATATTTCCAGCCTTGCTCTCTGCGTGTTTATCCGTCACCCATTCCGAATACCGCAAACCTTTTTGTGTACACACGTCATCTGGCACAAACTGGTTAAATAAAAGCATCGGTATGATTAATTTGGCAAGGTGTGATGTACATTTTAGTGGTGGGATTTAAATCCAGATTTTAACATTCAGTTTGAATTCCGCTGTTCAGTTTGGATTTTGAAAACCGGATATTTGAAGCTAACTTTAAAAATATTAAGCCTTCCTTTTTTTTGAGGCACAGGCTAAAGAAAACAACTGGACCATCCCTCAATGGTCTCTGATTGTAACTGCATTCACTTGCTAGTGGTCTCCTTGGTAAATGAATAGTCTTATCAGAGAGTTCCCATCCATTTATTTGAACATTACAGCTCTGGAGTGTTTTTGTAAAGGCCCAGTGGTCACTGAATCCTGCAAACTATACCCAGTCATTGGGAGGGCATTTTATGCGACACCTCACTCGTCACTTTTTGTTGGCATGATTGTGAGCTGGATGGGAACTTCTGTGAAATCAGATAACTGATATTCAGTTTGAAAAAAAATAGGATAACTGGATTGTGAAATCTTCGGTTTCTCCTGCCACTAAATTGTACTAGTCGTGTTTTTTCCTTCTCCAAGCCATCTTTCAATTAATCAGTTTGTCTGTTTAATAGGTAACTGGTATTTACCTATTGAGCATCAGCTGAAGTACAGTCGACGCTCATTATAAAGAGCACTTTTATAAAAAGGTTCTGCTTATAAAGAGCAAATTCTGAGGTCCCAAATCTCAGGTTCCCTTTGTGTTTATTTGTTTCGCTGTCCTTTATTACTACATTCCTGTCATAAGGAGGTAATTTGGCTAGTCCCATCGACCTTGTAATAACGAGAGTCGACTGTACATGTATGTCATTGAACATTAATTATTGTTTAAAGAAAAGTAGGTTAGGCCAAAAAAAAAAGTCTCCGGTTTCTGGTATGGAGCTTGCCCGAAAAGTGGTGCGGCGACGCGGCTTTTTGGGGTTTTTTTACCTTTTTTTTTGCTTCAAATGTCGGCTGATGACTGCAAATGGTGCCCGACTAAACTTAGTGCAAATATATGGGAGTCCAGAGAGGCCACATAAAGCTTATTCTTGATCATAACCCCATCTAAAAAACACGTTAAAATTGTGCAGCAGCAGGATTCCAGTCAAACCAGTGAGTTTGGCGGGTTTGAGACATCATCTTTTATTGAAAAAAAAAATTTCATTTTGCCGACGCGCATGGCTACGGCGACGCGCGCGCATACCAGAAACCGGATACTTTTTTTTGGGCTTTATGTTTATTATCATTTGTGTGCTTTCTTGCCGACCTTGCCCGTTCCTGATATCAAGGATGCCGGTTTTCAAGCTATAGCCGGAATTCAATCTTGTGCATATTTGGAGAAAACAAACTTGAGCATTCCATCCCCTCACAGGCCGGAAACACAAATCCTTGTGTCGAACGCACAGAGAGAACATTTTTTTGCAATTGCCATGCTAGCCTGATGCATGGTTCAAAGTGGAGTCAACATTCGTGTACACACTGCAATGTGTTTATGGTGTATACATGTAGCAGTTGTTTTGTTAATTTTGCCGTCTTTCACACATTTTTTCAGAAAGACTGGAGTGCCATGTGTATTAAAATTCGTTTCCCCTTTAATTATGTTTCCATGCAGTAATTACAAATGCTGTCACTCGCTGTTTTTATTTTGAATACTCGCTGCCCATGTTGCCGTCACACATAAAATGTAGAAATTTAGTTCCAGAAAAGTATATTTTCCAAAGTAGTGTATAATAAAAAAAATGTTATTCGTACTAAATTGTTTTATGTTTACCAGTTGAAAGAAGGGTGTGAGAACTTGTGTAGAATTGCTAAGACTTGATTAATAATAACAGGTACTTACATGTATTTAGTGCTTTACTCTAAGATCAAAGCACTTTAGGCGAAGTAAAAAAAACAAGTTTCTCGTCCCCGCCCGCTTCCTTTTTGGAGACCGCCTGAATTTTTTTATTATTTTTTATTTTTGAAAAATGTAGTAGAAAACACAGAAAAAGTCTACAAATTCATCGGAAATTAAATTCCAATACCAATACAACTCTAAATGACACTGTAAATATGTTCAGTTCTCTTGTCCAACTTGTCTTTCATCTTTAAAAGTGTCTTTGAACAGTGGAACACCAACGGTTGCAGGAAATTTTGAAAAGGCGGTCATCTTGAAAAAAATAAAAAATAAAAAATAAAAAGCCCCGCTTCCTCCCTTTTTTCAAAAACCCCGGACGAGAAACTATTTTTTTTTTTACTCGGTTTTACATTATGACCCCATATCATTTGGCCATTGAAACTTTCCAAATACGTGTACAGTGGCGCACCCAAGGGAGCAGGGCTCGGGGGGGGCTTGAGGCGCCCCCCCCCCCTTCCCTCACCCCAGGTTGTCAATTCTTTTCTTTTTTTATTTAGTCTCAAAATTTGACCTTAGTGATATGTATGTGGCCTATTTTCGAGTACATGTAGTATAATTGGGGTGTAAGTAGCGCCACCAACGTCCGAATAGTCAACCCCCCCCCCCATCCAAAAAAAATTGTGAGCCCACCAAAAGCCAACTCGTGGGTGTGCCACTGCTATTTTTCAACCATTTTTAGGCCCCCCCCCCCCCAAACAAAAAAAAGCCAAATCCTGGGTGCACCACTGTACATGTACTCGGCTCCCTGGGGACCATACAGCTCGCTGCTGCCATTTCGGCGCAAAGCAGCCGAAATCAATCACAATAATCATCTCTGCCCTCACAGGTACCCATTTACTCCTGGGTGGAGAGAAGCAATGTAGCCTTGCCCAAAAAGCGAGAGCAACATAGCTGCAGACTGGACTCGAACCCACAACCTGCAGAATTACCCGCAGACCACGAATTCATTGCCCCAGACCACGAGGCCACCGCACTCCAGGGATTGGAGATATTACCAATAGATGTTGTTTGAATTCAACCACAAATCTAGATAGCTTATTGGTACTCAAGTGATCTTCTGCGTTAACTACATGTACCTGCATTAGTTTTGTATCTGACATTTAAATACATAGATCTCTTTTCTATTTCTTAAAGGTTCGTGAAGATTGGATCATTTGCCAATGTGAGTGCATCCATTGTTCTCAGGATCATTCGCATTTATCTCAAAAGTAACCTACCAAATTATTATCAAAAAGCTTTTGGTACTAAACTTTCTGCGACATTATTCTGTCTGGCTTGCTGTCGATAAGAAGAAATCAAGAAATGCGATTTTTCAACAATCAGTCAAGTGACTGATTTTGGGGAACAAAGAGTGCTTTAGATGAAATTAATGTTTCGTGATAAAAGGGTAATTATGCATGAACTTTGACTGTTGTTCTCGAAAGGCGTAACATCCCTTGAGCTGAAAATTCGTTTCTAAAGAAAAACTATCACTTGCGATGATTTTTGGGATTGTGTTGTTTATACCATTTTCTACATTCTTTTTGCGTAATAAAAATAAGGTTTGTTTACCAGATTACGTTTTTCGTGGAAATTGTTTGAGAAGGTTGTTTTGTACGCTTTTTAAAATCCTGTATATCATTTGAGTTGAAGTGAAATGTACATAATATCGTCTACATCTACCTACTTATTACCAGAGATGCGAGGCCAGTTGACGGTTGGAATTTTCTTTTCCTTTATTTTCACTGTAAAAATACCCCATGGTTATTCGCTGATTTATCTTTGCTTTGTATCCAACCACAGATGAAACACAAAACACAATGAAGAACGGGAGCAAACAAAAATCAAACCGAGAAAAAAAATCAAGTTAGCATGCAGAGCCACATTGAATTTAATACCGTCTTGGGATCAAGATCTCATTAATTAATTCAACGACATTGAATTAAGTAAACCATGGAAGGCATTCAGTGGAGTGCCACCTGAGACCAGGTGACGCTAATGACTAAAGGCTCTCATCTTAATGTCAAGCATCACACACATTAATCCTTACATAATAACATCTGCTTTAAAGGGAAGAAACAACATTTGCAAACATCAACAAAAACCGAAATGATCAAATTATCACGAAATACCTTACTGGATTGTTAGGCAATGACAGTCTAAAGCATCCTGTAAAGTTGTGACTCCTGGTGTGCTGACATTTTCAAGAAAAACTGTATTTTTTTTCCAACGCTGGTCGGCCGACCAGCGTTGGAAAAAAAACTGGCTTTTTTTTCAAAACGTGCTGCTAATTTTCATATTTAGTTCGTCTGCATTTTCTTTGCAATTGATTACACACCTGTGAAGACTACAAGCCTAATAGACGGATTCTCTGAACTTACAATTCCCCAAAGTCTATAAATTGCTCCGTTTCATCTTGAGTGGGGTCAGGGAACCAGACAACAAGAATATGATTGGTTTTCTTGGGGTTTTTTTCAGCATCTACGAACCCAAAACGTGAAACAAGTCAGTGTAACAATATTTGCTACAACATACTTATCTCCAAATCCATTAATTTCTGAAAACTGCAGCAAAAGCAAATGTTGTTCATTCCCTTTAATAACTGGTTATTTTTGGTAAGCTGATAACACACGGATGTGTTGTGCGTATGTTCAGATAGTAGGGCAGCTTCAGGCTGGAACCTGTTGAAAAGGGAGCAAGGGGACGGGGACTTAGGGGATGCTTCTCCCCTTCCCTTCTCTCCCGACTAATGATCTACACAATGAAAAAACTCCCTATTTTCCTCGAGTATCCTGAACTTTGACGCCACTCAGTAACTGCGAGATTTTGACTCGCTGTTTTGAGGCCTTTGGTCTTTTTTTATGCATTGTGACGCTCACCCATCCCTCTTCAACACTCCAGCCACCCTTTGGAAAATGCTGGTTTCACCACAGGAGGGGGTGTCCGAAAATGCATTTTTTTTTCCAGGCAACTTTGGCCGTCTTATTTATTGCACATTGTTTAGCAGTGCGTTGTGTCCGATATCAGTATTTGTGAACCAACCGTAGAATCCAATGTTGTATATATTTTCATAGAGCTCTATGATATTTTTCTAGCCTCGGTTACAGCTGGGAAGTAGTGTGCAAGTAAACTACATGTATAGGTTTTCCCGGCCAATTTCCTGAAATGTTCATTCACTTCTGAAAATAGGTCGTTCATTTTCGTCTGACTTGAATGCACGTCTTTAATCCAAGTTCAATCGTTTTCATTGTCCGTGCATTAGGTTTTGAGAATCAGACGGCCAATAACGTTACCTGTGCGTTCATTTACGCAAGCATACACCTTTTCTAAATTGATTTCAGGTACAGCTAATTTGATTGATGTTTAATGAAAAAGAAACCCCTAATTGTATCTGGTGCCGATGGCATTAAACTAAAAGTGAAATAGAATGTTGAATGTTTGAAATCGCCCTCTAAAAGCGAAAAAGAAGTCTTGTAAACGAATCTGAATTCACATAAACGAAAGGTGCTGCTCAATCACTTATTTGATTGAACTGAAATGGAATCGAATGCTCTGGTAGCGAAAATGAAACGAGTGTTCAGAGCAATTCTCAAATTCAGAGGAAAATGAATGACCCATTTTCAGAAGAGAATGAACATCTTAGGAAAGTGGCCGGGAAAACCTATATTAAAAAAAAACGACCATCCTTTTTTCCCACTTCATCCTTCTGCAGCATCCTACATCACCGATTGCGTTATCGTGATCTACAAATCAACTGATTGAATACAACACTGTTGCACACAATGAAATGAATACGCACAATCTCTCACTCGCTATACATGTGTACTAGCGTTTGTTTATGGTGTAAATCTATAGGATACACGTGCAAAATCATCGGTGAATCGAGGACAGGAACCAAATCTAGGACTCCTTGGTTGGAAAACGTGTACAAAACCAATGAGAGCTGTCGCGAAAAGTTAGTGTACAAACAAAGGAAAAGGGAAGAGGAACAAAAGAAAATCCTCGATTTACACTATAAACAAAATTGTGCGCATATGTATTATAGCATACACTCACGTGTGCATTGCTCACGAATTGTTGCACATTGACAACAGCAACAAACTATTCGTATGAAATACAAATTATGCATGCGTTTTGACATAAAAAAGGGACTAAAAAAAAGCCTGCTTCAGTTTTAAAGGAGATCTGATGCCAGTTGCAGATTGAAGCGAAACACACATACTTAGTTTTCAGGACATCAAATCCTTTTCGTCATGCGCCTGCTTTCAAAATTACAAACAATACAGATATGTCATACTCAAAAGCATTCAAATAACATATTTACATTTCGTAGACCTTAATCCAAAGAGTGCAGAAACAGGTTAACATTGAGGGTTATTTTGTAACATGAATAATATATTCCTGTATAACTTGAAGGTATTTGCAAAGCATCAAAAGGCAAGACAACCAAATTATTATTAAATACCTTACTTGACTGTAAGTGAACTTTTCAAGCATCCTGTGAAATCATGGCACCTGGTGTAATTTCATTTTCAAGAAAAGTGGACTTTTTGTATCAATTTCCAACGATGATCAATTGTTGGAAAGAACTTTCTTTGACTCTTTTCCACTACCTCCCCCAATTTTAGTTAGTCCCCATTTTTTGGCAAAACGGTTACACATCCGTGCCCGGATGAAAGACAGCTAGTCTGATTCCCTGACCTGACAATTCCCCGACGTCTGTAACTTGCTCCTGACCCTACTTCGTCTGAAGTACGGTCGGGAACCAGACAACAAGAATAACATTTTTTGGTCCTCTTTGTTTTTTTCAGCATCTAATGAACACAAAACTTTAAACAGGTCTTCTATGACATTCCAACCCCAGAATCCATCCATTTTTGAAAATTACAGCAAAAGCAAATTATGTCTATTACCTTTAAGTGTGTAACATATCACTGACACACAGATTGTAAAAGTACAGCACTGGCAGTGGAAATTCGCAGCATAGTTTTACGTGACCCATTGGTCCATAGAATGCAGATAACGAGCTTTACTATTATTATAATACAACATAGGTATAGAACATCAAAACTAATACACACTCACAATGAGTTTTTAGTTAAACTGTTAAAAGAATGTTTAAAATAGCTCAAAAAGCCTCCCAGTTTCGTTCAATTGTATTTTTTTAAATAATTTTTATATGTCGCATTTACTGAAATTTGGCCATTTTTATGTGGAGCATAAAATTCACTGTGGTAGCTAAATATACAGTGGATGCCCCATAGAGCTATATTAATTTAATATAGCGCTATGGGTGCTCTGAGATGTAATGTTATCACACTTTGTTTAGACGCGCTTTCTTAAGGGAACCACGAGGTGATGATGAACGTCCCCTCATCCCATCGGGCTCTAATATTAAAGAAAGCACACATGTAAACAATAATGCTCATGACGTATTTCTCAGGTCTGTTCGTGAGGAGAAAATAATGAAACACGGCAATTGAGGAACGAAACTTTGATGAGATTATCTTTTGTGTCTAATTACCGTTGATTGTACTTGAAGCTCCGATTTCTAAATCGTTTGCACGGTGACTATTGCAATTTTTCCCAGACACGCATGTATCTGTAAGATTGTCATGGTTGCAATTTGCGTCGGTATATTCTTCACCCTTTAATTTACCCAGCCCCGTGTCTCCAATGGTTCTTCCCTTCAGTGTTTTACTGAGAGATGCGTTTTCCACCTGTGCTTCAAAAACAGAATCTTCTTCCGACGAATCCATTCGAAAAGAGGGGAGTGTGCTGCAAGACGAGCTCTGTCCGGAGATGAAATTGTGTCGAGAGCCAGTGGTTTTATAGAGCGAATGCATGGCAGTGTGGATGTTACCAGCTGAACTGGTAGTCGTAATTGGCACTTGCGATCGTTCCCCTAAGTCTGTAGTACTGTGAGCGTTTGGGATCGGTGGCAGAGGCATCTGTCTTCTGAGCATGCGCTGTCTGTGTCTCAGACGATGAGCTGGCGGTCTGGGAGGTACCTAAAGGTAACAGAACAAGAAAGAAAATCTGGTAACCACGGTTTAGCTCCTTCGACCTATCATCAAGTATTACTGACTCTTTGTCAAATTATCTTCTTTTTTTATGGTTCTAAAAAGTAGTTCTTTATTGTAGTTATTCACTGTACTTGTTTTTGGTGTCATGTTATACTATGATTTTAGTCAGGTGACTACGATAGCTCAGTAAAACCTGGTCACAAGTGCGGTGAGAAATGTACACAAAGCAATGGGGTGGCCCACTGCCAATACGGGAACGGTCCATTGCGCCAAGGGGAGGATAATGCATACATTTTAATGTCTGTTGGAGTCCATATCAAGTTAAATCTGATGAAGAATGAAAATAATGTAGGTCGGGCTTCTACCTAGTTCAAGTTCCCTCCCTAATCAAAACAACCAACTATCAGTCTGCAATATTAGTCCATCTGAGATGCATTGCTGTAATTTGATTCGAATTCTTACCTCAGGGGGTGCTTCACCATCTGAAGACGGTAAACTCTTCAACGTACTTGCTCGTCGCTTCGGAGAATAATTATCAAGACTCTCGTAGATGCATTCTTCTTCGTTGCCCGTATTGCTTGTGACGTCATCAAAACCCATGCTTAACCCTTCTTGAAACCCCGGACTAGATGGAGCGGAGGAGCAGGAACTAGACAGCAGAGGTCGGGGTCGCCGCATTGGAGGATTCAGTTCCGGGTCAAAAGTCATGTAGCCATTTTCAGTGTTTGAATCGCGGCGATAATGTTTGCCATATGAGTAGGCAGCAGCATCCGAGTCAGTTGGACTCCCTGGTAGGTCACTGTTCCATCCGTTACTTGTTGATTGTTGTGACTCTAGGGAGTAGGTTCGACCAAATGATGCCCTCCCTGTTAATGCTCTTTCAAGTCTCCCAACAGCCGCTGTGACTTTCCCTTTCAAGCTACTAGGAGGAGTAGTGCTCCCTTTGAAGCCAGTGTTGAGGTTAGGATGTGATAGGGACAACCTTTTCAAATTGAGTCGGTTGAAGTGTCTGGTGATGTAGAATGGATCCACATAGCCATTACTGTCGACTGATGGTCTGTGCTCCATGGAGATGTCCGTTTCACTACATGAGCTTCGTAGGTTACGTAACATGTACAGAAAACCTTTGGTCTTCTTCGGTCCTTCACAAGAAGGACCATTAGGACGACTTTTCTCCGACCATGTTTGACGTCTGAGTGGGACAGTCGGGCTGTAAGATGAGCTCTTGACCAGAGGCATCTTGGCCTTCTGAAGACACAAATTATAGAGTCTTGCGTGTCTCAAAGGATCAGATTGTCTGTTTTCATCTGCGAGGGCAAATGTCGATTTCTGTGGGCAAAGACTGGGATCGCTGTTGGTGTTGCCACAGTGAGGGCCGGCAGCAGAATTCATTTCGTCAACCCTGTCCTCCGAGAACGTTCGTCGTCGTCGTCTGTTTTGACGGTACTGCATATGCCACCTCTTAGGGGATGGTGGTTGTGATTGAGATGTGGTATCAGTTATCTGCGCCAGCATTCCTGATGGACGTGGGCGTATCGGAGTGGACTGATACCCGTGTTCATAATGACCTACTCTTGTTGGTGGTTGATTAGCGATGGCTTGTTTCATTAAAAGCTGTCGCTTTCTGATCAGTGGTGACCACCGCTTCCGCCTGCGTTTACTCTTCTCTTCAGCATTCAATTTAAGTGATTGCGTTGAGGAATTAGAGTCATAGGGATCAATCCTGTAGCATAGACAACGATGTCTACAGTACTCACAAGGCATACTGCGACTGTCTGCGTACATGTAATCCACATGTTCGGTCTGTACTTCCTTATCTTCTACCGGTGGTTTGTATACTAATGTTGTACTTCTTTCTTTCTTTGGTAATTGATTGTCCCCATCAGCAGGTGCCTCGTATTCGCTACAGCTACTCTCTGCACTTGCCAGCCTTGGTCTTGGTTCAACATCTAAGAACACGTTGTCGTCTCCATCATCTTTGTTGTCCTGGTAACTTTTGTCTGCCTCATCCTGCAAACCTTTGTCCTGATTTGTGTTGGAGCTGTCCAGTTCAGCTCCGTTTTCCAGAATTTTGGGAGGAGTTCTGTCTTGGGGAACTTCTATACATATCTCTGTGTCTACTGCTTGATCTATGGTTGATGTGCTGCCGTATGAAGACGAGGTACCGGTCCGGCTCTTACGATGTATCAACCTTCCCAGGAAAGACCGGCTATTTGCTCTCTGTTGCCGTCCCTCATCTGGAGCAGTATCGTTGATGTTGTCAGCATTCTCGGGGATTATATTGAAAGAGGATCGATGAGTTGGTCTGGGTGAGCTGGCTCTGCTACTAACCGGTGTGGCTGGATACCATGGAGTTAACATGTGGCTATCTGTACAAAAAAATTACAAAAAAGACATAACAGCCTCATCATCCCATGTGGGCATCCACCCGATGTTCCCCAGTCCCTATGGTCCCCAGTCCTTATGTTCCCCAGTGTGCCCCTATGATTACAGGGTTTTGGCACTTTATATAGTGTTTGCTTGGCTGTTTTCAGCATGGTATACAGTAATAAAATACGGCAGATGTAACCAATTGGTGTTATTTTCATCAAGTTTATATAGACTTTTAATTAAGGATTCTTAAAGCCAAGTACACAATCATGTAAAGGTGGAATGGGATGAGTTGCGAAGTCTCCCTAGACACGTCATCTTTATACATGTATGTAAATAGATAACCATTATTCAATGATGAGAAATTTGTTTTCGCCTATACTTATTTGATAATTCATTTTTTTTTCTCGATTCACCAGAACAGAAGCCCCAACCGCGTATTCTTTTTTCGACAGGAAACGTATCATGTTATTTTGTTTGGTAAAAGAAAGTTATTTACCTGTTTTTAAGAATGTGCCCGATGCCGAGCGTAACTGCGTCCGTTTACGACCCTGTGTCACGTCACTGCTGGCCCGTCTTGGGCGAGTACTGGTCGTTGCCCCCATGTTGACTGTACTAGCTGATGATCGGATGGATTGATGATGCCTTGGTAAATACTGCAGCTGGGAGGCTTATCTGTTTGCAGAGTAAAGAACGGCACTGTCAGAGATGTGCCTTGAATAATAACAAAGCTTGGTTCCAGTACTACCTGTTTTTGTATACATTATATCTCGTGGAGAAGTATTGAAAATATATATTTTATGAGTAAGGTATTTTATCGTTTTATCTTCCGTCCGCAGCTGTAGCAAGAATGTGAAGTCTACAAGATGCAAATTATTGCGTGGAGGTCTCACCTCGAAGCTAGACCCCGTATCATTCACATGTAAATCTTTGACTCGGCCCTCTTATTGTCACGAAAGAGTTTTTAGCCTTGCTCTAAGTACTTGTTTTCAGGCCTGATGTTTCTGCAAGTTTGATTCCCATTTCCCCAGACGCACCCAATTTTCTAGGTACCGTCAAGCGTGTATACCCATCGAACGTTCTTACCAAACCTTTACATGTACCCGGTCACACTGTTGATTTATTCACTGTGTATATTTTTTTTCTGGAACATCGCTTTTATTTTTTCTGGACCATCGCTTTTAAGTCACAGTTTGTCCCGAGAACACTTTGACTCGGACAAGTGGCTTTCACGGAGTTTGCTTTTCGTTTCACAGCCGATGAATCTGACAACTCGGCCGGTCATTCTCCTTCGTCGTATATTGAATTTCTCCGGTTAGTCCCCGAGGATTATTGGAACAGGCTAGTACCTGGTATCATAAGTGTATTCCATGTACGCGTGTGCCCAGGGCAAGTCAATGAAAATTAATAATTTGTGGAGAAGGTGTTTTTTTGGAAATGTGCACGCCCGTTCCGCTTTGATAGCTGCACAGAAGGTTTTCTCCTGAGGTTACAGATCTTCACAGAAAAAGGATGCTTTGAAGGGGTTTTGGGACTGATGTTTTTCTTTTGAAAATTTTAATAATTTCGTAAGGTTTCATCTTGCATATACGACACGATACCCCGAAATCCCAGTCTATCCCAACGCCGCTTTTTATGTAAGAAATGCATGTGCTTTTCAGTTAAGTTGACTTGTGCCACCTCAGGGAATTTTGAATCATCGAATCGTTGCTTGCCAGTCGCGTCTGCAAGTTAACCGTGTAGTCGCAGCAACTTAACGGCATCCCGAAGAGACCGGTGCGGCCTGATGCCGCAGACAATCAAGTGCACAGTTTACGGTCAAGTGTCGGGCAAATTTTGTCACCTTGTCTTTGAGAATATCCAGGTCTGTGACTATTATCATAATGAATATCGATTTGTAGGCACCTTTTTGTAAAGCATTCACCGTGAGGAAAGTCAGTGTACGGGAGTTGATCATCTTCATCAAAATTGATTTGAGCTCAATATTCACGTTCGCATTAATACCGTGATTTACTCTTGTTCGCAATTCGAAACTTAGAAAATCTCTCCCGAAAATACAGCACTGGAGTCGAATTTCAGCTCATTACAGATTTTACCATTACATGTGTATTTCCCTTTAAAATCAGATTGTTACATTGGTATGGTTTTGTTTCGAGATCTAGTTGAATTAGGTTAACACATTACTCTTCGATGATCGGTGGTGGTTGACCGAAGTCCAGCGCTACTATACACACGTGGTGTAATCCCGGCCGGGAGCAATTACAATAAAAGAAGGAATTGAGCTCGATACTCAGTCTTTAATCATTTGAAAAATACTACATGACACAAGAGATGATAAATGAGGCCAATTTTGCCTTTTGAGCGCCGGTCTCTCGTTGATTTGAAATGAATATAATTCAGCTTGGATTCAAAACAGAATAAAGCCTATGCTATTTAACTTTTAATTTCATCTTTTCCGAAGCATGCTGAACCAATTACCGGACACACTGAAGTCACGAACGATAGTTTCTAATGATTGAGTGTGCCGTACAGTAGCTGCTTCAAGCAGAATTTCAACCCTTTTATTTATGGTATAAGCATTTCCTAAATAAATGTATGATTCGTGTACGAAGAAAAAATGTGAAAAGAATCATATTAGTGTAATATTTCCATGTTGTCTACTTTCAGAATGGTATTGCAATCAGCGTGCCAATGATTAAGTGAGTCATATTTCGTGGGAAATTAATTAACGTGGACACGGCAAGGGGGTATGATATTAAAATGAATCCCACTTCTGAAAACACTCGTTAAGTTTGACTACAAAACAGTCGAGCTTGCAGCCAGCTGACCTTAGATGTAGTTATAGCTGGGCGCGTTTGACTGTTTCTAGTTAAATCTAGGGGTTTTATGGTGTAGTAGTTATCATGGTACAATGTGATAGGTAAAACCTTACCCAGATAAACGTGGAGACGAATTGACCTTATCTGTTTGGGTTGGGACTGGGCCAACCATGGTCAGCTTGCCTGTTTCAAGGGAATTATTTCATTTTTCAGATTGAATGACACTTCCATGTCAGGGGGCTGTTCAGTTTCAAAATAGGTCATGCATAAGTACAATATCGTGTAAACCACAGCCAACATACCGAATCGAAGTAGAATATAGATTGTTGTCTACATTCTGTACAGTGGCGCAACTAAGGGAGGGACACGCCCTCCCCCTCCCCTCCCCTCCCCCCCCCCCCCCCCCCCCCACCTCGCGGCCTGTGCCCCTTTCAGAATTTGGAGGACAAAAATAGAATGGTATTTTTGAAGCCATGACCAAACCTATTGCGTGCTCCCCAGGAAATGAGACCCCCGCTAATTGTCCACCAGTTCATGATACTGAGTCTGCAGCATCCTTTATCCACTACACTATTATAAAGCACTACAAAGACATTAACCTCCGCTTCGTGAATCACGAAAAATGACTTCCCAAGTCGTTTGGAAAAAAACGGAACCGGATGCTAAGCCATTTTGTGCAGATCAGTGTAACCCACTTGCCACTCAGCTATACTTTGATTTATTGAGAAAAACCACCGGGGTTGTCCCTCGCAGTATATTGCGAATTAAGGCTTTGAGTTGCTATGGTAATAGCCAGCCGTGTCCCGGTTATGTACCTGTGGGATGCGGAGGCTTTGCACGTCTCGCACGTGCTCCCTGTACTACTCCACATGTCGTGCATGCATCACTGACATGCGATGCAGATTAAGTCTGGGCATGAAGTAGTTCAGGTGGGGGATTTGTTTAAAGCGGGGGGGGGGGGGGGGGGGGGGGGCTTGTGTCCTTCTGTCATCCACTCATTAAATTCGGCCGAGTACTCGAGGAGAGTTGAAGGATATTGCTTTGAGATGATCTGGGGGAAAAAGGTGAAGGTGATATACGTTCGCTTCACTATACACGTTTTAAGATCGGAATATATCTTATTTTACTTGCGCGACTTTAAGTGAATCGTGTTTAGATTTGTCTGGACTTGAACAATTTCGTCAGACAAACAAGATACATGCTGCACGTTCACCAGCCCACGGCAACACAACATTTTATTGCTTATAAAAAAAAACATGAAAAACGGTGCACTGACGTCCAACATTGGTACCACAGGGAAAGCAAATTATATTGTACATGCGTGGTCAATACGTAAATCTATACGATATCTGCAAAATAACAGTTGATTACGAAGAGTGAAAAGTCGGATTATTTCAGTTTAGTATGGTTCAATCACAAGGGCGGATCCAGAACACAATTTTGGGGAGGGGGCCAACAAAATTTTGGTCCCCTAAAAAGTGGGTCAAAACTATTTTTGGGGGAGATTTATAGATGCTCTGTGGTGCGATCTGAGGCAATTTCTGACCACTTTAACCAATGATTTGGAGGAGAAGATGGTGGTTTACTCATTGCCTGCCTTTGTTGTGACGGACGTCACATACAAAAAAAAATGGGTTCTTTTTTTGGGGGGGGGGATGGCCCCCTTTGGCCCCCCCCCCCCGATCCGCCCTTGTTCAATCAGAGAGCGAGGAACAGAATCTTCTTTAAAAAAAATTAAAAATAAGGGAGATCACAACCCAAACAAAAGCCAATTATGAATAATATAACTTTTGTTTCGAATTCTAGAATATGCAGTATAATTATGCACTGTAAGTTTATCGGCTTGTGATATAAAGACCTACTCTCTTTATCTTCTGCCGTTATTCTTTGTCAAGATTTAATTTCTCTCTGTCACATTTTTAAAATGTTTTGATCGCAGCGTACACTGAACTTGCAGCTTGATATCACAGAACATGCAAAGTATAGGCAGGGAAATAACGCAGTAACGTTGTTCGTAATTTGTTGCACTTTTTATCTGCAAGTGCAAGAGACTGCAAGGCACACATGCGAGCGAACCTAGATAAATATGTCTCAGTGACAGGCTGCAAGCTGCAAACATCCGATACTGTGACCAATTCTGTGAAATGGGGTTGGTGGTGAATATCTTCCAACCTTTCACCCACGGAAACAAAATCTCGAAGAAAATCATTTATGATTAAACATCTTTTGAGTGACGAATCATCAGTTTTCCCTTAAAGCTATATGCCGAGTCCACACATTTGGTTGCACACATCCCGCAATTTGTATCCTTAAATTGCAAGTACATCCACACTGAAATTTGTATCCTTGTGGAGTCATTTCTTTGTTCTCGTCATTTCTTTGTTAACCAGAATTATGTTCCTGGGCTGAAATTCGGACTTAATCCCCCTTACATAAAATACTTCAATTTGCGACGAATTAACACAAAATACTTCAATTTGCGACGAATCAACACACCTTGGAAATTCCTAGGTTTGAGTAAAATCCATATATCTATTTCGTGATAAGCTTGTGGAGACCTATTCACCTATAGAAATTGCTCTGTGGAGACGTATACAATCTTTTGGTTCCTATTGCGCACATGTCTCCACAGGGTACCGTGTACCAGATCAAGAGACTACACGGCACGCATACAAGTGGACCTAGATAAATAATGTCTCAGTGACAGGATGCGGGCAGCAAATATCTGACAATGTGACCAGTTCTTTGAAATGGGGTTGGTAGTGATTATCTTCCAACCTTTCATCCAACCTTTCTTCCAATTAATCTTTCATCTTCCACGCCTTCATCTTCCAACCGTTCATCTTCCAGGCCTTGTGCAGACATCGCTTTGTTCTCGTGTATACAAACAGGTTATAGAGGATCGAAAGCTATTTTCAAAACGCTCCTCTTTGAACCAGAATTACTTTCCTGGGTCGAAATTTTGACCAAATGTCCCTTACATAAAATGCTTTAATTTGCTACGATAAGTACACCTTGGAAATTACTAGTTTTTGCATGAGTATATCTATTTCGAGAAATCCTTTACACCTTTAGAAATGTTCTTGTGGAGACCTTTACATCATTTTGTTCCATATTATTATACCTGGGCCTCCACGGGGTAGCAGTTTAGCTTCGGAATCATCTGTACCTATGCTCCCTGCGTTCCAGCTCTAATTTAACTTGTCATTACAGATCGACTAGACCAATAATTAAGTGCAACACTTTACACACGCATACAAAAGACAGTCATTGGAAAAGACCCTTCTTCTATTCAAATTCATGATCTAAAGTCCCATAAAATAAAAGCTAAATAAATAACTAAGTGAGTTTACTTTAAGACGTGGTTTTATAAGTCCTTAATTTCAGAAGCCATTTTGGGGGTGTCGTTTCTCAAAAAGTAATCCAAGTTAGTAGTTTCGATTAGCAGTCTATGGTCGTTTTTTTTTTTATAAACATAATATCATTTCCTAGTTAAACATAAAACAACTCAACCCTCAGGTAATTTTTTTATCACTTCACTATATTGTTCATTCGGAATGATCGTATATCCCCGATTGTGTTTCTCTGTCCTTTATTTCTCAATGCCTATATTGAAACAAAATCAAAATGCACTTACCTCGGCGTCAGAGACAGATGTCCTGATTCTTGATGCATGCTGCGTTGGAAATGTGCGTGTTCTCCTCCCCAGCCAAAAACCAGTATAAGATTAGAGAAGTCTGCGATGTAGCAGCCGGTGGAATCTGCTAAAATACCGGCACGCTAATCAGATATAGGGGGAGGATAGGGTGATGTCATAATGTCGTATCGGTTGACAATGTATTAATTTATTCCGACGTAGATACTGTCGAAACTGATGCTGCTGGATGCTCTTGGCTGTAATTAAACCACGCCCACCAGACTAGCCTTGGGAAGTCTCGATCCCTGCTTCCCTTAACGGAAATCACATAAACCCTTCGGGTCATGGATCTGACCAGGCTTCAGGGTGGGAGACGTTATCGTCTCAAGATTACCTTGTTGCAGTTTTATTCGTCCTCGCAGTTTCACGTTCCACAGGTTCCATTTCACATTATGTTTCCTCCATCAATCGCAGCGATGTTTTGATATTAAGATGGCTTAACCCTATCATTGACCCTTCGCCTACTTCAATTTAATTGATGTGTGATCTTTTCAGTTTTCGCTATCTTGATCGCGGCAACGGGTTTAATATTTTTTTCCAGAATGCATTACGACGGTAAAACGGTAAAAATTCATTTCGTGAAGTGCAAACTCACCCCCGGAGAATACTGTTTTTGAAGACGTGAACAAATTAATGACAACTTTGATTCTGTCAGCCGCCGATGATTAAATGAAAATTGCTTTTCCCCATGCTAGTTGTTTTCGAGTTTTATCCCGACATATGGAATGTGTTTTGAATTCCCTTTTCCCCATAGCAATGTAAGTTATTCACTTGTTTTCTAGCAATACATGTTATTCACTTTTGAATGAGACATACTTCGCAAAAACAAAATTACCTGCGGCCCGAAAAAAATTCAAGCGGATCGTATTCGTGCGAAAACAACCTCAAATTAGAGTCTTTTTCAGACGGTTGCAGACGTAAAAAAGTAGGTGTTTTTTTCCCGTTAAAATACAATATAATTATAGCAAATTTGTTGGGAGAAAACAAAATCGAATTTGTTGGAGAGTACGGAGTGAGCAACTTGGATGGTTTGGCCAAAATAGCCCGCGTCTGCCATGTCAGAATGGGAAATGTTACCGAGCGTTGTGAGAAAACAGCTCAAGATTGGTCATAAGACGTACGTGACTGATGGGGGATGAAATCTGCTGATAACGAGAACAGGTAAACCATCGAATGAACAACAAATTAGTTATCCTGATTACAACCATGATTGATTTGTGTCCATTCGAAGAGGAAGTGGTGGAATAGTGAAGGGGTCAGTTTTGTGTTAAAAAACACACCTAGGCCTATATTTTGGAGGCATGTCATCAGCACAGTGACCATCACAATTATTGTGGCAGACAAAATTGCAGTACCGGCACCGTACTGTCTTGTAAAGTACCAAGGGGATATTACAGTAAAAGTATCATCATGTTGTCACGTTCACTAAAATATTTCCAAGACAGAAGGCCTGATGATTTTCATTTTGTGTCGCTCCCATTTATGTTGCCAAAATAGAGGGCGGGCTTTCTTTCACACGACATTGGTTTTCTCCCCGCTCGTAAATAGCGTAGCTACACTGACTCGGTCGTCCGAATGTCCGTTCATATCGTACGCAAACATATCGTGGCAAACATAATTATGGCGGTTTAACGAGGGGGGGGGGGGGTAATAGACCACGGGCATTGAACAGATTCGCTGATTAATTAGGCAAGACAATCGCCTCATGACGTCCAGATTTTGACCAATCAGCGGGCGCTTTCTACATCGGGTCTTCGGTTATGGATAAAAAAACCTGTGTCACGCGCTCTGTGTCATGTTATGCGATAATGCGACCTGCTTTTTTTTTATTACGAAAACACTGCATTCGAATTGACTAATCAAACCATTTTAGTCCTGATTTGGGAATGAAATGACGTCAAGATTTAGTAAAGTCGACTCCGATTGGCTGGCGCGTGGCAAGTTGCATTATATCTGCATGTCTAGACATATCAGACGTTATACATGAGATTTGCTCCGTGGATAAACGGGTGATACTCAGACTAGGGGAGGGGGGGGGGGGCTGAAGTATACTCTAAATAAAATTAGTCAGATTTGACTAGAAACCAGTTAAATTTCACAAGCCATTCGAGGTCAGCTGGGTGCAACTGAAAATCAACTTATAATCAGTCAATCTGACTAGATTTTTCCAGTCAGTATTGACTGGAAATGGATGAAAACATCTGATGACAGTTTTTATACTTTTGTTCATTCTGTGTCAGCCCGCTTATGTTTTTGATTGTATCCTTTAACTAATAATGTCTAAAGATTTAAAATAAATAAGATAAATTAGTAAAAATAGTTATGCAAATAACTAAAATTGGAGTCCAATCCAACTATGGGGGGGGGGGGGGGATGACCAAAATCCAAAAATTGTCCGGCCGTGGGAATTATAAAAGGGGGGGGGGGCGCTCTTCAGGATATGTATATCAACATGTATACTCGCGCTTACATCAAAACAGCGCATTTTAAAAGCTTTTGAAATTTGTTCTCCATTTTTCAGTGATATTGAACACATTTGGGTTGTTGGGATGTTCGAAAAATACCTAAAAATCCGCATTTTGTTTTTCTTATCACGAAAAAAAGTGGGGGGGGGATGATTCAATAGCCCATCCCCCCGTTCTAAAAGTGGGGAGGGGGGGGAGGCCGGAGGCCCTGGCCTGCTTGCTACTATAGCATCTCAATTTCTGGAAACTGAAAAATCGCCTGACGTATAAAGGAGATAAATCGTGCCAAAATTGACCTCTCACTTCCAAAAATCTAAAATACAAACATAGAAAACTCGTACAAACATAGACTAACTTTATGAAATAACATGGTTTTCTACATCAGTCTACTGCCCTCAAAACAGCTTGGCAAAAAAAGCTTGGCCGTCACCGAAAATAAATAGACCGAGGGGCGCTGGCGCCTATGTGAATAAAATGAAGTAATTTAAATATAAAGTTCCAAGATTTATCCGACTCATGAAAGTCCCTTCAATGAGTAACTTGCATTCCCTGCATAAAAAACCCGAAAACGCCTCTGTCACTGTTAAAAAAATTAGAATGCGTCATCCACTTCTCGCCTAAAAAGTAATCAATTATGAATTAACTATATTGAAAGTTGACGTCATTAACATCTCGTATGTCTGGTTCCCAGTTCTACCCTATGAATTTACAACGCTTAGCTATTGTTACTGGCTAGAATGAGTTATTACGTTCACAGTGCGCAGACTCAGGAAGTGGGAGGCCATTTTTTTCACAGTGCCAGAATACAAAAGTTGCTCCGAATCGGTGGGGCAAAATAAAGCAAATTGCAACATTTGTGTATTTATCTGTGTGTTCTGCTTGGAGTCAAGATGGGTAACCATGGAATGGAAGATCTTATACCCATCGTGAATAAGTTACAAGATGCTTTTGCTTCCATTGGGCTCAGCAGTTCTTTGGATTTGCCGCAAATTGCCGTTGTGGGTGGGCAGAGTGCCGGCAAAAGCTCCGTCCTTGAAAATTTTGTTGGCAGGTGAGCTGACATGGCTGAGGTTAAATGTAGTCTTGTATTGGTTCACTTTAATTTTATAAGGAAAAAATGTAGAAATCCAGACGCCACTTTGGTTGTGTACTAAGTCTATGGAGAGTCAACAAAGGTCAAGAACATTTTCAAAGTATTTACGAATTAAATAGAAAATGTTTCTCAGTCCAAGATTCATTGCAATGACTGACCTCCATCATTGAGAAGAATCATATATGTTGAAAAAGTGACGTCAGGATGAAACATTCTTTCCCAAACGTTTGTTGAATATGATGATTTTAATTAGGCCTAGGCCTATTTAATGATAAAGTAGGCAGTGGTCATGAGCTAGACGCGTGAATGGCATGAATGGTGAACGTGGCATTGTATTTGTAAACAAGGCCACGCTCGTCCTCACCTAAATACACTCGAAATTGTCACAAGGCACAGCATTTCACAAGTATTAACTATTATAAGTACTTGCATACAAAGTTTTCTGTAAATTCACCCAAGTGTAGGATCTTGCATTGCCAAGAAATATGAGGGGAAAAAAACGACCTCGACACGTCAACAAAGGTATGACTATGAGCTGAACTTTTGATTTTCTGAGGTCACGCACGGTACGCCGTACTCCGAGTCATGCATGCGCGAAATGGTAGGAGCTGTCTGGATCCGAGTACCCATACAATTTCGTGCGTCGAGTGTTTCTACGCAACTCTGGACCTCGGCTATGTACTGTATATAGCCATGTTCACGTCATATGACGGGTCTAGTCTTGAGCATGTTGAGGGGATACCGAAAAGAAAATGATTAGAAATACCTTTCAATTTATTTAATCACATCAGAATGAACGGTCAGGTCAGTGATACAATAATATAACATTTCAAAGATATTAAGTTCAACACATGTGGCTGAGTTGATAGCGTGTCTTTCTCGTGAGTGACAGACCCCTGGTTCAAGCTTGGCTATGCACATTTTCGATATTTTAATGTTGTCACAAAGAAAAAGAAAAATCAGAATATTTCTTCTTTTATAATTTTAAATCGACTCCAACATTTAATTGCAGAGTACTGCATTTTCTTTTTCTGATTCCTAGCTCTGGAGGATTTTTTTTAAATGGTAAAATAGTCTGTTTCCCATCACGACAGGTGCGGAACCAGACAAAGATTTGTCTTGGTAAAAATGTCTAAGTCCCAAAGAACAGTCACTGTGCATGTTCAGTGTTTGTTTTTGAAGACATCATCAAAGATCTTAGTATCATTGGAAAGAGAATCACACAACAAAATGAATAACGTTAAATCATTTTCATACTATAAATCATGCTTGGGATTTGGAGATATAACAACTTACATGTAAGGGGCAGAATTCAGTGAAACAATTCTGCCATTTTTAGTGTCATATTATTTTTACAATTCTTAATTTTCCAAAACCTAAACATTTATAATGTCATTGGAATCCTTTTCAAATAAACAATAATTTGATTGTTGAATCAGCTTTTTATCACTCCATACAAAAAGTTAAGATTTTTTTTCCCGGAACACTGCATGATGTCCAGGCCCACACCATGATGTGACAATGCCTGACGGCTTGCCAGAAACTATTGTAAAGTGATTGTACATCTCCTGATTTTATGCTTGGGATGTTACAAATAGTGGTCACTTGAAAGAATGCCCCGTTTCTGACAATATACCACTAAATTCAAATTGCTGGCGGTCTGCCGCATGGCGCGTCACTGCCTGCCTGGCCTTCCTCTCGGTCTGTGCCGGGTTCTCTTGACCGAGTGCTGAGCGCAGCAAAACGTTCACTCTGAAAAAATTGGAGTGTTCAGAGCATGCCGATCGCCTGGACAGCAGAGCACGGGATAATGGAATAGGACCTCGGTCCTATTGCGTTGGTTTTCGGAACTCGAGGTAATGATTAAGATAGTACTGCATTCGTACGTCGGTGTGAGAGGTGAAATTCTTGGATCGCCGCAAGACGGCCGACTGCGAAAGCATTTGCCAAGAGTGTTTTCATTAATAAATTTTCCCTGAATCAGTGATTTGTGTAGCACTGTGTATCATGTGAGGTCAAGGATGATGATCATATCGGTGTGCACTATTTCCTGTTTCACAGAATACATGTAGAAACCCACACCAGAACATTAGAAACTTTTGTTTCCTTTTTCCTCTGTGCAGAGACTTTCTTCCCAGAGGATCAGGCATTGTGACCAGGAGACCTCTTATCCTGCAGCTGAACCAGTCCAAAGCAGGTATGTACATGTATGTATGTATGTATGTATAGGATATCATTTGTGGATCACTCTATTGTATTTGTTTACATTTACAAGTTGAGAACACAATTTGCCGTTCACTTGCCAATTCCTTCCTGTTTGGATCGTTGGGAGGCTTGACTTCCTTGTACCAAACGGAATCCAATCTCAAGTGCCTTGAATTAAAGCGAAAAACATACTCTTCAAGAAGTGATTTTCCCCTCTGTATGCATTTAATTACAATCATTATGCCTGTAAATTGCGTGTGTGGGTGAGTATGTAAACACTGGCAATCGTGGACCAGGGACAAAAGGCAAATAGGTCACAAACAAAGGGTCCATGATTGACTGATAGTCCACGATTGAAATTTGGGTACAAAACCAATGAGAGCTGTTGCTAAAAAAGTTACGAGTACAAACAAAGGAATGAGGATTAGGGACAATAGGGGGTCCACGATTGCCGGTGTTTACAAAGATGGGTGAACATGTGTGGGTTTGTTTATGGTGTAAATCGAGGACACACATGTGAAACATCCTCATGTAATTGAGGACAGGAGTCAAATCGAGGACGTCCTCGATTAGAAAATCGTGTACAAAACCAATGGGAGCTGTTGCAAAAAAACTTAGAGAATGAACAACAGATCGATGATGAGATTTACACCATAAACAAATGTGCTGTGGGGGGGGGGGGTGTTAATGTCCTACAGCATTTCCTGCACGAATGTACATGCACAGTTCCTGTACATATACATGTATTCGTGCATAAGTGTACATGTACACTGTGCAATTGACAAGTCATTCCATACATGCGGAAATTCATCATTGTATGATGGATTGAGAAGACAGTCATAACAATGTAAACACACTGCATTTACTTCCTGGTTTGTGTGTGTGTCATGCTGACATCTTGAGTAAACTAACGATGTATAGATTATTAACTTGATGGTTCAATATCACAAAGCTGGCTGTGTGCAACCTGCATGTATGCTGCATTGGTTGTGTACAAGCATTCACAGCCAAATTTGACAGCTAAGAGGAAATCAATACATACATATACATATTATGTACAAATCCATTGTACATTGAGTCACATATGTCCATGCTGTCTGTTTCTGCTTGTGTAAAAGATGCTTCATATCAATTATTTATTGTTAAATTTTAACTTTCTTGGTTGTAGAATAGTTCAAAATATGGTTCCCTTCGGATAGGGCCCATGTATCTGAGTGTGTACAGTATGTAGTTTGTGACGTCATGAAAATATAGTATTTTTTTGCTAACTATTAAGGGAATAAATATGTGCTTGGCCGGTTTGAAACAAGTTCGTTTAAAACCCACCAGGAGCCTGGTAACGGATAATCGGTGAGGGCCATTATCTGCGACCAGGACCCTAGCCGGTTTTAAACGTAGTTGTTTAATACCAGCCAAGCACATATTTATTCCCATTCTGGAATACCTTTTGTTCAAAAAGTCAAAACAAGTAAAAAAATACACAAATTTCCAATGATTTTGTGAATGTATTTTACCTCCTGTTTTGTAAAACACCCCTCTGGCCATGTCAGTGGTATGTTCTAGCACGCATAGTGCTAAAAATGTCCTTATATGCAAATTGGGGTGCACGCAGCGTATACTGCGCGATGTGGGGCAGAATGCAGCGGTGTTTCACCAGTGGTTTAAAACCACCCATGTGACAGGCTCTCGACTAGTAGGAATTGGTAAACTGTCTCAGGTATTTATGAGTTATGAATACAGTAAACTCCGGCTAAACCAGCACTCTCGGGACCCGAGAATTTGTGACGACTTACGCGAATGCCGATATCTGCTGTAAGTCGTCATTTTGCCGACTTACATGAATGGTCTTTTGCACACATGATTCATTGCACTTATTGGCTGCGATTTACCCTGGATTATCTCCTTAATGCTTGAGTTGAATCCGGCAAATTAATCCTCGAATTGTATCATCACGTTTGGGGTGTTGATAGTGGAGACCACGATACATATGTACGTGCACAGTAACGAATTAAATGCGTGCGTGGTCCGGTATATACCACGCTGCATTGACTGCAGCAGTAGTCATTCAATAAGACGACCCCCAAAATGGACAGAGCACATGCGTTCAGCCTAGAGGGGGTACTGGCATTGATATGCTCACGATGCATATGCGATGTATGCAGTAGGACACCCTTTTTCGACACCGAAGCATGCAGCGATCACGGGCCGTGCGAAACCACTTTTCACTCGACACTTTGCCAACTGCAGTACAGGAAGTCGATGCCAATGCGTGATTTGTTGAATGCCGACTTACACAAAGGATTTTGTAATGCTTTTTATGGAAAGGGGGCCGAGAGTAACACGACGACTTGAGCGAAATGGCGACTTATAAAAGCTGACATAGAAATAAAAAATTCAATGGAAATGCATTACGGACAATCGGGACTTTAATCAGACGGCCGACTTGGGCGATTTGACGAGTTGTACGATGTCGGTTTAGCCGGAGTTTACCGTATGTAGATAAGGTGATGACAATTTAATTCGTTGTAGAATGCGTCAGCTTGGCCAATAGTAAATGTTGGCGTTTGGTGTGTTTCAGAGTATGGAGAATTTCTTCATTGTCGAGGGAAGAAGTTTACGGACTTCGATGAGATACGCAAGGAGATTGAAGCGGAGACGGATCGCATCACTGGAAGCAACAAGGGCATCTCCCCCATTCCCATCAACCTCAGAGTCTTCTCTCCTCACGGTAAGCTGCTGTTCTCAAAGGAATCAGATTGTAAAGCTTCACTGACCCTCAAAGGGCGGGGCAACTGGGCCCAATTACATGGCGCTGCTTAGCACAAAAATTTGCTTAGCACAAAAATAGTCTGGCTTATAAGAGCAGGTAACCAGCCAAAACTCCACGTGATGTATATTGCTCATGATCAGTATTCAGCTGTTGTTTGCTTAGCATGAAAATCACGTGGAGTTTTGGCTGGTAACCTGCTTTTATAAACCAGACTTTTTTGGTGCTAAGCAAATTTTTGTGCTTAGCAGCGCCGTGAAAATGGCCCCTGATAATGGTCTGAGCCAAGGGAAGGTCCGAGAACAAAATTACAATTTCCTTCACCCTAACAGAACTCAACCCATCCAACCCCATCGGCATGTTTTGTTGGAGTCTGTCAGGATGGGTACAGTACCCCTAAACTGACAGCCTTTTACAGTCCTTCATTTAAAGAAAATCCAGGAGAGCTATAAATCGCTCTCCTCAAATATTTGAGGAGAGCAAATCAAAATCTACGGATAAACAGCGGTAAAACGACGGGTTACCATGCATTGTTTTTGTTTTATTTTGAATATAAGGATTTATTCAAGGGCGATGTCCAGCGGCATATTAACGTGAGTTTGGGCATTATACCAACGAAAAATACGTGTAGCTTATGACTTAAAATCCTTTGCGTTTTTATCACTTCTTATTTTTAAAATTCCCGTGTTTGACGAGCCCTCTTTTGGATTTCTGAGGAGCGCTATTTTTGGCTCTCCTTCGAGACAGTCGAGGAGGGCAGTAGGAGCGCCTGCGCGATCGCGCTCCTTAAAAATGAAGGACTGGTTTTACATTGGGTCGGCACACCTCCAGAATCAAAGTCAGAAATATGTGTGTGCGGTTTATATGGTGTTGGAATTTGCCAGGATGGGTATGGTTCCTAGTAAATCATGCTGAGAGTGTTAGAATTAATGACAATAGTTTAGAGTGAATACAGGACCAATTAACATACTGAAACTCACTCTTCATTATGTAGTCTCTCTTTGTCAATGTACACATTATGTCTTCACCATAGTTTGAAGATTAGTATTTTAAAAAATGTTTCTTTTGTTCCTTTTTTTTGGGCAGTTTTGAATCTAACCCTGATTGACTTGCCTGGGATGACCAAGGTTCCAGTCGGTGACCAGCCAGCCGATATTGAGATGCAGATTCGTAACATGGTCATGGAGTTTGTCATGAAGGAGAATTGCCTCGTCTTGGCCGTTTCTCCTGCCAACTCGGATTTGGCCAATTCAGATGCTCTCAAAGTGGCAAAGGAGGTTGACCCATCAGGTGAAAAACCGTGCAGTGGAGAGAATCTTCAACTAACAAAGTGTTTTCAAAGTCCCTGTTCTCAGAAAAAAATTGTTGACTTGTCCTGTTCAATTCTGAGGAAACATCCTGTAAGTGGAGTGCTGTGGCCTCATGGTCTGGAGCATTGAATGCGTGGTCTGCGGGTAATTCTGCAGGTTGTGGGTTCGAGTCCAGCCTGGGGTTGTGGTGCGTGTGCCCTTGGGCAAGGCACTTTGTCACTCATTGCTTCTCTCCACCCAGGAGTAAATGGGTACCTGTGAGGGCAGAGATGGTTATTGTGATTGATTGTAGCTGCTTTGCACCGAAATGGCTGCATGGAGCTGTGTACTCCCCAGGGAGCTGAGATGGTATTTGGTTTGTTTAATTGCCCCAATGAACAAGGGCAGGTTAATAATGATGTAAAGCACTTTGATCTTTGTTAAAAGGGCTATATAAGAACCTGTTATTAGTGTTGTTATTTATAAAAAAAATAGTGATTGTTGTGAGTTACGTCAAAAGTAACTGGTTATACATAGCTTGCTCAGTGTCTGGATATGGCTATCGTAAAAACGTCTTCAGCATGTGGCGTATAATTTTGCACCATTTTTATAAGTTTCTTGTATTTCCTTGATAGGTACCCGAACAATCGGTGTGATTACCAAGCTGGATTTGATGGATGACGGTACTGATGCGCGGAACATTCTGGAGAATAAACACCTTCCGCTAAGGAGAGGTAAAGACGATTTCCATCTCGTGCAAATATGAGAGACGGGGTTAACATTATGGGTAAAACTTCCACATAACAAATTGTCACAGCGGTTCATGAGCCTTAAATGAAGATGACATTTTGTCAATGTCCTTGGCTTTGCTTTCATACCATGTCCACTTTTTAAAGGTGATATACAACATTTGCAAACATCAAAAAAACAAAATTACCAAAATATTGTGAAATTCCTTACTTGACTGTGAGTGAATAATGATCTCAAGCATCCTATGAAATCATGGCACCTGGTATGCTGTCATTTTCGGGAAAAGTGGACTTTTTGTATTTCCAAGGATGGTCGGCCGACCATTGTTGGAAAAAAACTGAGTATTTTCAAATACTGCCCCCAATTTACCAAATTTAGTTATTCCGCATTTTGTTTGCAGTCGGTAACACATTTGTGAATGGGTGCAAGCTAGCTAGTCTGGTTCCCTGCCCTGACAATTCCCGGACTTATATAAATTGCTCCATTTTGTCTGAAGTAGGGTCAGGGACCAGACTACAAGAACAGCATTTTTGTCTTGGTTTTTCCAGCATCTGTGAACCCACAACTTTAAACAGGTCAATGTGACAACATTTGCTATACAATACTAACCCTTAAACCCTTCCATTCTTGAAACTTAAAGCAAAAGCAAATGTTGTTTATTACCGTTCAGCCAAACAAAGCATAATTCGTTTATAATACGTTGGTGAGGAGGATCGACACGTGTAACCATACAGAGTGACCATACAACATAGCATTTTTCCATATTTCCTGTTCTTCGGTGTTCTTCCCAAGTGCCATTTGTTCTATAAGAGGGGAAAGAATTGGACCTTTTTTGGGTCCTTTTTCATAATTGAACATGGTGTTCGTGCCCTTGGGCAAGACACTTAACTACAATTGCCTCTCTCCACCCAGGAGTATAAATGGGTACCTGTGAGGGTCGAGGACCGATTGAGCGCTGATATCGGCTGCCGCGTGGTCCCCTGGCCTGATGAACGGGGCAATAATTGTAAAGCGCTTTGAGATTGTTGATACGATGGAAAGTGCTATATAAGCACAATTATTTTTATTATTATTAATTTACTCCACTGTTCGACTATCTGATTTTTCTTTACTTGTTTGTGCAGGTTATATTGGTGTAGTCAACAGAAGTCAGCGTGATATTGAGGGCAAGAAAGACATCAAAGTAGCCCTTGCTGCTGAGCGCAAATTCTTCTTGAGTCATCCTGGCTACCGTCACATGGCTGATAAGATGGGCACGCCGTTTCTCCAGAAAGTGCTCAATCAGGTGAGATCACGAGGAAATATGAGGGTTGTTTTGATTTTTATACAAGGTGAAACCCCCCCCCCCCCCAAAAAAAAATGCAACCCTGAAACAGTTGCCTTTTCAACAACAAAAAAAGGATCGGTGGATTATGTTTTTGGTATCAGATTAAAGCTGAGAGCTTTTTCTTTCAAATACTGAAAATATCATGAAAATAGCACTTTGGGTTGCTGGGAAAATGCCAATTATGTAAAAGTAGTCATTTTTCATCCTGTACACACACAATTACCACAGTAAGGGATTTTCACTGTACCTTTTTGTGCATGTCCTAATCCTTACAAACAACACAGTATGTAATATGACAAGAGTACAAATGAATTTGATGGAAATACTTTTATTTTCCACCTGAACAGGTATCTCATCCTTTTTAGTCCTATTTTAAACTCTTTCAGCGTCATAAATATGTCAAAATGCTAAAGAAATTGCGCAAATCAAGGATAATTGCACAGTAGGCTTACAGTAAAATGTTTCACTGTTTGAAGTACTTGTGTACAGGATGAAAATGACTACTTTTACATATTTGGCATTTTCTCATCAACCCAAAGTGCTATTTTCATGATTTTTTTTCAGTATTTGAAAGAAAAAACTCTCAGCTTTAATCTGATACCCAAAATGTAAAAATCCACCAATCCCTTTTTTTTTTAAAGGCAATTGTTTTAGGGTTGCATTTTTTGGGGTCACCCTGTATAACAAACCTAATGTAAGTATCGAGCTTTGTTTAACAGAAAGTAGATTGATTATGTTTCATTCACTTTGTTTGTTTATTGTTATAAGCTGCCTTACGAATATGTGGATTAAATTCTTTAACCCTACCCAGTGGGAAGTCAGTATTGAAAATAAATATTTAAAATCCTGCAGGTAAGTTTCAGGTGAAGGGATATGAACTTCCTGTGTCACACAGAGAGTCACTGCATAAAAGAAACGGCACCGCAGAGAGCAGTGAAGCATGACCGAATCTGCCTGCTTGCCCTGACTTTCACCACACAAATGAATTGTGCATGGATTTGAAGTTTTATATCCGTACTTCACAGAAGATTACCTGGAAAAAATGTTGCAACCTGACGCCCCTTCAGCAGTTGTGTACAAAGTCTATGGAGAGTCAAGAAAATGTTCCAAGTATTTCCTAACAAAATTGGAAATGTTTCTCAGTCCCAGATTCATGTCTTATCATCATTTTGCAATAACTGACCTTCATTGAGATGTTATATGAAGAAAAAAAGTGGCGTCAGGTTGCAACGTTTTTTCCGATTACTTCAAAGGAATTTGAAGTGTGGGTGCTTACTCTATGGGCAAAATTGGTTTTGCAAAACTTGAAGGGTTGAAGACTAGGAAGGTTAATTTGTAATCGAAGCTTGAATTTAGGCCTGAGATTATGAACACGTTTACATTTATTCGTGACAAAGTCATTGTTCTTTTGTTGCAGCAATTGACCAATCACATTAAGGACACTCTTCCGGCTCTGAGGAACAGACTTCAGCAACAACTTCTGTCCTTGGAGAAAGACGTGGCGGACTTCAAGGATGTGAATTATGACGATCCAACACGCAAAACAAAACACATGCTGCAGTAAGTCATTTGTTCCCCTCACATTCCTAGAAACACCCAGTGTTGTAGTCGAGTACTTTTTCCGAGTGCCAAGTACTGCCCAGTACTTAGGTTACCGAGTACGAGGTACTTGTACTTCAAGTACAAGTACAGGTCTCTGAGTACCAGTACTTATACTTCCGAGTAAGAGTATGAGTACTTGTACTTCCAATTACGAGTACAAGTACTTGTATTCCGAGTACGAGTACTTGTATTCCGAGTACGAGTACGAGTAATTGTATTTCCGAATACGGCCATATGACTGCTATACAGACTCACTCACGGCTGGCTGTTAAATGTGTTTGTCCGACGTGCACAGAAAAAAATCAGGAAACTTTGATTTCTCTGCAAGCCAATCAACCATTTGAAACTCAAAGTATCGATAAAATAAGGCCATGGTAAGTCAAGCTTTACCATTTTTTTTCCCGAGTATTGCTATTCGAGTACGAGTAGTTTGATGATCGAGTATAATTTCGACATGTCGAGCATGAGTGCTTTGCTGTCGAGTATGAGTACCGTCATTTCGAGTATGAGAACTTTGACATTCGAGTACTAGTATGAGTACGAGTACTAAGTACTCGGTTAGTACTTGAGTACGAGTTGTACCGAGTACGAGTACTACAACAATAGAAACACCTTTTGCTTAACCCTAACCCCCTTGAGTGATTTACTAAGAACCTTCCTCACTCTTTAAAAATCTACCACCATTTGGTAAACTCTACGCCCAAACTGTTGGACTTTGATTATGGTTGTATACCTAACCCCTTGTAAAGCATAATCAGTTTACTAGTGCAGTGCTCACTCCAACAGATTCCAACAATACATGCAGTTGGATTTTGAAGGTTTGGGTGGTTAGGCTTAAGTATATTTTGATAGTTTGCGTAGCTTCCTTTTTTGCTTGGTCAAATGAAACTTACGTTGACCCATAAATCAAAATCAAACTCAGAAGGGAAATCGGATTTTATGTAATAAAGTTACGTTATTGTTTTCCTCAAAATGACAGCATGCCAGAAGGAATAATTTCTCAGGGTGTTTAGTGTCATTACTGTCTTTAAACCAAGTATGCTCTTCTACAATAATTTTGTCAGTTACTTTTTGGATAGCTGCAAATGATGTACTCCACCTTCAAGATCTGTGGTTTTCATTAAGAATGGACTATTTGTCTTGACTTTGCCAGGATGGTTCAACAGTTTGGAGCTGACTTTGAGAAACGAATTGAAGGATCAGGAGATGAGATCAACACCATGGAGTTATCAGGAGGAGCTAAGATCAACCGTATCTTCCACGAACGCTTCCCATTTGAAGTCGTCAAGATGGAGTACGATGAGAAGGAATTGAGGAGAGAGATTAGCTATGCTATCAAGAACATCCGTGGTGTCAAGTGAGTCCAAACGTAGTCAGGGAAAAACATAAACTTTTAGAACATTGCTACGAAACTGAAAAAAAAAACCACCAAAAACTTGACATTAGATGACTGCAAAACCTTTATTATTAGCAAGTATCTTGCCATTTACTACTGGGCAGTTAGCATACTGTGTTTGTTTTCTACCGTCTTTACAAAATGAATAATTATTGACTTAAAGGGAATGTACAACATTTGCTTTTGCTGCAATTTCAGAAATATATGGATTTGGAGGATAAGTATGTTATAGCAAACATTGTTAAAATGACTTGTTTCAAGTGTTGGGCTTGTAGATGCTGGAAAATCAAAAAAAAACAAGAAAACCAATCATGTTATTGCAGTCTGGTTCCCTGACCCCACTTAAGATGAAACAGAGCAATTTATAGACTTTGGGGAATTGTAAGGTGAAAGAATCAGTCTAGCAGGCTTGCACCCCTTCACAGGTTTGTAATCAATTGCAAAGAAAATGCAGAATAACTAATTGTGAAAAATTACAAGCAATTTTTGAAAAAAAGCCAGTTTTCTCCAACGCTGGTCGGCCGACCAGCGTTGAAAAAATACTATTTTTGTTGAAAACGTCAGCCCACCAGGAGCCACAATTTTACAGGATGCTTTAGACTGTCATTCCCTAACAATCTAGTAAGGTATTTTGTGAAAATTTGATCATTTTGTTTTGTGATGTTTGCAAATGTTGTATCTTCCCTTTAAAAGAGTGTTGATCTACACCCTAAACGTGGGCGTACATGCAGGTCAGTACTCTAAAGATGACAGTGGCTCAGGTTTCAGTATGACCAGTGCTTACATCAAAACAGCCGGAAAAAAATACATGACGTCCACAAGCTGTGTTTGTTCAACCTAAATGAAATAAACTTTGTTTTTGCAGAGTTGGTCTGTTTACCCCAGACATGGCGTTCGAGGCAATCACCAAACGACAAGTGTCAAGGCTCAAGGAACCATCGTTGAAATGCGTGGACATGGTTACCAATGAGTTGAATAATGTCGTCCGACAGTGTGGAGAAAAGGTAAGCATGTCAGGTTAGGTATAACAGACTTCCTTATTTTCCAGGTCTGTTGTGTTTCTCTCTTCTGTATAGACTACGTGCACAAGTGGCCCTCAAGGGTTACAACAGAGAAAGTTGGGAGGGACCACTAGGAGGTACTCTGAATGCATTACATTGCATGTATCGTCACCGACACCACGAACTGACTCTCGGTTGCGAGTGAGTGCCCGGCACGCGCGTACTTTACAGAACCACGTTATTTTGGTTTTCACAAACCGACACCCGGTACTAAATGTGGAGTGTCATGGCCAAGCGGTTAAGAACACTGGAGTCAAACTCTGTGGTGTTTCTGACCAGCTGGGCCAATTTCATAGAGCTGCTTAAGCACAAAATTTGCTTAAGCACAAAAATGTCTTGCTTAATAAAATCGGGTTACCGGCCAAAACTCCATGCGATTGTTATGCTAAGTAAACAACCGCTAAATACCAGTCACAAGCAATGTTCATCACATGGAGTTTTGGCCGGTAACCTAATTTTACAAAGCAATGTTTTTTCGTGCTTAAACAAATTTTGTGCTTAAGCAGCTCTATGAAATTGGGCCCAGCAGAGAGTGGGTTTCGAGTCACGATCTTGATACTTGTGTCCTTAAGCAAGACACTTAACCATCATTGCTTTGTCCTTTGGATGGGACGTACAGCCATAGGTCCCATGTGTTGTGTAATACACTTCAAAGAATCCAGTAACAAGTAACAAAAGTAACACTGTGTTTCTGGTAGTGGCTGCTTAATACGCCACAGCACCGTGTAGACCCTTATAAGGAGCTACATAAAATGGGTCTCTTATTTCAAATACATGTACTTCATTTACCTGTCTTTAAAATAAATTAATTAGGGCCTTGAGTACCTAATTGTTGGTTGATACGTGCGCTAAATAAGACTCCGGTATTATTGATATTACATGTGTGCACTCCGTACATTTTCTTTTTCACGAACTGAAACTGGTTTTAATTTCGCCGGTCTTCACATTTTTGTGAAAGCCTGTAAGTATACAGATGGAGTCAATTCGTGTCAAACCTTTCAAAGCTTTTTTTCTCCAAATTGTACGCTTGCGTTTCATTTCGTAAAAACCAAAGTTATTCTATTACGCGTCAGGGTTCGAAGTGCGTGTGTACACCCGCATATCGGTTCATGAAACCAAAATTGTTGATTACATGTTTTTCACGAACTGACACCACACAGCGCGCGCGTGTTATTTTGTGAAAATGGTGACGATTTACTGAATAAAATTACTGGTATTTACTGGTATTTACTGGCCATAAACACGCAACCGATACAGGCACATAGCGTGTCACTCCAACTGTCGCTCTCGTGGGGTTTGTGCAGATGAAGCCCTATCACACAACCTCCTCCGTTTGGGTGTGTTTCTTCTCCAGATGCAACGTTACCCACGCTTGAGAGAGGAGACGGAAGGAATTGTCACCAGACACATCGCCAACAAGGAGCAGAAAACAAAACAACAGGTGATGCTGTTGATTGACATCCAGTTGGCTTACATGAACACAAACCATGAAGATTTCATTGGATTCGCAAAGTAAGTCACTTTTAGATTCGTGTTGCCTACGAGCAGATATGATGGAACACTAATGTGAGGCCTTCTGGCGAAATGAGACAGAATTGGGCAGAGGTGAAATGAGGGTTTTTGGGTATTAGGAAAGATAATAAGATCTCCTTACAAAACTTTGTTGCACTATGATCGGACAAGGCAGTTTCAAGTTTGTATTTAACTACATGTGTTAAAGTAAAATACTGAAAAAAGGGGCCTGTACAGTTTTGAGTTTTGTATTTGTGAAAAGAAAGATGCCAATTGTTTTTTTTCTTAAAAAACACCTTTATTCCATACTTTTATACTAGTTCTTTACAATATGTGTAGTAGACACATCAAAAGTTACAAATATCAATATATGTGAAAATTGGGGGGGGGGGGGGAATTGCTTTTTGCATTCGCTTTTTTTGCAATTTTTCTCTACTACATGTATGGCCTATGCCCAGTTCCATCTTATTAAGCCAGAACGCCTCGCAAATATGTAAGTTGACACAAATTGGGTTCATTTGTAGAACTTCTATTCCATCTTGATTCAGTGGAAAAAAGTTCAAAATGTCACTAGGGGTAATATGCTATCTTTGAATCATGAAGAATGTGTCCTAAAATTATACTTTACACTGCGTACAATGAGGTACATCAAAATTGATGGTCATTTGATCCTTTTGAGGTTCACCTTTGGATTATACGTACAGTATATAGTACAACTTGTTTTGCTATATCGTGTGCTTGGATACTGTTAGTTCATTGGTCTAGGATGGCCACGTGTCTGGACAATAAAAATGCATGTCATGCACTGAGGGTGATATCGCACGGCGTTCTTTGCTCGCGTTGCGTGCGTGTGGGACCTGCCAGCGTGCTATAGCTTTGCGCAATGAGAACTGCAACATCAAACGCTCAGTCTCATTTCTGGCAGGACATCAAAGCCTGCAGTTATCAAAGGTTACATCGCAATGATTAAATTTATTTCTCCCACAGAAATTTACAACCATTCATCTTTTTGAGTTATTAGCACGATATAACAAAACAAATGTTGACTGCAAAACAAAACAATTGTTGACCCCTTGGAACACATTCGCCTTGGCTGCTATGTGCCCTATCGGGTGTTATAAAAGTCATATTTCACATCACAGCAGTCAACAATTGTTAAATATACAATAAGTGGAATAAATTAACAATTTGTATTTCTTTTTCATGAAGCTTTTCTATTATTGTCCTGACAAATTGTCTCCCCTTTCAGTGCTCAAAACAGGTCTGAAAAACAGTTTTCAGTGAATAGAGAGAAGAAAAATTTAGGCAATCAGGTAACAGGGAGGTCTTCGTGATTCTATTTAACCTGAAAGCACTTTGCATGTGGCTGTGATCTAACCCAGTGAACTATATCTCCCTATAACTGGTCAGTGTGGCTTTACTTTCACCTGCTGTGAGTTAATTTTGAAGGGTTACGTCAGTTAGTTTCCTCATGGTCACAAAATAATGTCCATGTACAGGGCGGTCCAAACTTTCTCACATTTTCAGAGGCAGATTTCTCAAAATTGAAGAGATGTTGAAATTGACCCATCGCTGCTTGCGAGTTAGCCACGCCCTCAGACAACCCTGTGGAGTTTTTGTACACAAAAGTTTTGTTTGTCTCAGATTTTGCGCGTTCCGCATCCATTTGTATATTGTGTAATTGGACAATATTTCCCAAGCAGCGTTGACGTGATTCTAACCAGATTGTACCGCGATAGGTAAATTGTTGTAAGATATTCCTAAACTACAAGATCTTGGTTGTATATTGGTGAAAACGGCGTTGAAAATAAAGCTCAAGTTAAGAAATAGCGGCCGTTTACAGAAGAATGATCAAAAACTAGTTTTGTCCACGTCTAATGGCAGTCATGTAAGACCTTATTACAATTATTGCAGTTTTTTTTGTGCACACAGTACTATTGTGTTGACTGTATCTCATAGACTTGCGTGTGGATAAACTGGTTTTTGACCATCTTTCTGTAAACCATCGCAACTTCTTAATTCAGGCTTTATTTTCAGTGCTGTTTTTACCATATACCACGAGGATGCTGCAGTTAAGGAATATCCCGATACAATTTTAACCATGTCTCCCCAATTCCAAGAAATCTGCATCTGAAAAAGTGTGAACATTTTTTTCATGCTGTTAATACGCAAGCAAATTCTTAGGTCTCTGACTACATTTTAACCTGCCAAAAATCATGCAGAATGTGACCCATCCCAAAAGAGCATTTCTGGCTGTGAAGGGTCAGTCCTTACTTAAGCTTTGACCTTTTAACCTCTGACCTTTGACAGCCGTCGCTGTCAGTAACTGAAGTAACCCTCATCAGAACCTTTATCCGTTGTTCCTACCCTGGTCAAGTCTTTGACTGGCACAACTGGTGGCACAGTCTTCCTTTGTTGCATGGGTTTTATTTCCTGTTTTTTTTATCTGACTGGTAGTGCTGCAGCAGCAACGCGACGTAGCACTACTAACAATCCCAATTCTACAAAGACACGGTCTGTCACCAACCAGGTATTTATTGTGAACTTTGACCCTTGACTTCAGTTCAATGGGCTTTGACATACATTCAACAGTAGTTTAAATGCACCACACGTCCACAAGCTCCCATTGCATCACTGACTCACTTCATCAATCACATATGAACCACAGAACTTTGTTTTCAGAACATATCCAGTAGTGTTTATCTCAGTGGTGGGATTTAAATCCGGATTTTTAAAAATTCAGCTTACCGTAATTTTCGGAATATAAGCCGCGGCTTATACGTTGAATTTGCCCATGAAAATGTTTACTGCGGCTTATACACAGGGCGGCTTATACGCCGAGACTTGAAGAATAAAAATGACATTTACATGTGTATTTAATGTACTGGTACAAGAAGAGAGGTGTTGCTGAAATAATTATCAATTAAGAAAGTCATTAACAAACCGAAAGCACGTCCCACAAAAAGGTACCGAGGGGTAAAAAGTACGGCTAGTGAGAGCTGTCCCTTGGACATCGACAACCGGCCGTACGTGATGCTGCCTATGCTGCATGCATGCTGCATGGATTCCCCATGGACCACACCATTTGTGGTAATAAAGGGGTGCACTTTCTTGGGAACAATAATTACCAATATTTCCCCTGTTTAAAAAAGGAAAGAGACAACTAATACTTTTTATGGAGTTTGAAACATATCTTTATTTGATAATCAGTTCAACGTCACAATATAATTTTATTTCTTGAAATGTATTCAAGAAACGATGTAAAACTCAAAACAGGAGTGAAATCACCCCTTACGAAATTAATGGATTCGTCCATAAAAATCTCAGCATCGTGTTGACTGTTTTTCGAATAAAGTTACGATCCAAACTTGAAGTTTTGACGTTACTACTCGTTAGTAATCACAACAATTTGATAAGTTTTGCTGTAAAAACGGACTTGTTTATCCTTTAGGACAAAACAACTTGGCGTCTGTTGCGACAAAAAAGCAGGAATTGTAGTGTTCCAGTCAGACAACACATGGTGGGTTGCATACTCTCTCAAGTGCTGGGGGAAAATAATGTCATTCGCCAGCAACAGGCTCACTGATGAGCCAGCCGGCAGCAATTCCCGTTTTTTTTATTTCTCATCATCAATTTCCATATTTATTTGTAAGAGTAATCGACTGTAAATGATTTGACATAACATTTGTGGCCCTTTTATAGCTTTCGTAGTGCAAATGGAACTGGTTCAGAGCATTTTGACTAGAATTTGGAGGCCTTACAAAATTGAACCGCTGCGGTTGGTGCGGCTTATACGCCGGTGCGGCTTATACGCCGACTTCAAATCTTAATTTGCAGATTTTTGCGTGCTGCGGCTTATACGCCGCACGGCTTATATTCCGAAAATTACGGTAAATTCCACTATTCGGTTTCAATTTTGGAAACCGGATATTGGAAGCCAAGCTTAAAAAAAAGCTAAGCCTTCCATTTTTTTGTGACACAGGCTAAAGAACACAACTGGACCATCCCCCAAATTGCTCCATGGTCTCTGATTGTTACTGCATTCACTTGCTAGTGGTCTTGATATATGAATAGCCTGCCCATTTGACGTATCAGAGACTTCCATCCATTTTGTTCAACATCACAGCTCGGGGGGTGTTTTTGTAAAGGCCCATGAATCCTGCAAACTATACCCAGTCAATTGGAGGGCATTTCATGCGGCACCTCATTTGTCACTTTTTGTTGGCATGATTGTGAGCTGGATTGGAACTTCCGTAGAAATGCGATAACCATTATTCAGTTTGAAATTTTTTTGGGATAACTGGATTTTGAAATCTCCGATTTCTCCCACCAATAGTGTATCACCAACATATTCATGGTCCGGAATGTAGTCATATTGTACTTCAAACCAGCTGAAAAGACTTGTAAAATAAAGGCCGCATGTGTGTGGTCAACCTACATGTACATTCACGTCTTGTCATGATCTACAGAATACGCAAATAGCTTGTAGAGATTTTATAAGTGGACTCTTTTTAACTGATTGTCATGAAATAGTTTCAGAAACACTGGTTGTGATGTATTTGAATCTTAAACAGATGATCTTGCTAAACACTAACATACATTTGGCTTAGTGTCACATTCTAGCAACTGTTATCATTTCACTGTTGCACATTTGTTTCTTTGCATTCACAGTTTTTAGTATTTTCGTTATTGTCTTGTGCACCATGTCATGTTGATTTGGAAATGTAAATAATTAATTTCAACAGTGCTCTGAGCTTTCCAGTCAGTTCAATTTTGATTCATGTGGCTTTTTATTGTTTAAAGTGACAAACTGATGCGCATGGCCAATTAACAATGCTTCTCAATACTTCACCTGTAAACTTTGTGCCATTGAAAATTTTTATTTCCTGGTTTCAAAGGAATCATACGCATTTTTCAATGCAATCTTAAAATTAACCAAAAAGGATGTCAAATATTTTTCATACACTTAAAAGGAGCAGAAAATTGCACAAAATATGTTCCTAAAAGAAATCACTGCTAAACCCGAAAAAAAAAACCAATTTAATTTGTCATCATGACATCACACCTGACATGCTGTCAGTGTATGGAGTACCGAAGTGAATACGTCACGCGCACAAAATGTGTGTAAAAGACATTAGCGCGTGATTCAGCCCGTGAACCAACACGCGCGCGTACTCCATTCGTTTGCACTACATTTTCTGGTTCTAAAATGGCGTCACACTTCGGTACTCCATAGTGGAATCCGGCGACCAGGATTAGACGCTTTTACTGCGGTGGTGTCACGCTCACGCGCATGCTGCACGCATTCTTTAAGACGAGGCGCACCCACATTTTGGTATTCCTATTGGTCTAAGGAGCCCGGAGTGCGTGTGTACTATAAAACTGAGCGCGGGCCTGGTGCCACCGCAGAAACATGGCTGCCGCCGGATTTGTCTATACATTGTGGTTGAATGCAGAATTCAAATGCATGTTCATTTGATTGAAATGCGACAATCGAAGACTGTCCTTTATGATGTGTGTTAGTTAATTTATGTAACTGTTTCATTGTGGAGGTTATTCGCAAAGGCTACATGAATATGCACAACGTCAGCTTTATAAAGGGAGGCTCCAAGGACTACTGGTTCATCTTGACAGCTGAGAGTATCTCCTGGTTCAAGGATAATGAGGTGAGCATTTGTATTTCACACAAAAAGGCCACAAATTTATGATTATTCAGTGGAAAATCGGTTCACGATCAGTGACTTAGAACCATAGAGCTATATTAAATTACTAGAGCGCTAACTCTAAATTCCTGCGCATGGAGACGCTTTGAAGCCGTCCTGGACGCAGACGTTTTGATTTCATGTGCGTGTTTGTACATGTAGAACATAATGAAATTAGATGGATCAAATTGGAAAGTGAACTCTAAATGCAGAAGGTGTACGAAAACAACTTAAATGCGTCATTACGGTTAAAAAAACACGTCACGGTTCTTTTGCTGATCGTGCATTTCGGTTTTGTGCGTATCGGCTTCGGTAACGCACCGGTATGGAATACAAACGCAGAGCCGTACAAAAGCCGTACACATTTGTGAGTTTTCCATAGGTTTGTGCACAGGCAGGGCCTCAATGGAAACTAGTTTTAAACTGTTTAGGTAACATACTCCAGGTGGAGAAATGTAATAAATAAATAAGCCAGTGGTCACGTAAGATGCATTCTAATATTTCTCTCACGTGATTAGGCCACAGTGTTTATAGTTCTTGCGCATATCATTACTTATACAGAATTTCCCGTCAGTTTTGACAAATCCATTATAGCCGCCTAGTGAACCTCCCCTAGACTAAATGTCCTATCTGCTGTGATACACCATCGATATGGATACATGGTTATTTTCTAATTCTAGGAGAAAGACAAGAAGTACATGCTGCCACTGGACGGATTAAGGCTGCGCGACGTTGAGTCTGGTTTTATGTCTCGTCGGCATTCTTTTGCCCTTTTCCTCCAAGATCAGAGGTATGTTGAATTGCCCACCGTCCTGATGGTCATGACATTTTGTTTGTGTATCGAAGACCCGTTCTATTGACAAATTTATTAAAAATTCGTGAAGTTTAAACTTTGGGAGCGTTGAATGTGTGCTTAAAACAATGTGGTTACATTCTTGTTAACATTTTTGAATTATTCATGCACTCAGTATGTTTAGAAATTCCCAAGTGTGTGCCTGACTAAGTGTATCTGTTTGAGATCTATTTATAAGTCAGAGGTTTGCGGTAACACCATGTGGAAATATCTCTTTTGTGAGTATGTGTGGTTCTGAAGAGAACCTGTTGGGTTAATTCCCTGTTCGAACAGTATGCTCTGTTCGTCATCAGGAGTTTCTCCTGATGACAAACAGACCTCTCACTTATTGATCTTTCCACCATGCAAACCTTCAAGTTTCATTTAGATCTATTCATCTAAGATGGAATTTTTCATAAGATGGAACTTTTGCGTCGGGGTGATTTTAATATTTGGGTTTGCCCTTCACCCGATGTGTTTTTTTTAAACACTTTACACTCAGTCTCGTCCCAAGTGATTGTTAGAAAAAAAATCACTCATGGGACTCGAACCCATGACCTCCTGCTTACTGTCACAGTAGTCTTAACCACTCGACCACCGAGCTTGCCGGAGTAAGCTGGCAAGTTCGAATCTGATGTAGCAGTGGGTACCACAACCAAACTATTCATAAGATGGACATTTTGCGTCGGGGTGATTTTAATACTGGGTTTTGCCCTTTCACCGACGTGTTTGAGATCTATTTCGAAAACCAATAGCTCAAGATCCACATCGATCATAAAAATTGTCATCGAAATTCCCCACCCGTCAAATTGTCTACCATCTATTTTATTGCTGTGTTCTAAGGAATGTCTACAAGGACTACAAGCAACTGGAGTTATCGTGTGACACGTCAGAAGAAGTAGACAGTTGGAAGGCGTCTTTCCTCCGTGCCGGTGTCTACCCTGAACGAACCAAGGATGAAAATGAAAGTGGAGAAGCAGTATGTGCATGTTTATCCATTAGCACTTTTAACCCTTACTCTCTGAGGGTAGTTTACTGCATGTCAGTTGGTTATGCCAATGCCCTCCAGCTGCAGTTATTTGGCAGATAACAAGTCTTAACAGTGAAGGCTCCAATTGGCAGGAGTTGGAGGCCCTGGAGGGTGCCTGATACTGACCAGCTGGGGGCACTCACTTTGTTATCAGAGGACTCTCATTGTTCTCTGTGGCATGTATTGGAGTGCCTGTCCAGTTACCCTTGAAATGACATGGCAGATATTGGAGGGCCATGCAAAAAACATAGGAGATTTTCTTGAGGCACAATTGGCATGCATTGGAGGGTCAAGTAGGGTAAGGGTTAAGCTCAATGTTTTTCATTGTATTAACTTCAGGACGAATCCATACAAAAGTATACAGTGCTGGGGTGGTTTGGGACGATATAAGGAGTAACAGGCAGGGTGGTACAGGGACGAACCTTAAACCCCCTAGGCCCGTTTGGCTAGGAACCATCCTCAATCCTGCAAAATCCTCCAATTGCAACCATGTACAAATTGGATTCAGCCTCAATCCTCCAAACTCATCTGTCATTTCTTAAATTTGTTCAATGGAGGGGTGACCATTGCCTCAATCTTTCAAAATCCTCAAACAATCACTGTTAAAGGGTTGAGGCAGTACTGATGACATTCAGAAGCAGTGCGGATGATAATTGAGCATAATGCAGGGCTGAATTATGCACGACTAAACATAAACAACGCTGGGTACTAGCCTACAAACTCAACGAAATGCATCCTCCAAAATCAACTGACAATTTTGCCATTCAGCCCCAATCCTCTAAAATCCTCCAAAACCACCCGGAGGATTTTGGAAGATTGAAGAAAGGTTAGGGCAAATGGATAATGTAACATTATGGACAAATCTTGGATGTCATCACTCATAAGAAATTGATTGGACTTCGTTTTAAATTTCATAAAAGGGGAGGTTAAAGATAGCTTGTTAATCCTAACTCCCCAGGCCTTTTTGCTAGGATGTAGCCTCAATCCTGCAAAATCCTCCAATTGGCCTCATGGAAAAATAGCATATAGCCTCAATCCTGCAAATTCCTCCATTATTTCTCGAATATGGTCCGTGGAGGGGTGACCACTGCCTGAATCCTGCAAAATCCTGCGGCAGTGACTCAATTTGTTGAGGCTTGGCCAGTGACATCCTGGAGCAGTATGGAGGATTTCAAGCATAATCTAGGCCTATATTTATGCATGGTTGGGCAAAAAATAAGGTCTGGCCCAAGACCTTTACAAAGTGCATCCTACGAAATCAGTAACGCACTTTTGCCATGTAACCTCAATCCTCCAAATTCCTCCACTTTGGCAAAGAGGATTTTGAAGGATTCAGGCGGTTAGAGTTAATAAAATCAAGACATGACTTTCTTAAAAACCCTTGTGTGATTGTGAAAAAGTTTTCTCTATTAATTGTCTAGATACCTTTGTCTAACCACCGATCCTCTACACAGGGATAAACAAATCATCTGAGCTTGTGTACAAAGTGTACGGAACAGTTTGGTTAGATGCGTGATAGCGGCCTGTGCGCGTATAGAACATACAGTGCGTGCGAGTGCACGAGACTCAGCACGCGCGCCCTTCACGAAACCCAATCACGGCAGACTTGACAGAAATTCGACTGCAGTCGCATGCCAAGTCTAGTCTCGCGCACACGCCTAGTCTCGTGCACACGCATTGTATGTTTTATACGCGGCGCACAGGCCGTTATCACGCCTCTTAACCAGAAATTGTGGAAGCCGTTTATCCTAGTGTAGAGGATCCGTGGTCTAACTCTGCTGTTGTTCTCTCTCTTGTTGTCCCTAGCCGTCTGGTGATGCCATGGGATCCATGGATCCTCAGCTGGAGAGGCAGGTGGAAACCATTCGTAACCTGGTGGATTCCTACATGAAGATTGTCAGCAAGCAGATCCGTGATCTGGTCCCTAAAGCCTGCATGCATCTCACCATCAATGATGTACGTAACTCCACAATAATGACCAAACATCTTTATCTAGTTTTAAGTCCACCTGTGACGTCCCCCTATTGTCCTAGCGCTCCATTGTTTTGCACGAATGGAGCGTTGGACACAATGCATCCTGAGGAAGAAGGTGCAATTGTCTCCAACGCTCCATTCGGGCAAGATAATGGTGCTAGAGAACAATATATTAACAGAACATACAGCGCAAAAATGTAACCTTTCAGTAATTTACGACATGCATTCCCTGAAAATGTTAGTTCTGAACACAATAATCGACAGTTTTGATTCAATTCTTGACGAATTTGAAAATTGTACACAGTTCTTGACCAAGTTTAAAATTGTACACAGTTCTTGACCAATTGTAAATAGAACACAGTTCTTGACCTGTTTGAAAATTGTACACATTTCTTAATGTCAAAATTCGTGCAGTTCTTGACCAATTTTGAAATAGTACACAGTTCTTGACCAATTTTGAAATAGTACACAGTTCTTGACCAATTTTGAAATAGTACACAGTTCTTGACCAATTTTGAAATAGTACACAGTTCTTGACCAATGTTGAAATAGTACACAGCTCTTGACCAATTTGAAAATTGTACATACATCTTGATTACTTCAAACACTTTAGGCTTTTTGTTATTTAACATCAAGATGTTACTGTCTCCAACTTTTTATTGTATTTCATTCAACAAAAAGCTCAAGTAACGAAATTAATGAAATACCTAGGTACATTGCGCAAAACATGTACATGTAGGCCTACTTAGAATCTGAAATGCAAAGTCAATGAAACTTGTCATTTAGTGTCATTTTCCACTGTTCACGTGCTACTTGAAGTAGACAGAGTTCCTGGATTTACGTTGCCTTCTCCTGAAATCCCCTGCGCAACATAGTTCGCTTTACGCTTCAAGGTGTCACTCGTCCTCTTGTAGCTTCTCATAGCATTAGACCTATTTCCTGTGACCTCACAAATAGGTTGTTCATCGACTTCATTTTCAAACATCCGCGTTGCGGCGCTTGCATGCAGGGAATGGTTGGTACGGTATCCCGGTATGCCTGCCTGCTTGCATAGGTCCGCAACAACTTGAGACAGTTTGTGACGACCCAGTTGTTCTGTGTACCAAACCTGACCTCGTGGTTTGGCCTGTGGGCGAAGGTAAAACGCATAGGTTGTTTTATTACCAGGGCAGTGTTGGAGATATTTCTCGTGCAGTCTTATGACACAATGGGATGGGTTGACGCTGTTCTCAAAGGCATCGACGATTTTAGGCTTAACCTTCCTGTGTTTCCTCCCTGGTTGGTTTTCGAGACATCCTCTATGTATCGTAGAATCCTCCCACCGTTCTTGTCAGTAATAACTGTAAGTTGAGAATTCACGTGCCGCAGATTTCTATGTTCTTGCCCTCCACGGAAGGCAAAGTTTAGCCCAAGTAGGTAGATGAGCGTGTGTTGGTTGGGTTTTCACTCCCGAGAACTCCCGAAGACCACATTTGTTCTTCCTCGTCCAAAACGCATAGGTTGCTTTATGTCCAGGGCAGTGTTGGAGATATTTCTCCTACAGTCTTATGACACAACGGGATGGGTTGACGCTGTTCTCAAAGGCACTGACGATTTTAGGCATAACCTTCCTGTGTTTCCTCCCTGGTTGGTTTTCGAGACATCCTCTATGTATCGTAGAATCCTCCCACCGTTCTTGTCAGTAATAACTGCAAGTGGAGAATTCACATGCCGCAGATTTCTATGTTCTTGGCCTCCACGTTAAGCAAAGTTTAGCCCAAGTAGGTAGACGAGCATGTGTAGGAGTTGTGTTGGGTTGTCACATCCAAGAACTCCCGAAGACCACATTTGTTCTTCTTCCTCCATCGTTATAAATTCCGCTTGCCTTGGCTTGGATCCTAATCCAGTTGATGCCTGATCCTTCATCAGCCCGTCCAAAGTGTTCTTTATCTGGATGAAATCTGGGTTCTGAAGAAACTTGTAGGAACTGCTCAATGTGTCGAAGTACAGTTGGATGCCTATCACAAGTTCATGTGGGGTCTGTCCGGGATAGTCCTCACCATTTTGTTTCTTCACTTCGCACAAAAATTGAGCTATGGAGTAGTTCAACTCGTCCTGGGTCATGTTTCAAAGGAACAGATCTGAAGAGCATAACTAAGATTTAAAACTAGCAAAGATTTTATTTGAACAAAACAAATAATCCAGTTCATTTCAGGATTCGTACACTTACTTCTACGGTTCTGTAATGACCAGCACAGATTTTTCTCAACAAAAAGTTACACTACACATTTTTTTCTATGATTCGTCACATTTCTAAAAACATCATGTTTTGTGGGCTGTGATTCTTTTCGAAAAACATGCTCAAAGAAATAGTGCCCACCTTCTTGGTGTGATTTTTGACATTTCCATGTCACCCTTTGGCTTTTCGAAGCGTTCGAAAGTACGTGCATGTACGTCTTTTTGCTCAGCCAGCCCACCAGAACCCGCCATACCAGCAGCTTCTTGCCCTTCAATAGCCAGAGAGTCTTGAAGTACTTCGTCGTCCGAAATGTCCGATACAATTGGCTGATAGGAAAATATATTCAGATCAATGCAGAGTTTCTTGCCGGCTGATTTCGGGAATTAAAAATCATCCTCCAGTCCACCAAAACTACCAATCTCGTCCTTTGGGGCAGTGGGAGCATTCAGTAAGCCGAATTAGTCATCCTCTGTCCCAACAATGTCTGACGGCCGAAAGGTCGATTGTGTCAGGAAAAGTCCCCTTAATTCAGTGTCACTCGAACTGCTCCCCGCCATCGTTTCATATGAAATGAACCAAGAAAAGCTTGCCAACCATATATGTGGGCCTGCACGACAAAGCTTTCTTTGTGGCTACCAAAAAAAAAGGATAGTCGATTTGACTGGAATTCATTCAATCCATACACAAGTTGCCTGCTTGTCAAGTTACGTAACGCGATTTGTTGCGCTTACAAATTCCTACATTTCTAAAGAACAAAAACGCTCCATTCATGCAAAATAATGGAGCGCTAAAAACAATAGGGGGATGTCGCTGTGGAGTTTAAGTCCGATAATGCCGCTCGGTAAAGCGCCATTCGTGGGTAAGAATCTTGCCCACGAATGTCGCGTACCTGGGGCATTCTCCTTTACCTCTGTACCATGCCAAACTACCCAATAAAAATTGAAAATTGTTTTTGAGCTAGCTCAATTATTTCTATAGGTATTCTTTTGTTGTTGTTATTTTCAGACAAAGGATTTCATTCTTGGTGAACTGTTGGCTCATCTGTACTCAACTGGGGATCAGGTGAGGAACGCACTTGTTTTTGGATGGATATAATGTAGGTAATAGAATAGCTGATCATTCCACCTGGCTAGCAACATTTGGTGTTGATATTATATCCATTTGTGTTCAGTATGTAAATTAGTTAATGATCATTGTATCACTTGAAAAATGAGCGTTAGCTAATTTCCAATAATAACACCACTCAAAATCCCAAGAAAAATGTTCAAAACCTAACTTGTTGCAGTTTCTCGTCAGTGGCTATTACACTTTTCAAGAAAACAGTGAAAAACCACGCACCACTTTTGAGCACAAGATACGTTTTCATCAATAGCACGCTATTTCCAAAAATCAGTGCATTGCCTGATCGTTGGAAACTACCTAAATTTCTGAATTTCAGACGGAATATTTATACGGGGGTTTAGTTCCAGTACGATCTCAAAATCCAAGTAAGCTTTTTGATAAAAATTTGGTAGGTTATTTTTGGGATAAGCGCAAATGATCTTATATGCCTTTATTAAGCTCTGTGTTTAAGAATGTTTTATGTTCACTTAAAGGGAATATGCAACATTACATATATCAAAAAACAAAACAACCCAATTATTATGAAATACCTGACTGGACTGTTACTGGATAATAGTCTCAAGCATCCTGTAAAATCATGGCATCTGGTGTGCTGACATTTTCAAGAAAAGTGGTATTTTGAAAATCAATTTCTAATGCTAGTCGGCTGACCAGAGTTGAAAAAACTGGCTTTTTTTCAAATACTGCCCCCTATTTACCATATTTAGTTAGTCCACATTTTGTTTGCAATTGATTACATACCTATGAACGGGTACAAGCCAGCTAGACTTGTTCCCCGACCTTACAATTCTTAGATGTCTATAAATTGCTCTCTTAAGTGGGGTCAGAGAACCTGACTACACAAGCATGATTGATTTTCTTGGTTTTCCAGCATCTACGAACACAAAACTTCAAACAAGTCAGTGTAACAATATTTGTTATAAAATACTAACCTCCCAAATCCATCAATATCTGAAAATTACAACAAATGTTGTACATTCCCTTTAAGGATTCATGTTAAATAAAGCACTCTTCCGATTTTGTAGGATTCGTTGATGGAAGAGTCTCAAGAGGAAGCGCAGAGGCGAGAGGAGATGTTGAAGATGTACCACACAACCAAGGAGGCACTCAAGATTATCGGTGATATTAACCTGTCAACCAAGGCAGTACCACTGCCTCCACCTGTGGACAACGATGACTTGATTAAACCATTCGCTAATGGGTAAGGTTAATCTCGTCTCTGAGATTCCTAAAACTGCCTTATTGTTATAATTATGTTGATCTTGTTCTTCATTTTCTCGTCTTGTTTACGTGTTTTTCCCTTGAAAAAATTTCAACCCTGTTCAGAATGATTGTTTGCATTAACTTGGAGGCCAGGGTTTCCCGATGAAAGTCATTCTGCTTTTCTTTGATGGATGATTCCTCTCTGCAGATTGACAGTCATTTATTGATTGAGCCGCTAAATCCAAAGCGAAAAAAAATAATAAAAAAATTATGGGGTTGGGGGTATCACATCCCCCAAGACGGCCAGTTGCTGTGCCTCTGTCAGACTAGTCTTTGAAATATCCCCTTGCACAGCAAGAGTCTATGATATGTGAGCAGATTCGGCAATTAATTATGCAAACCAAGTCTTCGTATTGACCTCGAGACTCTGATCATTCAACAGGTGCCTTCTATCCAGGCATGCAACTTTTCCTAGATCAGCTAATTTCCTTCTTTTTTTTTTTTCCTTCCCATGTGTGCCATTGAAAATAGAAAAACACTGTATAAAGTCTTGGAAAGATTTGAATTTCCTGTTTGTGACTTGCATGCCTGTCTATCGGGTCTTGCTTAACCCGTTGTTGTATAACAAAAACATGGCATGTGGATTGACTGATTCACAGCTTAGTCCACATTTCTGATCGGAACGACGTCAGTCTCTAAAGACCACTCCGATTGGCTGGCGCGCAGGGTTGCATAAAATTTACGTCGCATAAAAATCAGACGTTCAACCGTGGCTGATTGCCCACGTGAACGTCTTCTTCTCAGACTACTGTCAGACTTACTCCAGCTTAAAAGTTAAACATCCTTGATTGCTCTTTTCTTGACAGACCTACTCCAGCTCCTTCAAGTTCAGCTCCCAGGAGACCAGGAACTCACGGCGCCCCCTCTAGGCTAGCCCCAGGCGGTGCACCAGCTGCGCCTGGCCCAAGAGCTTCACCTATTCCTATGATTCCTAGCAGACCTGATATGCCCGCTAGACAAGCTCCATCAGTTCCCAAGTAAGAGCTTCTTTCATATCTCTTGCGGTTCAACTACATCTGATGGACATTATGTGTCAGTACAGAAGTGTCTCAATAATATGGAAAACTTGTGTTACAGTTAAAACGTTTCTCTTGGGAACATTGGATGTTGTTGAAAGGAGTACATTTTGTTCTGTTTAAGGAGGACAGACAAGTCGGTCTTTTTAAAACCTTACAGGAGACATGGACATGTTTTAATTTGGGCTAATTTTTAGGCACCCACGTTTTGTCGAGCCTATCCACTCCGTTCACAAGTACCCCCTCACCGGCAAAGAAAGTACAGTTGGGGGTGACCAAACGACGCCATCTTGAACCTGACTGCAATATTTTGCCGCGCAGCGCGGCCACTGCGTGTTCATAGTACCAATCCCCTGGTGCACGTGCGTCGCACACAAGGAACGGTGCGCACGCGTCAACCATGGTTGGTAAAAAGCCCATGCTTGGTAAAAGGGCGCCCTCTTTTGTTGGCGCATGGAGCCCTTACAGGGTGGCCCCCCAAAAAACTGGAACGGTGTACTTCTGCTTCCCTGAGACTTAAACAACCTATACCAGTGCATGGGGAATTCTGTCCAGAAAAAATGTTTTGTTCTAGAGCTGATTTTTCAGGAGTCATTTTGTCCCAGTCAATTACTAAACTGCGCCCATGAATTTGACTAATAATTGGATTAGAGGGACTAATTGTTATGTAATAATACCTGCATGAAAGATGTGTGCTTCAGAAAATAGGCTCTGCAGCAAAAAATTACTGGACCGAATCGGGACATCTTGGTATCAAAATACTTCTAAAAAGATTCCTCATCCATTGGTACAGGTGGTCTGAGTCTCAAGGTAGTGGGAGTATGCTGTTCTGGTTTTTTTGGGCCACCCTGTATAGAACACTGATCTAAGAGTCTTTTACCAGATATAAAGATAACTGTCCAATTTTTTTTCTCGTTGATACAGGCGCCCAGCTGGATCTTCAGCCCCACCCATTCCTGGCCGACCTGCTGTTCCTGCCCGCCCAATGTAAAGTATAAGCCACGCCTACTCCTATCTGACCTCCCCCTTTGCATAGCCACGCCTATTCTCAGCCTCTCTGCTGTTTCTGCCCATGCTTAGTCCTGATCAAGTCACATGACAGAAAGACACAGGTCATCCATCACGATGATAGATATCTACCTAGGAATGAAGCTACCAGGAGCCATAGAACCACTCTTATTATGACTTTTAGATGCTCTGTGTTATCCATTACACTTTATTAATATCAGTAGATGCCACTTTTCGCCCCTTTTATTCACCTGTTTGTTTAAAGTCGATACCTGCAATGTCAGGTGACCAGTGTTAAGTATGGGTCAAAAGAATATGTCCAACTTTAGATCCTAAATGACTGTTGTTTACCAATGAAATAAACCCAAGGCATGACAAATTTTATGGAGCGAGTTTCATCAGCTTTTTGCAAGAGGGTGAGATTTAAATGCCATACAAAAAAAATACGCACTTTTAAAATGTGGATGCAGCGCTGGAGACGGTGGCGGAAGGTGCGTTTTGCGGCCGAAAGCTTCTGAAGGAATGCAGGCTCACCCCTGATGTCATTGCACACGTCCTTGGTCCTGTGTTGTGCAATATGATCAAGGTGTGCAATGACATCACGTGTGATCCTGCATTCCTTCAGAAGCTTTCGGCCGCAGCATGTGCCTTCTGTCACCGTCTCCAGTGATGTTTCGACATTGGAGGACGCCAAGTCGAAAGTGGCAGATTCTGAAAGTGAGCATTTAAAAAAAAAAATTATGGCATTTAAATCTCGCCCTCTTGCACAAAGCTGATGAAACTCGCTACATAAAATTTGTCATGCCTTGTTCACATGTTCTGAAATTTTGGTTTAATTCCATTGATAAGCAACAGAGCTATTTAGGATCAAAAGTAGGACACGTTGACACGTAGTATCATGTGTGCATGTATATAATACCAGGTCATTCATCAATATATCCACAAAAAAACACTAACCAATCAATAAATTTGTTATTTGTCTAAAAATATTTGTACAAAGAAGGACATACTTTTTAATTGTTTACAAATTGAGTTTTCACTGGGTAGCTTGTTCATTCGTCAAAGAACACTAGACAAAGTTTGCTTAAGCTAAAATTTAAACTTTTTTGTTGCTAGAATAATGTGCGAGCAAAAATTATGAAGCCTTGTCCAAATCGAAAAATACGTTCTTGAATCGCAAATTATTTTAAATCTGTAATTTATCTGATTGGTATCATGGCATTTATTGTAATTGAAAAATAATGATACGTTGCAAGCACAGACAACTCTCCAATGATTTTGCGATATCGAAAAATAAAAAGAAGTTTCATTTTTATTCTTTAGGAGTTTGATATTTTGTAGACAGTAGAGCAAAAAAAAAATATTTGAATATTGGCTCTCTTTTTGCTTAAAAGAATTTCTTGTGCTTTTTTTGAATTCCAAACATTGAAACAACCAAATCCTGTGAATATTGTGTAAATTACAGAAATCATTATTTTAATTGCGTTGAATATTTTGCAGTATGCGTTTACAAAACAGTTTCTGAGGATTTCCTTTCTTTTTTTTAATGTGTCATAGTTAACCCCTGATGTACTTTCTAGAGTCATTTCATTTCAAGCAGAAACTATTCCACATGAAGTGATGACACTTTCCAGTTAGACACTTCGTCATATTTTTGCAAAAGTTGCTTTCTGATATTTTGTCAACATGGAAAAAAAGTGTGGAGGAATCATAGCTAGTTACCCCTCCCCCCAAAAAAAGAAAAAAAATGAAACATATGTTGAGATTTGATAAATCACCCGACATAGAAAAAGATTTATCTCTCACTCACTCACTCGGTCGCCCACAGGCGGGCGACAGAAAAGATTTAAGGAAAAGAATTGTTTGATAAATTTCAATCAGCATGTTCCGTTGCATTGTAATTGCCCCCAGTGAGTTGGGGGCTGGAGGCAAAACCCTAAAATGATTATCATATTTCCAAGAAAAAAAAATGTATTTATATCTTGTAATAATATATTGATCGTAAAACAAATGTACAATGTTTTTTTGTCGACCAAACCTATATAAGTATGTATTATAGTTGAATTACCGACCAGTGTCAGTAGCTAATGGTATTATACCCACGTTTTGTACAGATGCAAAGCAATGTTTGTGTACTTTACTAGTTGTACAATGATGTGGCCATTGTGCGAGGTTTGTGAAATTGTGAAATTTGCTCTTCCATATGAACCTGATAAGAATAGAGCTATATTAAATTCTAGAGTGCTAACTCCTCATTCTTGCGCGGAGACGCTTTGAAGCCGTCCTGGGCGCAGACATTTTGAATTCATGTGCATGTTTGTAGAACAAACTGAAATTAGATGGAGTGAATTTTGAAAGTGTATTCTACATGCAACGCGCAAGTAGAACATACGCAAACAACTTAAGCGCGTCATGACAGTTCCAAAAACGTCACGACAAAAAGCATCTGCAGCGAATACGTGAACGCGTTGCATTGTTTGCGTAGAGCAAAATGACACGCTCATTTGCTGATGGTGCATTTCGGTTTTGGGCGCATCGACTGCGATGATGCACCGATATGGAATACAAATGCAGATATGCAAATAGTCGTACAAAAGCCGTACAAAATTTCTAGTTCTCCATAGGTTTGTGTACAAACATGGATGCGCCCATCAGGCATTACTTTGTACACTGAGTTTAGCGCTCTAGTAATTTAATATAGCTCTATGGAATGAACACATTTCTGGTATCAGTATCAGTCATGGATGTTTTTACGTTTTCTTGCGGCCAGTTTGGTTAGGAAAAGGTGAAAATTGCTGCTTGGTTACGAATCCATGTCCAATATAGATTTATGATAAATAATGTTGAAAATAAATAGGGCTGTCCGTTTTTTGAACAATTTATTATGGATTACTCGAAACTGCGTTGAATATTTGGATATTCAAAAACTGCCAGCTAAAACTGTGTGCTGCGATCGATATGGGGCGCTTGAGAGTTTTGCAGCATTTTATAAAGGGTTACCTGATAAAAGGATGTTAACAATGCCGTCGACAAAAAACGTTAGACGACAAAGAAAGTGGCATCTGACAAAAAAGCGCAGCAACTTTACAGTAATATAACATCACGGTCGTGTGGGTACGGGTATGTGCATACTGTTTTGTTTTTGTTTTTTTTCCTTTGAATATTCATACAGGCAAAAACCTATTCGAATATTTAGTTGATCGAATATTCGACATATTTTCCTGCTGCGAATTTTACTTGTGTGATAATACAACCCACTTTGTTTGTATTTTCCGGCACAAATGGGCATTTTTATTTTGCTAACATTTCACGCTGTTTTAAGGTGTTTGCTACATTAATGGCCTCTTCAGCGAAAGCACAATACCTGCAAACTTTCTTTAAAAGTAGGAGCAAGAAATAAAGCGTAAATGCAAGAAATGTTTTTGTTTTGAAGTGTAGTTGACATAATCAAGGACTGGATCCTAATGATTGTTTTTTTCGACAAAATATATTCCAAATTAAATGTTTCATCTAATGTTCAGTTACTTACAAAAAAAGTCAATGTTTTCATATAATATATTTGTTGTATGTTCTCCTCATGGTTGTTTCTCTTAGAATATATAGATGGAATAAAATGGTTTGTAATTATTAAAAATTATCTTGCAATTCTTGTCTGCGTGGAATGATTAATAAGTCTATATATGGAATGATTGGACAATGCTTACGTGAGTACGCTGTGAAATTTTTTTTTTGGGGGGGGTGGGTTGAAACTCGATATGATGCTCTTCCTATTCAGTAATTAGATATTAATGTTAATTTGAACAAAACTAAATGAAGTAAGAACCATGGAAAACCGATTTTTGAAAAGATTTTTTTATTGTATTTAATTCTCAATAATTAAAGCATAAATCATAAATACGTGTACACTTTAATATTGGTAATTTGTTAACCGTCTACATGTACAACTAATATACAAAATAATATAAATATTAACATATTATCAATTACTTAAACAAAACTTTATAAATAAAACCCCGCAATTTAGTAAAACAGGAATGACTGAATAATAGCATATATAAGTAAATAAACCAATGACAACATTGAATAGTGTTTAATATTTGAAAAAAAAAAATTAAAAAAAATAAGGCACCAGTACATCATGGTTGAGCAGATTATCAATTTTAAAGAAATTTGGAATACAGAGTTACAATGAAATATGCAAGGAATTCTGGCAAAATGAAACAGAATTGGGCAGTGGTCAAAATGAGGGTTTGCGGCTTTTACAAAAAGAATAAATTCTAATAACAACAATGTTTGCTGCACTCAAATTGGACATTCCATTGACAAGCATACTTGTATATGGCGGTTTTAAAGTTTGTATGAAATGAAATGTCAAAAAAAATAAAATACTGAGAAAAACTCTTTCAAGTTGAAAGTGTAGTTGAAAGATGAGAGATGCAAATAGTTTTCCTTAAAAAGCACTTTCATACCACAATTTTTATACTATTTCTTTAAAACATGCGTAGAAGACAAATCAAATCCCAATTTAGAAAGTACAAAATGTATCAATAAATCTGAAAATCAAAAAAAAATCGCCTCCAATTATTTTCTTTCATTTTTCTGCACTACAGCCTTTGCCCAGTTCTGTCTCATTTTGTCAGAATGCCTCACTTAATATTTACTGATGGTAGCCATTTAAACTCGGAAACGATTTTCAAAAGGCCAACCTCAGTTTCAACAAAACATGAATATATTTTCTCCCACCTTAAAGCTCCAAAATGTAAGAAACAAAATATTCAATGAGTACTTAACACTTTGGCTCTGGTGGCTGGAGTTGCAACATACAACCTAAAATGTTAAAATACAACACAGTTACAACCAAAATGTTCAATGAGTACTTTACACTTTGGCTCTGTTGCTGGCTGGAGTTGCAACATACAACCTAAAATGTTAAAATACAACACAGTTACAACCAAAATGTTCAATGAGTACTTTACACTTTGGCTCTGTTGCTGGCTGGAGTTGCAACATACAACCTAAAATGTTAAAATACAACACAGTTACAACCAAAATGTTCAATGAGTACTTTACACTTTGGCTCTGTTGCTGGCTGGAGTTGCAACATACAACCTAAAATGTTAAAATACAACACAGTTACAACCAAAATGTTCAATGAGTACTTCACACTTTGGTTCTGGTGGCTGGAGTTGCAACATACAACCTAAAAATAATGTTAAAATAAAACACAGTTACAACCAAAATTCACGACTATTAATTCTCCCCTTTCACAAAACTTCAGTAAAAATGACGATAAAAATGATCGATTTTACAGTTTAATCAAAAATGGAAAAAGATAGAAAGCACAAAGCTTACAACATGAACATGAGCTTTTAAGACAAAAATGTGTAGGTACATTATCAATGTGCAAAAATGGCTTTTCTAAAGTTTCATAAGCTCATAAAAAAGCAGAATTGTGAGCAAAAAGGCAGAAAAGGTTCCCTTTATATATAGAAGAAATTCCTTTAGAAGTTAAAGTCATTAAAACTAAAATAAACAAGTTCACCACTTGCTCCTAACTCCTTAAGAAGACTTATCTCAAAAGGTCACTGGTTTAACCCTAACTCCCTAGCATCTTTTACTAGGAACTGGACCTAGTCCATCAAAATTTATCAATCACTGTGCTTCCAATACAAAACTGTACATGACATAATGGAATCCACCACTGACGCTTTGGTTGGCATTCATGGACTTGCTAAACATGGCTTTTATCACAATAGCAGTACAGGAAGCTAGGCAAAATCAATCGGATACCCTTAGCACTGCTTCAGGCCATTAGGCCCAAGTCCATCGTACTCCATCAATATTTAGTCACGCCAGGCCTCCTGGACCAAGTCCCCCAAAATCCAGCAAAATTGGGGAATGGATTTTGATGGAGTTGTGGTGGTTAGGGTTAAGAACAAAAAATGCTTTAATTGGCAACATTGGATGATGTACATGTACGAGGAGACAGTATAATCTTTTCCCCACATAAACCCTCAGAAATGTTTATGCAAATTTGTTCATTTACTTGGACTTGGTACATAACTCTACCAGTGGGCAAAAACATGTATGTCCTTGTACATGTACTTCCATGCAAAACTTTTGGTTAGTATTAATAAAGTGCATTCCAAAACAAACCAAACTTGTTTGTTTTTCTATTCAAACCGCTTGTCACCTTACTTTCTTTTTGAAGATTGTTCAATCTTTATTGTAAGATTTTTAAAGAACATGTAATATTTCGGGGCCATGGAATCTCTTAATGAACATCTTCTTGCGACGTTCCACAGATACTTGTACTTTGTAGGTCCATTAATAAATTTTAAAGTTTTGAAGTTACGGAGAGAACTATCATACAAATATTGTACAAATGACTCTCAAGAGTCAATATTTGAAGGAGCTACCTTCATGTGGCCAATAGATCTTAATTTTTTTCCCCCAAAATGGTGTTTTTCGGCCGAAAATAATCCAACAGCAAGTGGTTAAAGTCAATAACTATTAAAAGCAAGGCAACATATAGAAACTATGTTTGATCAAAGTGCAGCGATCTGACTACACAGACAAGTTGAGTAAGGCACAAAATACGCAGCAAAAATGTGCCTTAACAACTAACATATATCTTTTCATATTCACAATCTAGTTACATTTGATTTTTCTAGTCAACATGACAAACGATGCGATAGATTTGGTATTTTTTATTTGCATATAGTGCACGGCTACTCATTATGTTGCAGTATAAAAACACAATACATTCGTGGATGGATCAGATGTCTCATGTATATTATTTACATCAATAGTACCAGAACCCCTTGGTATGGGCGCCATGCGTGGACACTAGAGGGCGCTTTGTAATCCATGTCCAGGACGGGAGGGACATACCACGTGTGCGTACTAATGTTGTGCAAACACGACCCCAAAACCGACACCGACTCGAAACTGACATCGGGTCGGGTCGGGTCGGGTTGTTTTTTAATCATTTCAGCCGGGTCGGGTTGGTTTTTGCGTTTGTGCGATTTCGGGTCCCGTCGGTTAAGCCATCTTGTGAAAATCCTGAAATAATCCGACATAAACTAAATTTTCCAGTTTGGAAATTCAAGCGGTGCAAGGTTATTGCAGAGTTACCGTGCCCAGTACGTAGAACTGGTCCAACGTTTACCTGCATTTTTTTGGCACCGCACGAATGTGCATGTACTATGTGGTTTGCGGTCTATCATGCACAGTCTGTAACATGTAGGCCCACCAGTAGGTCACGTTATGAGTCTTCATGGTACGTTAGATTCTATTACTGAGAGACAAGGATTTTCACGCCACGCGGGTAATTCAGACACAAAAAGTGGACACAGTTGCTCTAGCCAGTTATTCGATTGTATTTTGATTAGTTCAGTTTCCGGTTGGTTCGGGCCCGGTTTTGCTTTAATTTTTTTCGGGTCAGGTCGGGTTAGGTAGTTCAGATCGGTTTCGGTTCAGATTTGGTTTATATCTTCAATGTTTTGGGTCGGTTTGGCCTAGTCAACCCAACCCGATGCACAACATTGTTGCATACTGGTTTGCGAGCGTATGGCACAGAGCACGCTGGTCTTATCCTACTCTGAATGTGCACAATACCATAGCGTTTTTGCGTGAGCATCAGGCTTCATCGGCAATGCATTCATATGTCTCTCTCCAAGTGGTTTACCTTAGCTCTTCTTTTGTAACTGTTAAGGGGTACTCGTGCGCAGAGAACATTGGAAATTAAATACAAAAGTCACTTAAATAAGTCCATTAAAAAGCTGAGAAAACTTCAACCGTTTTAATCAATGCAAAACCAAATTGTATGACTGCCAAGTTTATGGAAAGACGACAACTGGTTGATTGCTTTTTTGTATAGATCTTTTTCAATGTACACCAAGAACCTAATATTGCCAAGTAACGTATCTACAAAGGAAACTTACTTTTATTGAAATGATATTCGCATGTATTTCAGTTATGTGAATTGTACATTTAAAAAAAAAAAATTGTTTCAGTACTATGATCCAAAAACCAGCTGTGCCCCCAATCCAGCATTAGGTACAAGCTGGCCAAGTCATGTACATGTACCTGCAATTTATATGGTGATTAACTGCCCTGCAGATCAAAGCTGAAATAGATGGTGATTATCGTAACTTGGTTCAACAAAGGACTGGTGGAATCATGTTTATACAAGGCGAGTCAAAAAGAAAGTGACCTGGATTAAAGGTACAGTCCATCATTTGTAATTTGTGCATTTTGTTCATTTGAAGCAACAACAGTTCTCAACAAGATGTTGAATCATGTTTTGAATTGGGCCTGATTTCAGCGTTCTCACTGAGCCGATTGTTGCTACGCGATGTCGCGCACTGAACCGACGAAATTATAGCAACCGTGCCATGTGTGCATTGTGTCAACCCTTGTGCGTGCTTTTGTCTTAAGACACATTCTTGAAAAGGCCTTCTTTCATTTATTTCTTCAAAATGACAGCATGCCATAAATTTAACAGGGAGTTTAGTTCCCTTACTATCTTTCAACCAAGTATGTTTTTCAACAATAATTACGTGAGTTACTTTATGGATAGCTGCATATGATGGACTGTAGCTTTAATGAATTGTTTCTTATCATCAAATTTGATACACCAATGAAGTATGTCTCAAAAGGGCATGTTCTTCCACTCATCTGAAGAAAAGAGGGATTACCTAAATTGATCCATGCTATCAAGAATAATGCAAGTTTTTAGTCAATTACCCTATGTTATCTTTATGAAATGGAGTGAGCCACATGTTTTCAAATTCTGTCACTTTTTTTTGACTCACCCTGTATGTTTGTACCGTAGCAGTGGTTTGCAACTGACTTCTGTGACATATGAGTACGCTGCAGCCTGTGCAGTGTCCTACATGTTCACCCCTAATATCTGCCGCACGTTCTCGTACACCACATAGCCGATACTCACTGCAGGAGCTACCTTCATGAAATTGGGTGCAATGCCTCGATATAAACCACGAACTCCTTCCTGTCTGTAAATGTCACGGAACAAGCTCACCATGGAATTGTCTCTGGTCACTGCAACGAGTGAGAAAAAGAGGGAGAAATGTACTTCACTTGAAAGGATTACATCAAGTATTAAATAAAAACGAACATTGATGTTTGTCGAACATCAGAACAAATGCATAGCTGCCAACTTTTCAAAATTCCAATTAGTAATCAACCCGCGCGGTCATTTTCAACTGCTCGTTTTATCAAAAGCTTTACCAACATCGAGTACAGGTACATGGTTTACATGTACACATACATGTGCATACCCTTCTTGTTGTGAATAATAATGTACATTGTACTGTAGGCCAAAAGATAATTTAAAAAAAAAAAAAATTTAAAAAAAAATTAATATTTTTTTTTTTTAATTAATTTTGTTTTAATGTCTGTATTTGTTTGTTGAAGTCAAATAAATAATAACAATAATAACGTGCGCATATTTTTTTAGCTGCATGCTATCGATGTGGAGTTTCCGAGTTCGTATCAATGTTTTTACACACAATGATTTAGGGCCACCGTATGCAATATCCCGCCAACATACCTTGCAAACGCATGCTGATTTATCTTTTCTGGACGTTGTGACAAACTCAAACTCTATTACCAATTATTCCAACCATACTCTTATTAAATTCCATGATTAAAATCTCGCACTGATGGGTCTCATCCCAGCAATAAAGCTCACGATCGTCACTGAAAAGTACTCACATACAGTACACACAACCACACATCCACGAGATGCACACAAATGACACACCATTGAAAAATAGTTTTAGTCTGGTCCTCAAGTACTCCACTGCACTCACTGCATTGATGTCTATCAGGTGCTTGACTGCATTCTTATTAGACTTGTCACCAGTCCATCCATTATCGCAACATTTCGCCAGAAGTTTTTGGTCAAAAACGATACTTTACAAGTATTTTTTTGTTCGTTAGGTAGAAAATGGGAAATTCGTAATGTTTTAGCGGCAAATTTGTATTTTCGTAATTTAACAAACAATTTGTAATAATTACGAAAAATTCGGAACAGTTGGCAGCTATGCAAATGCTTTTACAACTGTCAGAACAGTAAAGTTTTTAAATGTGAGGATTTTCATCAAGTATCAAAACAATAATGACCAAAAATCAAATATGTGAACTATGATGGCGACAAACATCAAAACAATCATTTTCATGAAATATCAAAATAATGAATAAGCGTGCGCGCTTGATAAACATCAAAACTAGCAGCTGACATGTGAAGGTGCATTAACCAATGAGGACTCGGCTCTTGATCATGAATATGTATGAGGTAAAGTAATAAAAACAATTCCAGTTGCCTTCAGGCTAGTCAACCATGTACACAGGACTGAACATGATGCATTAACCAATGAGAACTCGGCTCTTGATCATGTATATGTATGAGGTAAAGTAATAAAAACAATTCCAGTTGCCTTCAGGCTAGTCAACCATGTACACAGGACTGAACATGATGCATTAACCAATGAGAACTCGGCTCTTGATCATGAATATGTATGAGGTAAAGTAATAAAAACAATTACAGTTGCCTTCAGGCTAGTCAACCATGTACACAGGACTGAACATGATGCATTAACCAATGAGAACTCGGCTCTTGATCATGAATATGTATGAGGTAAAGTAATAAAAACAATTACAGTTGCCTTCAGGCTAGTCAACCATGTACACAGGACTGAACATGATGCATTAACCAATGAGAACTCGGCTCTTGATCATGAATATGTATGAGGTAAAGTAATAAAAACAATTACAGTTGCCTTCAGGCTAGTCAACCATGTACACAGGACTGAACATGATGCATTAACCAATGAGAACTCGGCTCTTGATCATGAATATGTATGAGGTAAAGTAATAAAAACAATTCCAGTTGCCTTCAGGCTAGTCAACCATGTACAGAGGACTGAACAGTAAGGATTGCTTACACTGCGCTTGAAGTCTTGTCCTGACCAGCGCTAAGGGATAGCTGGCTATCTGACCGCATGTACTTGAGAATGTACCGCAGGCCAGCAACACCAGAGTAGGAGGTGCAGAAGACTCCCGGTGGTTCTTCAACCAGCGATTTTTCACAGTCTGGAAGAAAAGTCAGAATTATTAGAATCTAATAATAAATTATAAACTGACAAGTAATTCAAGATAGATGAATCGAAATTGGATCACTTATGCCGACACAAAATCGAACACAAATTTGTTGATTATGTCTAAGGAAAGGTTGATATGGATGTAAGGGGATTACCGAATGCCACGAGAATAACATTTCATTGAAAAGGTATATGCCCAAGCAACAGATATTAACCGTAACCCCCTAGGCCCTTTTGACTAGGAACCATCCTCAGTCCTGCAAAATTCTCCAATTGCCACCATGTAAAACTTTGATTCAGCCTCAATCCTCCAAAATCGTATGTTACTTCTTGAATTTGTTCAGTGGAGGGGTGACCACTGCCTCAATCCTTCAAAATCCTCCAACGGCTGAGGCAGTGCTGATGACATTTAGTAGCAGTGCGGACGATATCGAGTATAATGCAGGGCTCCATTATGCCTGGTTGAACATAAACAAAGCTGGGTACAGCCTACGAACTCGTCACAATGCGTCCTCCACAATCGACCAACACTTTTTTGCCACTCGGCCGCAATCCTCCAAAATCCTCCAAATCCTTCAAAACCACCTGGAGGACTTTTGAGGATTGAGGAGGGTTAGGGTTAGGGTTAAATTGCAGCAAGGAAAGTGTGACCTTTAAGTCATCAATTCGGGCGATTCACAATGCAGTGCGCCACCAAGAGTTTGCCATGGAGAGTCAACTTTTCAAGTTTACAGTCGACAAAATATGGCCCATTTGAATGAGTGTCAGTGGACAACTTGAGCTAACTTGTTATAGATTGGGGCATAGCGTTCTGCCACCTTACAAAAAACACCATATTGATAAAAAGAAAGGAAAAGGGCAAACATATACTCGAATCATACGCTTACGAAACTACTGACCGGAAAAAACAAACAATTTCAAATGTCCCGCGCTGCTAATTTGTCGACCATCTCCCACAATGCACTGGGAAAAATGAACTCTCTGTGGCAAACTATTGGTGGCGCTCTGCACTGTGAATCGCCCGAATTGATGGTCGCTTTTCTCTGTGGACTGATCGATTTGTGGAAAGAAGATAACTTTCCAGGTACAATAAGAAGTTGCATGGATTGATTGATTGGAATCCTGGCTTACCTCATAGACTGCAAGGTCAATGCCGGCATATGGGATGATACCAAGCACGTTTGGTATGTAGCCCTTGTAGAAGCACCTCAGTCCTTCGTTCTTGTACACCTTGACTGCACAGTCTAAGATGCCTTTGTACTGGCCAGTCTTCCTGATGGCTAACCTCGTCTTCAGTACCTGTAACGCATAAAAAAAACAATTACAAACAAATGACAATAACTTATTAAGTTACCATTTCATGCAAACTGCACAATTCTAAAACACTTGTACAGGGTGGTTAAAAAAAAAAGGACACCCACATTTGACAGCAATTTTCACCTATTTTTAAATTTTCTTTTTTTAAAAACTGTCGATTACTAACTATCAAAGTACTGGCCTTTAAGCAAATGTGACGAAAAATCGTTGCATTTGCACATTTTGTCGTCGAGCTATGCTAATTTGAACATTTCATGTGCGAAACCTGTTTGTCCACGGAGGTATACATGTACATTCCCTTCGCTTGACTGAGCTCAGCTATCGGAGCTTTATTTGAAGGCAAAATATTAGCACACTTCAAACAAGGATTGCTATTTCAAATGCTTTTTCTTTTCGTTGTGTTACTTTAATATCATCAAAATATAAATAAAGGTATCATCTTTCTCTCAGGCATTGAAATACTGTTAACACAAAATGCACCAATGCATGCTTGAACATCATTTGAAAAAACGCGCTAACAATGAAGCCCATCTTAACATTTGAAAAGGGCATGACATTTGATTGTTATGTTATGTAATGTTATGCAACAATGAACTGAAGCCGACAGCTCATTGAGTAGATGATCTTAAAACTGACATGAATAATTGGACAGCTTTAATAAAAGTTAACAGGGCAAGATATATTTTGGTGGGAAGGTTTTTTAATTTGTATGAACTACGAAAACGTCCAATTTAATAACCCGTGGACAAGACTGACTTTGGTGACTTTTATTCAAATTAGCATAATATCACTATTTTTGCAACTTTTACTAAGCTTTTTTTCACCATGCATGGTTAAAGGCCTATACTTAACTTCTACAGTGTATGTGAAAAGATATTTCAAATACGTTCATTAAGTAGGTGAAAATTGCTGTCAAAAGTGGGTGTCCTTTTTTTTAACCACCCTGTACACAAATCTTGGAGGGGTAGGCCTATACTGACAACCTGGTTATTTTAAACATGAAGTAAATCATTTGGAAATCATTGGAAATTTATAATTTTGGACGTGTTTTGTTTTTTTGACCGAAACGTATTTATGGGAATAAATATGTGCCTGGCTGGTATTAAACAATGTATGTTTAAAACCTGGTCTCCAATAACGGCCCAAGCCAAATATTGGCGTCAAGGTTCCAAGCCGATTCAAACGTACCTGTTACCTACATGTTAAAAACCAGCCAAGCATCTACTTATTCCCTTAATTATAATGATGAACTGTTTCATCGCGAGCACGTTGGAGAACTGCAGATAAATTTCATTTGCAACAAAAACACATTTTTTCTTCGCATCCAATAGTCATGTTAGTGCTGCAGAGTTCTTCCTGTGTGCACAAACCATGACTGGCCTTTTGTCGTAAAGGAACGCCTGAGAACTGGAAGGGGCCGTTCGCATGCGTCAAACGGGAGGTAGCTCGAACAAAAGAATGTGCTCCTGGCGCGCACACGCATGCGAATGGACAATGTAGTTTTGGTGTCCCGCCTAAGTTACACATCATCTTGACATCAACAGTCATAATACAAAGATACAGAAAATAGCATTCCGAAGCGAGAAAACTGCATCTTAACCCTAACTCCTGGGGCTCTTTTACTAGAAAGTATCCTGAATCCGCCGAAATCCACCAATTTTGTCACGCAAAAAATGCTGGTATCCTGAGTCCATCAGAATCCCCCAGTGTAGATACTGGAGGTATCCTGAATCCGCCAAAGTCCACCAGCAAAAGTCTTGATGGATTCTGGCGGATTCAGGATACCATGGTGGAATAAAAAAAAAATACAGCATGTTTTTCCACAGAATCTTCAAAATCCATCACCTAAATTTCTGGTGGATTTTGATGGATTCAGGATACCATGCTCACATAAAAATGTGATGTGTGTTGTTGCATAGGATCCATCAAAATACACCAATGCATGGTTCAACTGCTGGTGGGTATGATGTGGGTTGTTTTTCGTTTCAACTTGGGCTGTGAAAATTTTGTATACTATGATGTTTGCTTTGTCTGGAAGGGCTATTTCAATGAGCCATATTGTCCGACCCCAGCATTGCTTTGTCTGGATGAGTTATGTATATAATCCATTGTTTATATGCTGAGGCCTAATAAGCCGCAGTCACAAGCTCCCAACCACCCAGTACATACATTTTTGTACAGCATGTGACAGACCTGGCAGGGCTACAAGCAGTATTTGCTTGACCACAAACATTGCCAAGAGTTATTCTGTTGAGATCCTGAATCCGCCAAAGTTCCCCAAAAAAGCTCAATATGGAGGTATCCTGAATCCATCAAAATCCTGCAGTTCCGCTAGGCTTACAATCCTGAATCCATCAAAATTCCCCAGTTTGTTCAATATGGAGGTATCCTGAATCCGCCGAGATCCCCCGAAACAGGGGGGTGGATTTTGATGGATTCAGGTAAGTTAGGGTTAATACACACCTGCAGCATGGAATGTTAGTATTGTTTTGATTTAGAACAGCCAGACTTTGAATTACCTCCATGGGATAGATCATAGTCTGTGAGAAGACACCAGCCAACGATCCGGCCATGAATCGATGGTGTATCCGCAACTCTCGACCCTCACTCTTTATTAACTTCTTCAACTGAAGTGAAACAAAAATAAAAAAAGGAATTAAAATATATAAATTATTACGTTCAAGGAAAAACAATTCAGGTATTTTAACCAGTACCCGCATGGCCGAATGTTACAAATTACACGTACGTGGTAAGTTAACAGATACACCATGGAATTAGTCACTTCTGTGAGTCAAGGTGATCCGCGGATCGCCTTTTTTGCAGCGATTCCCATGTTTTGTGTTCTTTAAAAAAGTCAAAATTTTGTGCATTTTTAAAAGACCTCAAATGACCCCTAGATGACCTTTGACCTCCAATTTCGGAAGACTTGTGATGAACCCCCACCCAAGGATCACTTCATCCAAGTTACATGAACAATGACCTCTAATGACCCCCTACATGACCTTTGACCTCAGTAATCCGATGGAGAATTGTGTCTTCCAACCCAAGGGTCACTGTTCAAAGTTTCATCAAAATCCAGGAAAGCATGTAGAACTTATACATTTTTTTTCAAAAACTTAACCTAAACTTTAACATACATACCTGGTACGTGTACAGGGATACGGAGATACAGGGATACAGAATTTACGATTGTAAGTGTCCCCCAAAACTTCATTTAGGCGACACAAACATGTAGGGTTCTGAAAAGAACCAGTTGGGAGATTTGTTCCAGAAATTCCCATTAACATTATGCATACAACTGTAGGATTTCAGTTAATCAGTACAGCATGGCAGAGATCTGCATGTAGATGACTGAGAGACCTGATAGACCTTATTCGAGAGGAAGCCATTTTAAATCGTGTTCCCTGAATCTATTTTGTAAAATATAAACTGTTGAATGGGATGGTGCCAGACTACTTTATGACTGGAGTGCGTTCCAAGACTCACTTTAAATTTTTTTTTCAACATGTAGCTTAAAACATAAGGGCATGTTTGAACACATATTTGAAATTATTCATCCGAGCAGACTGGTATAAACTTGTAATGAACTTTTATTTCATCGCTATCATTTTGCTTTTAGGCGCAAGTTCCAAAAATGAGGAGTTTACCTCGCTTTAAATTTAATATGGCCGACTTGTGAATACAGTCTACTGCAAGTTATAACATCAACATACGTGTGCGCAAGATGTTTTCTACTCACATGCTCGTAAGCGACGAATTTCAGGGCTGTTTCTGGTGCAATCTTGACTACGTTGATACCATTGCCTCTCCACATGGACATTAAGCCACCCTCTCGATACATGTGTTGGAAGCCAGAGATGATGCTAAGATTCTGCTTCTTGGATCCAATCACCTGACGGAGGAATGGTCAACATTCAACTGATGAGAATTACAAGGTTTTACATTCAATTCACATAAACGTAGGACTGAATGAGTTGGGAGATAAAAAAACACGTTAGTAAACTTTGCTCTTGTGTACATGTATGGCTGTGCATTTACGGGTAGTACGGAAAATGGGTACCCGAATGAAAAAAAAAACAAGGGTACCCAGGAACCCGTTATTAACCCAACCCCAAAATTCAAATCTTGGTAGTTGCTGGCCAGATTGTTCATAAAGGTCCGCACGATAATACTTCCACATCGGTGCATAAATACAGCAAGGTACAAGTGTGTACAGTGAGCTTCGTAGCTTAACGGTGTAAACTACATGTTTTGCGAGTCATAAACATGAAATCTGTCTTGTTGTTCCATGTAGCCTGGTTTTCATTTGAAAATTCTCCAGAAATGACATTCAAAACCTTTCTTTGTCATTGTCTGAGAAGTTACTGGGTAATTGTAAAGTTGGTTATGGGTACCCGATTCTATATTCTGGAACCGATTCCTGACATTAACAATCGGGTACTCAGATACCCGGTTCCAACGCACAGCCCTACTTTTGTAATATATTCAAACAGAGATCTTGCAACAACAAAAACAGAAGTCAACTTGACAGTTACAAAGCAGACAGTTAAAAAGCACACAGCTAAATGCATCATTGAGGGAAAGGGTGGGGTTTAAAATGGAATGCGATGGTTGGGGGAGGGGAGGGGTGGGTTTTAACCATGTCACAGAGAACCCCAAGGAAGAGTTGCCTGTGGTAAGCTTTTAATTAAACGACCAACGATATGTAAGCAAAATAACCGAGCCACAGCTTTTGTCCATCAGTAAAGGGCAAAACCCAATTTAATAAAAAAATAAACCACATCCATTGCAGTTAAACTACAAAATACAATTCAAATATCTAGCAAGAACTTGTACCTGGAAGATGACTTTAAGCCTGTCCAACGGTGCAGTGACGGTTCTTGAGACAGCGCCTGCTGCACCCCCAGCAAGGAGAATACGCCACCATCTACCTGTCTGCCTCTCATCTTCAGTGAATTCATCTGGTACTGAAAGGGTCTCGCCGATATCTATAAACTATTCAAACAGTATATATACGAAATTTCAAAACTCATCCTGCATTTTTTCATTCAACTGCGGAACTCACAGGAGCTAATTATTTACAAATTATCGAAGACATCAGCATGAATACCGGTAGGATAAGATTTCCATGACAAATAACACATTCTGAATTCGAAAAAAAGCAAGCAGAAAAAGATTGAAAATGAGCTGCTCTTTACATCAAGGAGAGATACCACCGGCGGATTTTTAATTTTGGGGGGGGGGGGGAGGAAAACTTAGGGAGGTGCTGCCGCAAAACACCCCCGAGCGCAAATTAATTCCCTCCCCCCCCCCCCAAGAACCCTTTATCTGTAGTTATTTCTACCGCCATTAGTACTATATTGCTCTCAACAGGTAAGGGCATTGCTAATCTAAATCGTACATCCGACACTGTAAATAATTGTCTGTTTTGTACAGCGCCCCTCTACAGAAACATGAATAAAACATCTGACGCCCCACTGGAAAATCCCTCCCACCCTGTTTGGAAAATGTATAGATCTGTTACTGACAGATGCTACTCAGAACGCACCCGACAAAAGGCAGGGATCTAATTTAACGATCAAATAACAGGGTTAACTTAAGTATGAACATTAAAAGCAATATGGTTCTCAATAAAAGTACTGACTACAGTGGAACGCCACTATACCGAAAACCACTATACCGAACATTCGGCTACACTGAACATCGTCCTTGGCTCCCAGTTTTAATGTACAAAACGTACCGAACATTGTTGTTGAAAAAAAAAATTCAACAAAAAATCTACCGGTTGTGTTAAATGCTATTTGGGCCACATTTAATTCCTGAACATCAAACCACCCATCATGTTTGAATGTTGAACAGCGATAGATGGCTATTATTTCCCCAAGGAATAAAAGGGAAAACCACCTGTTGCTAAGGTTTTGTGACGACTCCTCGTGCGGCCGTGGGATGTGAGAAATGCCAGTTCACTATTGGTTCAAGAGGTACTGGCGGTTCTAAATCACTATACTGAACGATCATTATTACGAACACTTTCTGTGGATCCCGTAATGTTCGTTATATCGGCATTTCCACTGTACTTACTGTTGCATGTTTCCAGTATTGACTACTTACTGTTGCATGTTTCCAGTATTGACTACTTACTGTTGCATGTTTCCAGTATTGACTACTTACTGTTGCATGTTTCCAGTATTGACTACTTACTGTTGCACGTTTCCAGTATTGACTACTTACTGTTGCATGTTTCCAGTATTGACTACTTACTGTTGCATATTTCCAGTATTGACTACTTACTGTTGCATATTTCCAGTATTGACTACTTACTGTTGCATATTTCCAGTATTGACTACTTACTGTTGCATGTTTCCAGTATTGACTACTTACTGTTGCATGTTTCCAGTATTGACTACTTACTGTTGCATGTTTCCAGTATTGACTACTTACTGTTGCATGTTTCCAGTATGTGTAGATATCCTTGAGGTCTGCGCTTGGATGTAACAAAAGATAATTCCTCCATTCATTCCAGTCTACTTTGAGGGAACCATCCTTATCCATACTGTAATAAAAAAAACCAAAGATTCATGATCTTACTGTGAACAGTGATGAACGTTTCCTAGTACATAAATACAGGGTGTCCCCCCAAAAAACTCAAAGTGCCCTCTTTTTCAGAGCTTTTAAAATAATCCACAGCAAATATCGATGCATGTTTGGAGAGTAGGCCCTATGGTTCATAAGCCTTCAACAATGAAAACATCTTTCCAATCGGGTAAATATTTATTGAGTTATGGCCAATTTAAAAAAGTACAGATTTTTTTCATTTTGTCCGAGGTCTTAAATGTCATTCATTAGGAATGTAATGAATTTGCGGTGAGGGTAGTTTTGCTTTCTTTATTTCTTTTTTTTTTTTTACTTTCTTTCTTTATTTGGTTCTTTATTTTTCACTTTTGGCAACAACGGTCATTTCTCCTTTTGCAAGAAATGGTAGTCCTGAAAAGGACTGTTTGGTTAACTATTTAGATGTTTACTGTTCTGTTCTGCCCTCTACTTGGCAGCCTCTTTCAGGAATGCAAGTTTCGGCCTGTGTCTTTATTGCAGCAGTGACATATCAGTCGCTGAGGACAAAATGATAAAACGGTACTTGTTTTCAATTGGCCATTACTCCATAAATATTTATCCGATTGCAAAGATTTGCTCCTTGTTGAAAAGCTAATGAGCTATACTCTTCAAACACATGGTATGTATCGATATTTGTATTTCTTTAAAACTGTGAAAAAGAGGGTGCTTTGAGGGCTTTTTTTTTTTAGGACACCCTGTGGTTCATTTTCTGACATAGTGTACAGGCCACTTGATGATGAAGCTACATGTGTCGCTTGTCCTCCCTTCACCTTTATCGACAACTATGCAGGGTTTTATGAAACAAAGACAAATGAAACCAGATTAAGGGGCAACCTACGTTTAAAAAACACAAAAATGAGTAAAATTGAACACAATTCAAATCACATCACGTACATAGTAAATATGACACCACATCTGAAACATGTAAGTCAACAAACTGTATGATACCGGTATGGACATGGGATTTATTGGAGAAGTTAAACAGTGAGCATTGCAAAAAGTGGAGAGAGTTCCAATACCCGGACATCACTTGACACTCTGTGCACAAACCCTATGAGACTGGTGTGAAAAAGTCTAAGTGTTTTCTCAGTAAATGTTTTAACAGTATTTTCCCTGGTAAATTGGACTTTTTAGGACTTTTTTTGTGATGGCTGATAGGTCAGATATCCATGTATGGGATTCTTCCCCCAAAAAGTAACCTGTTGGAAAGACAAAACATCAGGTAGGCTTAAAATGGAAAACTAAATCAAACTCTGGAGTTTTATCAACAGGTTATGATCATTTGCTTTTGTTAAAAATGTCAGATAAACATGTTATCAATGAAATTATGGCCCATGGGCCTTCAACTTGAACTTCAAATGCAATAATTACACAGAAACATGTCAAAACCACACTTGCAAATCTGAACTCTGTTCCCTCTCCACACAACAAGGCACAAAAACATACTTGAAACTGTAAGTGCCAATAATATGTGTAGTGGTGTTAAGTGTATCAAAATGAACAAAATCGATCATAAACAATGAAAACCAAAATTACAGCGTGAGGCAAGACAAGTTGGAAAGATTTTATGAAAACTGCACATTGCTATCATGCATTTTGTTTATGAAACTGAATCAGCAATTGCTAGCAATAATCAAGGGTTCTATAATTATTGTTAACAGTAGTTGACCCGATGAAGTGCAGTCAGGTATTAAGTGGAGTGAATGCAATTGCTGGGAACTTGTTGTGACTCCATACAATCGTCACAAAAGTTCCAATGAAGCTTGACAACCAATGTGACTGGTTGTCAGGTGCTTTGTGTGTTTGTCTGTTTTGCTTGGAAAACTGAGTTTTTTTAAAGAAATTTTCCGGCCAGCTTTGTTGTCAAAGGGTTGTTCAGTGATTTTCAAGCAGGAAATTCTGTATTAAGCTGAGTGTACAAATGTATTATAAAGATGAAAAAAAAAACCTCGAAAAGCAAAATGACATACTTTGCACCAACCGAAAGAACTGAAAATATGAAAATAAATCAACATGCAAACGAAATGTACGCTAGTACAAATGTACATGCAAACTGTATTATGAATGCGTTGATTAGTTTAAATTAATTTAGCTTGCAACTAAGCTCATGCATGTGTTGTGACCAAAAAAATATAAACAAATCTGAAATTGAGAAAGCAACTAAAACAACAACAACAATTTCAACAAACAAAACTGATGGCTCACAGAAATGCTCAGCAAATGTGTATTTTAAAAGCATGCAAATATCATGCAAATTTGTGTACACATAAACAGTGTAATCTCAACACCGGACCGAACTTCAAAATGTCAAACTCTCACTTACTAGCATACACATTCCACATCGTCTTCCAAATGTGTTGGCACTTCACACCCTTTACAACCTTTTAATCTGCAAGGGGATTTTGTTTCTTCAGTTTAACTACATGTACATGCACAGGAAGGTGTACTTAGAAATTGTTAGAAATCTTGGTAAATATGAAAGTGTCTTACAAAGCACGCAACCATTATTTGTCATCAGCCCACCAACTTTCATTTGAAATATATACTGTAGACTTTTTTTTCAGAAGAGCTTACAGGGAAGTTTGAAAGTGAAAATGAAAGTGAATACACTGCACTCTGTTCATGAATAAACCCAAACTTGAAAGACCAGAAGCAAAGCAACATGCCTTTTAAAGGGAATGTACATCATTGGATTTTGCTGTAATTCTCAGAAATGAACTATTTGAGGGGTCGGTATAATAGATCAAATATTGTTCCACTGATATGTTTGAAGTTTTGTGTTCGAAAATGCTGGAAAAAAACAAGAAAAACACAAATGGTGGAGTAGTCTGGTTCCCTGACTCCGCTAAAGATAAAATGGATCAATTTATAGATGCCGGAAATTTGTAAGGTATGGGAACCAGTCTAGCTGGCCTGCACCCGTTCATGAACATGTAACCAATAGCAAACAAAACTTGGACTGAAAAAAATGGTGAAGTTAGAGCAGTAGTCAGGTAGTTGAAAAATAGTTAGGTTTTTCCAACGGTGGTCGGCCGACCACTGTTGGAAATTTATACAAAAATACAATTTTCTTGAAAATGACGTCACACCAGGTGCCATAATTTTGCAGGATGCTTTAGACTGTCATTTACCAACATCTACATGTAGTAAGGTATTTCATAAAATCTTGGTAATTTTATTTTTCGATGTTTGCAAATGTTGTATATTCCCTTTTTAAAGGGAGGATACAACATTTGCAAACATCAAAAAACAAAATGATCAAATTATCACGCAATATCTTACTGGATTGCTAGGGAATGACTGTCCAAAGCATTCTGTAAAATCGTGGCTCTTTTTGTGCTGACATTTTCAAGAAAACTTGTATTTTTCCAACACTGGTCGGCCGACCAGTGTTGGAGAAAACTGCCTTTTAAAAAAAAAGTGCTCCTAAGTTTTCATATTTAGTTATTCCGCATTTTCTTTGCAATTGATTACACAACTGTGAAGGGGTAACAAGCCTTCTAGACTGATTCTCTGACCATACAATCCCCCCAAAGTCTATAAATTGCTCCCTTTCATCTTACGTGGGGTTAGGGAACCAGACTACAAAAGCATGGTTGGTTTTCTTGGATTTTCCAGCATCTCCGAACCCAAAACGTGAAGCGTCAGTTTAACAATATTTGCTTTAACATACTAATCCATTAAATCCATTTATTTCTGAAAATTGCAGCAAAAGCAAATGTTGTACATTCCCTTCAAAAACATTTTTGCGCACACATTTCCGCACACACTTTAATAATTAACAACAAAAAGCCACGCTTAGCTAATTAACGTTGCTATTCACCTTGGGTACTAATCATCGTCCATGTTCAGCAACACAACATGAAGTTGACATGTTGGAATTCTAACTGGGATCCTATTTCAAAGGTTCTGGTTGAAAGGAAACTAACCTAATGTGTAACCGTTCCCAAGAAAAAGGGTAAAAAACCTGCTTGTTTGTACATCGGATGAGGCTGATACATGTATGTTATGCTGATATGCCGTGTCCATTCAATGTACGTTACACATTGTGTGTGTCACATACATTGTAATACACACAGCACCAATACACAAATATTGTTTTTCGCACGTTTGCACAAGTGGAACAAGTGTGGCAGGATTCACAACTAGCACCCAAAAGCTTGATTTTTAAGAGTCAAAATTTTGACCCTCGAAATTCGTTCTCGCAAGAATAACACAACAATGCCCTGTTTTTAAAGGACGGTTGAGTGGACGTTTATATCCTGCTTTTAAATGCTCTTTCCAATTCAAATCATTTTGTTTGAAACGTGTTTTGTAGCCCAATTGGGCGCAATCCAGGACGTAACATTCCCTTTTTAATGCTACCCACAGCGCATACATATACACATGAATAGAATTTACGCACCTCTTCATGAGTCGATCTGCCTCTTCTTCACTCACAGATACTCCGAGTTTTCTCAACGATTCCAAGATCTCATGCACATCTAGATGGCCGTCCTGATTATGGTCAATATGCTTGAATACCAGTTTGAGTTGTTTTTCGTGCTCTGTGACATACTGCACAAACTCGGCAAAGTCCAAATGCCCATCTTTGTTCCGGTCACTCTTTGACATAAATTTCTGCAAAGAAAATTAAAAAGTGCAAATAGACTGTCATATATCAATGATTAGTTGTCATCTTGGGCCAGTAGCTCTCATTAAACATACCGGTACATGTACTTGACTGAATGCATTTATTTTCAAGCCAACAAACAAACAAACAAACAAACAAAACATATTGTAAGTTTATGGTAACCAAATCTACCGAAACTTTTTATTGCCGCATTTGGCCAAAAAAATTTAAATAAAGTATATTTTGAAGGTAAAAAAAGTGTTCCCTAGTCTTTTGTGTGTTATTTGTTAACCCCAACTCGCTATGCATCCTGCAAAATCCTCTAACTGCCTCTACATGTATGTAAATACTGCAAAAAGCCCGACTCAATGTGGTCCTTGGAGGGGTGACCACTGCCTCAATCCTGCAAAATCCTCCAGCATTCACTGTCAATATGTTGGGGCAGAGCCAGTGACATCCTGGAGCAGGGCGGAGGTTTTCAAGTATAATCTGGGCCTAAATGTATGCATGGCTGAGCACAAGCAACACAAGGTCTGGCCCAAGACCTTGACACGCATAGTGTATCCTGCAAAATCAGCCACACATTTTTGCCATATAGCCTCAGTCCTGCAAAATCCTCCATTTTGCAAAGAGGATTTGGGAAGGTTATTAGGGTTAAGGATTACTTCTAAGTTGGAAGTGTTTAGTTGGCTCCTTTTTGTGTGTGTGACTGACGCTATAATCCTCATTTTATGCTTGGCACAACTGCAGAATATCCTACCACCGAATACCAGTACAGCACCTCCTCTGTGCTCATGCTTGGTTGCTTCCATTGACGATTTTGTGTTCCCCACTTTGACCACAGAATGATCTGCAGTCACTCCATCCAGGGTACATGTGCATGCAGTTTGCAAGGTTTTGCAGTATTTTTAGAGGGAAATCTGATAATCTACTTCAAATGACTATACTTAATATTTAATGTTAAAAATGTTATTTTTATGGGATTACCATTTTTTCCAGCTACTGTAAATCATGTTCAATTCAGCCCTTAGCTGCGAGTCATGTTTTGATTCAATAAACCATTTAATGAATGAAACGAGTGAAAAGAATAACAAGCAATGGCAGCCATTCTGAAAATTTGAAAATTGTTTGTTATTCTACCTATATTTTTTCAAAGGACAAATCTTTGATGGCCCTAGCTATATGTGATGCGATCAAGCTAAATGAGTCGTTTGTCGGGGAACTTTCATTTGGAGATTCAGGCCAAAATACAGCCACTTCATCACATCACCTCATCACATCTCTCGGTGTTCCGACTTCCATAATTTTTGAACTAAAGATGGTACAGTAGCACTCAGCATGCAGTTTTCACATCAGTAATGCTGAGATTGTGCTGTTTCAAAACTGTTAACAAAAAAAATTACCAGGGTCGACAAACGACTCATTAAGCTTGATGCTTAAAATGTAATAAAGCACACCTGGATATTTTAGGCATGTGATTTTTCTAGGTGTGTGATTTTCTAGGCGAGTTATGTTTCTAGGTGTGTGGTTCTATGGTCCAAGCCGGGAAATATTTCATAATATTCATCTTGGTTTACAATAAAGGCTATTTTTCTCTTCACTGACATACTTTATTTTCCATAAAAGTATGAAGTATAATTATGCTGTAAATGTATGCCGAGGTGTGCGGTACTGAGGGATTCAGGCGTGCGATTATTTGCACTTCTCTGGAAGCTTTTAGGCGTGTGATGGCGTGGGGGTGTGATCGCACGCCTCAAAACAGAAGACTGTAGACCTATGTGCTCTACCACGAGATTTTCAGAACAGCCTCATTCACTTTTTTACACTGCACTGCATTGATTATTTCATTCCAGTGCTTTGACTTCATACATGTAGTCAAGGAGCGTCACACAATATTTGCATTTTATACTGCCTACTGCCTTTCCACGGCCTTGAAGCCATTTCTACTGAATGTGAAGCCATATTATAACTTAGTCAGTATGTGGTTAGTCACAGAGCAGGCAGTACAATAATTGATGCCTCCATGTGAATATGTTTAAGGGAAGATACAAAATTTGCACACATCAAAAACCGAAATGATCAAATTATCACGAAATACCTTACTGAATTATTAGGAAATGACATCTAAAGCATCCTGTAAAATCGTGGCTCCTGGCATGCCTGGTGGGCTGACACTTTCAAGAAAAACTGTATTTTTCCAAAGCTGGTCGGCCAACCGTTTTTGGTTTCACGAACTGACACTGACCTTAATTTCACCAATTAAAACGGTTTTTAATTAAATTTTTGTTAAAGCACACAAGTATACGGATGGATTAAATTCTTGTAAAACCTTTCAAACCGTTTTTCTCTGTTCCGTATTGCCACATCATGCTTGGGTGTCAGTTCGCAAAAACAGAAATCTTCCTATTTTGCGTCAATGTCTGATGTGCGCGGGCACTAGCGGGTGTCAGTTCGTGAAACCGAAATTGTTGATTACGTGGTTTTCACGAACTGACATCCACTTGCGCGTGTCTGTTTGTACTTTCGTGGTGCCAATGTCGATTTGTTCAACATTTTCAATCAAACTTCAAGCTTGCAATTTCTACAGCCATGACACTGACAGCAAAGATTGAGAAACCAAGATCCTAGTTTTATTATCGAAACTCAAAAAAGGTCTTCCAAAATGTCACACTTTTTGGGCCCATTATTGTGGAATTGCCCATCAGCAAATAAACTTTTCCTTAGCATAAATAATAAGCTTACCTGAGCGTGACCAGGAACAGTATGCACTCCTAATCTTTCCAGGCCTTCCTGCAAATCCTCAACATCAATGCGCCCATCCTTATTCACGTCCAACTGCCCGAACAATTTCGCGTAGTGAGCTTCATCCTCTGGTGTCAGGTGAGGGTGGGCCAATGACACATCAGAAGCTGTGTTCGAATCTACTCCAGGCATCGTAGTATTGAGACCCTTAGGTTAGAAACTCATATTGACAAAAAATAATGGTTTAAAACGATTTTTTTCGACGACGAATTTCTCCGACAGAGCAGAGTAAAAGCACCGTGCCGGCTAGGTCAGCGCGCATGCGCAAACATGGCAAGACTAATGAAGCAAAATGGTCGTACGTGGATACGGCTTAAAATTACACACGCACCTATGGAATTAGCTGCAGCCACTTTCCATAGACCGTATGTTATTTCAAGCCGTAGCCAAGTTATTCGGACGCGGCCATTGGCCATGGAGTAAAATGGGTGTGGCCAACCCCAATCTCATGTAAAAGTTTTTAGGGGGGGGGGTATCAGTCAGGCGCTTGCAACACGAGTTACGAAGTACATGTACTGTACATAAGTTGACCCACTATTTATTATAGTTTAAGTTCATAGAGAAGGACACAAACAGCAAAAGTGGGGGCTGCATGTGTGGATATGGTTAAATTAATCGTCTCTTTTTGGGGGTGGGGTGGGGTGGGGTGGGGGTGGGGGTGGGGGAGGGGTATTTTGTAGCAACTAACACAGCTACCTTTGGTACATCTCTAAAAGAACACCATCATATGGGAAAGAATTCTACGGAAATACACTTGTTTCAGTCTGAATCTGAGTAGACAAGCAAACATGTGGTAGAAGACGACTGTCAATTGGGGCAACATGCACACAGTGAGGGTGATGACGAAGCTATCACCGTGTGCAAATTTAAGGCCTTTTAGGTCGATGACGAATCAGTTTTGTTCTTATAGAAAATAATTCCATTTGATGATGAAATGTAAAGCAAAGTTAAGTTATGGGTGCTTTTGGCTGACCCATTAGATTGATTAGAAAACGTGTACAAACTGAAACCATTGGGAGCTGTTGCAAAAGTTATAAACAAAAGATTGATGATGAGGAACAAGAGAAAATCCTTTATTTACACCACAAACTTGTCTGGGTGTGTGTGGGCTTGTTTATGCGATCAAAAGGGGACAATGAACAATAGAGGACAATGGCGTCCACAATTCCCGAAGGTCCACAATAGACCTAAGATCTAATGACGTAATGGGAGGGGGGGGGGGTGGGGGAGGAGAGGGGGGAGGGGGAAGGGGAGGGACTTTCCATACGAATCTTCTCATGGATAGAACTATTAACTGAAGACCACCTCCCCAATTGTTACTGAAAATAACAAAACAACGCACAACATTCACAACAAATACATTTACATTTATTTCTATGATTATGTGGCACGCTGTTATTTACATCTTCATGTATACAACAATATCAAAGGTTTGACAAAAATAAGGCATAAGTCTCCCTTATTGCTTGGTTTCTCTTCTCTTAATAGTTTCGACTGAGACAATTGATGAGTCATCTTTCTTCATCTTTCTGTAATTAAGAAAGCTGTTTGTGTTGGAAAATTCAACGCAAGCAATTCCGACTAAAGTTATTTTTCGATTTGAAGGTGTAAATGGTATCGCTTAAAACATGCTAAATCGCCATATAGTAATATATAATTGGCAATATATCTTGAAATATTAAATAGAATATCGTAACCTTTTCATTGGGGACGGAAACATAAAAGTAAACAATATTAGGATGATTAAGTTCTCTTTGCAATACATTTGGGATTGCACAATTGCTTGGACGGGCTTAGAAAACTCTGATAAAATAAAATGATAATTATTAAAACAAGGTTTGAAAATTTTTCTCCTGAAGACGATCACAGCATATTGATCGGACTGTTGAATTCACAACCAACCGGTTCTTTTCTGAACCACACATCTTCCAAAAGAGATTCTTCCACATGGTGTTACCGCAAACCCTCACTAGTAAAATGATAATTAATTTTATATGAAAAGTATAATAACCTTCATCTGAAAGACCAAACCACAAAGTGACAGTGTGGGTGAAATTGGTAAGCCTTAAGTTTTAAAGTTTTTTGGGAATTAATAAGGCAAAAAAAAAAACCTTCTGCTTCCGATTACATGGCATTCGAAAATAGGGCACTGTAGGTTGGTAGGGAATTTTATTTTTCTGGCAAGTTTTTTTTCTGTGTACGATCATATGGAGGCGTCTGCTTGTAGTCAAGGGTAAAAGGTAGTAATTGGTGGTTTTGGATTTTTTTTCATTCTTCCCATAAAATAAATTAGGGTAGGGGCTGTCAGAATAGGGTAGGTAGGGAAACCGGAAGTTTTTTCTGTGTACGATCACAGGGAGGCATCTGCTTGTAGTCAAGGGTAAAAGGTAGTAATTGGTGGTTTTGGATTTTTTTTCATTCTTCCCATAAAACAAATTAGGGTAGGGGCTGTCAGAATAGGGTAGGTAGGGAAACCGGAAGCAGACCTTTTTTTTTTTGCCTAACATTTTTGTGCAGCTCAAGAACAGTTTTGACATGTCACGCATCTTTATGAAGTGCACGAAAAGTAAACCCCAATACTGTACTACAAATCTATTCGTTTCTTACTCATTATACCCAGATTTACAAATTATACAAGAAAGTTCATTAAACTTTATGCTAACAAAGTTCAAATCAGACAGCCACCCAGATGTACATTAAAGGTAATATTCTAATGAATGATTTAAAATTCCCAACACAAGCAAAGACAAGAAACTGATGTTGCCAAAAAATGTTTTGCTGTTTTGCTCAAAATATAAACTTCTCAGAAATCCTGCCAATACTGTGTATTTATTTGTACACAATACACTGAAAGTAGTACTTCACACAAACCAATGTTTACTGATGAAATAAAAAGACATGTACATGTAGAACCTCTAAATGCTCTATAACTACACTCATACCCGTGTCATTCGTTACTCATCCCATAAACTTCAATACTACATACACACGTAATTACATTTTACTCTACATAAATACAGTTATGTATGTTATTTCCAGTGTTATTTGAAATGTTATTCAGCCTCTGGATTTTTATTAACTTCGATATGAAATGTCAATATATTTATTAATTGCTTTGAAAAAGTCTTTGTCAGCCGATACACGCATGCGTCTTTATATTCTCAACGTATAAGAATTACTTTACTATGATTGAAACTTTAGACTTTGGAAGTAAATATTTTACACAATTATGAAATTATGATCTTCATATTTCTCTAATTAAACACATTAATATCAATAATGCATAATCTACAATTCCAGTTAAACACTTATGACGAGTACAAATTATAGAAATGTTCAGCAAAAATGTTTCTACAAATATAGAAAAATGCGTATGAAGCTAATAATGCTATCAAGGCATGACAAGTGGAATGTCGGTTCACAGCAGTACAAAAATAATCTACGTAATGTATCGACAAAAAAATTCGACAAGGTCACTGCAGGAATGGTCAAGTCTAAGGCACAAAACATGATATTTGGTCCCGCGTGTCGATGGTACATGATTTGTACTTGCCAGAGAAGTGGGGCCGTTCACTTAAAAAAGAGTGGTGTTGGTTGTTGAAGAGTCTTAGTACAACTCAACAAGTTGTAGTCATAGAGCTATACTAACCCTAACTCCCTAGCATGATTTACTAGAAACCATACCCATCTTTGCAAATTCCAACACCATATGGGAAACTGCACACACATATTTCTGACTTCGATTCTGGAGGTGTGCCAACCTAATGTAAAAGACTGTCAGTTTAGGAGTACTGTACCCATCCTGACAGATTCCAACAAAACATGCTGTTGGAGTTTGATGGGTTGAGTTCTGTTAGGGCTAATTACTAGAGTACTAGCTCCTCATTCTCCTGTGCAGAGATACTTTGAAGCCTTCCTGGGCGCAGACATTTTGAATTCATGTGACCTGTTTGTGGCAACTGATGAATTAGATTATTAAATGAAGTTTAAATAATGTACTCTAAATGCAGCGCGGAAGTATAATGCACACGTTTGTGTTGTTTGCGCAGATCCAAATGAAACGCTCATTTTAATAATCATTGTAGGTTTCAGTTTTGGGCGTAACAGCTTCGATAATGCACCGGTATTGAATACAAATGCATGCAAATAGCCATACTAAAACAGTGCTAAATTTTGAAGCGTTCATAGTTTTGTGAACAAACATGGCCGAGCCCAGTAGGCTTCACTTTGTACATCGACTCAGCCCTCTAGTAAATTAATAAACATGTAGCTCTGCAGGTACTGCAGAAGGTATAAGGCACAATGTAGCTCAGGGCAGCATAAGGCAACTTTTCCAGAGGTTACTGCATGTATACATCTAAAACAGTGGCGCACCCGAGGGGGGGGGGGGGGGGCTCAAGCCCCCCGAGGCCCCCCCCCCCCCCCCCCCCCGAGGTTGTCAATTTTTTTTTTGGTAATTTTTTTGTGTTAGTCCCACGATTTGACCTTGGTGATATGTATGTGGCCTATTTTGGAGTAGTATAATAGGAGTGTAAGTGGCGTCACCAACGTCAAAATAATCCGCCCCCAAATAAAATAATAACCCCATTTTTTTTCTAAAGCCAAAAATGTTTGGCAAAATAAAAAAATAAAAAAATTGAAAATAAAAAATTGAAAAAAAATTAACTTCTCAAAAATGTGAAAAAAAAATTGTGAGCCCCCCCCCCCCCACAGCCAAATCCTGCGCCACTGATCTAAAACTCCACATATATTCCAAACTTTTAGTGCTAGGGTTCGGAGTTATTCAAATACTCCAGCCCTCCCCAACTACCACCTCCAAACCCAACCCATACAACTGATTGTATAATATCTCTCTTTACTTACATTCAAGAACCTCTAACAAACTGTACATATATTACAAAATTCAACAGCTCCTGACTTCACGTAATGATAGTTTGAAAAACACGGCCAAATTTCATGGCTCTGATGTGGCAACCATTGACCAAGTTGGATGATTACAAATGTATATAAATTTGAAACATCTAATATCAATAACATCGAAAATTAAATATGAGGAGTTTCAGCCGTAAAAAATATATGTCAGCCGACCATCATTGGAATTGATACAAAAATTCCATTTTTCTTGAAAATGACAGCACACCAGGTGCCATGATTTCACAGGATTCTTGAGACTGTCATTCCCTTACAGTCAAGCGAAGTTTTCATATTTATTTCGTAGTTTTGTTTTTTGATGTTTGCAAATGTTGTGTAGTACCTTTAAACAGTATGTCAAAACTTTTAAACCATTTATATTTTAAAGGGAATGTACATCATTGGCTTTTGCTGTACTTTTAAGAAATGAACCATTTGAGGGGTTAGTATAATAGATCAAATACTGTTACACTGACTTGTTTGAAGTTTTGTATTCGAAAATGCTGGAAAAACCAAGAAAAACAAAACTGTTCAAGTAGTCTGGCTCCCTGACTCCACTTAAGATAAAATGGATCAATTTATAGATGCCGGAAAATTGTAAGGTAAGGGAACCAGTCTAGCTGGCCTGCACCCGTTCATGAACATGTAACCAATAGCAAACAAAATTTGGACTGAACCAAAATGGTAAATTTGGAGCAGTACTTGAAAAATAGTAAGGTTTTTCCAACGGTGGTCGGCCGACCACCGTTGGAAATGTATACAAAAATACCATTTTCTTGAAAATGACTTCACACCAGGTGCCATAATTTTACAGGATGCTTTAGACTGTCATTTACCAACATCCTAGTAAGGTATTTTGTGAAAACTTGGTAGTTTCATTTTTTGATGTTTGCAAATGTTGTATATTCCCTTTAAGAGATAAACATGCAATGCAGAAGAGAATAGTCTGCTGAAAGGTGGTATCACGTGACCACAACATTCAATTTGTAAACGAATGACAAAGGTTGAAATCCAATCAGTCCGTCCACATACTGCGAGTAGCGATGGGAACCAACCTCAATATCAGTTTGTCATTGTCCATCATCATGTCATAGACATCATCGATGGGTCGATTGCGAACGTCTACTCCATTGATGTCCAGGATTTCATCACCAACTGCGAGAAGGCCTGCGAGAATCTTAGCTGGATGACCATCCCCCAGACGAGTGACAAAAACACCTGTAACAAGACATCAATCAAATGAAGCTGTCAAAACTCAAGAAACATTTCTTGCTTATATGTGAGGCAGTGAGACGGAACTGGGCACAGGCCCTGATGGAAAAAAAGCAAAAAAATGAATAGGGGTAATTTTTTTTCAATTTTCAGATTTACTGATATTTGTAATTTTTGATATGTCCATCACTCATATGTTAAACAAACAGTATAAAAATCGTTCAATAAAAGTGTTTTTGAGGAAAAAGAATTTGCATCTTTCATTTCCACGACTACAGAACTTGGAACTTTAAGAGCCTTTTTCTCAGTATTGTACTTTTTTGACTTTTGATAAATGCGAAGTTTAAACAGCCATAACTTGTCAATGAAATGTCTAATTAAAGTGCAATAAACAGTATTGTAAGGAGAATTACCTTCTGTTTCTTAAGACCTGCAAACTCTCATTTTGACCTCTGCCCAGGTCTGTCTCATTTTGCCAGAGTGCCTCGCACATTAAAAGCCTAACATTTGAGAGGTCATTTGAAGCTGGAAGATGTGTATACAAAAACATCTACTTTTATGATGTTTATGATAAAAACTCATTTAGTAGGATTATGACCTCCTGATGACAGTCAGAACACACTGGCAAAAATGTTGAGTAAAAACACTTGTACTCTGTTGCGTCTTAGAAACACTTCTGTGTTTTAAAGTTACTCACTTAACACAGTGTATCTGCAAATGTCTTCCAAATAAATTAAGATGAATTTTACAGTAATAGTTTGCCTCCAACGACAATCTTACCGGAGCCAAAGTTTGATGTACCCCGGGCGATGTAGAACCCAAACGGTCCGCTTGGCGGCTTGATCAACTCCACAATTTGGGATCCATCGGAATTGATGTTGAGGAGCTTGCCAACTTTCCTCATGTGACTCGGTGACGTGACGTCGGTTCCTTCCGATGTTCGCTGTGGTCGTACGTGCAAACCACTCAGACTCGCTGAGCGCCTGTATGCATCATAGAAATGATTCACCAAGTCAATTCTCTCATTGAGTGGTTACCAGTGTGTGCTAAAGACATAGAGGATCATTCGAAAACACTTAAAAATGAAACTGGCAAAATATTATGAAATAGCTCACTTGATTTAAGTAAATAATATTGCGCAGAGGCGGGTTCAGGTTCATTAAAATACAGGAATACAGAGAAAACGAAGGAGTCTTTTTACTCTGTTAACCCTCCTGCTATTTAAGCAGTCACAGACAGTCAAAATCCACTTTTGCTTCCCCTGCTTTACTTTTAACAAGGGTAGTCACCAGCAGTCAGATCATATGTCCAACAAGCACTGTGACTAGTCAAACTGGGTCAGCAGACAAAGCAGGCAAGTTGTGGTCACAGCTGTTTTATCACTGTCCCGGAGTCGAAGCATACATTGTAGCTGTGTCAAGTTATTTAAGCAGTCTAAGGCAGTCAATCCTGCTTTATGTGGGCTGGGAATTCTTAAGGGCTGAAAACAGTCCCTTGATTGATTTTGACTGCAAGGACAACTTGGCGCAGAATGTATGTTTGCATAGGAGGGTTTCATGAACGTAGATCCGCCACTGATATAAAACATCCAGTGAAATACTTCAGCCTGTATGCTGTCGTTCTAAAAAAAAAAGGAGGAATTTTGTATCAGAACTAGCGCTTGGTAGGACCTATCCATCGCTGAGAACAGTTAGTTGTCTCCAATACTACATCTGTCAAATGGCAGCAAGCCAGCTGTTGACCTCGTGCGTACAACTGAGTTTAATGAACTGACATACAGATCCTTGTCATTTGATTGGTAGAACTCACATCACGTGACATTCATTATTAGTCCCATTCACACCAGGGCTCAAAAAGTCCCATTCGCCCATGGTGAGTGGGATTTACTATTCAACAGTTAGCATCATCCTTGTTCCAAGGCGTGGTATTTTCGTGCAAACGCATGCTGGTGTGAGTGTTGAGGGTTGCACATTTTGTTCCCAAGAGCCAGTTGCTACAGAGTTGGGTCAAACATTTTGTGAAGGGGTGGTTTAGAAGATCTTAAAGAGCAAAAAAAATTCCCACCAATTTTGTATTGAAATAGAAGTTCATTTTAACTGCAAATCAAATGACAAGGATCTATATGTCAGTTACATAAAACAAATATTGAGTGGCTTTAAATTGTGAAATGGGAGAAATATTACCGCTCGGTAAAATCTGGACTTTTCCACTCACTCGACTTCACCTCGTGAAATAGAAAAGTCCAGATTTTACCAAGCGATAATATTACTCCCCTTCTACTCCGAGCCACTCAATATTTGTATAGTATGTATGTACATTAGACGTACTTTCCCATGACAAAGCGAGCTGCATTTTGATGATTGAAGTATCAATGCTCTCACCTCTTATTCAGTTTTCCAGGAGAGTCAGCACTTTCTTGCTTCTTGTCTTTTTTGCTGAAAAGTCCCGTCAGTGACCGTAAAGATGGTGACCGTTTTAACTATTGACAAGAAAACAAAAACACAACAGAGAAACGCTCTTTTAGGCCATATGATTGGCAACAAAAGGGTGGCTAAATTTTGTCAAAAGGGGTGGGACGGGTTGTTGGTTGAGATTTTGAAGGCCACATATAGGTAGACCAAGGACCTGTAGCACTGAATTAAGGGTTTCAATGTTGCATGACATTATTTCAGGAAACTTCAAATAATTCAGGAAATTTCCCCTAGTAGTACCAATAATTAACAATGGTCAGAAATACGAGGTGGTCAGCCACCGTACTCCCTTTCGAAGTTGAGCCTGGCCTTAAATATCGCACGAACACATTCATGTTGATGATGGAAATCACTGAAACTGTTACAAGAACATAAGCAGACTAAGGAAAACGTGGCTGGAAGCAAAGAGGGAAAAATGAATTAAAGTTAGAACAAAGAACAGAAAGAAATTGTTATTGGCATGCTGTGGCCAAGGGTTGGAGTGTTTGGGTTGAACTCTGATGGGGAATATGGTGCTTGTGTTCTTGGGCAAGACACTTTACAACAATTGCCTCTCTCCAAGGGGTACCTGTGAACGTAGAGACCACATTGGGCTGATCTTGGCTGTAGAAAAATCTTATGGCCTGTTGAACAGGGGGTAATAATTTGGGCGATTCACAATGCAGTGCGCCACCAAGAGTTTGCCACGGAAAGTTCATTTTTTTCAGTGCATTGTGGGAGACGGTCGACAAATTCGCAGCATGGGACATTTGAAATTGTTGGCTTTTTCCAGTCAGTAGTTTCGTAAGCGTATGATTCAAGGATCTGTTTGCCCTTTTCTTTTCTTTTTATCAATATGGTGTTTTGTGTAAAGCTATGCCCCATTCTATAACACAATCTACTGACACTCATTCAAACGGACCATGTTTTGTCGACCGTAAACTTGAAAAATGGACCCTTCGCGGCAAACTCTTGGTGACACACTGCATTGTGAATTGCCCGAATTGTGAAGTGCTTTGAGACCTTTGCTATAAAGTGCTATATAAGCGCCACATTATTATTATTATTATTATTACATTATTATAAGACCTAGAAGATGATGTATGAATACCTTAGGTTGTGTATCATTTTCCTTAGTACTTGTATCAATCCTGTCGAGACTCAAGGCCCTTCTCATGGATGTCAGTTTCTTCTTGGTTGCTTTCCCGACGCTCTGAACCTTTTCCGATATAGAGGCACGTGATGTGACGGAGAGACGTGAACCGCTCAGGTCCGAGTAGTGCTCGAAATTCCTAAAAATGCAAACACAACATAAAATAATGTAGGATTATTACCTTGCATAAATAATCACTGTAAGGACTTAATTGTGGGAGATTGAACCAGCGCCCTCAATAGTTGATGCATGAAGCCTTTGACATTTCTACATTGCACAGGGTTGAAAGACACATTGCACAGGGTTTAAAGATACATTGCACAGGGTTTAAAGATACATTGAACAGGGTTTAAAGATCATTCCCCGTGCAATTTTTGAGTTTCATTATGAAAACGTGGGCACGTGTGGTCTAGCGGTGGATCGCAGGATTCATGATCGTGAGGTTGTGGGTTTGAGCCCTGCCATGGCCATGCGTGTTGTGCCCTTGAGTAAGGCGCTTCACCTCAATTACTCCTCTCAACCCAGGTGTTAAATGGGTACCGGCATTATTCAATGCTGGGAAGGTAATAGACTCGCTGTGGAGGAGGTGTGGCGATCCCCCCACAGCAGCATATGAGTCTGGCCCAATCGCTAATGAAAGAGAGATGGGCACTCCGTTCCTGTGAACACAGGTTCGTCCCTTTCCTTTTTTTTTATTATGAAAACTAGTTTTCTTTTCTAAGTATACAAAAGTTATTCGCTCTTGAATTAGACATTGACAGAATCCAAAAGTGGCCCACGTTTAGTTATTGAATTATTACTTTACAATTTCAAATTATTGGCTGCCAGACAATAATTTCCATTCATACTGGGTAGGCTGGTTCCCGCCCCGTAATAAGCATTGATAATGTACGGACCGGGGGCAAGTCTGCTCGCACAGAAGATCTGTTTGTGTCCAAAGCAATGTTTTTTTTTCCAAAAACTGAGGATTTTTGGTTTGAATAAAATATAGAAGTTGAAAATTTAGGAAAAAATTGAATTGGTCAGGATCATCATAATTAGCTTCTTCTGAAATGCACTCAAAACTGATTCTTTATAAACACCTCAGAGTGGGAATAAAATTCCCACGTGCACATAGGAAAAAATTGACCTTTCCGCCCAAAGTGACGATTAACCTCTTATTTATTAAGGATTCATGTAATTAACCTATGACAGTAGAACCACGTCAACACAGCTCGTGAAGTATTGTCCAATTACATGATATACAAATGAACTCAGAACGCGCATAATCCGAGACAAACAAAACTGTACACAATTTCATAGGGTTGTCTAAGGGGCGTGGCTAAATCGCAAACGGCAATAGGTCAATTGGTCTGGCCATCCAAAAGATTTGATCTTCAGAGGCGCTTACATGTACCTTTTGAAGGTTGAACCATCACTGCTGTCGTTACCGACACGCGAGATACTGTCATCAAAGTCAGACGTCACACAGGGATTTTGACTGGACGCATCAGACTGTGACCGGTGCCTTGAAGTGTTCTTGTCACCCGATGGGGGCTTCTTCTTAGACTTGTCCACCTGTGCGTAAATGGGTTCCCCTTGACCCGTGGCTTGCAATGCCTTATCTATGGGAGCAAACGGACAATTGCTAAAAAGTAAGATAGTTTGTTTGTGTATCTGGACAACACAAGTAGGGACAGAGATTTTCTGGCTGAAATACGAAAGAATTAGAATTCATCTTTAGAAGTAAGCCATATAGCATGCTTGAGCTTAACAGAATAAAGACATTAACATAATAATGAATTTGTAAAGGTTTGGCTAAATCCAAATATATTTTAGAGCTTGTGATTTATTAGCATGCTGACCCTGGCAAAATTGTTCAGCAGAAAAGGTTTTTTAACCCTTTTCAGTTGAAATCAATGACACAACACACATAAAATTGGAATGATGATTCATCTTCTACAAAACCATATCATTTAGTTGCAACGGATTTTAGGATAATCAAGAATAATATGGTTGCATTCAGAGAATGTTCACCTAAAGAATAATCAAACACAATACAATAGACCATTATCATGTTGCGGCCATCTTGATTTTTCCCATTCAAATCAATGTAACCAAAGCGAGACTGGAAGGAAAAATAGTCTGGTTCATTTTGGCACAAAAAACATCATCATTCGGTACTGTTATTGGATACAGGGAACATGACTGAAATGGTGGCAGCATGATAAATGTCTACTGAAAGTCAAAGACACATACCCCCGGGACCACTGGTAGAATTTGGATTCTTGGCATTGCTGTTTTCTTTCCTTCGATTCGTCGATCTCTCTTTCTTGCCCTCCTGCCGTTTCTTTTCAACTTTTGCATAAAGTCCATCAACCGAGTCCATATCATTCCAATCATCGGTCACAGGTGTCCTGGACGCTTTCTCACGTTTCTTGCTGTAGGCTCGGTCTGGTATCTGTATTTCTTCGTACGGATTCTCATCGGTTATAATCCTTGAGTTTTGGTTGAAATCAACCGAGCTTGAATCATCTATGCTGGAATACGCATCCTCAATGTGACCACGTCCGCGAGACTGGACTTCATCCTGTGCTGTAGTGGCAAGGGCTTGGTGGTTACCCTGGTCGGGGTTCGGCTGTGTTCTCGAGTGCGATCCCGAACGGGGTCTTCGTTCGCTCTCTTTACCTCGTGGTGAGTTACTGTCTTCAAAATGTACGGACCGTGACGGTGACGGTGGTCTAGACCTAGATGAGGATGATGGTCTTGATTGCTGAGGTGACGGCGGTCTTGATCTGGATGGCGATGGAGGTCTGGTGTCTCTCTTGGATCGTCTGCCGTCTGATTTCACGCTCGACGTCGTCCGTTGATGTTCTTGCTCTTCCCTTCCGTCTTGAGGTGATCTGTCCGTTCTTATAGGGGTATCGGGGAATATTTCATGCCTCACTTCTTCCGTTTCTATGGACTCCACTGAATTGGAACGTTTAGGACGTGCCCCTTGCTCACTCCACACACCAGGCTTATCGGCAGGTGACCTTAAAAAATGTACAGAATTGTGACCATGTTACAGAATATTTACATTAAGACTGTTTTCAAACCAAATACAGTCGACTCTCGTTAGTACAAACTCTGTTAATACAAAATTCTGGTTACAACAAACATAAAGCCTGATGTTCCTCTTAATACAAAATTCTGATATAACAAACAATTTGGCTAGGTCCGAACGAGTTTGTTATAACGAGAGTCGACTGTAGTTCAAGATATTGAGTTTCTTAGCATTTAACTTCCTTTGACACTTTTTACCTCATTATTTTCAATCAAAATTTTCAAGTAGAAATTGCATCATGTTCCTTTGCAGAACAGGTCGTTTCTGCAATTAGCCCTCCTATGCAAACACATACATGTATTCTCTGCCAAGTTGTCCTTTCAGCCAAAATCAATCAAGTGACTGTTTTCAACGGTAAGGAGCTCCCAGCCTACATAAAGTAGGACTGACTGGCTGTGACTGTTTACTTAACTTGATACAGCTACGCTTTGACTGTAGGTGATTGATAAGCCAGCTCTGCCTACTTCTCCCCTGCTTTTGTCTATTGACTGAATTTGACTAGTCAGAGTGCTTGCTTGAAATATGATCTTTATTGACTAGCCTGGGTAAAAGGCATGGCAGGGGAAGAGGATTGCTTTTTTAACTGTCTGTAACTGTTCAAACAGCAGGAGGGTAGTGTGCATGCAAATTCAAGCGCTTCAAAATGGCATGCTGAGTTTCGAAACTACCCATAACAAACCCAGTATCATTTGTCAGATGATGAGACACAGATTAAAGACAAATTTGAAAGTTTCTTCGAACCTTTCATCATGATGATTGAGGCCATAGTCTGTGTTGACAGCACCGCTGACTGGTTGAATGTTATGGTCTGCCCGTAGCGGACCGCTCACAGATTTACCCATGTGCCGACCCGATGTGCCGGTGACGTCTCGTTTCTTGGATAACATTCTCAGAGTATCCCGGGTCGACGGCACTGCTTTGTTAGACTCTTTCCTAGAAACAGCATAAACAAGATTTATGTACAAATGTAATTGACTTTTTTTTCGAGGAAATGTTTACAATTTTGCTTTGGAAGTACCTTTTAGAAAAGTTTTCTATGGAGTGCTATGGCCTTAACAGGTACGTGCACATGCGTACACGTGCAGAAGAGTTAATGTAAGTATTTAAAGTGTCCACGAAATGAAGTTTTTCAAGGAACACATTTTGTGTAACTTTCTACTCCTACTTCTACTTAAATGTATGAAAACTATTTGATATCCTTTTTGATTTATCTTATTAACACATGTCAACATTTAAAATTTTCCATGCTTTTCCGGACAACTGAGGGCGATGTAACTGTGATGTCAATTCAGGACACAACGAATCACCAAAGAAAAGACAATTCTCCAAAAGGACAAAATATCCACACTTTTTGGGGCTGAAATAGCTGTAACATATCAGTTTCTGCCTGAAATGACATCACACTTTTTGCTCATGAATATTGAAATTGAATTAGCATTAAAAAAACCAAAAGGCACCAAAACACATTGCATGGGCCCTTTAAACCCACCATAACCAGGAGTATTACAGAAAGATGAAATGGCATGATTCTTCTGTTGTATTTCATTCTAGAATTTAAGCAGATGAATGTACATGTAGCTTGTTCTGTGAGTTTAGGTGGATCGGTAAAGCATTATATCGACTGTTCTTGCCAGTAGAATACTGGCCTAGTTTTAGGGGGTTTTTTAATGCTGAGGTGGCAAAACTGCAAAACAAATGACACAAGTGACAGCCATGATTTAGCACCATTTTATAGATTACATCAAAAGGTGAAATGTATACACTGTTCAAATGGTCCACATCACAAAACTTACGCATATTCAGTTTGCATTTGATCATGTGCAAGTGCATGTGTACATGTGCATACATGTTGTACGTACATGTACATGTACACTGTGCGCCAGTTGAAGTGTGACTTCCATTTTCTTTGTTCACCCAATTAATACCCAGCCCTCAAATCTACAAGTAAACGAAGAAAGATTTTTTTTTTTTTTTAAAACACGAAACGATTTTTATTCCTTGTGTTTGTTTTCCTATTTCTTCCCTGCTCAAACAATAATTACACTGGCTCCCAGTTGTCCAACGCGTTCAGTTTCACACACTGGTTCACACTTACAAATCACTGAAACACTCTGCACCAGATTATCTCTCCTCTCTTCTCACAATCCAGACCCGTCCTTACTCCCTTCGTTCTGCTGGAGAGTCCCTTGTTATCCCCAAGTCACGTAAACAGGATGGTGACAGGGCATTCTCCATTGCCGACCCCCGGTTATGGAATAGACCCATCCCCATCAGAAATTCAAGCAGTGTTTTGTCCTTCAAAAAGGCTTTGAAGACCCATCTTTTCCCCACATTGTAGCTGGTTGTCCTCTTTTTGTTTTGTCTTCTTTCTCTGTTTCATTCTTTGTTTAGCGCCTTGTATCCGTTGGCAATTTGGCGCTCTATAAATCCAGTCATTATTATTATGACTATCGTAAATGGTACCATTTGGGAGACACCTTAGCGTCATAAGTTACACAATGTCTCCCTAATGCCTCAGCTCCTATTTAGAGGCAACATTTTACCGTCTCAAATAGGCTAGATGGATTGCTATGGTCTTACAATTAGTAATAATACCAAATGTTGTGGGGTAGGAAAAGGGGAAAATTAGGGTTACGGGTCAGGAAAGTTGTGCAGAAATCTACAAGAATGTCCGTTTCGGATTATATTATTATCATGTACACATATGTACGTTACCTGCTTTGAGCTTGTGCACTTTTGGTGTTTGCCCTTCCGACTCCGGAATCTGTGTCACTATCTGCAGTGTGGTAACCTGTCAGGACAGTAGATGATAGGAATTAAATAGCAAATGTTGGTACTAATATTCAAAAAGCTTGTTCACTGTAACCACTTTGCAGTGACTAACTAAAAACAAAAAATTATCAGATACTGTGTTTTAACAGCAAGATGAATAACAAATTTTCAATCAGGGCCAAGTTCGGGCAAGGACCATTAGTCGACTAGTGGTTGATTTGTGACGTACCTTACGCCTGCGCACTGATAGCAACGTGCGAATGCCTCTAGTCAATACTGGTCAAAGTGACATCGCAAAACTTCTGAATCCTGGCTCTCTGCTAGCGTTATGAATGCGCGCGGCTATTGGTTACCAGCGAAGCAACCAACCCCAGTAGGCTGGTTCCAAATAGTCGACTAGCGTAGTCAACCACCGTCGACTAGACAGAGTTCGGGCAAACGTTAGTTAACCATTGGTCAACTATAGTCCTTGCGCGAACTTGGCCCAGATTGACCAATACGGGCAATTCCTGATACAGTGCGCCACCAAGAGCTTGCCAGGGAGAGTAAATTTTTCAAGTTTACAGTGGACAAAAACATGGCCTACTTGCCATTTCAACGAATGTCAGCAGACAACTTGAGGAACATTTTTGATAAATCGAGGCAAAGCATTCCTCCGCCTCACAAAAAATACCATATCTTGAAAAGAAAAGAAAGATACTGGAATCATAACAGACAAACTAACAATTTTAAGCGTCTCGCGCTATGGCAAATTTGTCGACCATCTCCCACAATACACTGTATTGGGAATTGCTCGTGTTAGTGATTAGTTTTGAAGATTCAAGTTTGCCGAGCATGTGCTTAATCCAGCTTAGCTACATGTACATGTACATGTATGACTTAAGGCTTAATTTCATATCAAAACAATTATTAAAGCTTTTCATATCACTATCTTTTGTTTTGTATGACAGGTACACATTTAAAACCCTAAAAATGACTGTCATGCATAAGGTCCGAGTCAAAAAGAATGTGACCGAATTATAAAAAAAATATAAAAAAATAATGTGGCATAAAAAAACCCATACATGTAGGGATGTACATGTTACAGTAACTGTAACAATTTCACATAATTTGCATACATGTACATGTACTCTATTCCCAAGTTATGTCTATTTTAATAAAATGATCACAAAATGTAGCTGTCCACCACTGATCAATAAACTGTTTTACGATACGAACTGATGAATACTCATTACAATGAAACATGGACGTCTTCCCACCTCCAAAAATGAAAACTTGCAAAAATGGAAAACAGACAAAGATCACCATCAATATTTCATAACAGAGTTGACCTGTTCTTCATATATATGAAACACAAAATCTGACAGAAGAAATATGGTTTCTGTCTTGACTCAAAACGCTTTTTGTTAAAATCTCATTTGTATTTGAATGCCTGTGTATAATCTGTAATTCTCACTCCGATCAAAAACTTCCAATGGCATTTCATGGACAGCTACATGTATAAAATAAGTTCCTTCAGTAAACCATGCATATAAATTCTGACAATTTCAGTAATTCTTTTTTTCTTTTAGGTGAATGAAAGAACATGCTCTTTTAAGACATTCAATGGTGTATCAAATTTGATTGCTTTTTAAGAAGAAAAATCATTAATCCAGTTCACTTTCTTTTCGACTAACCCAGTACAATACACAGAACATTACCTCTATGGATGTTCCTTGTCTCACTGGATGTTTGATAAATAGGACCACTAGCATGCCTGCGTAGCTTATACCCTGTGGATGGCCCCCTCATACAATCCTGTTCATCAGTATCCTCAGATCGACTTGAAAATGCATCAACGGACCGACTAGAACTTTGCTTTGCACTCTTGCCAGTTTGTCTGGCATTGAGGTTCTCTGTGCTGCTTCGATACTCTATTCCTTGCAGATTTTCGGCACTCGCATATTTCCTGTAGTCAGTTTTTGTGTCCGGCGGAGACATTGAACCATCGGTGCTGATGTTACCTTGACTCGGCCTTCGAACACGCGATAAATTCGGCGAGCGCAGAAGGTCTCCCATCCTACTCTTATTTTTTTGCAGACGTTCCCGTATGGTTTGAGATTTGTTTTCCTTCTTGTGTTCCGTTTCATCTCTCGGTGTACTCGGAGGCGTGGGTTGACGCGCCGTCTCTCCGTCGGACAAACTTTGCCGACTCCGATTGAGGAGGAGGTTAGCAGCTCTTCGCAAACTGCTTCTCGTCCGAGATCCTCTGCGAGGTTCCTGAGGCGGCTTGGGCAACATGCGGGGGCTGATGTCGGGCTCAAACTGCGGCGCTCCATTGTGGATGGGTGCTTCTGATGAATGTGCAGGCTGGTTATGCTCGTTGCCAGGGGCCGGTGATGCACTGTTCTGAGACGATGGGCCCCAACTCATCCGCAACTGCTGATAAAACTGGGAGGCCAGTTGTGGCTGCGCTTTGTTCTGCCTAACGAACCCATTAGACATATTTGGGTTGGCGTGGTGAGTGGCAGTTCCTGGCATTTTACTGGCACTCGCATTTTGAAGTTGCTGGCAGTGCATCTGATTGAGGTTACATTCTGTATCGTCACTCTGCATAATGGAACAATATAAAGACATTCATTTGAATTGTAAAAAAAAATGGGTTGTAAAAAAGTAAAGCTTACTCCGTAACTTGCCGGAAATTAAACTCAAGGGCTGAAGAATTAACGTCACATAAGTTCTGAAATTAATTCATGCCATCTTGGCAATTACATTCATGTTAACCCTAGAAGAATTGGGGCCTTCATAGCTTCAGCATGGCCCTCATCAATCTAAGGCTGGGTAACATGAATGTTTGCCAAAGTTATGTGTACACGAAAAAACATTAGTTGAGGAACAAATGGGCAATGGAGTATTGTTGATGTACCCTAGCGTGGCGCACTTTGATTTTTCACCGATGGTGCCTAGCTAGAGCAAAAGTTTTAACTGAAATTTCATAAAAAACGAAATTTCATCAAGTTCTAAACACACCCGTTCATAAATTGCGAGTTTATCTACCCGTTACAAAGTGACAAGAAAAATGTATTTTGGCGTGATTTTCCGATTTTATTTCAAAGTGCATGTAGTGAACCCTTTAAAAATGCCCCCCCCCCAAAAAAAAAATAAGAAAACAATTTTCCGACAAACTTCTAGTTGTGTAAGTAGAGATAATAATGGTATATCAGAATTTATCAACTTTATAGAAATTCTTAAAGGTTAATTTGGAATATTCTGAGATTTATTCAAGTGCGCCACGTTTATTCAAGTGCGCACACGATTTTGTGCCCAATTTCCGGACGCCACCGTTTTTGAATTTCGGATTTAATTTCCTGACACCGAAATTGTTCACAGAGGTTAAATAGCAAGCATTAATAAGGTAAAAGTACCAGTATTTCACTAAATGAATTTGAAGTTTGTCAACAAAGAAGTTTGGCAGCACTGCATGAGGAATGTCGAGGTAAACGTCGCCATGTTCCTATTAGTATCAGAAGACAAAATTCCACTTTTAGGTGATTGGATTCACTTAATTTAGGTAATGATGTTAAAACTAATAATGCGATAAAAGATAGGGTTGTGATTTTCTTTTTTTTGGGGGGGGGGGGGACTTTTGGGGATAAATAACAATGAAGACGACAAAACACAACGCAAAAATGAAGACGGTGACACTGATAACTGCTGCATACACTGTGTTGATTTGCATGGCATCGACTGAAAAAAATGTACATGGTAAGATGGAGTCAGTTATGAATGATAAAAATACTCTTAATTAAGGTCTAAAACGAAAGAGGGGCCTGTAACACCACAATCATCAAAAAAATGTCACAGCATTTTTATTATAAATTACACACACTCATTTATGCAACTGAAACTCAGTGAAGATTTTTTTCTGACTGACTTATTAGGCCTAACATTATATGTGAACATGGTGTGCAAGCTAACTATTCAGACTAGGAATGCAGCAACAGTAAGGCGTAAAACTAAGTTTAAAAAATAAACGATATTGAACTTTGGTTAAAACTTTAATTTTAACTGAAAGTTTGATATCATTTTCTTCATGTTCTTAAAACTTAGTTTTACGCTGTATGGCACTGTCCCACTCCTAGCTGTAGTGAAAGGTCACCAAGTGTTAAGTGTTTTAACTTAATGCACAAACTTGACAGATTTAGTACATGTATTTACCATCTTTTGTGAGTATGATGGACTAATGTTACGAGGCACAGGCACACCACCGGCACTTGGTGGTCGTCCAACCATTCCAACCTGTTGATATGGCTGCTTTCCATCATGTCCCTCTGTCAGTGTTACAGGTCCGTTGACGTTTTCAATATTTCTAAGTTCGTTTTCAACACCACGTAGACCAACCCCATTTATCCTAAGAGACACTGCGCCAGGCTGACGGTGAACACTCACGCCATTACTACCGGCTTGATCAATTACGTTTGTGACCAATAAATCCTGTCGCATTGATAACACAAGATCTTCGACGCTCACGTCGACTTGGTCTTCATTTACACCGCTCTGTGTGGTAACTGGACTTCCTTGGAAAGTTGATTCACTTCTGTACTGCATAAATTCCATACTGGCTGTCGATTAACAGTTTTTATTTGCTGTTGTTCCAGAGTCCACGGTCTATCCTTTTCATGATGTCAATCAATTTGCAACTGCGTCCGTTGAAACACATAAAATGGCGTCCTTTGTTGCTAGTTTACGTACTCGATTCCTGCATTCTTTAATGTGACCAATTGAGGGCGCTATTACAATTTTATGGTCAGATTTTTTGGGGCACACGTATTAAGTACTGTACAGATCGTACGGACAGTCTACTGGAAAAGTGAAACAGGAAGTAGTTGTTCATGGGGAATGGTGCCCCTGGCGTTGGATAGGTAAAAAGCAGATTTATGCGTTAATAACTCAACTCATGCAGATAATGTAAAATTTTAAAGCAGTTTATTTTCTGATTAATAGCACCACTCATGTGCTTCCCGGGGAAATGCCTAAGTGCCTAAAAAATCTGTCCACTATTCATTATGTGTATAATTGTTCATGGCTTATTCTCAACAGGATTGTTTTTGAAAGTAAACAATATTTTTCAATTAATTGTTAATTAAATGATTAATGACTTTTCTTCTTTCTAAAGAATTTGTGTATTATATTGTACAGCGCTTGTGACGCCTAGTGACATGTAAAGCGTTTAAAGTTTTTTTTTAATATCTGTTATTATTATACCGTCAAAAAATGAAGGGGGTCAATCAAGCATTGTATTGTCATGAGCAATGGGTTCTACTTGGGAAACGCTTCTATTCATAATAACTTATTTTAAAAAAATTCAAAGCGAAAAACCTGAATCGGGTTTCAACGTTTGAATAATTTCAGGCCGGAAAGTTGTGGACTGTTGAAGCAACTGCTGCTTGAGTCCTTATTATATTGGTTCCCCCCATAACAACATTTACATTGAATTGCTAAAGGTACTCAACATGTTACTTTTTTTCCACTGATAAGTCTTTTATTTCATTTTATTCATTTATTCATTCACTCACTCAATCACTTAACCTATCGCGCGCCGTTTGCGAGTTAGCCACGCCCCTTCAAGAGAACCCCCCCTATCCGGTTCGTTAGTGTGACGTCACCTCCAGCACTTTCTGCACTATTGGAACCGGAAGTTAACGCAGCTTGAGCGTTTGTAGCCAATGGGCGCTAGTAATCAGTGGTGCGCGTGCGTGTATGACGTTTTTACTAACGAACCGGATGGGGAATTGTGTACGCTTGCCTCACATTTTGCGCGTTCCGCGTCCATTTGTATATCATGTGATTGGACAATGTTTCACAAGCTGCGTTGACGCGATAAGGCAGCTAGATACACATGTGTTTACCTACTCAACGCTAGCGGCGCCCTTCCCATGGCCCAATGGCATGGTTAACATTATTTCAGCTTGTTGCGTCACGCTGCTAGTGCAATACCTCTTTCAAGTTGGCTTTTTTCTGTATATACTTGTATTCCATGATATATTTTAATGATCGTGACGGGGATATGGCTTAGTGGTATAGCATTCGACTGCAGATCGAGAGGTCCCCGGTTCGAATCCGGGTGTCCCCTGAAGTGGATTCTTTTTATGTAATCAAAATGCTCATTTTTTTGCGGTGATATTATTTTTTTAAAAGTTCTGATTTGTCTTGTGTCATATACCGTTGAGTGCAAACTACCGCCTTCCCAATTCGACTTTTAACAGTAAAAAAATGTCATGTATTATGTTTGAAATAAGAATTGAAAGTCACACTGTGTATGTGATTTTGTGATGCCGTTCAGCTGAAGTACATTTTGATTTCGGTGAATGCTGATCCTATAAATCTAGCCATCACGGTGAAGCCCGTCGCGATTCGGCCCGATAATTTGGTGGTCGGGTACCCCGAAGCACACCCTTAATTTTTTCCACTCGTGCAGAAAGGAGCCCTGCTGAATCCCTTCGCCCTCGTCAGACGCCGTTCTACCGGGGGGGGGGGGGGGGGGGGGGGGGGGGAGGGTAGTCCCCCCCCCCTCCCCAAAACTTTCGGTGATGTCATGAAATGTTCGAGCACCCTCTAGCCGGCAGGTAAACAATTTCATAAAACGCATTTTCAGTTGACGTATCCTTTTATCGTGTCTATTATCGGGGGGGGGGGGGGGGGAGGGTAGTCCCCCCCCCCCCCTCCCCAAAACTTTCGGTGATGTCATGAAATGTTCGAGCACCCTCTAGCCGGCAGGTAAACAATTTCATAAAACGCATTTTCAGTTGACGTATCCTTTTATCGTGTCTATTTGTTTTTCATTTGGGGGGGGGGGGCGTGATTTCATGAGATATTCGAGCGCCCTCTAGTGGCAGTTTAACCATTTTATTTTAATTTCAAACATTTTCAGTTGACGTATCCTTTAATCGTGTCTTCATTTGTTTTCATTTTTACACCCGATGTTGTATAATTCACGTGCAGATACTCATGCGTTTACCTACTCAACGCTAGAGGCGCCCTTCCCCACGGCCAAATGGTCCATTATTTGGAATATTACAAACTTTGAACGAGAAGTCAGAATTAGTTTCTCATTGTAACTAAATTAAAACAAAAGAACAATCTCTACACCTGTGTTTTTACAGTCTTTAATTCAACTTTCCAGGCGGGCGTTGGACTCGATGAAGTGGAAAATGCGACAAAATACAAGTTCCTAGGGGACACCCGGGTTTGAACCGGGGACCTCTCGATCTGCAGTCGAATGCTCTACCACTGAGCTATATCCCCAGATCTGATGTACTCTCTCCCTTTAGGATTGTTGTCTTTCAAGTCCGAGCCCAGACATAATTAGCTCATTGAAATTACGCAAAAACAAAATGTTGATTTGATTAACATTTTAAAGGGAAAATTCATTAATGAGGACAGCATACCCCCCAAAATAGTTTTTCTTTAAAATTGTTTTCCATCAGAGGATCATGAAATAAATATTTGTATCAAAAATTATATAAAGGTTCAGCATAGATAAAAATCAAATGAAAACTATTATTTAGGGGACACCCGGGTTTGAACCGGGGACCTCTCGATCTGCAGTCGAATGCTCTACCACTGAGCTATATCCCCAGACATGATGCACTCTTTCCCCCTTAGAATTGTTGTCTTTCATCACCGAACACAGACACTAGCTATAACTTCTTGAAATGCAAAAACAAAATGATGATTAATTTTGAATAATAATTTAGAACAGCACACCATGGAAAATCAGCTTTTGCGGACAGAATACCCCGCCCCCAAAGCATATGTGTCATTCAAATTGTTTCCCTTAAGGATCATCCCAAAAAACCTCATGCTTGTCATCAAATAAAATGTTCAGCAAAGATATTAATCAAATGAAATGAAAACAGTTATTAAGGGGACACCCGGATTTGAACCGGGGACCTCTCGATCTGCAGTCAAATGCTCTACCACTGAGCTATATCCCCAGACATGATGCACTCTTTCCCCATTAGAATTGTTGTCTTTCATCACCGAACCCAGACATTAGCTTCGTGAAATGCAAAAACCAAATGATTAATTTTGATTAATAATTTAGAACAGCATACAAGACAAATCAGTTACTGCGGACAGAATACCCCGCCCCCCCCCCCCCCCCAAAGAAAAAATATTCGTCTTTCAAATTGTTTCCCTTAAGGATCATCCCCCAAAAAACTCATGCTTATCATCAAGTGAAATGTTCAGCAAAGATATAAATCAAATGAAGTGCAATGAAAACTATTATTTAGGGGACACCCGGATTTGAACCGGGGACCTCTCGATCTGCAGTCGAATGCTCTACCACTGAGCTATATCCCCTGACATGCTGCACTCTTTCACCCTTAGAATTACTGTCTTTCATCACCGAACACAGACACTGGCTATAACTTCTTGAAATGCAAAAACAAAATGATGATTAATTTTGAATAATAATTTAGAACAGCACACCTGGAAAATCAGCTTTTGCGGACAGAATACCCCGCCTCCAAAACATGTTTGTCATTCAAATTGTTTCCCCTTAAGGATCATCAAAAGAAAAATGATGCTTATCATCAAATAAAATGTTAAGCATAGATATAAATCAAATGAAATGAAAAGAATTATTTAGGGGACACCCGGATTTGAACCGGGGACCTCTCGATCTGCAGTCGAATGCTCTACCACTGAGCTATATCCACTGACATGCTGCACTCTTTCACCCTTATGTTGTCTTTCATCACCGAACCCAGACATTAGCTTATGCAAAAACCACATAATGACATGATAAATCATTGAGGACAGCATACTAACAAAGTGTTTTGTGTTTGAAATTGTCTTCTGGCAGGATCATAATTCGAATTATGTACGGCCTGTCATCAAATAAAATGTTCAGCAACGTTAAAAATCCAAATGAAATGCAATGAAAACTATTATTTAGGGGACACCCGGATTTGAACCGGGGACCTCTCGATCTGCAGTCGAATGCTCTACCACTGAGCTATATCCCCAGACATGATGCACTTTTTCACCCTTAGAAGTGTTGTCTTTCATCACCGAACCCGAACTATGAAGGAAAAAGCAGGATAATCAGTGATTGTGCGATATAGATATACAACACAGGTGTACATGTACATTATTGATTTGATGAAGGAAATGATTAACGACATATACATGTACGTTTGTTATTTCAGCTTGTTGCATCATGCTGGTGCCTCATATGGCTTTTTATATATTTATATACCACGTATACGGTCGTGACGGGGATATAGCTCAGTGGTAGAGCATTCGACTGCAGATCGAGAGGTCCCCGGTTCAAATCCGGGTGTCCCCTAAATTGCATTTTTTTTATGTCATCATCTTTTATTTAAAAACATGCTCAATTATTTGCCGTTATATTAAATTTTAAGTACTGATTAATATTTGTCGTTTGTTCATGCATTGACTGCATGCAAACTACCGCCTTCCTAATCGACTATTAACTGTAAAAAAATGTCATCATTATTACATGACAGTAACATTCGACTGCAGATCGAGAAGTCCCTGGCTAGAATCAAGGTATCCCCTTTATATTTATATTTGGGAACGCAGTGCTCAAAACTAAATAATCATTCCCTATCACATTTGCATATGAAAGGGGTTTCTTTTTAGTAGTGATATATAGGCCCTACACTTCCAAACTTTTCTCCTCTTTGAATGACTGAAAAAATATGACAAATAACATCAGCCAATGACCTTAAATTCATAATTATGCACGCATGCGCATAAATGGGCCTGGCGGCCAAGAGCGAAAGCGGTCCATTGAAAATGCAAAGGGGTCCAAATATTCGGGTAATTTTCTCTCGATTTAGTGCAGGATTGTTGTCGTTTTTTCTTTAGAAAAACACCTTAAATCGCCATAGGCATTGCTTTCTGGTCTAAGTGTGGAAATCAGCAGGGCTCCTTTCCGCACGAGTGGACATAAATTAAGTGTGCTTCGGGGTACCCGTCCACCAAATTTCGGACCGAATCGCGGTGCTGAATATCGCGGCGGGCTTCACCGTGCCTGAATTTTGATATGATCAGTATTCACCGAATGTACTTAAGCTGAACGGCATCACAAAATAATCAAAGTGTGACATTCAATTCTTATTTCAAACATTAACATAGTTCCATTCCCATGTCTACTTTTTATTTGTTCACCGGGAAATCTAGTCTTTTGTTATTGGGGTTTGAGGCCAGAATTCACAAAAGAGTTGAAAAAATAAAGACACGGAAAACGATGAATTTATTGTTCATATTTATTAACCCATAACCAAAATATATATTTTTTATAATGTTGAGCGGCGTTAGGGTAAGCTAAATAAAGTTTGGAAAATATCGAGCTCACACATGGTATTGGGAAACCATGAGTGTCCACAATGTCAAAACAATGATACGATAACGCTACAATACATAACTCCTGTAAAATGTACCTTTAGGGAGACACGTTATCATCAAATTTATACCTTAGGGAGACATGGTAGGTCAAGGAAGACATTTGAATATCTCCATAATGTTTCAAGTCCTATTTCCAGGCCAAATGAATTGTCGCAAATATGTTACATCGATTCCTCGTGTTGCAAAACCGAAAGTTTCGAAAGGTTTGGTGAAGGTATATGATGAGGTTGGGTTAGTGTTTGGGGAAATTAAAGTTGCTGTTGGGATTTTTTTTTTTGCACAAGTCTATTGGAATGCCTCACTGAGGTAACATTTCCCGTGATTATATAACTTTCATGATAAAATAGTATGGATATTTACTGTTCTATATCAGGCTTAATTGTATAGCGAGTACTTTTTGCACTATAGTTAGTTGTTCGTGGGCACTGGCGAATAGTTTTTCCAAGATATAATACACACTTTAAATATTGACAAAATTGATAAAATAAAAGAATATATATTATCATGATATAGTACAAAAATAATTAAAAGTGAATAATAATCCCCCATTTCTTAAAGCGGACGATTGGACCATTCGTTGTACATCATTATTTTTCCTTTAAAGTTCCGATGACAATATCATTCAAAATGTAACACAGGACAGTTAAAAGTCAACTTCTGCTGAAATAACAGACCTTGACATATGTATTTTTTGGGGTTAATTCAAACAGTTCTTCTGATGCACATATCAAAATTGTATCGTTATAATTGAAAGCAGTCATTTCCAGCAGGGCTTGGTTACCCTTTTCTTTTTTTTAAATTTGACCATAACTCTTTACCTTTGTTTTCAGACGATGGCAAATAATCCTCAGGTAATAGTTATTAATGAGCCACTCAATTCATGTTCACGCACCTCAGCTCAACACCCCCGCATTAGAACAAACGGCCACTTTTTTTCTTTGCCAAAAAAAATGTTTTACGTTCTTTTTGTGAACTTGTTGTGATCAACTTTGCCAAAAAAGCCAGATTGTGTCAGAATTTACTATCTATGATCACAGGTCCGAAAATGGCATGAAATCATGCAAACGCAAGCAGCATTTTGTTTTTGGTCAGATTCCAACAACTACTCGGGTATCTTCATCAACTATTCGGTAGACTCGCTATTTGGCTCCAACAAGGTAAATGAGGGGAACCAGTATCAATACATCAAAAACATATATAAAGTATAAGCAAAAACATACATAAAGTATTAGGAAAACATACACGCATATATTCATTGTTAGCCAAATACACAAATTGAACCCGTAGAGTCGTAGGAATGATGTTAATTTCTCCTCAACAAAAATCAGACAATATGTCGAACAAGATGTCCAACAAGATCTAACACGCTTTCAAATTCACGCAGATTTCCAACTTAAGATCAAAGTAGCTTTTCGCTTTTAAAATATAGCATTCCATTTCATTATCTTTTTTTTCCCATTTTGATACCTAAAAATAGAATACGGATGGAGTACATGAATACATTCATTACGTATAAGGTGTAATATATAAATACACGTGTGTATGTCATTGAGTGATATTGAATATCCGTTATACCCTCCACCCGATATAATGGCGAAACCTCAGAAATATATACACTCTTTAAAAACAAATACCACAAGTACCTAGATGAGAATATGGCTATTTATCGATAGGCTTTCGCTTTTAATCCGTACATCCATTATTATTCAATCCAAGCGAAATTTCGCAGGCTTCCGGGAGTACTGAATGAGCCTAAAACTAAATTTAAATCAAACAGTCTATAACGATATACAGTTATATAAAAGTCTTCTCAGTGTTTTAAATGTACTTGACAAAAACACACTCTAAAAACTCAGCAATAGACCTTTATCATGCTGCCACCATTTCAGTCATGTTCCCTGTATCCAATAACAGTACTGAATGATAAACTTTTTTGGGCACAAAGGAATCAGACTATTTTTCCTTCCAGCCTCGCTTTAGTTACGTTGATTTGAATGGGAAAAATCCAAATGGCCGCAACACGATAATGGTCTATTAAACACAATTTTGCTATCACTTGGTAAACATGTTTAGAAGCTTAACATTATGTACACGTTCCATTCCTAAAAAGCACACTCTAAAAACAGTGCTCAGCAATTAAACACAATCTTGCCGTCATTTGTAAACCTGTTTAGAAGCTAAACATTATACACCTAGACATGTTTAATTATGAAACATGTTTACAATCTGATAGCAAAAAAAGTGTTAAGAAAAGTGTTTAATTGCTAAACACAGTTTTTGCAGTGCAGAGAACTAGCGGATGTTGTGTCAAAGGTTAAAAGTTCATGAAAAGGAATTAAGAAAAAGTGTTGCATGGTACACTGTTAAAAAAAAAAAGTTGGATAAAAAAGCTATGTGCCTAAAATTGGCACATGTAGAAGTTAGTTAATTCAACTAAAAATGGACCAACTATTCGGATTTTTTTCCCCAATATAGTATAGGCAGTTGGTATGTTGACCATCATCCGGCAAAATACCCAGGCGACTGCCCAACCTGTTTGTTTATAGTGTAAAGATAGGTTGGAGAGGCAGTTTAGATTTGCAAAGTTCTATATTTATAGCATACTATTGTCAGCTGACACGTATAAAGGAATTTTATTTTAAGGTATAATATCATTAATTCTACGCCTGTTTAGTATAAGCTTATACTGAATACAGGCCCAACACCGACATTTACATTTATCGAGAGATAGAAGCATCAAGATGGAGGATCTGATGATATGCAGGCCGTCGTGATTAAAACCCAAAACGATTTTAAAAATAATGGAATAATTTCGGCTTGGGCCATTACCCGCGTCCATGCACCTAGCCGGGTTTAAACGTACTGTTTTAATACCGACCAAGCACATATTTTTTCCCCTTTCATAAATACCTTTCGGTCAAAAAGTCAAAACAAGTAAACATTCACAAATTTCCAACGATTTTTTCCAAAACAATTATACTTCATGTTTGTGGCGCAGAACGCAGCGGTGTTTTACCGGCGGTTTAAAACCAACCACGTGACGGGCTCTCGACCAATAGACCCCTCTCATAGACAACCGCCTTCGTAGGCAAATTACAACTGCGTATTCAACGCCATCAGGTACGTGTGTGCACAGCCGATGCGCGTCACGCAAATTTAACTCCCTCAATGCCGATGGACGTGAAAATCTGTAGGCAGTGACGTCATTTGAGAGATATCTTCAGGAATGAGTAAACTGTCTCAGGTATTGACCTATTGCCGTTTGCGAGTTAGCCACGCCCCTTAGGCAACCCTATGGAATTGTGTATGATAAATTGTGTTTGTCTCAGATTTTTGCGCGTTCCGCGTCCATTTTGTATATCACGTAATTGGACAACATTTTACAAGCTGCCTTGACGCGATTCTCTTGCGATAGGTTAATTTATGAATAAGGATAAAAAAAACAAGGGTAGCTTTTTTTGACATTTTACCGCAGGATTAAAAAGAATGAATTGTAGAATACGTTACAGTCGGGTTTCTCAAATGTAGTCGACGGATGCAAAGTCTAGTTGACCATGGGATTGCGCACCACACGACCTGCAAGGTTGACCTGGTGATTAAAAAAATTAACAATGACTTGATAACAAAGTACAGTTATACATTTTCCACTTTATAACTCAAATTGCTATACGGCAGACCTTCACAATGCACATACGACAATTAAGAGCAGACTGAAACCTCGAGCAAAATTCACTGATTTTTGTAGTCTTGATTTTTGTAGTTTCAAAATTTACAAATTTGTAAGCTTGATGTTAATTACTCACAGGGGGATCCTCATGGTAAGGCCCTTCCATTCCAGTAACCATGTAGGGTCGGACAAACTCCTCTTGACCAGACAAGTTCTTCACAGAAAGAGGGGAAAAAACATAAAGGCAATTATACTTTACTTGAAAAAAATACTTCACGAAATCGACTGTGTAAAATACCATAAACACTGTTCAGCCTTACCTGCTGTAGGTAGGGAGATCGGCTCATCACGTGCATCAGACGATTCATCCTATCCCCCTCATCATAGGCATCTACCGAACGGGAGACATCACCATACTCCGCGCTCAGATCAACGTAGTTATCGAAAGCGTTCCGGCTTTCTCTTGGCACACGAGACCGTTGCCTGTCCTCACGGTAAGCCAGTGCCTTGGCCTGTTGCCTCTGAATGAGGAGACACATGCAGACCAGCATGCACACCACAACGGTAATCAGCACAATCAAGCCAACGATGATGAGTACTAAAGCGACTGTGGATAGGCCGCCATCGTCAGGCTCTGAATGGGACACCGATTAAAAAACACTTGGAGGTTAGTATATGCTGTGAATACAATGCAGTACTGTATTCTGACATAAGTAATGACAACAGTCTGACTTTAAAGACCAACTATACGGACACAATTTCATAAGCTTTGGCAACAGCAACTATATAAAATTTCATCATATGCAAAGATAAAGTATAGATACGCTGTGGCATGTTGTTGCATTTTATTCTCATTTAATACTGGCGAGACCCGCTTTTAATTGCAGTTAATCTCCGTAAAAAATAAACAAGTTAACTCAAACAGCTACATATAAGAGAAATTGTTAGATTTCACCTACTTTGCGATGCAAAAGCAAGTTCGGTTTATTTCACGGAAATTTCAATAAAAATTGAATTCATTGTAGTAACGGATAAAGTCACAATAAATCTTGCTACACCTATCAAAAATTTGCTTGTGTGTTCGGTAAAACTATAGGCCTAGTATAAACCGACCCCAAACTCGTAGATATAATGCTATTTTCACACACAAAAAAAATTAAACCTCAACAAGCTTACCTTCAAGTTCTGTCTCGCAACGTTCCCCGGTATATGAAGCTTGACAACTAAAACAGAAAAAACAACAAAAAGAATAATTAAAACTACATATTTCATTGTGTTGAAAAAAAAAAGGAATCGTCCTACTCATTTACTGTAGATTTTCGTTAAATACCCAAACATACCCCCTATTTTCGCAAGTAATATACTACTGATCTTGTGAATTCCTGAATTCCGTTCAGATTCCGTTCATGAAAACCACGAACAAAATTAGGAAATTCGAATAATATTTTCCTTGGTTGGGCATTACATTTGTGTTGGTGGGTGCATTACGATTGATATTACCCATGGATATTTGTTCATGGATTTTGGTTTTACCTGCACGTAAACAATACGTTAGGGAAGTTTCCAGACGTCTCACAAGTCCCACCATTCTTGCAGTAAGTAGGTACACAGACTACTTCCCCATCTGTCGTGAAAAACAAAAATCCTCAAACTCTAAGTGGATTTTATATTAAAGCATCGAGTTTTTTTGGCAATTGAAGTTTACAAAGGCCGTTAGAATAACAAGACAACCTTTTGGCCTTTATCGGCTACAATGGACACAAGACGAGGGCGCTATTTGGATTCGGTTAACCTTCTTGTATTTACCCGAACCAATAAGCATAAAGGCCAATGATCGTGGACCATTGCAGTGGTTTATTCTAATGCAGAACAACAGGAATAATGCATATCCAGCCTTTTCGAAACATGCATGGAAGCTCAACTGTAATGGATTATATGATTCGACATACTGATATCTTCAGCGGCTAAACAAGAGAATAAGCAGCACTACACAGTTAGACGGTAGTTTGCTGCAAGACACTTTAAAATATTACGGTATGAGACAAACTGAAGCTGAATTCAATGATCAAGACCGCGATTCGCATGGCTCTTAATCCTTGCCTATACTTGCAGTTTGAAGAAGTGGTATTTCAGGTGGAATAACAAGCAACTTTTAAAATTTTCTAAATAGCAGCCTTTTCTTGTTATTCGACCTATATTTTGTTTTCCAAGGGCAAATCTGCGATGGCCCTGTGTGGCCAAATGTATTTCTCATGATATGCTTTAACGGTGCCAAATGCCATGCCACGCTTGTATCATCAAAGGCACATAATCCCATCACCTATCTGCCGTACAACTCGTATGTAAAATGAAAACATTGCATGAGACAAACTGAACGTACCGGTGAATTCACAGGTCCAGACTTCAATTTGCATAGCTCTTACTTTATGTCTATACCTTCAGCTTGAAGAAATAGTATATTTCAGCGAAGAGGAAAACTTTCGTCCCAGTTCTCTTCCCAAAAATTCATAATACCATTAAGCCTTGGTGAACATTCATGCTTTACCATTTACAATGATGGAATCCGGGTTGATTATGTTGATGACTGTATTGCCGTCGATCAGCGATGGACTGTTCGACATGACTTGCTGCAGGGTGGATTCTGAGGGCGCACCATTTTCAAATGAAGCCACAGACCTGATGATAACACTGCCTTCCTGCAGCCACGGGACGTGAACTGACGATACACCGTTGGTGGATGGGTTCTCATTCAATATCATGAAAATCTGAAGGTAATTGACCAAAAAGGTAATGCTCTCCCAATTGAATTGCACACCCGAGTGTCAGTTTCTGCTTCAAAAGATGTGAAGTTCAAGCTTAAGGCCGTTATCAATAATTTTACTTTAAGAATACTGTAAGTCTGTAAGAAGGAGAAAGAGGCAATATTGTTTGCATACTGTGAGATAAACACCACAAAAAATGGTCTTAAGATCACCTTAATGTCCTTATCACTTGTTAACATTTAAGAAGAATTGATATTAGCCCTGTGTGATCTATGCAATCTTACCGCAAATATAGCAACTTTTTTTCATGTTAATTAGTATTCCACAATAGTCAAGAGAAAGGAAGATTTGAAAAACAATATCAAAAAGTTTCTCCTAAGCAACTAGTACATGTATATTACCATCCGTTCAAACACAGCAGCTAGCCTCCTGAATGCACTTGATGACGGATTTCTGAAGGCCTGATTGAAATCCAAATCAACTGTCAGCACAATCTGTTTAGACGGAAGTTCTGTTCAAAATGGGAGTAATATCATGAGAAACAAATACAACTCTGTATGTGATTTATCAACAGAAATATCCGCAGCAAAATAAGGTTACAAAAGTATAATATGCAATACCTCTACCAAACGAAGGGGAAATTAATGGACAATGTTTCGTTTGCCAAATTTAAATACGATAGGGGAAATTTAGTTATGATGCTTAAAGATTTATAATGATACAGCCAACTGAAGGCAGCAATTCTTATCTTGCTCTTAACAAGAGTTGGAGGTGTTGTTTCACAAAACTTGGATGCTGAAGAATCTCCCATGAGAAGTTGACATAATCCCACTTCTACTTATCAAATCATAAAGAGCAGGTGTTGTGAGGAGGCGGGGTTAATGAAGATCCTCATTCTGTCAATCTTATACCAAAACAACACTTCAAAGTGCACTTGGTAGGCATATAAGACGTACTCCACTTACCTCGACATGAACCATCGTCCTGCGGGAAAAACCCATCGAAAACACTGCAACTGCAAGTGAAGCCATCTTGGTTTAAGTCTGGCAAACAGTAGCTTTGTACACCAGGGCATCTATCACCAGACAGACACAGATTCTCATCTGCAAAACAAGGTGGTTTTTTAGATGATATAACTTCCGATCGTATAGACCATTGGTCTTTGATAGCATTCAAGACATAGAGGCTAAAAATGTAACAATGAGATGAACTGCACGGTTGATGTCGAGTTACATAAACTAAGAAGTTTCAGGAGCTAACCAAAAGTTGCCATCAAGTGCAAAAGCACCATGAACAGATAATGGTGGTTTGTCAATAATTAAGCATTTTGCGCACCAAAGACTTCGCATACTTCAACGTTTTTGAGGAGGCCACACTAGGCGATCACACATGAACAGAATTGCGGCGTCGCACTATCTAGTGACAGTTATAAAATACTAACATCAGCCTACTAACATCATCCATAAAATTATCTGAAATTGGCATTTTAGGGATTTTTTCTACAAATTGTAGAAGGCAACCTTACGTAAGAATACAAAATATAATAAGCATTCTTGAATTTTACTTGGGCATGTCTTATGGGATGGACTTTCAAGAAATAATATGTACGCATATAGGGTGAGTGAAAAAGAAAGTGACCTGAACAGGTTTTTTTTCACGCAATCAAATTTGATTCACCAATGAAGTATGTTTTTAATGAGCATCTAAACAACAAAAAATACTGAAATTGATCCATGCTATCAGAAGTTATGCATGTGTTACTAAAATAACCTATATTTATAGTTGTCCATGGAATGCCATTGGAATTTATTGAGCTAGGTAAAGATTACAGATTAAATACAGGCATTCAAGTGGGAATTTTTATCATTTGTGTAAAGACTGAAACATTTTGCTGTCAGATTTTGTGGTTTGAATATAAGGAACAAGTCAACACTTTTTATTTTGAAATATTGATGGCGATTTTTGTCTGTTTTCCTTTGCCAAGTTTCGTTCATTCATAAAGGTGATGAAACGTCCATGTTTCATTGCATTTTATGAGTATTCACCAGTTCGTATAGGTATAATGATTAGTGGTGGACAGCTTAATTTTGTGATTTTTGTTTATATTAAAATAGACTGAATAACTTTTTTTTAAAAAGGACGCACATTAAGTGAAACTTTCACTAGTCAATAACATGTATTTTATCCCAATGTTATTTTTTTTATGAAATGGAGCGGGCTGATTTTTTTCTAATTCTGTTACTTTCTTTTTAACTTCATCCTCTCACAGACATATGGGTCATGTGGCACGAAGCAAAGTTTGGAAGTGTTACCGACCAAGACAATCTTTAATCCACAAGAGAAAATAATTAAGTGAGATTAATTTGTGTTACCAGAGCATGTTACTCCAGAGTGTGTAGGTGGGCAAACACACTCGCAAAACTCAGCATCGAATGTCCCTCCATTCAGACAACTTATCACCTGGCAGTCTAAAAAGGGAAATAAAAAAGGATATATTTGTATTAATTTACGAAGTAAAGGTTTCACAGATTGGAGGAAGATTTCGATTTTGAACAATGAAACTTGAAGTCTTGATGTATTGACGTGTTTGTTGCTCCATAACCTTTGATTTCAACCAGGCCTCTTTAGCCACATTTGTGGCTACCGACTTCTGTTTTTTTTAAATAAATCTCACCCTTTTGCAGAAAGTTGAGAGATACATCTTTGTCAGTTCAAGAAACAAGACTGCATGCAAGCATTGACAATGTAAACTTAAGGTTCACCAGCAATGTGCAGACAAGGCCAGAAGGAAAGTCAAGATATATTTAAATGATACAATTTGATTAATAAAAAAATGTCACTATAGGTTTGGTTGGAGTGATCGTACTTGGAGTGGTGGTTGGTTCTTGAGTAGTGGTTTGTGCTGTTGTGGGAGGTCCATCTACGGTGGTAGCTGATGTAATGGCGGTTGATTGTATCGGAGTGGTGGTTGGTTCTGGAGTGATGGTTAGTTCTGGAGTGCTGGTTAGCTCAGGAGTGGTGGTTTGTTCTAGTGATAGTTTTAAAAGTAGATGTCATTTTAAGATAAAATAAAAAAAGACAAAAATGAAACGGGTGCTAAGTGTTGTCTTTTTCATCAAGCCGTTAAATCGGTATGAAAGGCTGCATTGTGTCTTCCTCATTTAGGATGATTCATACTTTTCTGAATAAAAAAAACAACAATACATTACAATATCAAAGGGCATTTCCTTTTTTTTTCAATGAACCCTGCACACACTCAAGACAGTAATGTACAGCAATGCATTTTTTTTCAATGGAGGTTCGGTGAAAAAAAACAACATCAGTTTAAATTATACACTTTGATAGAAACAACATCATTGGTAGTAACGAATTTATTCTGTCATTCTGTCAATTTGTTTTGCAATGGTTTCTTCCTTTGTTTCTCCTTAACAAAACTGTCAGCAACGTATGATCTAAATGTTAAAGGTGAAAAACACCCTCTGCTTCAGATAACATGCCTTGTCAAAACATTTATAGGTCAATACAGGTACATGGAGGAATACAAGGCACATTTGTGGGGGGGGGGTGGTTTTCTTATTTTTTGCATTTTCCTTTTGGTGCTAATTGGAGTATTCACACAATATTTTTGCGTATTTTCGGCCAAACCTATTTTCATTTGTAAAAATGATAGGGTCTCTTGGGCTTCAGGTAACCGGAAGCAAAAATTAGCCTTATTCCTGCATGAACTGAAACTTGGAATAAACAAACAATAAACAACCACCATGATAGTGAAACGTGCATACTACATTAACATTCATTTAGATACTTTCAGATGTAAAACATACCAACTTCTTTTACTAATGAACAATCATGTGAATGCTTTGCAATAGCCATACACGTATTTTTGACGAGCATTTTTTGAGTTTGTACGATTCAAGTCGCAAAATGTCCACGAAAGGACTGTTCATTTAAACTAAGCACATTAATTACAGTTAGGCCTACCTTGGGCGAGCAGATTTTTGATGACGATCAGAGCTTTCTCAAGCGCACAGCGAATTAAATCCAAAAGATCACTGATGTCAATCACAATGACAACTGTGATGTCCAAAGTCACTCCGATTGCATTCACAGCAAACTTGAAAACAACCACGATTGTTACCTGGTTGACTGAATACCTTACACTGAATTCCAGAGAGATCTATCGACAAATGAAAACAATTGATAGACTATTAACGAATAAGTTGCTTGCAACGTTTTTTGTCAAAATCAAAATCTTTTTTGGGGGGGTTTATGTTTTGTGCATTTAGTCAGTTAAAACTATTACTTCAACGTATTTCAAAGAAACTCTCAGGAAATACTAGCATGTGAAAACTCCTAGCCAATGGGAAAAGCATTTACTACGCTTTTGCAATATGCGTCCGTTGATTTTAAACTTTGATATTCAATCACACAACAATGAATGCCCTCGGGGATCAATGTGTCAACAAACCCAACTGTCAAAACACAAGCGTATGAATCATCACATTCGGCCCCATTGCTGAAAACGCTTGATGCTATAAAAAGATGATTTTGCAAACACAGCACCCGTGACAAATGATCTACAATCCTGGCCAAATCTCGCTGAGCCCCCACCCCGGCCCCCGACCAATGTTGTATTTCATTGCGCGGTGTGTGCTCCAAAAGCTAGAGAGAACAACATTGACCAGGGGAGTGGGGAAGTGGCCGACCATGGGAGGCTAAGGAAGTGTCCCAACCATTTTGGCTGGAATTGTAGCTAGTGGTGCCAACAGTGGACCCCGGGCCAAGGTTATAAACATTGATTCAGTACTCGTGTCTCACAGTGGAAAAAGTCTTTTCCTTTGATGGGCTGCAAAGTCTATTCGGTGTGGCCAAGACGACTCAGCAACATTCATAATACTTACCGCATTGATGATCCTTAAACTTAAACTTTCGTATTCTTCTGTTGTAGAATCCAAGTAAGCATCGTCAAAAGTAGCATTCAAACCATCAATGTGAGTGATATCACATGTTGCAGTAAACGTTGTCTCATCTGAGATGCAGAAACCAGGAAAAATAATATGTTATTTAAGGTAGAAATAATCCCATGAGTTCTGGTGACCTAAGAACATACACAGGTTTCTCTGCTTTACAGAGGAAGCAGAAAAACATGTTCGTGATTAATTAGTGGCTCTTTACTCACGAGAGGACATGAGTAAGATGACATGTAATGTGTTTGATTAGTGGTTCTTTACTAACGCACAAACAAGATAGCACGTTTGTTAGATTAACGGCTCTTTAATCACACAACCATAAGTGCATATGCACGTTAGTGTTTGATTGTTAATAAGAAAACTAAGAATTCGAGCTCTGCATAGATTCCATTATGCAATACATTACCTGCAGGACCGGTAGTTGTTTTTGAAGTCAAACCCGAAGTTGAAGTTGATCTCTGAGGGGTCGTAGATGGAACGTCTGTTTTGCAGTAAACACAAACGATTATAGTGTTTACATTAACACATGTCGATTCAACAGCTGTGCAGTCTATGCATTTACCATCTGGATCTTTAAACAACGCTGTCATATCTATACTAAATAAACACCACTGTAAAGTTCGAACCTGCAGAAGAGGTATCCGATTGGTAACTCGTTGAAGCTGATGCAGATGACACCGGAGCCACCGTTGATGGCGCTTCATCTGTAAAGAAACACAGGGATAAATCACGGAGCAATTGCTTTTTTGGAGGAATCAACTTGACTCCTGATAAGTAAACATTCTCAATCATGACTAAACATGTAACGACAACTAGCCACAGGATGGGACACCGGCATGGGCATCGCCAGGATTTTTTTCCGGGAGGGGGGGGGGGGGGGCACAGCACACTTTTCCCCAAAATTCCCTAACTTTTTCAACATATTAACAATTTATCATTTTTCCAAGCGTGGGCAGGGGAATAGTTGCCCTACCCCCCCCAATCAAATTCACAGCAATATGGCTTCGCTCCTCTTTTTCCTTTTCCTCAGTCTTTATTTTCCTCCCCCTTTTTTCTCGAAGGGGGGGGGGGGGGGTTGTCATGCGGAGTAGCCACCACTCAAGAAAACAATTTAATATCAAGTAAACTTTTAGTTGTACAGAAATGTTTTCTGCTTCCAGATTTTTATTTAAAATACACTCCCTCGTGTGATAAATTGTTAAAATGCTGGTTCTTCAATCTTGTACTTAGGCCTACCAAACATAGAAGCATTAAATATACAAAAAGACAAACCTGCAGAAGATGTTCCCAACTGATCAGTTGTTGAAGCTAACATCGGAGCAACCGTTGATGGCGCTTCTTCTGCTGTAAAAAGAAACACAACGATAATCACGGGTCGAAATTGTAGGTATTTAACAAAACCAAATTTGCTTTTGTTATGGTCTTACAGTCACAGACGACAAAAAAGACAAACCTGCAGAAGATGTTCCCAACTGATCAGTTGTTGAAGCTAACATCGGAGCAACCGTTGATGGCGCTTCTTCTGCTGTAAAAAGAAACACAACGATAATCACGGGTCGAAATTGTAGGTATTTAACAAAACCAAATTTGCTTTTGTTATGGTCTTACAGTCACAGACGACAAAAAAGGGACAAACCTGCGGAAGAGGTTCCCGAAGTTGTTGAAGCCAACATCGGAGCCACCGTTGATGGCGCTTCTTCTGCTGTAAAAAAACACAGCACGGGTCAACATGGTGATTGTTTTAACAAAACCAATGCTGGTTTTCGTATCGTTTGTTTCACAGGGCGAGATTTTCATTGATTTTCTTTTTGTTGAACCCACTATATAGACACCTGCTCCACGAATGTTCTTAATCATTATTAACATTTGAACAAGCCACAGAAGGAGGAAGCATTTGAACGTCTATACTAATTTATGTATATACTAAAACATTTTGAGGGTCATGGGCGTCGCAAGGATTTTTTTTCTAGAGGGGGGCACACATATTTTTCCCAAAAAATTCTTGTATTTCTCGATTTATCAGTTTAAGAGGGGGGCAGAGAGATTTTGCCCCCCCCCCCACTCATTAAATTTACACCACTATGACTTCACGCCTCTTTTTCTTTTCTTTTTTTCTCTTTTTTTTTTCTTCCTTTTTTTTTTATTTGTTTTTTTTTGCTTTTCCGGGGGGGGGGGGGGGGGGGGGGGGCAAGCGCCCCCCCTTTGCACCCCCCTTGCAACGCCCATGTTGAGGGTTAAACCCTATATTTGGAAACATCTGCAGCATGGAGGAGTGTATATTATAATGTAGCATGACCTTTTCATTTTAAAATCCTTACTTAATAAATTTCCTCAAATGATAATTGTACAAGGTAAAATAATTGTTTTCTACAATGTCCTAATCCAAAAAGGCTAAGAATGTATGTCTCTTTGCTGCGTTTTACCATAAAAACGTAGCATTGGGGAGAATCAATGAAAGAACACAGGGGAGTCTGCACCCTAATTTCCTTTCGCTGTATTTAATGAACACTTCAAACCTGCAGTAGAGGTCTCTGACTGATCAGTTGGCGTTGAATCTGCGGCTGAGGTAGGAGCCATAGTGGAAGGTGCTTCTGTTTAAAGGAAACAAAACAGTTGAAGAGGGTATGAACAGTTTGTGTCAGGGGTACATTACAAGTAAGACAACAAAGTATCACCGTTTGTGCTCGTGGTTTTTGTTGTGGTGACTCTACAGACATTTTCCAAACACGGCCACATTAATGTACGCGCTTTGTGTATTTCTATTTCGTTTTCAACTCACGTTTCAAAAGACCATGTCAGCTGTGATGTCACGCGGACAGACAACCGACAAGCGAATTATCAGAGGATTTTTTATTCGTGTTATTTTGTCCACATTAAAAAGTAAATGGTAACACGTTTCAACCAGTAACTCAAGAGATAACATGCAGTGCAGAATAGAACAGTGTGCTGAAAGTAATATTCAGGGTGTCCCAAAAAGTTATGCAAGCAGACATCCTTTAATTTCTCAAAAACTACTTAGCATGGGTATTTCATCTTGATGGAGCATATTAATTATACTCTTGTGCATTATGAGTGAAAATGCCATGGAAATCCGTTCATGCAAACCAGAGATCTAACAGATTGTAAAAGGCTTAAGGGTTTTTCACCCATTCCACTGAGATGGGATTTACACAGTTAACTTAATTTACATCAGAGTGAAAAGGCCCATGACAATCTAAAGCACCGATATCACTAACTGTGATGTAAATCCCATTGGAATGGTGATATCATATATCAGTGCATCAGATTGTCATTGGGCCTTTTTTTCACTCTGATGTAAAGTAAGTTAACTAAACATGGGAATGGGTGAAAAACCCATAGCCTTTTATAATCTGTTAGATCTCTGGTTTGCATGAACGGATTTCCATGGCATTTGTTACTGAATATACACAAGAGTATAATTCATATGCTCCATCAAGATGAAAATACTCATGTTAAGTTGTTTTTGAGAAATTAAAGGATATCTGCTTGCACAACTTTTTGGGACACCCTGTATTACTTGGCATAGGCCTACAACATCCACATTTGTAACCAGGTGTGACACGGTCCATTTAAAAAGACACCCTCTGGAAAAAGAAACAGGTAGTTTCTGAACGGTACTTTAATACCCACCGATACACTGTCTGTCATCGTCGTGAAGTACATATCCAGGATTACAGCTGCACGTGTAGTTCATGAGGATGTTGTCACAGTTATGATCGCAGCCTAGTCCACCACTGCTAGCTGTCTGGTTTTTGTACAACTCGCACTCATCAATATCTACAGAAACAGAACAAGACGGTGAATGACATAAACGGTCTGATTCACTTGAGGTGACATACGGAATTCAGAAACAAGAGACAGTTTATCGTGCTGATAAAAATGAATGTTTGAATAAAAAGGCCAGTTTTAGTCTTTTGGACCTGCAGTTTACAATCATCTCCAGGTATCGGAGGATCGAATCATCTCCAGGTATCGGAGGATCGAATCATCTCCAGGTATCGGAGGATCGGTCTTGTCATATTGACAGAGCTCACCTTACATATTTGCCCCTTGCAATTGTCCAGTAACATCAACAAAGCCCAAGCACTCTTCCACAAGATGCCGCGAATGGTCCTGGATCATCCAACTCATTGATCAAACGGAGGGAGGCGAGTTTATTGTAAGAGTGACCTCAAGTATCTCGAATACCGCAGAAGGGTACTACGTGAGGTAGCTATAGGCTTATAGCTTGAAAGCCTCCATGACGAAAATATGAGAAGCCATTAAGAGTGAGCTCAAGCCTGTTCATCCTTGGCATTGGGAGCTGATCAGACTAGAGATCGTACCAAAAGTTTGGAATTATTGATGTTGTTGTTGCTGTTGTTGTTGTTGTTTTTTAAACAAAAACTGGCTTAAATTGCAAGCAGCAGCAGCAGCGCAGCAGCAGCAGCTGCTGTAGTAAGACAGACAGATCACTATCCAGTTATGGCCAATTGCTATCTAAGTGTCAAGATTTAAATTCAATATTAGGTTTTGCCCTTCACCAACGTATAAACACTGTATACTCCGTGTGTTACCTCCCGAGTGAAAGGTCGCAAAAATCATTCGGGTGGGACTCGAACCCACGACCTCCTGCTTTTTTTGTTCAACCTTTACTCGGGAGGTAATACACCGAGTATCGGTGAAGGGCAAAACCCAATATTAAATTTACATCAACCCGACGCAAATTCCATCTTAAGAATAGTGTCAAGAGTTACCTTGGCAGCTCTTGCCGTCTCCCTCGAGTCCTTCAGGGCAAGGTCCGCAGGTACTGTTGTACGATGGCGGGGCCTCATCAGTACAAGCCACGCCCATGAAACAAGGGTTGTCAGCGCAGGCGTCGTAATCCGTATCGCAAAACTCACCAGACCAGCCCGACTGACACTCACACAATACCACCTGAGAGGGATTGAACACTCAGACAAAATTGCCTCTTCGCAAGCACTTACAGGCCATGTCCATTTGGTTTTATTATAGTGGTACAAGGGTGAGTTTAAAAAAAAAAGGAAACCCAAATGTCAGGACCATTTTTGTAATAAAGTTCTGGCATGTAGCACTTTCCAAATCTAGGATGTGAAAGCCCAATTAATAAGCCTTCTTTTAGTACAAGAATCATTCAAATCACTCATGTACTATTCAAGTTACAGAATTTTAAACACAAACATCGTTTTTAAACTTCTGTCCACGGATTACACAAAAGGTAAGTGTTCTTTCAGAAAACGAAAAAAAATCACATACATCCCTATGAATTGTTTTCGTTCTGCTGAAAGAACACTTACCTTTTTTTTATTCGTGGACAGAACTTTAAAATGGTGTTTGTGTTTAATATTCCGTAACTTGAAAAGTGCATGAGTGATTTGAATGATTCTTGTACTACAAGAAAGCTTATTAATTGGGCTTTTATATCCTAGATTTTGAAAATGCTACATGCACAACTTCATTACAAAAATGGTCCTCACATTTGGGCTTTTTTTTTTTTGACTCACGCTGTATAGGATTGAATTGTCCTTTGAACAAAAACACTTAATGCTAGACCTTTGCATGGTTTGTTTGTAATCGTTAATTGTAAGAATGCCTGAAATAAACATCATATTTGGTATGGAAGCACCTCGTCTGTGCAAAGAATACTATCTCTGTGACTTCCAGGTCGTCACTGTTTGTTCTATGTCAAATTTAATATTCTTTCCCTCACTCCGTGGGCCAGCCAAAGATGGGCTGGATGGACAACATCCGTGAATGGTCAGGGTGTGACACCAACGAACTGAAAGCAGCAGCACTGGAAAGACGGCTTTGGTGGGAGCGGAGCCAGTGATCCCAACTGTGTCTAATTTGAGGAGGAGACCACAGGCAAATGCCCATGTCTATTGAATGAATGAATCCCTCGCACTCCATGCGTTCGGGTGGATGTGATTCACAACCACTCGACAACGCAGGGTGTGCTTGTGAACTCGCCGAGGAGCACACGCAGCCGACTATTTATATATGAAACATTTCTGTCCTGTATAAAGACCCAAAATGACAGCAAACGGTGTCATCAAGCCTACTCAGAGGACCTACTAAAGGAAGACGCCATCATGATAAGTAGCTTGTTGAAAAGCGTGAGCCGGCTCGGTCCATTGGCATGGTTTGGGGAATCTTCAAAGGCTCCCCAAACAAAGTGTACATGGCTTTCCAACGAAATGCTCCTTGCGTGGATTTGTGGTCTGTGGGTAAAGCTGCAGGTTGTGGGTTCGAGTCCAGCCCGGGGTGATGGTGCGTGTGCCCTTGGGCAAGGCACTTTGTCACTCATTGCTTCTCTCCACCCAGGAGTAAATGGGTACCTGTGAGGGCAGAGATGGTTATTGTGATTGAGTTAGCTTCCTTGCGCCTAACAGGCTGCATCGAGCCATATACTCCCCAGGGAGCTGAGATGGTATTTGGAATGTTTAATTGGCCCAATGATTAGGGGTAATAATAATGTAAAGCGCTTTGATCTTTGTTAAAAGTGCTATATAAGAACCTGCTGTTATTATTTATCAATTCAAGAAGAGGATCATTTCGTGCTCTAGTTCAAGTACTCACCCCGAAACGATCCTGCACGAGATTGGTTCCACTGACGTACTGATCGAACAGGCATGCGCCGGCATTCTCACAGCCGCAAAGCTTCACAATGGGTTCCAGTGCTGCATTGGCTTTACCGTCGGTGGCTTGGAAACCAATCGAGACCTTGGACCTGTTTGCAGGAGTCCATGTAAACAGACCGTCTGTGAAAAATATTAAAGATCATACAATTATGGTAAAATTCAAACAAATAAAGTTGTCATGAATTTGCGACCAATTGTGAATGATTAATCATTGTTATGGAATGACAATGTAAGAATGGCTATAGGCATTAGATGACTCTACGGGGTTTGACACTTTCACAAGTTTTACCACTACAAGGTCTGAATAGTTCATTAGCGAAGTTCAAACGCGTTAACACATAATTTTGTGGAGTATCTAAAATAACATTGCAAGCTGTCGTTCTAACCAAAACATCATAAAGAAAAACGTTAAACGAGTTGTTTATCAGGAGGAAATTGAATTTAATGTTCTAGAGTGTGTGCACCTAAATTTAGAAGAGTTAAAGAAGCTGCAATTAAAGTAGAAAGATTTCGGGAAACACCATGTCGAAAGTAATCTCTTCTCAGAAGAAATGCGGTTCTGAAAAGAACCGGTTGGTTGAGTGTATAACTCAACGTTTCGGACAGTGTGCTCTGTCCATCCTCAGGAGGTTGAGTGATGAGATGTGGAAGATGCTGGAGGTTTTTGTGGCTGTGCGTGTGCAGTAGGGTGTGACTCGATGCTTGTGCTTTTCAGAACCACACTTCTTCCAAGAAGAGATTCCTTTCCACGTGGTGTTACCAGCAATCTTTGTACTTTATACCTCATCTGCCATGCAAAGCTTCAAGTCATACATTCTGAAATTACTTGTATTGGATTTTACTGACCATCAGGTGAAATTGATGCCCCTTCTACCATCGAAAGCAGGTGGTATGTGATATTATCTCCATCTGGATCTGTTGCTTCTAATTGCAAGGTGAAGGTCTGTCCTACAACCACCTCAATGGACTCCACCAGCGTCAGATTGGGCGGGAAGTTCGCTGAAAGTAATTATGATACGTTAAGGGTTACTGGACCAAGTTAGGACCAAAGAAAAGTAAGTCAGTATAAATGCAATGTCACTTCAAATTTGCTTAAATTGTGCATACCAATTTTGCCTGGCACTTAAAAGGTTGATAATAGCCTGCGATATTATTGCAATTACGAATTATATTCCTATGTCTCTGTGTGTTAGGATACATTTGTGGGTGTATAAAGTGTAATTTTGAAATTAAAATGTGCTTTCCCAGATTTTGCAATCATGATCCTGCCTATACTAACAACATCGAAATGAAATACCACAGGTTAATTCATACGTGGCGCGAATGCGAACACCAGCGCGAACTTGTTGCATCAAGACATCCACTCGTTAATGAGCAAACATTCACCCGTATCCATTCCTCGGGAGACCGATCGCAAGGGCTCCCGGTTCCTGGTCGGCAGAATCGCGACTGATGTAGAATAATCAGTCGCCCTCTACGGCCAAGGCAAAAGCAAATAGCAAAAGTTGAACATTATTCAGCAGTGAATTGTGCAGCGAGTGACGTTACGATTCTGTGATGTCCAATTCGCCTGGCCCTGTAACACCCCATTCCGGCTACCCCCCCCCCCCCCCTTTTGGAAAATCGTGGTTACGCCACTGAAATCGACCATCAAAGACACCTACGCTCCAAATTGCACTTACTTGACAACACCATATTAATGCTGTTCATCTCATTGAGCATTAAGGTAGCCATACCGATGCTTGTATCATTCAGAGCCAAGGAATCGTACAGACACGTTTTGCTTGACCCGCAGACCGCCTTGGCCTCGTTGTATTTGCCCGGCGGTGCCTTGTCAATCAACTCTTGCAGGAAGTCTGGACTGAAGTTGGGGTCGTTCAAGGAGTCATAGCTTTCAGCAGGAGACTGGTAGAAGAACAGAGAGTCTTCCTCCTCAATTCTCCCTGAAACAGAGTGGAGGACACCAACATTACTTCGAGTTCTATATACAAGATCCCATGGCCTGGACACTCCAGGGTCTTAGGGAGTAACAGGTAAATGTTAAAGCAAATCACTCCGTGGCACGCTGTCCACGTTCACAATTACTAAACAACTCTAAAAGGCCACAGACCCAGTGTAAATTGTATACCGAATTCTTGAGGGGATTGGATGTTTTCTTACATGCTTCGCCAAATTCGAAGTAGTCTATCTCCACCAGCACTCCATTGTCTCCAGAGCCCGTTTGCAGAGATCCATCAGGCTTCAAAACATCATTGCTGGGGTCGTCATCCCACACACCTGAGTAAATTTAACAAATCAGTGAAATATGTTTCAGTCAAAAGGCCACACATTTATTATCACTAACACCTCTACCTATAAAAGGCGTCAACCAAAATCTCCGTTGTCATTATGAAGATTTGTTTAATGAAATTGACCCCAAAATATGTTACGATACAATGAAAATTTGGATGGACGATTAAGGTGGAGTGCCGTGGCCTCGTGGTCTGAGGATTGAATTCGTGGTCTGCGGGTAATTCTGCAGGTTGTGGCTTCAAGTCCAGTCTGGGGTTGTGGCGCGTGTGCCCTTGGGCAAGGCACTTTGTCACTCATGCTTCTCTCCACCCAGGAGTAAATAGGTACCTGTGAGGGCAGAGATGGTTACTGTGGCTGCTTGTAGCTACCTTGCGCCGAAATGGCAGCATCGGGCCGTATACTCCCAAGGAAGCTGAGATGGCATTTGGTATGTTTAAATTGCACAATGAACAGGGGTAATAATGATGCAAAGTGTTTTGATCTTAGTTAAAAGTGCTATATAAGAAACCGTTATTAGTATTATTATTAAAAAGTTCAATTTGCTACCTGTAGATTCAGACGAAATTCTTGTTCAGAATATTTTATGCAGATATTCGTAAACAGCCAAAATTAAAGTCGTTATAAAAAGTAGTTGAAGACACACAAAAAAGACTTCCACCTTAATAATTCTAAACTAATATATAGGAACAAAATGACATCGTAAAAAAATTATAGTGATAAACAAAGCAATACCTATTATTCCCTTGGTTTTGCCTTTGAGGTCCTCGTTGAAAAGGACTGTGATGTCGGCCATGCTGTTGTTCACTCCAACAATAAAGGTGACATGATCAGAATACACGACGCTCACTTTGATTGGGTTCCCTGTCTTCGTCACCCGAAGATTGTCAAACACCAATCCTAAGTGAAAATAAGATAAAAGTTGTAAGAAAACACGGATCGAATTGCGAAACAGCACGATAGTCCTGACCTGTGTTAAACTGTTACGTAGAATTGTATAAAAGGTGACCGATGGGTCACCAGTTAAGGTACATAAAGGGTGTTTCACAAAAAATCAAACCTGTCCTCCTTTTCACAGCTTAAAAAAATACATCGCAAATATCTATACATATATCTAGAGAGCAATTCCATCAACGAAAACATCTTTCCATTCGGATGAATATTTATTGAGTTGCAAAAACAAGTACCGCTTTTTGATTTTGCCCATGGCGACTGATATTTTGACTGCCGCAATAAGAACAAGTTGAACGAAACTTACATTTCTGAAAAAAAAGGCTACCAAGTAGAGGGCAGAGACAAAGCAGCAAAGTAAATATCTAAGAAGTTAATCAAACAGTTCTTTTCAGGATTACCATAACTTCCAAAAAGATTAATGACCACTCTTGCAAAAAAAAATAAGAAATGTAATGAACAAAATAAATTAAGATAGATGAAAACATTAAAGAAAGCAAAACTACCCTCACCCCAAAATCAATTACCGTACATTCCTAACAAATGACAATTGAGACCGTGGACAGATTGAAAATTCGGCATTTATATTGAACTTGCAATAACTCAATAAATAGTTACCCGATTGGAAAGATTTGTTCGTTGTCGAAAAGCTAATGCACTATTCTCTCTAAATATGTATAGATGTTTGCGATAATTTTTTTTAAAAGCTGTGAAAAAAAATTGTGAGACACCCTGTACAAGGTGAGTAAAAAAAAACCGAAACCCAAATGTTGGGACCATTGTTTTAGGGAAGTTCTGCATGTAGCATTTTCAAAATCTAGGACATGAAATGGGCTTTCATAAGCTTTTTGTAGTACAAGAATCATTTAAATCACTTATGTACTTTTTAATTTACAAAATTTTAAACATAACCACCGTTTTAAGGTTCTGTCCACGGATCACAAAAAGGTGTGCGTTCTTTCACTAAAACGAAAACAATTCACACACATCCCTATGTGATTTGTTTTCGTTTTGCTGAAAGAACACTGAACTTTGTTGTGATCCGTGGACAGAACTTTAAAACGGTGGTTGTGTTTAAAATTCCGTAACTTGAAAAGTACATAAGTGATTTGAATGATTCTTAGACTAAAAGAGAGCGTATGAATTGGGCTTTTATATTCTAAATTTCGAAAGTGCTACATGCAGAACTATAATAAAACAATAGTCCCGACATTTGGATTTCGTTTTTTTTACTCACCCTGTATGATCTGAAATGGCCATTAAGCCATTGTGAAATCAGCGATGGATCTTACCTTGAGTAGTGGGTGTGACAACGGTCCCATTGACAGTCGTTACCAAATCCATGGCATCATCACTCAACTTGACCTCAATCTGTATAAAATGGTAAACAAATAGTTGAGTTGTGTAACATGTGTGTATTTTAACAGACGTGTCGAAGATGTTTCATTTATCGCTGGGCAGCCTGGTATGATGGGCACTGTTTTCATATTAGATCATAAATCATAAAGGACTGCCAGTGCACACTGAGAAAATAGGAGATTTGGTTATCGACTTATCGAGCAACTTGGAACGCAAATCAAGGAAATCATGTCAAAGGCATCTTGGAAACGCATCATAATTGAATACAAAACTGTGTATTGAAAAAACAAAACACATTTATTTACTCTTCATGACAGAAATGAAAAATAATATAAGTATTAAACAAGATATAACAAATAAAGGCCACTAGAGGTGACAAAACCAATGAAAGCATAGCTTGTATCAGGCTAGCCCCATAAATGTGGCCTATTTACTGGACTGCCTCCGTAAACATAGGCCACACATCCACATGTACAAAAATCGTGTCGACTTTGCCAAATTTTGATTTTCACATTTAGGCTTAGTTTGTAGGATTTTTTTGCTTTAGAAGCATACTCACCCTCTTTATAGGCTAGTCAGAAAGTGCTGCCTTTTTCAGATGTCTAATTTTTGTGAAATTTCATGTTGAAATTTTGATACACAAACGTGTAAAAATGAATCAGGAAATTTCACGAAAAATATACATCTGAAAAAGGCAGCACTTTCTGATTAGCCTATAAAGAGGGTGAGTATGCTTCTAAAGCAAAAAAACCCTACAAACTAAGCCTAAATGTGAAAATCAAAATTTGGCAAAGTCGACACGATTTTTGTACATGTGGATGTGTGGCCTATGTTTACGGAGGCAGTCCAGTAAATAGGCCACATTTATGGGGCGAACTTTTGCAGAAAAACAATTACAAAAATGTATGCTTCTAGAAGCAGTATAAGCAAAGTTATGAAAATAATAATTTTGCAGACCCTTGCTTCTCCTGTGTACACCGCAGCGAATCCAGAGTAGACAGTTGCCTGGCTAAGTTCCCCTGTCTCCGTATCCACGGCCTGTCGTGTGCGACCTTGTAGTTGAAAGACTCTTTGTCCATCGTCATCCTCGATGAGTGCTAGTGTGTATTCCCCCAGACCATTGAAGGTGTACTCCAGTCCATCAAGCGTAACGACATGGGGGTCGCCCCACAACCACACTGTTTGCAATGAGTAAATAATTTCAAATTATTAAAAGAAATGTTTAAGACATAATAAGGTATTATAAGATGGAATTTTTGCGTCGGGTTGATATAAATCAAATTAGGTTTTTCCATCTTATAAAAATTCCATCTTATAATAGTTTATGCGGTACCCGCTGCTATGTACATCAGATTCGAACCAGCCAACTGATCCCGTTAGCTCGGTGGTCGAGTGGTAAGACATCTGCACTAGAAAGCAGGAGGTTGTGGGTTCGAGTCCCACCGAGTGATTTTTTTTCCAACTTTCACTCGGGAGGTAACACACCGAGTATACAGTGTTTAAACGCCGGTGAAGGGCAAAACCTAATTTGACATAATAAGGTTACCAGATTAGTGGGACCAAATGAAGTCAGTTTTACTGTGGTGTCTTTTCACAGGCGATGAAACGCTCGCATTGTGACCATGTACACAAATCATCAACAGATACTACGCTGATCAATAGCAGGATTCTGCAAGTATTCTGAACGCCAGGTTGGGTACATACAACGCACTCTGTATTGTCCTGTTAGGGATGATGTTGACGAGATAGGCCTATGTCGTTCGGTTGAGCTGCATTTATTTGAACGAAATCAGGTTTTTCGTTTAAATGGGAGATAGGTGTTAAGCGGTTAGTTAGGGTATAAATGAAAGGAGTCAGGGAACTCGGTTTTTTTCTCTCGCACTGATCACAGCGATTAGAAAAGACATTGTTGCCGTTGCATTGTCCGTGGCCAACACAATGTGGTATTAAATATCAGCTCGACCCAATATGAAACACGTAAGTCATTGAGCACTTGCAGGTATTGCTTTTCAACGATATACTCACACCAGGCAGGAGGAACATACGCCTTGCAATCCATAAGAGGGCGCCATTGTTTGTACAGATGGCAAAGCGTTGATTGTTCACAGCAATAGTACCGAGGCCACACCTCTTCATCTGGAAAAAAAGAGGCAAATTCTGAGAAGCTACCGGAATGTTGAAGGGTTTTTGAGAAAAAAAACTTAAGGTACGGCACTTCTCCCATCTCAGAGTATAATAGACCAGCTGTTCGATATGGAATGCAAAAAAAGGATCATTCTATAAATTCAGTGTCCAACGTGTGATATTTTCCCCTCTGTTTCTATTACCTTGGTACTTTGTAATTTGCCATTCTAGTATCATTTATGAATATCTTCAAACGATTTGCTTGTTTGTCGGGGTGGTCGTCTGCTATTCATAATCACTCTTGGAGGATGACTGCATTAAGGAGTGCATCACTGAGAATTATCAAATGGTAGATGCCAGATGAAACGGGGACAGAGTAAAAAGTGGACCACAAATTTATAGAATGAACCAAAAATCACAACACAAGAAAAATAACATTTTTGGTTGTGGGGTATAAATCTTGGGGGTTGCCCTTTTCACCCCCACCCACCTCACCCTCCTGAGAGGAAAAGGTTAGGATAGCTTGCTTGTGACATAACATATATTTTTAATGTTGCTAATCCATTGTATACAAGTAGCGAATGAGTTCTTCCTTTAGCTAAACCAATATGTGCCCCTGTCGAATTTGTTTCGGCATATGTTTAAAAAAAATTAAACGGATGTCCAAAGTGATCTCTGTACTCTTTAATTACAGTCAACACGTCCGAATTCAAATCACAGAGTATCAATGACATACGATATACGTAACAATTATGGCAACATACTATTGATACAAATACCTAAACTTCGGGACATCTAACAGTATATATAGGATTCATAACACAAAGGCGCATACCTAACCACTGTTGGTACCAATCGTCCGTGTAAAATATTGGACTGAACGGGAACCTCTCCAAGACAGAAGCGACCCTAGGACTCCTCACGTCATACAGGAGATCACCGGTGAAAGTATTGTAGCAACACTGAGGGCCTGGCGCTCCGGGCGATTGGTACAGTCGCACGTAACAAACAGCAGCTGAAATGAGTCAAATGGCAACGAATTAACGAAACAAAAAATCAGCTAAAAATGATTGCAGTGACATGCAGTGACAGATTCAGTTTATTAAAATAATTGATTCTGTTTAATAATTTCCATACGAATAAACAATGTAATAGTAATGTTCATGCAAATAAAGAGTGTTGTCCAAATCTAATACATACATATTACAAAGAAATACCGCTTTAATGAACACCGTTATAACGAATATTTGGATATAACGTACATCCCCTTTGGCTTCCGAAAAAGTGAATTTGACTATGATGCACAATCACTATAACGAACGTTTTTATAACATTTCGTTGTGGACTCCATTCGTGTTTGTTACGACGTCCTACTGTATAACATTTTAAGACAATGACGTAGTTTTGTCTAGGAAACATAAAAAAAATGGATAGGTCTCTATGTATGTATCTCTCGAAATTCCCTCATTTATAATAAAGAAAAAATATCTGTATTGGTAAGATATAATTTCCTCTTTCTGTTTTCGAGTCAACAGAGTGTCATTCGTCGATTCAAGATCCTATAAGGACTTCACACGCCAGAATTTGGAAAGTGGTACTTACGGAAATCTGAACGTAGTTCTGGAGGCAGATTATAGGCTGGGATCGGTATGTATCGCCAGTCCAACCGGGCATTGACAAGGCTGCAGGGGCACGTATCAGCGAAGGCATCCAAATAGATACCAAGTGAATGGTAAGGTGGCTGGCGGCTGTGCCAGTTGTGACACTGTTGGCGGGGATTGACGAAGTCCGGTCTTGGTGTGTTGAGGCGGAACACCCAACGTCCTGCCTGACCCACATTTCCTTTGGTGGTACCGGGGTGGTACAGCGATTCCCCCGGTACGTTCACCACGTAGACAGGATCAGCATCGGGCGTCCCGCAGGTAAAGCCCTGGATGACATTCTTGTTCAGTAAAAAGCTGAAGTCCCAATTTGTGCCGCAGGGATCGTAATTGAATATCACAAAGCCACGAATACCGTCCGTCGCGAGAACAGCTTGGAATGTGTTTGTCTCCTGAAAAGCGCACAGAATAATAAACAATTTCAATATACGTAGTAGTTCAAGTGCATCCAGCACGCATACAAGTTATGCACAAATTGAATGCTTCTCGAATGGATAACACTCACAAGTCTTAGTCTGCTTCCAAGGAGATTAACAATAATCCTTTGTTACTTATCAGGTGAATGTTCAGATTTTTTTGTTTTAACAATAATCTGTGTAGGCCTACTGGTATTTTTGTCGTTTTTATTTGTTTTAGGTGAATATTCAGAATTTTTTTTTTATTTGTTATTTGAACAATAATCTGTGTTCTGGTATTTTGTTGTTTTTGTTTTTTCAGTTTCTACCTATTTTAATTTACACATTTATTTATTTATTTCTGTTACAGGAATACCAGTGATGTTTATTTAGTTTAGGCCGCTCTCTACGACTCAGATTTGTCTTTTTAAGAGAAGACTATTTCCCACTCAGAATGTAAACAATTATCGGAAACGCAAAGTTTGGTATTTATTTCATTTGGATATTATTTTATTAAGTGATTATCATTACTTCATTTTTGTTTTGTTTTTATTAAAGCGCCACCTACACGAGATAATGAAATTGCTCGAACATTACTCCAAGTAACAACGAGAGCCCAGTTGGCTGAGAAATTGCTGAATCTGGTCGACACGGTATCACTGATGATGTCCAACATGTCCTGGTTGACGTTTCCCTCATACTGATCATACGCCTGTCAAAATTCAAAAGACATAAAGGTGAGTACTCCCTAAGCACACAATGAAAATTGATATCGATCTATTCACAATTAATCTATCGCGGTAGAATCGCATTGACGCAGCTTGTGAAATATTGTCAAATTTTACATGATAGACAAAATGGACGCGGAACGCCCAAAATCTGAGACAAACAAAAGTTAACGTACACAACAACGTAGGGTTTTCTAAGGGGCGCGGCTAACTCGCAAATGGCGATAAGTCAATTGAAAGTAAAGCCTCTCTACAAATTCACATCAGGTTGGTGCAGTGGTTCTTCCTTGCCTTCCACCTCTATGGCCCGGGTTCGGTACCTGCCGTCGTCCATATGCGGATATTTTTTTTCCAGGCCCTACCTGATTCCATGGCTTTTTCCCAGAATATTCTTCTGGGATTTTCCTCCCACCTCTAAAACTGTGATTTCTTCACAATGTCTTCTCTCTACAGGTTTCTTCAGGCTTGCGAGCTACAGTGCACACGGCGCCTTTGAGGAATCCTCGGTTTCATTACCAAATATAAAAAATATCAATAAATAATAATAATAACAATATAAACGCAATGCATTGATGAGTGTGGCAAATTCAGCATACACTTTAACTTCCTTCCTTTGAACACTAGTCAAAGTAGAAGCAAAAGCAAACGAATGAAAACCAAACAGATCTATGCATACACAGATGTGAACATCTCACCTGCCAGAAAACGTTACTGGTTGGGCTGAAAGCATCGCCTTTGACATCGGCCCAAAATGGAGTTATCATTGCCTTGTTGCCAGTGAAGACACTACTTGGCGCACTAGGAAATCCGAGTTTGTCGAGACTTTGCTCATTCGAAAGGACAATCACACCATTGTCAGTGAACTACAAATTAAAAAAAAAAGGACTTGTATTCGATTTTTGTTGGAGTCAACAAGGCAGTCGTGTAGGATACCAGCAACAAACGACAAAATATCAAACACTATCAAAGCAAGAAAAGGCATTTAACTTAGAGCTAAACATTCTGTATTCATACAAACTGGAATTTATATCCTTGTGGAGTCATTTCTTTGTTCTAGTGTACTAAAGTTTTCGAGTTTGAAAGTGAAGTTTCAAAATGCTTGTATTTTAACCAGAATTAATCGCCTGGGCTCAAAATCGGACTTAATATCCCTTATTTAAAATACGTCAACTTGCGACACATCAACACACCTTTGTAATTCCTAGTTTTTTTTTAAGTAAAATCCACATATCTATTTCGTGATAACCTTGTGGAGACCAATAGAAATCGCCCTGATGTGGAGATGTATACAACCCTCTGTTCCCTACTATGCACATGTCTCCACAGGGTACCGTGCACCAGATCATGAGTGTATAAATACACACTTACATACAGTTTCTGGTACAGTCCATCGCAGAAGGGAAAGAAATCTGGCGGGTAGATGGTAGGTGATATCAAATCCTTACTTGGCAGAAATGACTGTTGAAAAAGTAACAAAAAAGAAAAACCGTCTTAGGTCTCAATGAAATAGTCAGGTCTCAAGGAACAAAATGATACAAATTACAAGAAATAACACTTAAATACATGCACTGGAGAAAATAACGACGAAAAGAAATATTATACACAACGATTATAGGCCAGCACTGTCAGTTTCCTCGTCAAGGCCGGATCTAGAACACAATATTATGGGGGGCCAAACATTCTATTTGTTCCCAAATTTAATATGGAAAGCAAGGGGAAGGGCAAATTATTGCCTTGTTCGGTTTTGTGAGTGGTCTAAGCGATGGCTCCCTTTTTTGCGACGTCACTGTTTTGGGGTTTTTTGGGGGGGGGGGGGGTGGCGGGGGGGGGAAGGGGGGGGGGGGTATGGCCCCCCGTTTGCCCCCTGGATCCGCCGTTGTTCCTCGTCACTCACCTCCTGGGGTACATCTGACAGGAGGCCATCCCCAATCGCCGGGCCAAATGGTAGCAGGTTTCCCTCTACGAAAAGAAATAAAAATACAGTCAATCAAACCAATGCTTCAACATTGCCTATTAAGTAATATCCGAAGTTTTATGCATGGGCAACAGGAGCAGCAGGTTTAACTACACGTCCCAAACGTCGTTCTCCTATGCTAAGAGAGACTTGAATGGCTTCAAACAAGTCTTTTGCACAAATGCTCGCTGAATACTTCCTTGATTAACAACTGTCCCTGTGATTAGATTAAGACACATGCTGCTTCACGCAACTTTGATGAGTTCTGAGAAGCTGTGCGTCAGCAAGATGCAATATCGTGTACCTCAATGATCGGCCAACGTAATGTGGACATTTGGTTTATTTTTCGCACCGCGTACTTTTGGTAGTTAATCTTGGATACAATAAAAAAAAACGACCTTGTCTTTGCCTACTGAAAGAATATTACAAACGATCCCAGCATGTGATCAGTTAAACATTAACAACATTCTTGACAAAAACACATTGAAAAAAATGGAAAAGACGGGATATCGCTACTTCCCATTAAACGAGGCGAACCTCGCCGAGGTCCATAGTTAGTCGATGCCGTGTTCTTTCAATAAAACAAATGTTGTCTTTCAGAATTCTCCTGGTACTTTGCCAGGACGGAGAGTCAATATATTTTAGACCAAAAATTGTGTCCAAATACACTGTTAGGTTGAGTCTTACTCTTGACGGTGAAACTGAAATCCTCAGAAGTCACACAGCCAGCGGAATTGACAGCACGGCAGGTGATGGTATGGTTCCCCACTCCAAATACACCTCCTGCAATACCGACACCGACGCCATCACCAGACTCTGTGCAATCGATGGTGACTTCACCGGCGTCCGTGGCATAAACCTCGGTCCATGTCACTGTAGATGTGTCCATGCCTGGGTCCGTGCACTGATCATCGACGGCTGGTACTGTGAGACTTGGGTAGGCTGTGTGAGCGAATTTAAGGAATATTTCATTACTAGAAAAAAACCCACAAATAGCTCGTTCACAATTGGAAGAGATTGGGAGAATGTCGTTCTCCTTCTTTATGTAAATTAAAACACAGAAAACCAAGATGTTACAAATTATCCTTATTCGAATGTTCTCGGGATTACCTCCATCAGTTGGTGAATAGAATAGGCTTTACAGCTATAATACCAACCGTTCATTATATGCCGAGTCCAACCAGGCGCCGCCACACTCGGAACCTTTTGCTGTGACGTCAACTGCCATCACTGACCAACTTATGCCCGTCTCGGCATGAACTGCAGCATCTAGTAGTGTCGTAGTAGTCGTACTTGTACTCATACTCGCGTACATGCATGTTTTAGTATTACTCGTACTCATTAAAATGTATTCGTACTCGCACTCGCAAGAAAAAAACACACCAGGTCAAATGACACTTTTCCGGGTCAAAAATTACATTTTCTATATCATTTTTGATCCATAAAAGTGTAATTTTGACCCGGAAAAGGACTGTGCAGATATAGACTCAGTTCGGGGTCAATCCGACCCAGGGTTTTCATACTCGTGTAAAATGTGTTCGTACTCGTTGGCCTACTCATTCGTACTCGTGCTGTTGCAAAATGTACTTGTAGGCCTACTCGTAATCTTCCTTCCTTGAAAGTGCAGCCTCATAATAAACGCACTTGCCAGAAACACCGGCGCGAACCCCTTCTCTTAGCGATAAGTGTTACTGTGTTCTTTTACGTGCATTATATAACACACGGGACCTACGGCTTTACGTCCCATCCGAAGGACGAAGCATGGTTAAGTGCCTTGCTTAAGGGCACAAGACAGTGTCCACCCAGCGGGCTCGAACCCATGCCACTGTTGCCTCTGAAACACCAGAGCATGAGTCCGGTACTCTTAACCGCTAGGCCACAACACCAATCGTGGAAATGCATTCGTTCTCGTACCCATGAAAATTACTCACTCACAACTACAACTGTTCAAATACATAAACACACGGTCGATAGCCAATGCTTTGCACTCCAATTAATTAACTCACCTGAAACTATAAAGGAAATGAGACACTCCGGAAAGGCATCGGTTTTGGAAAAGCAGATCACGTCGTGATCGCCAGTACCAAACGTTCCCCCTGTGGCATTCAAGCTGGATCTGTTCCCAGCGAAATCTACACAATCGATGTCAGCTTGATTGATGTCATCGGAAAGTATCCAACCGACATAAGCAGCTGAGACTCCCTCGCCAAGACACTTGTTATCAACCTCGGGACACTGAACTTTGCCGGCATCTTGAATACAAGAAAAGGGGATTAAAGGATCACATTGAAGACTTGAGTGATTGTTCTTCTTGTCACAACTACTTAACGAGAACTGTTCAAAAAAAATGGTGACTGCTCTATGTTCCGACACCCCTATGTTCCGACACCCCTATGTTCCTTCAACCTAGATTGTGTTACTCCCGGTTAGGGTTAGGGTTAGGGTTAGGGTTAGGGTTAGGAATAGGAATATGTGCAGTTGGAACATAGGGGTGTCGGAACATAGAGGTGTAACCAAAAAAATAAGACGACGATGTCCGCTTCGAAACCAAAATCATGTTTCACAAAAGCCTCCAACACTCTCAAAATGAACGTAGAATGTTGTCATTCATGACCCGTCATTCTTTCGGTATGAAATTAAAATTGCTTGTAAACGATTAACAAAAAAAATGGAAAAAAAAAACTCACCAGAGGTACAGCGTGGACCCGAGTGCCCTGGATCGCATTCATCAATGTCTGTGCAATTTGGATATGGCATAGCAGGACCAATGCACTCGACACCCTCCGATGACTCTGTGACAATGTCATTTAAGCAGATGTTGACAATCTCATTTAAAACAAAAGCAGATGAATTGTCCAATAATATTAATTAAGACTGAACATGTTGCATAACATCGTAATAGCATGACTAAAATGACGCAGATTAGTTGATTGGGATAAGGGGTCTTTTTCTTTTTCTGGGGTGGTCTTTTTTTTCCCTTGCTTGTATTTTAGATTTTTGATTTAGATTTTAAATTGTTTTTCTCGTCAACTTACGAGAACAGTCGTGTCCACAGTATCCGGACGAGCAGGTGCAGCCTTGTCCCATGGCAGGCAGACAAATGCAGTTTGGAGGGTTGGCCGTTGATGTGCAAAACGATGAATCTATTGATGACACCAAAACAGGCATTCAACCACAGACAAAATTGTGTATTTCTTATGGTGACATCTCGGGCGTTTGATTCATAGTTTTCTCTGAGTTGCCTTTGCTAACGCTAAACAATAATATCACAGGATACAAAAGTGATATTGAACAATATAGCTTACTTCTGTACAAAACAGGTGATTGGGTATATTGTTGGGTTGTTTACTGTTTACTACAATTTGTAAATTTCCGTTCCTACGGCTGGATATGCGATAGAAACTCTTATGACACTTTTAGACTGCGATTGTAATAAACGATTAGCTCATACATGAACTGTACTTGTAAGATTCTGGTGTCATATTACCTACCGAGAATTTAGGAATCTGTTACCAAGAGTAAGTTAACGGTTGCACTGTTTCATAAATCTCTTTTGTGAGCTTGTGAGGTTAAAGAACCATGGGAAACTTAACGTTTCGGACAGTTTGCTATGCCTGTCGTCAGGAGACGAATTCTGTCCCAAACATGAGCGTCCCCGTTTTTTTCCAAACCTCAAAAACAGACAAAAGGGGTTTTGCTAGATGGCGCTACCGTAAATGTACTCTCATTGATCTCTTAACCGTTCAAACCTACAAATCTTATCTGATTTGGTTCTTGGCCATTTTCAGCCTGTCTGTACAATGAATTAAACGTATTAATAATAAAGAAAAAATTGGGAAACCTGGAAGCGCAGCAACTCTGATGTACATTTCACACTGTGCAAAATTAAAGGACTCGTCGGTTGCATTGTAGCGCACTAAATGGGGCGACGACCAGATATCAAGGTTGACAGTGTCAAAAGCGTCGTAGGCAGAGCCATCTACATCAATTGTAATGTAGGAGACACCCGAGTTGTCGAAGACAGAATCTGCCTCAGGTAGCAAGACTCTTGAATAGTTCTTGCGACAGTTAGTGTAAACTGTCAGGTCGGCGGGACAAGTGATGTTTGGAGACTGCACATCTGCAAAAGAAAAGAAAATTTTGATTTAAGTAAAGAAATGACTTCTGTAAAAATTTGCATTCCGATTTCATCCGATTAAGACCACGCCATAGTGCTACTCGAAAGCTGCTGCTGTAGACCTGTTATAGCAGCTCTACTTTAAGAATGGGGTAAACGTCCTCTCTTGTCTGATTTTGAAATGGAATCCTGAACACTACTCTTGGGCCCACTTTTTGATATCTAGTCCAAAAGTCATACCAGTACCCAGTTGTCTGAAGAGTATGCATAGATTTGTGGCACATGGTTTGTTATTCCACACGTTTTTTCTTTAGGGCCTCACTGTAACTATAAGTGCAATCAATTTGTCCATAATTGCCATGAAAGCTTAGATAAAACTCGACCAAAATGATATAGCCATCTGGCATAAATAAATTGATGTAGGTTAACGAAGTTATGTCTACAAGACGCTAACACCGTACATTCAGGGATGCCCCTTTGACTGCGACAGCATCGTGCTTGCTTGCTATTGTACAAAGTAACTGCCCCATGACGGATCCTAAGCAGTAGCTTGTACATGAACAATGATTTCGCCATTGAAGAGGGCCTCCTTGACACATAAATGACTTAACCAAACACCTCCCCCCCCCAATTCACACAACGTTCTCAATTGGATTCCTTACCTGCGCAAGTTGTACCATCTCCTACAAATCCTGAAGTGCAGGTGCATGTGAAACTCGACGGCGTGTCAGTACAGATTGCATTAACATCACAATTATGGGACGGCGGATTGCATTCATTGACAGCTGGAAACAGAAAATAGAAATTTCATCAAGTTTTGAAATAAGACTGCGGCCGATAAAATGTTCAACAAATCACTTATTTGAATCAAACATGAAACTGTTATACCTTTATACCCCCGCAGTGATTTTTTTATTTAAGAAAGAAAATGTGCGGTCTACAATGCGCCATTGTTTTATTTTAATTATAATCCACCACAGTATTCTGAACTTTTCAGTATGTTGGTGCACGGGTGTTACGGTCTAACACAATCCTGTGGCACACCGCAGAGGTACACAAGTCCGTTGCACAATTTTGTAGTAAATATAAAAATAAACCTTTTCAAGCAATAAATCTCCTGGATCACCAATCTACAAAAGACAACTGGGGTATAGAGCATTTTTTTGGTCGATTGGCAACTGCGAGTATAAATGGTTATACAACTCGAAGGTATGGTAATTGTTACCTGGTAGTGGAGTTGTGAAGAAGAGAAAGGCCTTGCATTTGACAACAAAGTCGGAGCAACAATCTCCGAAAGATTCGCACACATCATCGCAAAAGCATCCACCCCTGCTTCCATCTAAGAAACAACGACCTTCACAGCTTGCTATCGGGTTGAATACATTGAAATAGGTTGGATTAAAATGGATCCAGACAAAAATTTAAAGTAATTCTATTTTCATGAATATGCACGATATACTCCTAAGCTATTGAAAAGATAAAAAATAACAGAGTTAAAGTATTATAATCGCTCCATCAACAGATTCTGTATCTTTATTGTTTTTGGTTTTTTTACTTCTTTTTTTAAATCGACGGCTGAAACTATGGAAGGTCGTCAACTTCGCAAAAATAAAGAATAGATGTTAATGTTTCCAGACATATCACTGAATTGCTGAAAATACAAAATAACCAACCAATACCTCCTTCTTACATGCACTTGTTGGCTGGCAAACTTTGTTGCCAACGAATGCCCTTGTGGCAGCCTAGACAAAATGGCGGTCAATGTTTACAAAGAAAGAAACGTTTACACTCATAGCAACCAATGTAGCAAGCGGAGGTCTGTGTGCACATACAGACGGATGTGCGCGGCTTAATTCCATCGACAAACCGCGTTGTGTATTCACAAATAATAATTATTAAAGTACGATATATGTAATCATTAGTATTCCTTCAACAACATTTAAAATGTAGGATAGGAGGTCCAAACAGTTTTAGGACCTCATTCTTGATTAATATACCCCATTCACAGGTCTTTACCCTTCCAAATAAGTTTAAAACTCCATTGAAATGGAACATGTGGTTTTCTTTCCAAATATCCTGTTTTTCAAATCATTCACATAGACAAAGCATTCCTCCTCTGTATTTCATCAAAATTAAGTACTCTTATGTAATTTTTTTTCACGTAATTTATCTTTTGTTATTATGTATATCATTATAATGTCCAAGGAGCAAGGTCCTGAATAAGCCCTGCCCTTCATCTTTTTATGTACCATGTACGAGGTATTATCGATTGCCTATAATGCCTAAAATCAATGTGATTTAGGAAAAACAAACACATTTTAATCCAAGCTTGTCCAGGCCGATCCATTACACTGCTGCCAGTGTCACTGTAATTTGGATACAACTAATTACAAACTAACTAGGATGAAATAAATAAACTGTCTCACCGCAGTCGGTTTCATCACGTCCGTCGACGCAGTCCGAAAAACCATCACACCGACCGTTTCCAGAAACACACACGTTCCCACAGTCAATTTCAGACAAGGTGCACCTCAGCGTTTCTAAGGGGATGCAAGAAACAAAGCTCAAGACCACAAGTAACACGAATGTAGAGGTCGTTACTTACTCCACAAAACAGCTGATGAAACTAAAAAAGTTGCCCTGCATGTACAAATGGTGACCAAACCTCTTGTAAAACCAAGTTTAATCGCTGCAGAACATGTCTATACCGCCCATAAAAAATACCTTTTTTTGTTAAAAGTATGCCAAATCTTCCAAAGAAACCAAAAAAAATATGTTGAAGGCCTACCCATTAAAACTGGTGATTTTGAATTCAAATGCCATCAGTGTTTGTAGCAGAGGTACATGAAAACTTGTGTGATGGAGATGTAATGTAGTATTTCAATGTTATGTTATAGGCACTGTGTACTTGAGAGAAAAACAATTCACAAGCTAAGGATGAAACTCACACCCACGATCCCTGCTTTTTAGTGCAGATATCTTAATGACTGAACCACAGATCCTGCTGGGATCGGCTGACTGTTTCAAATCCGATATAACACTCGGTACGGTAATCAAGATCTTGTGCAACTGAATTATTTGCGTTGGAGAAATGAGAATTAAAATGGCACTTTTCTGGGTCAAAATGACACTTTTCAGGGTTAAAATTACCCGGAAAATGAGTCAGAGGAGTGTCATTTTGCCCTGGATGAGTGTCATTTTGCCCAGGAAGAGTGTCATTATGACCCGGAGAGGTGTCATTTTGACCCAGAAAAGTGTCATTTTGACCTACAACTTTTTTTTAGTACAAGTGTCATTTTGACCCAAAAAAATGTCACTTTGACCCAAAAAAGCGTCACTTTGACCCGGAAAAGTGTCACTTTGACCCGGAAAAGTGTCATTTTGACCCAGAAATGTCAGGCCAAATAGAAGCAAGATTCCGGGTCAAATCTAAACCGGTTTTTTTTGCATTGCAGTGCAGTGCTTACCAGTCGATGGAACGCTAGCAGCAGATAACGAGAATCCCCGGCTTGGAGTGCCTTTGCCTGATTCGAAGCTGATCCACATCATATTTCCATCGGAGAGTAGCTCGGGTGCTTGCCGGTCACCGCTCAAAATAAAAAACACGTCACTGCCATTCACACCATTTATGCCATCGCCAGCTCGAAAAACGCCATCTTCACCCGAAGTCTCGAAACCAGCGAAGGTGATGAGAATCTTGCGATCCTCCTCCGTTTGGATGTTCAACGTCATGCCAAAGTTGTTGGGATAGTCGGAAGGATATAGTGGAGATGCTATGCTAACACTTTCATCTGCATTCAGATATACATCTGCGTATTAAACAATGTAAAAACAAAAATGCTGCGGTTAATAAAGTGATTACCAACCAACTGACCAACATGAGACAGAAAGACTGACCGACCGACTAAATAATCGAACGCCGTTAATAAGGAAAATGTTTCCTTCCATAAGGGCCCTGTCACACTTCTGCGTATCTTAATTCCTGATGAGTTGCGCATTGACATTTTTTTCATACGCAGTCGTACGCACAATACGCACCTCATATGCATCTCTATCGTTTTGTGTAGGTTTTATGTACGCAGATATACACATGGTACGGCCCAGTTCGCAGGATAGTTTTGGGCATGCACAAAACTACGCTGCGTACGCTGTTGCGCAGGTCATAAGTTATAAATACGCAGCGCATCGGTCCCGCATCGGTCGAGTGCGTTACGAGTACGCTATGTGTTCGTGACCCACCCCGTCAGCATATGAGCCGCCTGTATTGGACGTATACATAGCGTACTTGCAGCGCAGATGCAACACACGCTGACCGGCAAGCGGTGGAAATGCGGCAGGAATACGCTCACAAGTGCGTCAAGCATGCGGTTGGCATAAGTCGGGTGCGTCCGGAATACGCTCGGCATGCGCACTGCATACTGACCTAGTCGCAGCCCGAAAAATAATGTTGTGCACTGCATACGGAACTCATCCGCATCTCATACGCAATGGATGCGCTGAATTCGTTACTTGTACGCTAGATGTGCGTCGCACATAAGTCAAAGTGATCAAAACATTTCGACGTTAATTGAGCGTACGGCTGCGTATTGACAATTTTTGATAAGGAACTCGTAAGGAATTAGGATACGCAAAGGTGTGACAGGGGCTTTAGGGCCCTGTCACACTTCTGCGTATCCTAATTCCTTATGAGTTGCGCATTGACTTTTTTGTCATACGCAGTCGTACGCACAATACGCACCTCATATGCATCTCTATCGTTTTGTGTAGGTTTTATGTACGCAGATATACGCATGGTACGGCCCAGTTCGCAGGATAGTTTTGGGCATGCAACAAAACTACGCTGTGTACGCTGTTGCGCAGGTCATAAGTTATAAATACGCAGCGCATCGGTCCCGCATCGGTCGAGTGCGTTACGAGTACGCTATGTGTTCGTGACGCACCCCGTCAGCATATGAGCCGCCTGTATTGGACGTATACATAGCGTACTTGCAGCGCAGATGCAATGCACGCTGGACGGCGAGCGGCGGAAATGCGGCGGGAATACGCTCGATGCATCAAGCATGCGGTCGGCATAAGTCGGGTGCTTCCGGAATACGCTCGGCATGCGCACTGCATACTGACCTATTCGCAGCCCGAAAAATAATGTTGTGCACTGCATACGGAACTCATACGCATCTCATACGCAATGGATGCGCTGAATTCGTTACTTGTATGCTAGATGTGCGTCGCACATAAGTCAAAGTGATCAAAACATTTCGACGTTAATTGAGCGTACGGCTGCGTATTGAAAATTTTTGATAAGGAACTCATAAGGAATAAGGATACGCAAAGGTGCGACAGGGGCTTTAAGGACACATCTTCGCATTATATACATCATTCAATGGCAACAGTGGCGTGGTCAACTCCATCACAATTTCTCGTAAGTCAATCGGAAGTCGATCACAAATCGTCTCAGGTCCAGCCACAATTTATGCATATAAACTGTGACAAAGGCAGCTGTTTAATATTGTCATCCCAGAACTGTGACCAAACTTGGGATGTTCTTGTGATAACACTGAATCGCAAGCCTTCCGCGGATTACACTTTATGAATCAATACCATAATTGCAGTTTGATTCATCACTCCCATCCATGCAGTCCGGTACGTGATCACACTGCCAGTCACTCCTAATGCACACCGAATGTCCACAATCCAATTCGTCCGCCGAACACGTCAAATTTTCTGCATTAAAATAAAGAAAAGCAACGATATTTTTTATGACCCGGCGGGCAATATTTTTCAACTGAGGTTAGACATCTGACGTACATCACCATAATAAAGCAAGTTAGATTTGGAACTACAGCCAAAGCATAGTTCGACCACAGACTTCTGATCGAACACAAGCTAGTCAAATATGGCTGGACTAGTCTATCGGCCGAATCCGCGGCTACCTTGAGCCAGGTTCTATAGTCCACTGTTTGCGACCAGCCTGTAAATGGGATGGTTGCATCGCTGGTACTGGTAGCAAAAATCATGATCACAATCACATCAGGAACCCAGGACAAAAAGGGTTTCGTGGCGACGTTTTGAACACAACACGACTAGAGTCTTAACTTTCGCACTTTACTATCAGTGCGCAAGCATAAATTGCATCACGAATCAACTGTGACCAGCGGTCGACCAATGGTCCTTGATCGAATCTGCTCCATGATGGTAGGACAATCGTAGGCTAATTTCTCTATCGGGTAGTAAGGCCAAAAAAAAAATATTCGGTCTCTTGTCAGACCAAAGTTCCGGAATTGACGCGGCCACGCGGCTTTTTTTGTGCTTGGATTGTACAGACAAGGTGGGGTACTATTTTGCTTTTTTGGTGTCCTCATGTACACTCCTCCATAATTTGCCTTGGTGCTTTCGATCATTTGCCAAAAAAAAAATTGAGGTGCGGAAATAGAGGGCACTGTTGGAGCTACCGCGGAACATTTTGGAAAAAAAAAAAGATCGACGCGCGCGCTGACCAGAGACCGACTTATTTTTTTTTGGCCTAAGTATAATTAATATATTGACATATTTTCTAGGTACTAGGTTAGGGCGACAATTTGTCATTACAATGCTGTCGCCCTATTCATAAAACCGCCATTTTGACGAGGGCTAGGACTAGGGCTAGTCATTGCTTTTCCAGGGGGGGGGGGCAAGTGCCCCCCCCCCCCTCGCGACGCCCATGGGGCTAGTGTACGTATCCTTGCATGAAAGCTATGTATATTAGGCACCTAGTGATCTGAAACCATACACCCAAACCCAGACATTACCTCATCCACATTGGAATGCATGAACCCCAACTTACTAAATGAATAATGAATAAGGCCCCAACTTGGATCAGATTGCACCCTAGAACAATGTAGCCCTTTGATAAGCATAGAACCTCATGTGATGTACTGAGATGTATTGAGACACAATAAACCAAGCAAGCATCGAAGCAACAACTATTATCCATGTGCTAGTGACAAGCTCACTACATTACAGCTAGGGCTAGGGGTTAGGGTTAGGGTTTAGTGTAAGGGTTAGGGTTAGCAGTTGGGTAAGCGTTTAGGGTTAGGGTTAGGGCTAGAGTACGTTTTGTGCACAAGTCAATGGAAGTGTCGACCTATTGTGGTTTTTGAACACAGGAATTCATGCCCATATGAAGACCCATCTCAGCAACGAGTCTGATCTTGTAGGACGTCGTACCGACAACAGAAATCCAAAAAGACCTCCATTTCATTCATATTTTCAGACGGGTTTTAGTATTGCTCACCTGTAAACATGTTATAACGACCCGTTATGGATGTCTGCTACTATTTGCTTCACTCTTTTTTTTAATAAGCAACTTCACTATACAGAAGCAAACCTTCTGTTCAAATTAGCAAAGCCGTTTAGTCATGATTTGCATACCTTTCTGGACGCTAGAAGCGGACAACAAAAACCCAGTCCTTGAGATGCTTTCATCGGATATGAATCTCAGCCACATTGTGCTGCCGCTTGACAGCAGCTCAGGAGGCAGTTTGCTCCAGCTCCACTCAAAGAACGCAGTGCTGTCTCCATCTCCGACCTGGAGGAAGTCCAATCTGTTCTCAGTGTCAAACGCCGAGAAGTTCAGTAGGATCTTTCTGCTCTCTTCCGTTTGAAGGATCCAGGTAACGGTCAGGTTGTGAGGATAGTTCTCTGGATACAGGGTTGAGGCTATCCGCCCTGTCTCGCCCGCACTGAGATACACGACCCTGTCCTCATCTGTTACCAGAAACATTACAATAATTAGGTTTTTGCATTCCACTTGTGTCCGCATGAGAATCCAATACGAAAAGCACGGTGAAAACATGTTAAGAAATACAACACTGGGCAGACAACACTTGTTATTACAATAGTCAAATGAGAAAAATATGGATCAGTAGCTTTGGGATATTAATAATATCGGTTGCATTTCATATAAAACCTTTAGACGCCTGGCATGGCTTGCATAATCCGGCGGCGTGTGAATATACTATATACTTGAAAAATGTATCAAGCGTTAATGGGAGGAAGAGCGTTCGCAACTTAGACATATTCCAAAATACAACAGAATTAAAACAGAACTAAATACAACTTTTAACCTCTTTTGATCTACTTACCGCAATTGAGTTCATCACGTCCATCCAGACAGTCTGACTGACCATCACACTGCCAGGCACCAGGAATGCAAACAGAATGTCCACAGTCTACATCACCAGGGATACACGTCAAGGTTTCTGCAATGAGATGGGAAGTAAGGAGGTGAGTGATACGATTCAACGTGTCCCAACAATCGAGCAAATGGCTGGTGAGGCTGGGGGATAACTTAAATTTAATTACCGTTTGATGGAACACTGGAAGCCGATAGATGAAAGCCATCGCGACTTGAGTAACCATTCGAGGTGAATCTCAGCCACATCTGATTTCCATCGGACAGAAAATCTTGTGGATGTTTGGTTCCATGCCAAACAAAGAACTCGTCGTTGGCCGTATTGTTACCATCGCCAGCACGGAGATAATCTCCATCTCGTTGGGTTTCAAATTCTAGGAATGTGATCAGAAACTTGAGCTCTTCTTCTGTGGTCAGGAGCCAGGTGATGTCGAGGTTGTTTGGATAGTAATTATCAGGGTACAGTGTGGACCTCAGTATGGCTGTCTCACTTGCAGGGATATAAACAATGCGATCTTTATCTGTGTGATAAAAAATATCATTGCATTAATTAAGCTTTGTACCTCACGGTGTGAACATTAAGTAGTTCAGACCGACGATTAACCAAAATAAAAAAATAAAAGTTGTGTAAACATACCTCGTTAGGCAATGTTATTTACCCAACATTAGTATCAGGCATGCAACTTGGATTTTGTGTAGTAATTTTCAATTTGAAATGGCATTTATGAGAAGTAGAAAACGAGGAAATCAGGTGATCCGAGGAAAAGTTGCTGTAATTCAGGTATTAACTGACATTTGTGAAGAATTTGCCAAAGATTGTAGACCAGCAGTGTAGTGAGCGTTTTAACCATTGCTTTAAAAAAAAAAACGTTTTCTGAATTTGTTTTCACGAAAACCACGTTTTTCGGGATTGGGCTGTTGATTTTAATGTCCAGTACCCCACTGTAACATCCAGCCCCTACTCGCCCCTTGGATGAGAACCTATAGCTACCCTGCTGGTGTAGGAAGGTGTGGGCAAAACACCAACCCATTTGCCTCTTTTTGTGTGTGAATACAATAATTACATAATTACTCCATTTATTTCAAATGGCTGGTTTTCTTTAATTCATTTTTTCCCTACCATTAGCTGATCTCACGCTAGTTTGTAATGGAAATTTGTAATTTGACCCAATCTTTACTCGAGATCAGATATTTTTTCACCCAAAACACTGCAAATAAATGTACGCACTTTATTCAGTAGATTTTAAGAAAGGTCTATTCACCAATTCCGTACCCACAAAGCATTATTTCCTTGATCGATTAAAAGCATTATTTTACCACAGTTGAGTTCATCTTGGCCGTTGAGGCAGTCTGATTGGCCATCACACTGCCACGCGTTAGTGATGCATACATCATGCCCGCAGTCAATATCCGCCAGAGGAGGACACGTTAAAGTTTCTGGGGGAAAAGTACCGGTATATAAAACATTTTGAAGCTATCTATATGGCAATTTCAATAGAAAAAACTTCGCCTTTATAATGATACTATTTTCAGATGAAAAAAGATGCACTCTCGGTTCCTAATTCGCTGAGCCCAGGTTTCAAGACTGCTTCCATCTTCATATTGGTTCAATTGGGGTTGATGTATGAAAAGAAGGGTTCTTGACTTAAAAAAAACTTCATGTTTTGCATTTGCCCTCATAAAACAACAAATGGAAAATTGCATCTTCGAATCAAAAAAATGCACTGAATTACATGGCAAATACTTCACTCTAAAACCGAGGGAAATTTGAATTTGATTACCAGTTGATGGAACACTAGAAGCCGATAGTTCAAAGCCATCGCGACTTGAGTAACTATTCGAGGTGAATCTCAGCCACATCTGATTTCCACCAGAGAGCAAATCTGGTGGTTGTTTGGACCCATGCCAAACGAAGAACTCGCCGTTATCCGTATTGTTTCCATCGCCAGCACGGAGATAGTCTCCACTTCGTTGGGTTTCAAAGTCTAGAACTGAGATGAGAAACTTGAGGTCTTCTTCCGTTGTCAGGACCCAGGTGATGTCGAGGCTGTGGGGATAGTTGTCAGGGTACAGTGTGGACCTCAGTACGGCTGTCTCGCTTGCAGGGATATAAACAATGCGATCTTCATCTGTGTGATAGAAATCAAATATACAAATTAGCTTTGGTCTCACGGTGTGAACAAATTGTAGTCCGGACCAACGATTAACCAAAATAAAATTTCAAAGTTGTTCCCGAATTGTGCAGTGTAAAAAGGAAGTTGTGTACACAAAAACCGTTTGGCGATGTTTTTTAACCCAAAATTAGTATGAAATTACCCTACTTGTTTTTATTCGGGTAATAATTGACAATTTGTAAAGAATTTGCCCACGAGTGTAGGCAGGTGTTATGTTGACCAACATTGGGCAAAACACCAACCCATTTTTTTTGGGGGGGGGGGGGGTGTGAACACATTAATTACATAATCACTCCATTTATTTGGAATGGCCGGTTGTCTTTTGATACGATTTGCTGCTGTTAGCTGATCACACGCTAATTTGCAATTTGACTCAATCTTTACTCAAGATCAGATCTTGTGGCACTCAGTTTAGATTTCGAGAAAGGTATTTTCGCACATTCCGTACCCACAAAGCATAATTTCCATGATGAATCAAAGCATTATTTTACCACAGTTGAGTTCATCTTGGCCGTTGGGGCAGTCTGATTGGCCATCACACTGCCACGCGTTAGTGATGCATACATCATGCCCGCAGTCAATATCCGCCAGAGGAGGACACATTACAGTTTCTGGGGGGAAAGTACCGGTATAAAGAACATAATTTTGTAGTTGTTACTATTTACCTTCGCATCTTCGCCTTTATAATGATACAATTTACCATGAAAAGGATGCACTGTCATCAAAGTTTGTTGAACCATTCAAACCACGAAAACAAATCTGGCAACTATACCTGTCACTGGCACGCTTGAAGCCAAAAACAGAGCATCTGCATCGAGGTCTTTGCCTGTAGGTTCGAGTCGTATCCACATTGAATTTCCGTTTGAGAGCAAGTTCGGAGGCCTTTTGCTGTTGCTACTCCACCGGAAGAAGACGTCCTGGTACATGCTGCCATCGGTACCATCACCAGCTCGAAAAACATAGGATCCCTCTATTGCTACCGAGTTAGGATAAGTGATGAAGATCTTCCGACCAAATACCGTTCGAATGACCCAACTGATGTCGATGTTGCTTGGGTAGCTGCTCGGAAAGGGTATGGATATTTGGGCTGTCTCATCAGCGTTGAGTTGTATGGATCGATCATCTGCTAACAAAAAATGCAGATTACTTAATAACGTCTGAAACAATTGATTGCATTCTTGCAAAATGAAAAACATGCTAAAAAGGTCATTTTTTGTTTACACGTTTACACAAGGCAGAACTTTTTATTTCACGGCATCGTTCCTCTGTAAAATCCACCTGTTACCTCCTTTAGCATTCATTCTGCACTTATTACGTCTTTGTTTACCAATACACTCTTTCCATGGCGGCAATCTTGGAGGTTATTTCAATTCTGTAGCAAAGTATGAATCAAAACGCCAACTGATATGTATTTCAGCGGAACAAAAGCACTGCACCTCCAAAATGGCTGTCACGCAAAGGATCTATAACAATACTGATCTAAGTAATGCTGCACTGCCATTGCATCTCGGAATGCAGCAAGCGGTCATCGCTGTTGGAAGTCATCAATAGTTAATTACCACAATTCATTTCGTCACGCCCATCGAAACACTCTGTTAGATAGTCACACTGCCAGGCGGCTGGTATGCACACTGAATGGCCACAGTCGACCTCACTTACAGCAGAGCATTCCAAGCCTCACTTTCAATTTTTTTTTAAAAAATATGGCTTATAACTAATCTCACATTTTAAATTATTCATCAGAGCAGATCGGTATTAATTGGTAATTAACTTTATATCGTTACTTTCATTTCTTTTCGCAAGCTCCAAAAATGAAGATTTTATCTCGCTTTCAATTTAATACGGCCGACTCGTGAGTAAAGCCTATTGCATCTCGGAATGCACCAAGCGGTTGCAAGTCATCAATAGTTAATTACCACAATTCATTTCGTCACGCCCATCGAAACACTCTGTTAGATAGTCACACTGCCAGGCAGCTGGTATGCACACTGAATGGCCACAGTCGACCTCACTTGCAGAGCATGTCTTGGTGTCTGAAAAAAAAAAAGTTAAAGAGCTTTCAATTTAATAGTTCTGCTGATGACGTTTGCTTTGTGACTACCTTTGACACGATCTCTACAGACTTTATATTGCTAATGGGTATATGTTATTTATTGCGTTTTCTTATGGGACACAATGGCTATTTCAATTCACAAATATCTTCCCAAACTGCAGGTATTAACATCAGTATGCATCAGCACGAAAAGGCCCCTCACTTCCGAGGTAGTCAGTACGTTGTGTAATTTACTGAACGGGTGTACTGCTTACATGTGGATGGTACGCTGACAGCCGATATCGAAAAACCGCTTCGTGTTTCACTTCCGTCAGATGTGAACGTCAGCCACATTTCGTTTCCATCAGAGACAAGTTCAGGTGGTGGTTTAGTCCAGCTCCATTCGAAGAACGCGTTGGCTGCGCTACTGTTACCGTCTCCTGCCCGGACCAAGTCAAACTTATATTCGGTGTCAAAACTGAGGAAAGTGACGCGAATCTTGCGGTCGGCTTCAGCCCTGAGGATCCATGTGATGTCCTTGTTGTCAGGATAATTGCTGGGGTGAAGTGTTGACAAGAGTCTGGCCATTTCATTGGCACCTAGGTCAACAATTCGAACTTTATCTGTAATAAAAATCGAAATGGTTGGACAAGGTTGGATAAATTTATTTAACTTGTAAGAATCAGGTGTTAAAAACTCGCGGTTTTCTTATACAGACCTTCAACTGACAGGGTCTTAATGAAGAGCCGCGCTTGAAAATACAAATCAAACACTTCAAATTGACAAATACTGTAGTATAAATCGAAGCAAAATCCCTTCATCTTTAGCTGATAATTATTGTTTTTTTATTCTATTTTTCCTATTCTCCAAGGTCCACCTCATGAAAGTGTATTAGATGAATTAAGGGGGAAAGTGTGTTTTTGTACATTTTATTCGGAATACAACATCACAATTGTTAGGAGATGCTCCAATCGATATATTATTCGGGACACTTTTGTTTTTAAACTCTTTTATTTGAAGCCCTTGTTCAAAACTTCCACTGTTCGCTTGAAATCACTATTTTCTGTAATACAATTATGCCTTATATAGCCCTTCTAATGAACCCAACATAATTGTGTTTGTAAACAAATTATCCGGCCCTTCAGTCATGGTATAGAACATTGGTGATCCTGATGTGGCCCTTTGGTGTTCACTATTATAAGCCCTATATTGTTTTCTTAGGCCTAGACTGGCTATAATTATTATTGCTGTATTATGTTCTTATTTTTATGGCTTTATTATTCTGTCGCTGGTCTATAACCGGTTCGTATAATCAAGGTTTATCAAGTATTTTTATATTTTTTTCTGTGAGCGCTGTCTTCAACTGCAACATCAAAGCATATACTTACCACAATTAAGTTCATCTTGACCGTTGAGGCAGTCTGATTGGCCATCACACTGCCACGCGTTAGTGATGCATACATCATGCCCGCAGTCAATATCCGCCAGAGGACACGTCAGAATATCTGGAAATAGATAGTTACTAAACATATTGTATGAATGTAAAAAAAAACCAAAAATAAAAACCGATTTGGTCGGTAGGTCATCGGTGGTTGCTTTCACAAGTATCTTTTTTCTATGTTCACCAATATCGGTGCTATTTCTGACAAAGGAGGGCGTTCTTGTTTTCCGATAGGCACACACTGCTCTATTCATAAATTATTAACCATTTGCTCAATGAAGACAGATGACAATCAATTTTTCTCATTGACCACAATGCATATATAATGGAAACACCAGGATTTAAACTTCAGCATTCCTAAAATGATATCGCTTTTGTGCTCCCGAAGATGGAAATTAGTGTAAGTTTAAAACCAAAGATGAAGTTCTATCGTCACAAAACTAAAATATGTCCCAAAAGAGTATTGTAAATGGATGATTGGACACACAGGTTTTATTGGACGGTTATCGTTAATTAATCAAATATACGGTCATTTAATTTTCATAACAGCAATATAATACAAGATTTGGACGCATTTGTGACAAAAGAAACGAAAAAGCAATCCCACACCGCAGTCGTTTAAAAATGTGGTATAGAACTTGACAGTGAATTCCTGATGAGCTTGTCAGCTGGAGTTTCTCAAGCTAGTTTGTCCTCACCAGTTGTTGGGACGCTGGCAGCTGACAATGAAAACCCGTTTTCTGTGTCAGAGTTATCTGACGTGAATCTCAGCCACATCTGATTTCCAGTGGACCTGATGTCTGGGGGTTCTCGGTCCCCGTGCCACCTGAAGAACGCGTTGGTGCTAGTGTCGTTACCGTCACCTGCATTGAAGAAGTCGTAACCACGCTTTGTTTCAAAACCGTCGAAGGTGATGCGAATGCGTCGGTCCTCTTGTGTTTCGATCAACCAAGTCGCGTCTACGAAGTTAGGATAGTTGCTCGGATAGAGTGGAGAGGATATCTCGACAGTCCCGTTTGCTTCAACAAAGATGTTCGAAACGTCGCCTGGGAAAGGATACAACAGTTTTGGGAATTAAATTGTGGTTACAAATATTATACCTCTAGAAACTGTTGACTTCATGTTTGGTGTCAATGGTTACAACGACACTTGATGATTAAAACAGGTATAACATATTATAGAACGTGCAAATTGACCTCAACAACCTGTGAGATTTTACGAGAATACGGCACATCCGGGCACCTTGTATAGGCTCTACAGCGTGTGAAGTGTTCGCTCGTACCCCCCCCCTTCCCCAGCAAACAGGGCAGGGTGGGGGTAAATGCTAATGTGTAGCGTACTATTTGTTTGCGTTTATTTATGGTTTGATCATGATACAGGACACCCGCCACCGCGGGAGGGCTCTCACAATAATTGGTCCATGGATGGAAAGGTTTCATAACATGCCATGTGATCAACCGATCATTATTCATGCATATGAGAACGTAAACGCCACGCCTGATAATACAATTCCGTTTCTAAGCACGCACAAATGTTGTCCAATCAAAAGCTTTACCTGCGAGATGCCAATATTTTATGGGAGCGGAAACTAGTCTAGTTTGTCCCTCGCGCAATGACGCCGTGAGCTATCCAGTTCTTGTAATCATGGAGATCACTGAGTGGTTTTCAACTTACCCCTGACAACTATTCTTCCATTACAACTTAGTTTCTTGGCAGTCTTGGCTCAGGACGTCATCAAGAGTGATAGTTGTATTGTTGTGTAGCGTCCTTGCATAATTGATATATACGTTCTCTCGTTAGTGCGAGTATAAGAGCGCTGGCCTAATTGTTGTGCCATTATTAGAGGGCGTACTGTGCACGATCCACTATCGATCACTAGGGTCTTGGGCCAAGACTAGTTCCTTGGGTACACAACGAGCCATTCCGATCTGTTCTGTCACGATAGATGTGCTGTGATTATTTTCAGTAGAAATCAGTACGCAGTCACATACTTTGGGTGGAAATATCAGTTGAATCATTCAAAACATAACTGTTCTTTTTTAATATATTCTGACAATTTATCGGCGGGAATTCAACAGACACAGGGCATTTAAACCTCTTTTTTCGCGACGTCATCAGTTTTTTTTCAAAATCAGTCATGAATTTTGTAGCATGAACAGAAAATCGTGAAAAAAGGCATATCTCGTCGCAAAAAAACCCGTCACATCCACTTAAAAGTATTGACGACCTCAGAAAAAAGGTTTACGACTATTGAACAAATTCAGGACGTCGCTAAAAAAAAACATAACTATTTGTGACAAATATTTTAGACGTCGCAGAAAACTTCATGGCTAGACATGAAAAACTACACGACGTCGCCAGAAAAAAATCAAGATTGGTCATGACCCTCCAGGGCCACCATACCAATACAACACAATGATAGATTCTTCTTCTTCTTTTTTAAAGTAACAAACAGAACATACTAAATTCATTTTTCTTGCAATGGGTTTGGCAGATGTTAAAATTGTAAAAATGTTAAAATTGCGAAAATTGTGTCTGGCGTCATGACGTCATCAATACAGAATATTGCTTATATACATGTACATGTATTTTTTTTGGACATTTGGAAAAGCCCTATGTTCTGTTCATAAACGGCTACCGCTCTATAGTCTGAAAACTCGATAGTCCGAAGGTTCGATAGTCCGAAGTGTTAATTACTATACCTCATAAATATTCATCAGGCAACCGCGGCATTTCATTGGTCCATTCCAACAACTCAACCGTGTGAAAGTTTTTACTATCACCCCGCGTTTTCGTGACGCGCAAAAACCAGGGAGGTACTCTTGGTTCTTGGTTGGTTCTTCTCCTAAATACTCCACTTGGGAGTTTATACAGGAGGCCAGAAACACCGGAGCAAACCCCTTCTCTTAGCGATAAGTGTTTACTGGGTTCTTTTACGTGCATTTATACAACACACGGGACCTACGGCTTAACGTCCCATCCGAAGGACGAAGCAATAATGGTTAAGTGCCTTGCTTAAGAGCACAAGTGTCCGCCGGCGGGCTCGAACCCACGTCACTGTTGCCTCTGAAACACCAGAACGTGAGTCCGGTGTTCTTAATCGCTAGGCCATCACACTCCACTTTCACACACCTGGGTCGCAGCAGTTAGATTTGTTCCCGTACTGTGTTATCTCTTTACCAACAACGCATCAACCTCGTTCCCATTGGTACGAGATCTTGCTGCGCCATGTTGTTTCCCATCATGCCTTGCGCGATCTTCGCGATCTTTGTGAAGGAACGCGCACGCGCCCATGGAGTCGAGGCTGACGACGCATGTGCTTTACGTGCGTACCGACGGTGGAGAACACCAATGAGGACAGTTGCATGTGGCAAACTTTTACGGTATACATCAAAATGGCGACCGGTACTTTAACATTCACGCAAAACACTGCATTTATTTTTATTGTGTAAAATTTCACCTACTTCCTCCTCGGTTAAAATCGCAAAGTTAACAGCATCGGTCGCCATTTTGATGTATACCGTAATAGTCTGCCACATGCAACTGTCCTCATTGGTGTTCTCCACCGTCGGTATGCACGTAAAGCACATGCGTCGTCAGCCTCGACTCCATGGGCGCCTGCGCGTTCCTCCACAAAGATCGCGAAGATCGCGCAAGGCATGATGGTAAATAACATGGCGCAGCAAGATCTCGTACCCATGGGAACGAGGTTGATGCGTTGTTGGTAAAGAGATAACACAGTTCGGGAACAAATCCAACTGCTGCGACCCAGGTGTGTGATAGTACCACCCTGGTTTTGCGCGTCACGAAAACGCGGGGTGATAGTAAAAACTTTCACAGAGTTGAGTTGCTGAATGGACCAATGAAATGCCGCGATTGCCTGATGAATATTTATGAGGTATAGTAATGAACACTTCGGACTATCGAACCTTTGGACTATCGAGTTTTCAGACTATAGAGCAGTAGCCGTTTATGAACAGAACATAGGGCTTTTCCAAATGCCCAAGAAATACATATACATGTATATAAGCAATATTCTGTATTGATGACGTCATGAAGCCCGACAAATTGCTCGCAATTTCAACATTTTAACCATTTTAACATCTGCCAAACCCATTGCAAGAAAAATGAATTTAGTATGTTCTGTTAGTTACTTTAACAAATCAACAACAAAAAAGAATTTATCATGTTGTTGTATTGGTATGGTGGCCCTGGAGGGTCATGAAAAATCTTGATTTTTTTTTGCTGTCGAGCCATATAGCGAGCAATACGCACGGGTGCCAATGACATACCTGCAAATGTACCGGTATAAGACTATACCTAACTGTAAAAGTATCGTACATCATTGATTTACTTTTGGTGAGTTTTGGAGGACATGTAATATATTGACTGCAGTTTTTGCCCTTAAGAGATTTAGTTTTGTTAAACTATTATATTACATCATTCGACGGGGTTGCGTTTTTAGGCGGCTGGGGGAGCACATTGCGCTTTTATAAATGTATCTTCATCTGAATACAATTGCCTGAATTAAAAAATTCAGTTTGTGACAATCAATTAGAATTATTACTTTAAATCTGACATCCTCTCTCCAAAGTACATCATAAGGCAAAGTCGTCACGGTGTATATTACCGGCTGTATAAATCTCGGCCTATGCTATATTTCACGGCCCTGCTCTACACGAAGACACAAAATACAATGCAGAATTTAATCTTGTTCCGGGTAATTTTTCTCCCTTTTTCAACTTGATTACGTGGGTTCGCTTTACCCCTATATAACAACAACGCAATAAATAAACGGCACAATAGAAATATCTTAACGCACGAACTCCCTCTTCGGATATAAACCTTTCCCCTACATTTCGTCGAATTCAGGGTTTAACGGGAAAACCCCACATTCCATTGGGGCGTTGGCGTATTATCGCACAAAGCCAATAGTCCTTTTTAAAAGTCCCATCAACAAAACAGGTGGATTTTCTTTTGTTCACCTGCCGCCTCTCATCCTGGTTATGAACGCCCTCGGTCATGGTTGAACAATAGGGATCCACTCAAAAGTCCGAAGGTTCAATAGTTCGATGGTTTAGTGATCCGAAAGTCCGATAGTCCGTATTAACGCACAAAATGTCCTATACCCGAGAGTTCATTCGTCCTAAAATGAATTGATTCGAGCATTTTGATGCGATAGGTTCCTTATTCCCGATCAGGTTCGATACTCTGAAGTTTCGTGTCCGAAGGTTAAAGATGGTCCGACTTTAGAATAAGGTTAATTAGTCTAAAGGTTAATTATTCTGAAGGTTCAAGAGTCTGAAATGAAAACAATGTTCAACAGTCCGAAAGTTCGTTAATTCGAAACCACACTAGGTTCAATAGTCCAAATTGAAATAATGTTCAGTGCTGTTAATTCGGACTGTTGAACCTTTATATTGTCGCTTCGACTATGGAACTTTATCATCTATTCGGACTATTGAACCTTCGGATTATTTAACCTTACTGTATATTCGGGATAATATACAACATGGTTTGTCGGGAAATAGTGAAAACTAATGACCCGGGGTGTTGGATGATTAGAACTATAGTCCCAATCATCCAACACGGAGGGGTCCTTTGTTTTCACTATTTCCCCGCAAAAGCATGTTGTACTTGTTTTACCCTACCCCATAAGTATTCATCAGGTAGCTGCGGTATTTCATTCGTCCATTCCACCATGTTTTTGATCGTGCAGTATTTGGATAAAGTGAAACGATATTTTAATTTAAGGAGACAGACAGAATAGAAATTTAATTTTGTGTCATTTAATAACTTTAACATTCACGCAAAACAAAGCATTTATTTTTATTGTGTAAAATTTCACCCACTTCCTCCTCAGTTAAAATTGCAAAGCGAACACCACCGGTCGCCATTTTGATGTATGCCGTAATAGTTTGCCACATGCAACTGTCCTCACTGGTGTTCTTCACGGTACGCACGTAAAGCACATGCGTCGTCAGCCTCGACTCCATGGCTGCGTACGTGTTCCTTCACTAAGATCGCGCAAGGCACGATGGAAAACAACATGGCGCAGC